CGGCTGTTGCAGAGGTTGCTGCTGCTCGCGCTCCTTGCGCGTCTGTTCCAATCGCTTGACAAACTCGTTGTAGTTCTGATCTTTGACCAGCATGTTGATCTCCTCGACGGCCGAGCTGAACTCAATCTTGTTGCGCTCGAGTTGTTGATGTAGCATCTTGCGCTGCAGTTGCAGGAACGGGATGTTGAAGTAACTGACGACACCACGCAGACCATATGCGTTGTACATTGACGCATCGATGTGCTGCATGTGTGCACGCTGCTCACACAGCGCCTGGATCTCGCCTGGCGTCAGCTGTTTGGAGCTGTCGCCCTGATCTCGGTAGTTGGTGATCAGCATCACGTAGACGTCGGCGGGGATCTTGGCCAGCTCGCGCTCGACGTACTGGAACGTCCATTTCTTGTGCGGGTTGACCATGAAGATGACAGCCGACACATTCTTCATCACATCAATCGTCTGTGCGTCCAAGCTATGTATCTTGAAGCTGCCGCCACTCGTCTTCTTCTTGAGCATCTCATCCTTTGACGGCACTGTGAATGGTTCGTCCTCTTCCTCATCCTGTTGTTGCTGCTGTTGCTTCGAATGTGATGTGACCAATGTCGAAGCTGACTTCTTCTTCTTTGTAGTTGCAACATCAACAACATCCCATACTTCTACATCTACAATGTCGTCAGTGTCTGTTGATCAAGTGTGCGTTGGTTAGTCTTAAGCCCGATATGTTTTGCCATGTCCTGCCTGCCCTGCCGTGATCTTGCCCTACTCTTATAGTTCCAATTGATGTGCGCTATCTGTATCTCTGGAGTTGGCACATACTCCTCTGTGAAGGGCTTCCCTTGAAGTCGATTGAACAATGCAGTCTTGCCTGTATTCCTATCTCCCTTTATAACAAGCTTCACTATGTTGATTGAATGAATGATCGAATGAATGGATGTGAGTCAGCGACTAAGGTGCGCATGTTGATAACAATTAACAACATACGAGTGTACTTTGATGCCTTTGTGTTAAGCTTCCTCTTCATCTCGCTGTCCATGAGTCCGACCTCCCTATTCTTCATCTCCTCGGGAGTCAGCATCCTTCCATTCTCGTTACCCATCCTGCTTGCTGTATACGAGTCTCACTCAATCAAACAATCAGTCAGTCTACGTATTTGTATCTTTATCTGTACCAATTAAAGTAAAGTGATGAATGATTGAAATGCAAATGATCATCACACGACAAAATGTGTGTGATTGGTCCAAGGTTTGACGGGAAGCCCCGAAAGACCAAAGGCAACTTTTGGATGTTTATTGTTCTTCTTCATCATCTGACCAGTTGTCGACATCTGGTAGGCTGACATCCTTCTTCTTCTCATCCATATTGTTATTGTTATTGTTGTTGTTGTTGTTGTTGTTGTCCATGTTCGAGTTGACATTATTGTTGATGGACATGTTGATGTGTCCACCAGATGCCTCTACCATAGTTGGGACAACTTCATTGTTGTCGTCTGGCTTTGATTGTTGTAGAGTTGTATCCCACATGAGGATCTGCTTGTCATTGGACCCACTGAACATTAGTTCTTGATGTGGATGGAAGATGCAACAGTTGACACGTTCAAAGTGTCCCTTGAGATATTTGATCAGGTCGCCAGTCTCGGCGTCGTACATATTGATCGTCTTGCCATTGGGATGCATCAGATACATGCCGTCGTAGGACAGACACATCTGATTGCCCATCATGTTGTTGTTGTACACGTGGGGGAAGTCGACAAACGTGTTGACGCCTGTCTGCATGTCCCACCGACGTACCTTTCGATCGCTGCCTGTACTCAGCAGTGCGCTGCCGTCGGGCGTCCACACCAGCGACGTAACGAATCCATTGTGGGCGGCTGGTGCGTCCTTGGCCGCCATGTTTGGCGAGTTCTGTACAAAGTCGCCAGGCTTGATTGCGCTGGTCGAGTAGACTCGGCCCTGCTTGTTGAAATAGATTGACTTGTGTGATTTGAGTCGGTCGCCTGCATCCATGTCGTAGGATGATGAGGCCTGGCCACCACCGCCAGCAGCAGCCTTTGACTGCGGTGTATGTACGTGTGCGGTCGTCTCGTTGAGGTGATCGAGCGCCATCAAGAATGTGTCTGATCGCCTGATGTCCCACAGACGGATTGACTTGTCTTTGGAGCCCGTCACCAGGTGATGAACGGAGAAGGGCGAGAATTTGATCGCCAGGACAGCCTCGCGGTGACCTGTAAGACAATGTGTGGAGGTGCCTGATCGTACATCACAAAGACGCGCCTTCTGATCAGACGTGCCCACAGCGATCAGCAGCTGACTGGATGGGAGTGGACTGATTGAGATGGCATTGACCGAGTGCTCGAGATTGAATGATCGAGATATGCACTCTTTGTTTGTGTCCCATACGTCGACAAAGCCTTCTGTGGCACCACTAAAGAACATTCCCGTGTCGAATGGATACCAAAGCACATCAGTCACTGCACGTGTCAATGATTGGCATGGTCTCTTCATCGTCGATACCGCTGGTATCACCTTCCTCCTTGTACTTGTATTCATAAATGATTCATATATATCATATATTGCAATGCTACCATCTGCTGAAGATGATATCAAACTAAGTTTGGTTGATTGATTGATTGAATGAGTCATTGAACGAATGATTGAATGAATGAATGATGATGAGCACTACTCACTATCTTGCTTCAGACTTGTCAATGTCGAGATGATAGACAGGTGCATGGTATGTGGTGAGTATATCGTATCGGATGGAGAGGTCTATTGAACGGATACGTGTGCGCACAGCGTCATATCTCTGACTATTCAATCGTGCAGTTGTAATACGCAGTGGACGTAGACCTCCAGAGCCTCCTACTGGGGCCAATTCTCTATTCAACAAATAGTCATTAAACGTCGTTGATGTATTATTCGTCGTCGTATTCGTCGTCATGTACATATATCTATCTCTCTCTCAAAGAGAGTTGGTGATTTCAAATGAATGTTGTAAAGTGTTGTTCAAGGTTAGGGTTGTGTGTGTCTTTGAAAGGAAAGTGGGGAAGTCCAAGAAACCCCCCCACCCACTTGTCGCGATCTTTGATTGATTTGTTGTTGGCTGGCTCGCACTTTCATGATCCGAGCCCATCTTCGGAGCACAAGACACACGTTTTCAAACATACTAATAACTTTCTTTGCAATCTTATACACACACATATATATCTTACATGTTGTAATAATACATATACTACATATAATACTTATTCTATCAAACAAAACAAAACAAACAATCAATCAATCAAACAAACTAAACAGGAATGAGTCAGGTGTTGAAGAAGAAGGTCAGGTCGATTGTATCGGCTGATCGACGAAGACACAGAGATGATGGTATCGATCTAGATCTCTCATATATAACAAATAATATAATAGGTATGCTATTGGATGATCCAGTGAGCGACGAATCTATCAATCATGCATGATCACTCACTTACTCAATCACGATCACTCACTCGATCACTCACTCAAACATAAAGCAATGAGTTTCCCAAGCTCTGGATTGGAGAGTACATGGAGGAATTCGATCAATGATGTTTGTAGATTGCTGACGAATAAGCATAATGGAAAGTTTATGATTTGGAACCTTTGCGAGCGTGGCTATGATTATGCCAAGTTCAATAATCAGATATTGGACTTCCCCTTTGCAGATCATCACGCTCCATCACTAAACTTGTTGTTTGAAATCGTCAACTCACTCGATAATTGGCTGAGAGCCGACCCAGAGAACGTGGCCGTCGTGCACTGCAAGGGTGGCAAGGGCCGCACGGGCACAATCATCTGCTGCTATCTCTACTACTGCAGCCACTTTGACACGATGGAGCAGTGTCTCAAGCACTTTGCCGAGCGACGCAGCACCAAGCACAAGGGCGTCACGCAGCCCTCGCAGCAGCGCTACATCAACTACTTCAAACAGATCGTCACTGGCAACTTTATGATCGAGGTGTTCTCCATGAACCTCGTCTCCATCGACCTTGGCACAATGACGCGAGAGAAGGCCAACTCCATCTCCCTCGAGATATACGAGCACGAGAAGGAGTCCAACCTCCTATTCGCAAGTTCACCATCATCATTACAGTAAGGTGTCTTCAAACAACAATCATCAGCTGATTGCCATCTCCCTGGAATCATCCCACTCACTCGCTCACTCAATCAATCAATCAATCAACTTTAGGGTCGCTGCTGTCAACGCCGCACAGAACAAGTATAAGGTTAACATTGTGATTGGCAAGCGATTCATTAAGGACCTCGTGGTCAGAGTGTACCAGGGCTCAGGCTCATCAAGGAAACAGATATTTCACTTCATCTTCAACATATCATTCATCAACTTGGAACAGAACAAAGTAGTCTTCTTCAAGAAGGACTTGGACCATTTCAAGAAGTCTGACAAGTATGATTGATTGATTGATTGATTGATGATGGGCAAGACACACAACTGGACTCTGACACTGACATGCCCCCCCAATAACCTTAGGTTCGACGATGACTTCTACATCGAGTGTATATTTCAGAACGACTGTACTACACTGCCCGATCATTCATTTCAGATTTGGAACATTATGGCGGTGAAGTACCAACAGACCAAGGCAAAGAAGGATCTGACATTGGCACTGCCTGCTGGTGCTGGACATGGTCATCACAATCAAAACAATCATCATATTACATCGACACAAACGACTACACATACGCAACCATCACCATTTACACATTTACCAGCGATCACCAGTTCACTACCGATAGAGAACAGACTCAAATCATCAACTGTATCATCATCATCATCATTCATTGGACCATCCAGCAGTCATTCCAAAGTACTTCAACTATCTCAATCATATCAACATTTACAACATCAACATCAACAACAACAGAATATACTACATCCGCGCACTCATTCCACGCTGGAAGGAGTCCACAACCTCAGCAGTAGTTATAGTGGTAGTAGTAGTCCAACAACAAGTATATCATATAGAGATTGCAAGATGATGGAGGTTAGCGATTTAAAGAAGAAGTTGCTCACAATCGATATTGCCGTGGACAACAATAATAAGAGCAATCCCATCTCCATCACCGACGAGAAGCCACCAGGACGACACACACTGCCAGGCAGTTGGACACCACCGCGACCACCTTCAAGGAGTCGCATCTTTGCTCAGTTCTCTGGACATCGAGGAAGTGGTGGCGGCCTTAACAAGAGTGATGGACTGATACCCCCGCCAACATTCAGCAATCACAGATCAACACCGCCAGACGAGGCAGCAATAGACGATTATCAATCAATCAAAGTACACGACACTGCCAGCCACAGCACGACCTCCACCACAATGACGTCGTTGGTTGTCAGTGCCAACGTCAAGGGTGGGCCTGCATCCGCCACACCATGAGCCCAAGTTGCACAAGGCTATGTTTGGCTCATAATAAATAGGGATCACTGATAATACAGTATTGGGTGACCGCAAATGGGAACAGTAATGCCATTATCAACTTTGCGAATATTTGATTCCACCGGTATCCCATTTGATTGGTGATAATTCTAAGTGGATTCTTAAAATCAGTACAGGTAGCTAGTGATGCGAGTTGAGTTTGTAATGGTTTGAGTGCATTATTCAAGTCATCCAGGGTACCTCCATCATCAGAATCAGCACCAGCACCAGTACCAGCACCAGGAACAGTCCACGTCCACTGAATGGATCGAAAAGTTAAGCTATTTATTGTCTAGACTAATATCATTATTATTAGAAGTGCAACTAGAATGGAGCCGATTGGGGCAACATTGGCATTTGCAAGGTTGGAAGATGATGATGACGATGATGATGAACCATTGTTACAGACAAAAGGTGGAAAATCGATACAGGGATATATACAGCTGCTTGGAGTTATCGTTCCAACTGATGGACATCTTTTCGTCTGTTGACAAGTGTAAGTATTGAACTTGGCTCTCTTGTAAGCCTTATTGTTCCCATTAAAACAAACTCCTGTTGAGTTGGTAGTTGATCCATTGCCTCCACACATGCACAGATACGACAGGTCGCCTACATTATTACAGTCCGAATTATTGTTGCATAGTATCTCTGGAGGTATCTGGCATGTTGAATTAATACACTACCAAGTATTGTACAGTCGTTCATTATGTTGCCAAACAAGTGTTGTTGTGTTACCAGTTCAACATCATTCAGTCAATTCAATCATATACATACAGACAATCCTTTAGATATATCACATTGATTATTGAACTCAGAACAGGAGCCAGCAAGGCCGACTGAGTAGACGGGTGCGCATTTTCCAAACAGACAGGTACTGATGGGACTGCAATCAGAAGTGGCTTTGCATGCTCCACCGTTGGGCACTGGTGATGCACATCCATTAGCTGAACATACTTCATTGTACCTGCAATCTACCAATCTCTCACAACGAGGATAGTTTGGATTGATATCTTGGTTGTTGGTGCATTTAAGACCACGGGAGTACTGTGCGTTGTCGGTGCAAGACACATGTAAAGGAAGGTGGGTGGCAGTAATAGTTGTCGGCGCAATATCGAGTGTTGTTGCAGGATTCCCCGAGGCCTGGAAGTGGTATACACCTGTATGAGCCATCGTTTGCAAGGGCACATGTAGTTTGATCTGTGCAGGCTGCAGTGTTGGGTGTACATAAATCATTGGCATCCAAACATTCAAAGCATTGAGCGTTGGACTTGAGTGTGATTGTAGCCATCATAAACATCGTGACCATAATCATGTATGATACGTTGTTATACTTCATGCTTTGTTTTGTTCTGTTTTGTTGTATGTTTGTTTGTTGGATTGTAGTTTAAACGAGTAAAGAATGATTGTAGACTTGTTGTCCAAAGTCTTATTTATCATTGTTTGGATAAGCCAAGGAGTTATTCTAAAGAATGATCTAGACCTGGGAGGAGACATGTTTGTCCTGGCAACCATCATAGGTCCCGATTAATAAACAGATAGATAGTATTTGAAAATAGACATACTTCAACTCGCGAATGAAATGGCAATTGAATGGTTTGGCAAACCAGGACTAGATCATTCTTTAGAATAACTCCTTGGCTTATCCTAATGTTGTCTCAATGGTACTTCGAAGTTGACAAACATGAATTAAGAACATCCCTGATGTCATGACCAAAGAATAGACTGATGTTACCGGTAACAGTCTATTCGTTCACTGAATGGATCGTAGTGTAAGTATTTATTGTCTACACTAATATCATTATTATTTGGAGTGCAATGAGAATGGAGCCTATCAGGACAACATTGGTATTGGCAAAGTTGGATGATGATGATGATGATGATGTTGAACCACCGTTGTTACAGAGTATTGGTGGATAATCCCTACAGAGATAAGAACAGCTATTTGGAGTGGCGTATTCAACGAATGGACATCTTTTCATCTGTTGACAAGTGTACATATTGAAGAAGTCTCTCTTGAAATCCTTATTACTGAGATTAAAACAAACACCTGTTGAGTTGGTAGTTGATCCATTGCCTCCACACATGCACACATACAACAGGTCACCTATTGCATCTTGACAATCTAAATCATTGTTGCATAGTATCTCTGGAGGTACCTGGCATGTTGAATTAATACACTTCAAGTATAATTCAGCCATTCATTGGGTTGCCATTCAAGTGTTGTTGTGTTAGTCCCTCCAGTTCCAGTTCAACATCATTCAGTCAATCAAATACATACGGACAATCCTTTGGATATATCGCATTGATTATTGTCCTCGGTACAGGCACCGCCAAGGCCGACTGTGTAGGCGGGTGCGCATACTCCAAACAGACAGGTACTGATTGGACTACAATCATATGTGGTTTGGCATGCTCCACCGATGTGGACAGGCGGTGCACATCCATTGGCTGAGCAGACTTCATTATACTTGCAATCGAGCAAACTCTCGCATCGAGGGTATACAGTGTTGGTACATTTGTTGTTGGTGCAGGTCAGAGCACCGGAGCATTGTATATCGAGGGTGCAAGCCTCTCCATAACCGAGGTAGTACGCGTTGACACAGGTAAAGGAAGGTGGGTGGCAGTAATAGTTGTCGGCGCAATATAGAGTGCTGTTGCAGGATTCGCCGAGACCTGGAGGAAGTATACATCTGTATGAGCCATCGCTCGCAGGTGCATGTAGTTCCCGCTGTGCAGGCTGCACTGCTGGGTGTACATAAATCATTGGCACCCAAACATTCAAAGCATTGAGCGTTGGACTTGAGTGTGATTACAGTCAACATGAACAACAGAGTCACAATCATGTTGTTGTTGTTATACTTGATTGTTTGTTATGTTTGTTTGTTAGTTTGTTTGTTTGTATGGTTGGTTGCTTATATGATGAATGATGGTCGACCAAAGGACAGCAATATCATTGATTGGATGAAGCGAAGGAGTTATACTAAGACCATGTTTGTCCTGGTAACCATAATGAGGCCAGGTTAACAATGAACTAAAATAGACATACATCAATATCCACAACTAATTTGTATCTAAAGAGCATAGTCCAAAAATCTAGCTGATGATGGTTAGGATAACCAGGCCTGTTTAAATTTCCTCTGAATATAAGAATGGATTAGACCTTAGTAAACTATGTTGTTTTGATTATTATAATCATCCGTTCATCCTTGGATCTATATCAACATACACAAACCTGACATTGATCTTATATTCATTGGACATTCGAGATTGGTAGTATTAGAGTAAGTTATCAAAAAAATAAATAAATGGCTATGAATACCTGTGGATACTAGAACATCATATGACCTTGATGATATATAAATATATATATATCTCTATGTAATAAAAAGATACCAAACAAATAATTAAATTAATCTCCAATTTTTCGCGAAAGTGTGTTGAAGTGATAAGTGATTAGAAGACGAACGAAGTGCAATCATTCACACATTAGACATAATCAATCAAACAAATAATACATTCACACACATATATATAAGTATAAGTTTACTATATATATATACAATACATTATAAAAATTAAACAATGAGTATATTCACACCAGTTAATAATAAAACACTGACTAATGTCACTACAGTCAGGTTCAAGAAGGGTGGCTCACGATTCGAAATAGCTTGCTATCCCAACAAAGTGCAATCATGGAGAACTAAAGTGTATGTACATACATACATACATACATACATACCCTCATTCATTCATTCCTATACTAACAATCAATCAACAAATCAATCAAATCAATCAAACAAATAATTATAGTGAGAAAGACTTGAATGAAGTGATACAGATACATAGAATATTTACAAATGTATCAAAGGGAATCGTAGCAAAGAAGGAGGAGTTGGTAAAGGCATTTGGTACCGACAATGAGTCAGAGATTCTATTGCAGATCTTGGAAAAGGGAGAGCTACAAGTGTCGTCAAAGGAGCGCGAGAACGAATCCGAACAGAAATTCCGTGATATCGCTACGATCGTGGCGGAGAAGTGTGTCAACCCAGAGACACAGCGCCCAATCCCCGTGGGCATCATTGAGAAGGCGATGAAGGACGTGCACTACAGTCTGCACCCGACCAAATCGTCCAAACAGCAGTCACTGGAGGTGATCAAACAGATCTCGGCGATCATCCCCATCCAGCGTGCACAGATGCGTCTCAACATCAACATTGCCATCAAGGACACAAAGGCGATCCGCGATAAGCTGGCACCAATGCTGGCCAAGATCGAAGAGGAGGACAATGACAACGGTCTGTCACTCGTGTGTCTTGTCGACCCGGGTGCATTCAGAAAGCTGGACGACTTTGTCAAGACTGAGACCAAGGGCAAGGGATTCATCGAGATTATGAATCTGGCCGTTGCCAAGGAAGGTGACTCCAAGGTTTAAACGTTGCAGGAAACAGCGGCGATAGATAAGCAACAACAACAAAAAGAAGAAGTAGGAAACGAACAACAGCAGCGCGAAATGTACATAAAATGCGAACTAGCTTCCCCTTTGTTGTTGACTTTACGAATGTGATTGAAGTATTTGATTGATTGATTGATTGGAGGAAGGAGGATGATTTATTCGGACTTGATTGGCTTTGTTCTGGAGTTGTTGGCGGATGATCCAGCAACCTTGCCCTTGGTGTCGTATGAGCGCTTGAAGAACTGTGTGAACAGGAAGAGGAAGGAGAAGTTGATGAGGTAGGCCGAGGCAAAGGCAGAGTAGTGGGTCTGGCAGCCAACAGTGTTGATGAGACCAAGATGCAGGATTCCGACCAGAGCGAAGCAGCAGAACTGGATGATCTGGATCATGGTGATGTACTTCTTCCACCACACCTGGATGCCGAGAGCGCAGTTCAAGTAGAAGTAGTACATAAAGACGTGGACGAATGTGTTGAGGAACACGACCCACAGCTGCAACGACCAGCCAGTGTACAGGAAGTACCAGCACAGCCATACGACGATGCAGTGATGGTAGACGTGCAAGAAGATCAAAGGCTTCTTCTTGAGCACAATGATCACAGTGTCAAACAGCTCGTAGAACTTTGACAAGTAGAAAATGTACGACCAATAATATGATGGTCCCTGATTGTATCCAGCTGCTGTCTCGCACAATGTAAACAATGGTCCCTCTCCCTATGATATTATTATTGTATGGTGATTAGTTGATTGATTGATTGATCGCCAAATCGGGAATAAGTGATGAGTGTGGTGTGGTGTGTGTGTGTCAGACGTCTGATTGACGAGTATGGGAATTGATACATACCATTATCCTCTTGTAACATTCGTAGACTACACCAGCACACATGGCCAAAGACCAGACACAAAGAATGAAGTTATGGATGACAGAGGCAGACTTCAACTCGAAGGCCTCTCTATTTCTCATCAAGAACTATAATGTTTGATTGATTGATTGATTGGGAGTAGTGTCAGCATCATCAGTTTTCAAACGATCAACAGAGGTGATATGGCTAGGCTTACCTTGATGGAGAAGATGGTGAAAAGGTAGATACCAATGACGATTGGAAGAATCTGGAACTGGGACAGAGGTGTCTTTCCCATCACAAACTTAAAGTCCAAGTTGAACAGTTCACTCCAGTCAGACTCTGACAATGAGTGTTTGAACAGGTGAGCATAAGATGCTGGATTGAAGTAATCTTCCATTTTATATTAATATATATAATATATATGTGTATAATATAATATAACTAACAAAGAAATGAGGAGGAGGAGGAGTAATCAGAATGAATGGTTAAAGGGGCAATCAAGTTAACAAAGTAATCGAGGAGGATGTGGTGGTCCAATGAGACTTCGCCATTGCGAATGGAGATGTATCTGTTTCGGTGGTCACTCTCACTCAATGGACCTAATTATCATCATTATTTTTATTTATTGTAAGGTCGACACACCTCATAGATCTTTCGACGTCTGGGATGCAACGCAGTTCCCAATTCAATTTGGGCCTTTGTCTCGCCCCACCCCACTCTTTTGGTCAGTCTTTTGTTTTGGATGAATGTGGTGACGATGTTTGCTGTTTTGAAAAGGCGCGCCAATCAATCGTCATTGGAATCTGACCCAAAAGGAGACATAATCAGATTAGTCAAGTTACACTCTTCTTATTACTTACTTATTTACTATTATTGATTACATAGTTATAATTGTTGGTGTTGGGTAGAATACCAACACACACACACACACATCAAGCAATCATTCACCCACTCACACATTACCCGTCGTGATCACAACAATCAAACATACATACACACTCAATAATTGATTGACATGTAATACTAAACAACAACAATTGAATTCACTCACTCTTGTCATAAGACAACAACAACACGTGTATTATCTATCTATCACTTTCGGAAGATTATAGATGTTACGTGCATATGAATCAAATTCAGACTCGACATGTAGTCGACAATCATCATCATCATCAACATCAACATCCAGACTTCATTAGATGTTTCAAACTGGATCGATTCATGAGTGTCACTGCAGCTACCCAATTGATGTCGGATTGGATAATCATGAATCGATCATACACTGGATAATCAACTCGCTCACCTGAGCGAGCATTATTATTAATAATCAATTCTTGGATGCCTTCCATGAACTAACGATCTGATGATGATGTCATTCAGACTCACTGGCCGGCTGACTGGCTGACAGGGTAACTGACCTACTAAGTGACTAAGTCAAGTCAAGTCGGGTCAACTAGCTCACACACTATCTCGGGTGATGATGGATGGGTAGTGGATCATCATGTTATGTCTTGTAGCATTGATTGGCAAGTTAACAGACACCTATAAATACCTCAACAATCCGGTTTACTTCAAATCATCAAGTTATCAATTCAATTAACAATTACTTTAACCTAATACCTCAATCAATCAAAAATGACTCTCCTTAGTAAGTTGGACATCATTAATACATCAATCGATCAAACAATCAATCAATCAAACTAACATAAAATGTCCGAAACATTACAACAGAGTCCATGTCCTCCCTCTCCTTCAACGCCTCATCATTCTCCAATGGATCAGTGTCCAGTGGAAGCATGAGCTCATTTGGTCAATCGGCCAATAGATCCTCGGGTATCGTTGCCCAGCTTGGCTCCGACTTGCAGCCACTCGTCGATGGCGCAATCAAGACAGTCAACGGCGCCCTCGGCACAACTATCGCCTTTGCAGATGGCCTTATTTCCAAAACTGTCGGTCTCTAAGAACACCGTGCGACCACCATCACCTCAGTTGTCATCACCATCAATCGCCTTTCCAACCCTTGTAACTAATAGTTAAATACCCACGTATGAGTTCTTACTTGAATGTATAGAACCCGTCGAACTCCACAAACAACTATCCTATGTCTAAACTTGTCTTTATTGTTTGATTGATTGATTGATTGATTGGGCATTCTAGCATACTATTGGAGTTGACATTTGAATGTCATACTGGCACTTGGATGTCTCGATGGCATTGGTTGCCACTGTTGCACCAGTTCCACATTTGAAATGGATGGTAGTTGTTGGATAGTAGTTTGGACAATCAGTATTGTACTCACCAGTGTATTTGAGATCGATGGTGTTGGTTCCAGCTATATTGCCAAGGCCAAGTTAGTGATTCATTCATTAACCCAACTTCAAACTTCTGTCATAAATATACTCACCATTCTTTGACCAGGTGCCTGATATCTCTTGTCCTCCATCAATCCAAGCTGTACCTTTTCCAACACAAACTGATGCACCAGTTGTGTTCACACATCCATATGCTTGTCCACACACTCTAAAGTTGAATGGAACTGTTGTTCCTGCCAAGTCCTTTCCTGATTGAGTGAAGGTTGTACTAAATGAATGTGATTGAGTTAGTTATTGGATTCCATTCATTACAATGAGTTGATCAACATACGAGGCGAGCATTGAGAAGTCATAGGTGCTGAATTGACAGTTTGGAGCTGGCTTGGGACATGCCAAGGGTGATCCCATTACGATATCAATGTGGCACGTTGAGGGTTGAGAGATTGATTTGGTGCTTGTTGTTGTGTCGCACACCAAATGGATCGATGTGTCTCTCACTTGGTTTGGACATGAAGCAGCAGTAGTCTTGTAGTTGACCATGACGCCATTCACAACATCTGTTTGATTTGAGTGAGTGGATGTTAGCATGATCAGGGCCATTTCCAACACTCATTTTAATGTTTGATAACTTACTACTCAATGACCATTGTCCTGTGGATAGTGTTCCAGTGGCAGTCCATTGTGTGCCAGAGTTGGTACATGATGAGAATGGTCCAAGGAGGTTCTTGATGCATGTTGGAGGCGTGCCACAAACTTGATGATATGACTTGACAGGTATGGTTGTGGTGAACTCAGTCTTGGCAATCGATGAGAAGTCCATTCCATTGAATTGACAGTTTGGTACAACAACTGGACATGCCAACTTGGTGGACACGTACATGTCATAGTTGCAACGTGCAGCTGGATTCTCATATCCAAGCACTACACTATATGTTGTGTCTGGACCACACATCAAATGAATCTTAGTATTCCTCTTGAGTGTTCCACACATATCGTTTGGAGAGTCATACGTAAGCTTGGCACCAACATAGTTGTCTTTCTCTGTGTTATTGATTGATTGAATGATGGAGTGAGTGAGTGGAATGATTCCAGATAATGTTGGGGGGAAGGGGAGCATACCTGGACTGCTCCAAACAGCATTGGACCAATCTCCATTGCCAACATAAACGGTTCCGCTGGATGATTGACTGACCAGCTGACATGAGGCCACTTGGCTTCCCAATATTGTTCCACATCTAAAAGAAGGGTTATAACAGATTGAGAAAGTGTAGTTATACTTGATTGATTGAGTGAGGGAGCGTGTGAGTTATTTGAGTTGGATGGAGCACTGAGTTAACTCTGGTTCGAATACATACTGTCTTTTCCTTGACGTCATTGATAGTGAGGGTGGTACTTTATGATTGATTGAATTAGTATATGAGTGTGGCAGTTGATGGCCAGGGTCAATCAAACAATGTGATACACATACTTTGACAGATCGTAGAATCTAAGTCCATTGTACTCGCATGATACACTTGGTGCGCAAGCCAATGGTGACTCCATGTTGATGACATATGAAAGTCCAACTGGCTCAGCTGCCTTTGTCACTTTAGTAGTTGGTCCACATGCTACACTAACCAAACCCTGTCTTGTAATATTGATATTACTCTTGGCACTGGTTGTCAACTTGTATCCTGATCCTGGAGATGCTATTGGGTTGTCAGTACTCATTCACAGTGCTTTAAGTTAATTGATAGATTGATTGAGATAACATACGATTGATATCCCAAGTGTTGGCACTTTGTTGACCAACTGGATAGTAATCAGCTAGGTGGAGCTGGCACAAACTGATGTCCTTGGTAGTGGACAATCCTGCACACTGGGTTGGTGTTGGACCGCACAATGAATAGTAATATATCACATTCGAATATTCATTGATAGAGTATGTGACACTGAGCATTGATTGGTTGATTGATTCATTGGATATTAGTATGATTGATTGAGTGCACTGACTGACTCATTGAACTGAGTGATCACTGATACATACCCAGAGAGTGATGAATAGTCAAAGTTCCTGAAGCGACAGTTGTATCCAATGTTGATCACACTGGATGATGTGAATGATTGAGTGCAATGTGTTGGAACGATTGAGTCGGTGATGGGATAGTCACACTTTTGTTGTGATGGACACCATCCATATTGTGACAAGTTGGTGGCGCCATATTGAACTTGGAGTACATTGGATGTGCCTGAACTCAACTTGCTCAAACATCCATTGCTTGACACCTTTACCAGTGCCACTGGGATCGTGGCCGAACATCCCATCGCACGAGTGATGTATACTTGACGGACTGGTTGTGATGCGATGTATGTTCCAGCATAGCCAGACAGTGTCACTGGGAATGATGAGTTGAGAATGCTGAGTGTATACACTGTTCCGAGACTGAGTTGGACGAATCCTGCGGGGAACACCCAAGTCCTGTTCACGCTAGTAGTCAAGATATTAACTCCAATCTTCTCAGTGTAAAATGGCTCGCCTGCATCCTGTTTGTTGTTCTGGTTCAGATCAAGGAAGGCTGATCCCTTCATTGTGACGTCTATTGATGGATGGGATGGGTGGAGGTGGTGAGTGAGTGAGTGGAACTATTCCAGGAAGGGATGACTACTGCGGATGTCCTCACTTACCAGGATAAGAGAAGTGGTAGAATTTGTAGAGTGAATCGCCATTCAAATGAATGTTCGCACTGTGGCTGCCAATGTTTGGTGCAAATGTGCATGTTAAGGTCTTGCCAGTAGCGTCAGGAATACATGGTACAGTGGGTCCAGAGTAACCTGTATGATTGGGATCATTTCATTTGTTAGTTCATTCTATTGTCGCGGGAGTGAGAGGTAGTAGACTTACCATCAAGTTTTAGCTCAGGGACATAGTTGATGTAACGGTTGGGGAGGATAAAAGTGGATCCAAGACATGATGGTTGTACATTGTCAAACATATCTTTGATAGATTGATTGATTGATTGATTGATTAAGTTAGTATGTGATTGTGTGGAATAGTCCCAATGGGTGGGAGAGAGAACTTACTGGCATCAGTGAGGTCCATCGTATAGTAGTAGAATACGTCAAAGGGTTTGGCGCAGAACTTTTCACGGAAAAGGTTGACGTCGCCTCCAATGTCATACATGACGGGGAATCCATAGTATCCACCAGAGTTGCAGGATGAAGACATGCTGATCCTCACACCAGGCGGTAGTCTGATCGCTCCATCAATTGTGCCAAGTAGATTGGTGATCGCCCTGCTGTCGATAGGGCCCAATGGCAAGGCGAGGTATTGGCCTTCGTATAGCTTGTTTTCATATAGCTTGGCAGGGCCGTGGTTGGCATCGTAGTCCCATGTGTAGAAGCGGAGTGGTAGCTCTACAACTGGCTGTGCGGCAGTATCAACTGAGATGCGGGCATCATTGAGCAGGGGGACGAGTGATGGGACAAGCGAGACGATCGAGACCACGGTGGATCCAACTGGCAGGTTGAAATTGAGTGTGTTGCCGATGGGCGAGTAGATGAATGAGTACTTGACGTTGGCGGGCGAGGGCGTGGTGGTGGATATTGTGATCTTGATGTTGGACGTGACATCCAATGCTGGCAGCGTGTTGGCGGCGTTTCCAGTCAAGAACTGATCAGTTATGAACTTGAATGAGTAGGGTGTGCCGGGTATGAGCGAGAACATGTTGTTGGTGGCGAGTGATGGCGCACATGTTGATGGGTTGTCAATCGATGTGATTGGGTTGGAGCATGTACCACCTGTGGCGCACCAGCCATATGGCGTGAGGTCGATCAGTGGCGTGCGGATCGAGAGCGTGTTGGTGCCAGACTTGAGTGTGACCTGGCATGCTGAGGGACCAGTGTTCAACACTGGAATGTTGAGAGTTGTGCCACATGCAGTACTTGACAATCCATGAGAGGACAGTGGATCATAGTATTGAGTGAATGCGCTCATGTCAACACTGATGCTGAAGGATGTGACTGGTGTTGTGCCAGCATCATAGTTGAACTCATAGACACCGGTGTTGGAGGTGGTGGTCTTCAAGTTCAGTGGGTTAAGAGTCACAGGCACACCTTGGAGCAGTGTCTCACCCGAGTCATACACTCCATTCGTATTGGCGTCGACGTACACTTGACCTTGGATAGATGACCTGGTATATGAGTAATAGTAGTTTCTGGACAAGACTGGTATACGACCTCTCCATATCAACATTATCTCATGTTCCTGTGATGTGGTGTCCAATGGACCAGGGAATCTGCAACTAAGAGTCAGCCCACCAGCATCCACTGAGCAGCCTACTATCACTGATTTGTCTGGGACTGTGAGTGAGTCGAGTGGTTAGTATTTGATTGATTGATTGAGTGATTGGAATAGTTCCAGTGACTGATCAGACACATACCTGACAGGTGGATAGTGGGTGGATTAACAGGGTAGCGATTGGGCACGCTAATGGTCTGTCCACGACATACCATCTTGCTTGGAAGATTGCTAAACATGTCTGTTGAGTGTGATGATTGGTGGGGGTGGATTAGTTCCATGTCCAATGATTTATCAATCAATCACAAACAAAATACTCAAACTTACACAAGTCAACTATGTTGATGAATGGTTGTGATCCTCTGTAGACCTCAATGTCATACATTGGAGGCGGGACGTCACTGATGATTGTCTTGGCAGACCATCCGAGGTTGTTGAGGAAGCTCTCCAACCATGAGCCAATTGGTAGTGATAGTGTACTGGTGCTCTGTGGACGAGTGAATACGACTGGTGGATGTGTTGCGTACCACTTGTACTCATAGACTCCAAAGCTCAGATCGATCACTGGTGTGGCCAAACTCATCGATACTGTAACATCATTGATCAACGATATGAAGTTGTTGTCCAATGTCTTGATGTGGATCATTGAGTTGCCCAATGGTAGTGTGACTGCGGCAATGCCAGTGGTCGCGTCTACAGCGTATGTCACCTGGTTGGCAACAACTTGAACGTTGGTGTATGGTGTGGCAGAGGCAACACCAGTGATCTGTGAGTCGAGGTACACCTTGACATTGGCCACTAATCGTGCTGTGATCGTCACGACATTGTTGGGAAGGTATGTTGCCACGCATCCTTGTGGCAATGTCTCACTGCTGACCTTCATCGCGCAACTACCTGTGGATGAGCACCATCCAAAGTCATCGAGATAGAGTGTTCCAAGTTGAACATTGAGAGTGTTTGAGCCAGAGTTCAACACACCATTGCAGTCAGATACCTTGTTCAATCCGTAGATATTCTTGGTTGTTGAAGGCACCTGTACTACAACGTTTATAGTAGTCAATGGTAGCATGATTGACGGATTGTTGCTTGTTATGGTCATGGTGTATGTGCCTGGGAGAATGTTGGGGAATGAGTATGAGCCAGATGACGAGGATGTCGTAGTGAGTGGCGTGCTGGAGCCGGACTTAGTCAACACCAAGTTGACGTCACTGACTGTTCCAACCTGAGTATTTGTGTTGTCCACAATGATTATGGTGCCTTGGAGTGATGTGGTGAGCGTCCACACATTGGACAATTGTCCACCAATGCTCACTTGGACAGTGGACAGGTCGATAAAGTTGTTGACAGTGCAAGTGATCTGTGACTGGCTGACAAAGTTGGGTGATGTGCATGTGAGTGTCTCTCCCAACACTGATGATGTGAGCGTCACAAACGTGTCCTGAGATGATACTGTCGTTGGAGGTTGGATAAAGTTGCTGCCATCAATCATCAGAATGGAGTCGGCAACGTTGACTTGGACATTGGTGATGGTTGGCGCGTTGAATGAGAATGTTGAGGTGGTCGTGGCAGTCTGTCCAGACACAGAGACAGTCAGTGTGAGGGATGCTCCTACACCAGGTGGCACGGTACATTCAATGAATTTCAAGAATGGCGTGCAGATCAATGAGTATGGACCAAGATGAACAAAGTCCAATGCCTCTGGAACCATTCCAAATCCTGATCCAGTGATCAATAACACACCACCAGTGGTTGGCAACTGATTGGGTGTGAATGATGTGATTGATGGAGCACGAAGATTGAATGTGATTATGTTGCTCACGGTGTTCTCAACCTGCATCAACAGTGGACTGCTGGCGTACTGTGAGTAGAGGGGCACTTGGACAGTGGCCTCGGTTGAGAATGAGTCACCAAGTGTGGCTACCTTGCTAGACTCTATCAATGAGTATGCTTGTGATAGATCAGATCCAATCAAACCACTTCCAATCACTTGTATCACGTCTCCAGCCTGGCTTTGACTTGGACGGAGTGATGTGATCACTGGTGCGTTGTTGGTGAATGTCACTTGTGTTTGATTGAGAAGGGTGGCCTGAAGCTTGGTCGTGGTGCTGAACACTGAGTTGCCAACTGTGACCTGGACCAAACGATCGCCATACATATATTGAGAGTTGCAAGCAATGTTGGAGTCATCAAACTGAGTGATGGGACAGTCAACACCGTCCAATGACACGTCGATGGCGTAGTCAGTGTCGGCAGAGATGATGGTTGGATTTCCAAAGTTCTTGCCAACGATGTGTGTGAGTCCAGAAGCATAGGACACCGAGGAGATTGACGGCGAGTCGTATGAGAAGAGGAACACACTGTCTTGGACGTATGATCCATCTGCAGTGACGATATACACCTGATGGTGTGAGCCCACACCAGGTGGAACGGTACATTCAAGTGCGCGATCACCAGAGGACAAGACCAAGTATGTTGTTTGACTGCACAATGTCTCTCCAATTGCTACAACATGATCCGCATTGAATGATGTGCCATAAATTGTGATCTTCTGGCCACCAACACTTGATCCTGTTTGTTTTGAAACTGAGCTGATGATAGGGCCAGCTTGTTCACACAATGATTCTGATGTTGCTGTGGCCAGTCCTTGGAAGTTGACATTACTGATTGGCAACACATCACAGATCTTTGAGTTGAGTGTGGCGATCACCAAGCCATCATATTGAGTTGGCAACAGTGCTGGCAGTGTCTGGTCGGCCTTTGGCGAGAAGTAGTAGACCATATCACCATGTGTCTGAGTCACAGTTGATGGCGAGCGAATGATGAACTCAATGATTGACGTGAGTGAGCTGATGGTCTGAGGGTAGCACACCTGGTACGTGCTGGTTCCGTCATCAGCAATCTGCTCACACAATGGATAGGCTGAGCTGAGCTCGATGGAAGCGACATGATCGAGGTATGTGAGTGCATATTGGTATGTGGCGGTCAACTCCTCGGTGGACAACAACACTTCCATGGCCATATTCTTCTGTTTGATCGTTACCCACTTGTCCAAACTGATGGCCAATTCGGCATACTCTTGATCATTCAACGCGGTAATTGACATGTAATGGTCTGAGAGTGTGTCTTCATCGGCCAGTTCATCGATTGTTGGTTGGCCATCTTGATTGAATGTGTCGGTTATTGGCTCTATTGGTAGTGATGTGCCGATGGACTTGAGTGCCGATGATGCCAGACTACGGAGATTGGACTTGGACATGAGGAGATTGTTGTTGTTGTTGTTGAGAGTGTAGATTATTTTGTTGAGTTCTAGTGTCAATGGTATATCTCCAAAGAGATCGTGGGGTGTCTTGATCTGGAGTGAGTTGCGACTATGAAGAATTGGGAAGAAATGATTTAAGAAGTCCATTGGAGACTTGACTAGTCCGGACTGTGCCAACTTGTATACCGCCATAGCAACACGAACATATGTTGGAAGAGTACTGTATGATTGATTGATTGAATGATTGATGAGTTTGAGTTAGAGTCTGAGGGACATGGACTTGGATGGAATACTTACGCAACGTCATTGTCATTGTATGATTGAATGGTGATGGTTGGTTGGAAGCATGTGTCAACTTTTCCTTTGTGTGATGGGTGCACTGGGGGATTAACGAACTCCAGGAGTATCTTGGAGATGGCCAGTGCAACACCATTAGTCCAATCGGGTGTGGTCGAGTCCAAATGTACGAACGGATGTACCATCTTGTACGCGGTGTGGAGGTCTACCAAGTGCAGCGCCATGAGGTAGGCCAACTCATCTTGACACAACACGTTGAGTTTCTGGAGGACAATGTTGGGCGAGCTATATCTGTTGTTGGCCATGGGGTCTTCTCGAACACTGATCACTGGCGGCAGCACTGACGCAGGGAAGAGCTTCTTCATCCTGTTATCGGCGATGACATATCTCCTGATCCTGCCGATGAACTTGATGATCGCGGCCTCAGTCGGCAACGACTTGTCATTGTTGTTGTTGCCCGGACATTTGTCGATTGTCAAGCCATCGAATACCTTGATGCCTGGCGCGCTGGACATTGATGCCACCTTGTAGCAGAGGTAGATCAATCTTGTCTCGGACACATATGAGTTGTCCAACGTGCATGGCGGGTTGGCGCAGATCGCTGCCTTGTCCTCAGTGCCCTCGTAGGCGATGTAGGCAAAGCCATGGCCCAGCTTGTAGAACGGCTGAAGAGACTTGAATGTGCCCACGGCTGCCGGGTAGGTCACAGGCGGGGGTGGCATCTGATAGTCGAGCGGGTAGACCGTCAACTCGGGCAACACGATCTCGTTTGTTGCTGGCATTGTGCGGAAGAAGCGAAGTGCGATGGTTTTGTCCGTCGTCAACAGATTGAATCCGGCTCGCTGGCACTGGATCGCGGTGATTGGTGCTGGGTCATCGCAATAGTAGACGACATAGTTGGCCAGTTCCAGGCCAAGTTGGATACCGAACTTTCCCTGGATGAAGGGGTTGGCACTCTCCAAATGGGAAAAGACGACCTCGCTGCCAGGGATGCTGTTGATGTTGGTTGACATGGGGATCTTGTTGGGCGGCAGCATGGCAATGTATGGGGCTCTGATCTTGATGGGCAGGTTGTCAACGCCAATGGCGTGGCCACCATGAGTGATGAGAAGGGAGCATTCAGGGTCGTTGTTGAGTAGTGGCGGTGCCACATTGTTTGGGCATAGAACTGGTGTGGGCACAGTCCTGGTGTGTGGGCCGCCCGACACGTAGTTGATCACTTCACCGGGTCTGTAGTGGTCCACGGTATTGGTCTTGGTCGGATTCCTGTTTGTGATATAGATAGGCGTCAATGCTCCACCGGGCAACCTCATCTGGACAGGTGCACCGCCATCCATAAATTGAATAGCATTGTTCATATTGGTGGAGACCATTGGTAACTGATCAGGTATCTCATTATAATCCACCTGCATGGTTGATTGAGTGAGTCAGTATACTTGATTGTTTGATTGATTGATTGAGTGGAAGTAACTTACAAAGGAGGTGTAGGTGAGGACGAAGCTGTGGAACATCTTGACGAGCATTTCGTTCTGGAAACAGAAGGCGCCAGCACCACGTCTACCTTGTTTGTTGTGTCTGTTGGAGTCGCCAAAACAGAACATGTTGTCTTGACCAACCTTTGGCCCATTGTCCGCGGGGAATGCGCTCCATGCCATCTTTGTGTGATCCTGTTGTCCAGTGCTCAGCTTGATATTCGTGTCGCCAGATATCCTTGCGCGATCTGGAATCCCAATGATCTCGACGTTGATGATGCCATTGGCGCCAAGCATACGTCTTGAGCCCTGCAGCTTGATCCAGGTCTGCACAAACATTGTTCGGCCCAAGCTGTTGGCCATCACCTCCCAGATGTCGATACCGCCAAATCGGGTGTCATCGCTTTTTGGTGCATGCGTGCCAGTGGAGACCGTATTCTTGTTGGTCATGATGACGAAACGAGAGTAGAGAGACTGTGGCAAGAGTGTGGCAGGCGTGGTAATAGCTGTGTTGATAACGTAGTTGATTCTTGTCTTGGAGAAATATGTCGTTGTTGTGCCAAGGTTGTTGTTGAAGACCGTTCGTGAGAAGTAGCAGTAGTTGTTCAGGTCGGTCCGCCACGAGTTGGCCAGGCACCCCGCGCTGATCTCGTTCATCTTTGTGACTCCATAGCGTGTGACGGTATGGCTTGTCACTGATGTGAGCAAGTGACTCAGGGCAGAGGGGGGCGCAGAAGGTAACCAGGTGGTTTGGAACGGGTGGGAGCCAGGATATCTCGCGGAGATGGCGTCGGTGTTGAGGAAGTACTGCGCGGCGTCATTAATATCGTTGGGACGGTAGCAGAAGAAGTAGTTGCCAACGACCATGGATTCACCAAACCATTCAAGAGTGTTCGGGGTGTTGTCGGGCGTGGCGTATGTGGACCGCGGCGGGATGGCTGTGCCATCGTCTGAAATGAGCATGGGGAAGGAAGACTGTGAGTGCATCATGTGGATGGAGTCGGTAACTACTCCACCGGAGACATCCCACATCAGACCGCCCTTGACATGTCCGTTATCAGGTGTATCGATTTTATGCGTGCCTGTTGCTGAGGGGGTATCCCTCTTCCTCTGTTGATCGCTGAAGAAGATGTAGGGGTAGTTGTGGTGTTGCATGAAGGTCTGGGCGATGCCACCATCGCGGGCGTCGTATCGCTCTGGGAGAATGATCTGGTCGCCCAACGCCATTGTGCTGTCCACATAGAAGTGACCATTGTACATATCATCTTTCTTTTTGGGATCGCCAGACCTGGAGCCAAGCTTCTTGACGAGGAACCAGTCGACGGGCTTGCCCTTGTAGCCCAGGCATGTGAGGCCGTGAGTCTTGAACGTCACCGTCTCGCGACTTGGGAATGTGTTGCGTGTGACCAACACATTGAATTGAGCCTGGACATTTGTCGCTGGCTTGATGCAAGTGATCATCTGATTGCCACGAATGTTGTTGTTTGTATTAGCCGCGACATTGAGTACAGCGCAAGGGATGATGGTTGGTGGGATTGTTGTGGCCGTAGTCAACTCGACTGTGAGACCTGCTGTTGTGGTGCCAAAGCCAAAGCCATAGATGGTGACAGGCATGGATGATTGGGCTCGTCCATACTCTGGTGAGATGGCCATCACTTGTGGCGAGACGTAGGGCACCAACCACTGGTTGGACTTGATGCCATTGTCCAAAACAACCTCGATTCGGACACTGTCTAGCTCATCAGTGTTGAACTCGGGCGTGGTCACCATGATGGATGTGTCGCTGTTGAGGATGAATGGAGGCCTGATGGTCTGAATCGCACCTCTCCAATTGTACGTGATCACAACGAGTGATGTCGATGTGAACCCTGTGCCAACAAGCTCAAAGTTGGCCAAGGTCAGGGGATTGGCTGGCAATGCTTGTCCAATCCAAGGCCAAGTGTAGGCGAATGTGGCACTGGATTCAAACAACTGGCTGTTGTAGCGTATGAAGACTTTGTACTGGGCTGATGCGCGACCTTTGAAATCAAAGTCATTGGCAGCAGGTATTGTGTACACGTTTGATGTAGCTGAGTTGCGAGTCATAAATAGATTAACAGAGTCTGTGTCTTTGTCATCAATATAATACTTGATGGCTAAATCCTGTGGACCGGGCATGCTGCCAAAGGTCGCAGTGACAGTGTATCCACCACTTGCCAAGCCCTGGGTATGTGACAATGTCAACTGAGTGTTGACTATATGATTGATTGATTGATTGAAGTTAGTGATTGCAATCCATGAGTGATTGATTGATGATTGATTACATACGGACGGGTACACGGACAATGTTGGTCTCAGCTTGAGGAGGTGCCTTGTATCTGAGTTGGAAGTCGATGTAGGGGAAGGTAGTGGTAGGCATTGTGATGTAGATCTTTCCATTTTTTATCATATTTGGTTTGAGACTAAACCAAGGACTGGCACCAACCTTGAAATGGCCAATCGAATTAATGTCTGCAACAGAGATTGCTATATCCTGTCCCTGCCACTGTGACGATGGTTCAATCTTGATGTCCAATGCTTCATATCTCAAAGTCAATTGTTCATTGTTTGGTAAAGGTATGAATCCATCACTTGAGTGGAGGTGGAGCGGAATGGAATGGAATGAAATGGAATGTTAGTCATTCATTCAATCAATCAATGGATGGAGTACATACGTATTTTGTTGACCAATCGGCAATGGCTGGCCGTTGAGCAATACTATGGGCTTTAGGATGACGGGGAAGATGGTGTTGGGAGGGAACTCAAAGGTACAGGTAAGCATATTATTTGCTTTTTGATCATCCTCAATCATAATATGGGTACATGGAATTGTGTTTCCAGATTGCATAAAGACCTGGAACCGACTGAGATCAGCTATCTCATTCTTTGGGAGCATTGGACCAATGAATCTAACCTCCCTCGTTTGACCAACAGCATTACTCTTGCGAATCTGAGTAATAAATGGTTCTATTCAAATTGATTGATTGATTGATTAGTGGATTGGTGCTTGTGTGATCGATGACATCACATCCGTGGATGGTACATACTGAACAGGGCAATCTTGGCAGTTGGTTGAATGCGAGCAGTCTCCACATAGAAGACGAGCATGTTGGGTACCAGATCGGCCAAATAGAACTTGTTGAGCTTGAAGCCAAAGGTAGCAGGCATGGTACAGACAATCGTATTGACCGATTCAAACACACATCTGAACTCGATTAATGGCGTGGTCCCAAACGTTCCAATGATCAGTCCATTAATTGGTGGAAGCCCAAAGAAGTATTCGCCAATCACTGTGAACCTCTGGCCTGGAGTGACATACTGTTCATCAAACTCATGGACGATCGGGGCTGTATCATTAATAGATTGATTGGGTGAGTGAGTGAGTGAGTTGAATGATTCCATTGGGCGATTGATTGATTGATTGACTTACAGACGTATCGGAACTTAATGTTGGATTGAGAAACGACTTGGTTGTCAATCTCGAGTTGGAAGGGGAGATTGGTCGCTGCACCTCGTACGCTCTCAGGTGCTTTGCATGTCAGCTCAGTGGCACTATTGTAAGTACATGTTGTTGCCACCGTGTCTATCTGGGCAAGGATGATGTTGTGTGGTTCAAAGCCTGTGCCTATCACCTTGAATGTTGTTCCACCCATTGGTGGCGCCCAATCCGGTGACAACCTTGTCATTGTTGGCGCTGCCATCGCTCCAGGCGATAGCCAGCATACTAGGAGTAGTAGTAAGAGTGGCACTTGGTGTGTCCTCCTCCTCATTACTATTGTCTAATCGTGTAGGTCTTACGTATTGTATGATTGATTGTGTGACTGTAGTAGGATTGATTGATTGATTGATTGATTGATTGATTGATTGATAGGGGTTGGCTTGAGTTGAGTTGATTGAGTATGCTTCGTCCTTCCTTCGACTTCGATACGATTCGATTCATCTCGACTCGCTCGCTCGCTTGACATATCTAACAGCTCAAGACTCGGTCTTAGTTGACCTGGGATGCATGGCTGGGATAGATGTCATGCATGAGTTACTGTAGTGTCGAGTCCATAATTGTAATCCAATCAACGTCAAACAATCCACAAGCCTGTGTGTTGTGTCCAATCCCTCGCCTTGCCCATTCATTGTCCAATACCTCGTCGTGTATGTTAAACATTATGTCTGTTTGAGACAAAGACGAAGTGAGTGGATATCTTTGAGTGAGGTTGTGTGAACGCGGCGGCCGAAGTGAATGAAGATACTTTAACCAAAAATAGTAATTTTGATTCGTTTCAGCTAAACGTCACATTAAAAATTAGACAAGTGTCTTGAATAATGCGAGCTTCACCTGTTTCCCTCATTTCATTCACTCATCACAACACGGATCTTTATCATCAAGGTTATAATTATATCTTTTGATTCTTATATCTCCATCCACATCACATCAATGACATCAATCACATCAATGATGATACCAATTATGGATAAGTGTACCAGGGGAACTCGGTAGACCCAACCGAATGGATGCAAAGATCAAGAGACGAGAGCGCAAAGATACACCCATTGGAATGGGCAAGCGACAAGGGTTTAGCATTCATATATGCTACCCGATTGGTAGTGGCCAGCCACTCCGCCGTCCAACAGTCGAGGTTATCAAACTCGTTATTCACTCAATCTAAAATGTACTATCATCATTCATTCAATCTAACAATCAATCAATCAATCAATCAATCTAAGATAACGAACGAAAGAAAGAAAGATGTCAATACGCACACTCTTTGTGCTGCGGCTGTTGCCAGCACTCATATTGCTGGTAGTGGCATTGGCTAATACAATGGGAGCGCTTGCCGCCACGACACCACCATCTTGCATGTCCAATGCTGGACAGCCTGTAGATTGGTGGTTCGTCAAGCTACTTCCTTTTACCAACTCATACATCTATGTTGATAGCAATGGCAAATCAATCACAGTACCATCATCAACTGACATCACCTCACAATCGAGCTGTCTGGCCGCGACATTGTCGCAACTTGACTCAACAACATCGTCAGCAGCCGACCTATCTCACCTCGCCTACAGCGATCTGCCCTACAAGGGCGACCAGTCTGGGCAGCTCTATCCCTCGTTGAACGCTCGCGATCATTCTGAAACATCACACAGTCGCAGACGTCATGGACCTCGAGGTATCGTTGTGGCCAGCGGCTCATCCAATGCAGGCTTCCACATTAAGCACTCCAAGGAAGGATTCCCCTTGTTGAGCGCCACATCCAAGGGCATAATGACGCCAACCAAGGCACCTGATGCTAAATGGTTCCCAACAGACTTCCACGTTGCATCGCCTGACTCGGTCCAGGACGACCTGCGCCTCTCATACGCCCACACATTCGTCTGCCATTCATTCTCCAATGTTGCCAGTGTACTACCTGTACTTGCTGGTGCCTCGCCCAATGTCTATGCCAGCGTCCAGAGTCAGACTGCCAACGCCATCAACTTACTTTCATACTTCCAATCCAGTCCACCATCATCCAGCCAGACTCTTGCCTACCACGACCCAAGCCAAGTATCCCTCTTCTCTGCCTACCTCAACGACTTCTGGACCCAAGGTCTCATCTCTCCCGTGTCCCTTCTCACTATCCCAGTATGTACCACACGCGCACAATCAATCAATCACTCGATCATTCACTTACTATGTCACTCAATCAAACAAATAGAGGACTGGATATGCTCTCCCTACTGGCGCATCTGGCGTCGTTGAGACTCGACTGCCCAGTGGCTTTGCGGATAAGTTCAAGATCCCTCCAGTGTCACGCCAATGGAGCTCTGAGATCGACCAGAGTCATGTGGCCATCACAGCTGATCGATCAATATGTATTCAAGACTCAACTTGTTCTCCAATCGAAGGTGGATGTATTATTGTCTGTCTTCAAGATCACTCGGCTATCAATGATTTGGCCACCCTCCTTTACCTCTCGTCAGTCACCATCATCTCAACTCCATGCTCGTCGTATGCCGCATGTCCAAGCCAGACTGTGTCCACAGTCAAGGACACCTACTTCCACGGCCGACTGATGTACGACATCGATGTCACCACGTTCGGCCAGCCATACTTGGGTCAGACCGATGGTCTCCTCCACAACACTAAGGTCCAGGTGTTACCAATTCCAAAGAGTGGCCAGCAACAACAACAACTGCCATCATGTGATCAATCATGTCTCGACAACATTGGCGAACAGTACTCATACGTCTCGGACTCCATCGGTTTGGTATCTTTAGAGAAATCAATCACAACTGGTTACCAACTGTCCATCACATGCTTCCTCGAGGATACAGTCAACAAGCTGCGTGTTGAGGATTCACAGGGCAATCTCTTATCGATGCCACTGACGCCACGAGACAATGTTGCCTTCGTGGCCGAGGTGGACCCCATCCTGATGGTCTACAAACTATTCCAAATGTTTGTGAAGCTTGCTCGTGAGGAGTATGCTCTGCCCGACTACCTGTTCAATGACATCACCATCACGCTGTCACAAGACCGCACTCGCGCCACCATTGGCGCCAATACCGACGTCCACATCAACTTGCAGAAGCTGTGCGTTGAGCAAGTTGCCGAAGTGTTTGCATACTCTCTTCTTGCGCGTGGCAACTCGGCCATCAATTACCAGCCCATGACAGTGCCATTTGCCCAAGTACTCGACACTGACCCTTCGCGCGCCTTCATCACCGGCCTGGTCGCCGCAGTCGGAGCACTATTCCGCCAGGCCATCTCCCCATCTGGCCAGGCAGTTCAGTTCGACTCTTGCTACGCCTCGCCAACAAACATTGAGCACTTCAACTCTGACCTCACCACACGTTTGAATGCAATGGCCTCGCCTGGATGGATCACCGCAGCGATCTGGGATCTGATGGATGGTGACAATGACAATGTGATTGGCAATGCACAATTCAGTAACCTCTACGCATTTGATGATAATCGTGGATTCACGATCCCCCTCGCTGCCATACTGGACGCCGCAATCAAGGCCTCACTCGCCAACCCTTCAGCATCCTTTAAGGACCTTGCCAGCGAGCTTGGTGGCGCTGTCGCTCAGACAATCGACCCGACCACATACCTCTACGAGGTGACAATGGGACATGTTGACCAAGTTGTCCAGTTCAATAATCTCAAGTCATGTGATCAGGCCCTTTTGCCCCCAACCACACCCTGCGCTCCAGTCGCTCTCCCATCAACCGACCCGACGATCAACGATTACCTTTTGTCCTTTGGCGTGTGCCTGACTCAACTTGATCGAGTTGGTCACTCACTACTTGAGAAGGCTGTGTTGAGCTGGGCAACCGACCCCGACCTGTCACTCCTCTACAACAATCATGCTTTTGGCTTCTTCTACACCCCGAGCATGCGCAATGCCTTCCAGTCGATGTTCAAGTCAGATCTCCACCTCCAAGCACTCATCGAGATCTTTGACCCACTCTTCTGCCTCACCGGACTGGGCCGCGAGACCACTTCGACAGTCACCGACCCCAACACACTTGTGGTTGTCACCTCGATGCTTCAATACTTGGTCAACATTGCCAATGACTTTATCATCTATGAAGAGATGATATTGTACTTTGTTGGAGATGCAGTCGACACCTCATCATCAACGGGCATCGTCGTCGCCACTTACAATGGCCAGCTATGTGGATTTGACACGCAGACATACTCCACCTACCTCCTGGCCTCGGCACTATCTTTATGTAACTCAGACCCAGTCGTTGACAATGTTGTTGGATTCACCTCTCCAACAATACCAACACAATCAAACACAATGACCATCACTGGATGGAAGCTAGCCAATGCCCGCGTTCAGGTTGGTGGCATGGACTGCACATTGATCCAGTACACGCCCGCCCAGCCCATACCCGAGGGCAGAGAGACACTGGTTTGCCAAGTCCCATCCAACGTTGGCGTGCAGTCCATCACCGTCTCCAATCCAGGCAGCACTCTCCCGGTCCCTAGCAACCCGCTTCCTCAGTTCACCTACGATGCACCAGTGATCGAGCGCGTTGAGATGTCGGACAAACCCCTCAAGCCATTTGGCAGTATCATCTCAATCTTTGGAACCAACTTCTTCTCGCTCACATCCAAGGCAGTCGACACCATTGTTGTCAAAGAGGGATTGAGCATGGTGCCAACAAATATACTCGGAGGCAGTGGAGGTGTGATCGTGTACACTACATCAGGTGGAGCCGGAGTAAAACAAGAACTAACAGTGACGGTTGCCAACCAACTCAGTGTCAACAGCCAGAAATTCACAGTCGACTACATAGCACCAATCGTCACATCGTTTGTCGGCCCCGCACAATCACTAAGTGGCGGAGACATACTCACGATCATAGGCAAATACTTTGGCGATGCAATCAATGGACTATCAAACATCGAGGCGTGGATTGACATTGATCCCTGCTTGTCGACCAAGATGATCACACTCGACACAGAGGTCGAATGTGTTGTACCCAATGGAAATGGCGCCAACAAAGTCACACTCTCGGCGAACGGCCAAACATCCGATCCCAGCACCCAGCTCTACAAGTACAAGGATCCATTCATCCTGCAAGTCGTCCAAGAGCCAATGCCCACTGCCATTGGCGGCTCATTCTGGGTGGCTGGCACTGACCTCGGCCCAGTCATTGATGAGATGCCCTTTGTATTCATCTATGATCAAATGCCTGTGGAATGTATTGATGACTCGGACAGCTGTTACATGGACAAGCAGTACATTGATGATAATGGCAACACGATCGACGCGCCAACTGTACAAATTCCAGACACACCGTTCGACCCTTACATCGCATTCAAACCATCCTTCCGCTCGACCATCGACTTTGACTGTCTGCGCTGCGAGCTCCCTCCGGGCATTGGTGGACCCAATCAATTGTTTGTCACTGTCGAGCTTGAGAAAGTCAGGTCCAATGTCGCCACCGAGACCATCTCATACCTCCCACCTACCATCAATGGTACATCAATGGAAAGCGCTGGCAACACCAACACTGATGGTGGATACTCAGCCATTGTAACAGGCAACAACTTTGTGCCCAATGAGTATACTATCATGTACTATGATATTGATAATCCAGCTGATAGCAAGTTAGACGTCGACATCTCTGGCCCACTCAACTACACATTCGTAATGCTTGGTGATCGACTGTTGAACAACACTCAGTTCACCAACTCGACACTCATCAACATGACCATACCCGCTGGTATTGGTGCCAAACACCTCATCAACGTCACAATAGGACTTCAACCAATGACCAACAACGATTCATCACTCTACTACTTCAGCTATCATGGTAAGTTCATATGCACGGTTGATTGATTGATAACACATACTAACTCAATCAATCAATCAATCACATTAGCTCCTCAAGTCAACAATGTATCCATGCTCCCAACAAGTGGAGGCGAGATCAGTATTGATGGAAAGAACTTTATTCCAAAGGATATCGAACCAGGTACAGTTGATTATAGCAATGTTACGGTGAAGAATGAACTTTGCTCGGAGATCAAGTGGACCAACTCATCACAGATATCATGTACAGTGAAGCCAGGTATTGGTGCCAATCATACTGTTGAAGTGTTTGTTGGTGGACAGGCATGTGTTACCGACAAGCCAAACGAGAAGTGTTCATCTACCATGTCCTACAAGCGTCCTTCACTTGAGAGCTGCACCAACAGTGATACCAATGGCCAACAGGTTGAGATCAAAGGTGACAACCTTGTACCGGAGGGTGTCGACCCTGCTGACAGCAAGGTGACCGTCAATGACAAGGAATGCTCATCCCCTCAATGGATGTCCGAGCAAGATATCAAGTGTACAGCTCCACCAGGCATTGGCAAGGATGTCCCATTGAACATCACCATTGGTGGCCAGACCCCTGAGAAGAACATCACCATGTCCTACAATCGTATGTCCAATCACTCACTCAATGGTATCATTCCACTCGGTCAATCACTAACTCGCCATAAACATTAGCACCTAAGCTGGACAATCAGAAGTATACGTCACCAACTGTTGGCGGCGATATTACAATCCAAGGCAACAACTTCATACCAGAGTCATTGGGCAAGGATACTTCGATCACTTCAAAGAAGGACGAGAACAACGTACAGATTGATGGAAAGGATTGCACACAGATCACTTGGACCGATCATCTATCGCTGATCTGTCACACACCCAAGGGAACAGGACGCGACAAGCCCATCACCGTCAAGGTTGGCAAGCAATTTCTGGAGAATACCAACCAATACTTCTCCTACGAGGCACCTCACATTGACTCGATCGACCCCGATCGTGGCAGAACATCAAAGAACACTCTGGTCACGATCAAGGGCAAGAACTTTGGTGACAACCCTAAGGTCAAGATCGGTGGCGTGTCATGCACGCTGGTCAAGACTGAAGATGGCGAGATCCAGTGCAACACGCCAACATCATCCAGCGAAGGTGATAAGGAGGTGTTGGTCACAGTCGATTCACAAGACTCCAACAAGGATGTGATGTTCACATATTATGGTCCGCCAAAGATTGATCGTGTCACCCCCGAGACTGGCGGCGTCGATGGCGGCTACCTCTTGACATTGGATGGCAAGAACTTTGTCGAGAAGGACTCGACCACTACTGTGTCATTCAACAACAAGGACGTCACAATCCAAACACTCGAGAATGAGAAGATCACATTCATGGCCAAGAGTGGAGGCGGTCGATCAATCCCAATCAAGGTCACTGTGGGCGATCAAGAATCAAACACAAACACAGCATTCTCATTCAAGGCTCCAGTGATTAGCAAGGTGTCACCATACTCTGCTGATCAAGAGTCTAGCACTCCAATCGAGATCACTGGAACTGATTTGGGACTAATGGGCGACAACCCAAGTGTTATTGTTGGCGGTACAACATGTAGTGGTGCCACTGCTCAATTATCATCATTGGTCACATGCACGGTACCACCTGGATCAGCTGGTGTCAAGGTGATCAAGCTCACATTCCATGGTCAGCAAGCAACATCCACTTTCCTCCACACCAAGAAGGAGGACTCTTCAGAACACAGAAATGACGATGACGGCCCTGATGGAAATCCAGGTGGCAACCCAGGCGGCAATCCAGGTGGAAATCCAGGTGGCAATCCAGGCGGCAATCCAGGTGGTAACCCAGGTGGTAACCCAGGTGGCAACCCAGGTGGCAATCCAGGTGGCAATCCAGGTGGAAACCCAGGCGGCAATCCCGGTGGAAATCCCGGTGGCAATCCAGGTGGCAATCCCGGAGGCAATCCAGGTGGAAACCCAGGTGGAAACCCAGGTGGAAACCCAGGCGGCAATCCCGGTGGCAATCCAGGTGGCAATCCAGGTGGCAATCCAGGCGGCAATCCCGGCGGAAACCCAGGTGGCAACCCAGGTGGACCTGATGGACCTGGCGCAGACGATCATTCACCACATCCAACCACAACAACTTATGTTGGAACAGGTCCATATCCTCCCATTGTTGGTCCAACCATACCACCAATCGGTGGCACAACTGATGTAACACCAATTGGAACACCACCATACACCACAACCGTCATTCCCTTGATATCAACCACTACAACAAGCACCACAACAACAACAGCCAGTACCACAACATCTTCAACGACAAGTTCAACAACAGGTGGTACATTCCCAGTGGCAACAATCACAGGATACATCTACAATGATACCAACATCAACAATGTCAGGGATAGTGGAGAGCATGGCATTGGTGGCCTGGTCATATACCTCGTCGGACCGTACAACTATCAACAGAGCTACACTCCAGACTCTACAGGATACTACCAATTCACTGTTTTTGATATACCAACTGGAATAGCCTCCTACTCACTCATCATGGACATCTCACTCCTGTCCTCTGTCATCATCCCGCTCAAGTCCTCAACCTTTACCCTCCAATATGGATCAACAATCCAAAAGGATATCTCAGTACTCGACAAATGTAAGTTCATTCAATCAATCAGTCGGGCATGGAATCATTCCGATAACTAACTTCCAATCACTCATTCATTCAATCACTCACTTTAGCTCGATTCGGATGTGTTGGAACCATCTCTGATCAACAAGGCAATGCACTCGTGCTCCAATATGGAGTGTTCAACTTGGCCAACTATGGATGGAGCTTCTCCATGATCAAAAAATATAACGTACGTTCATATCATCACTCATCCAATCACTCAGTCAATCAATCATACTAACATCATTCATATATAGTTCCCTGGCTACTGTGAGCTCATTGTTCAAGGAACAGACGCAGTGATTAGGTACTCATCAACTGTCAATGTTACAATGTTCTATGATCTCAATATGAATGGATTGATGGATATTGGAGACGAGACTGTTGCATATCCTACAGAGGGCACACTGGTCGTCAGCACTTCATTGGCAGGCGTGCCTCTTGTAGTCGAGTATGACATTGATCTCATTCGTACATCATTGTTACTCAATCTCCCATCATCGGCAACCCTCACATTCAATGCCAAGCAGTCGGTTGACCCATGGACATTGGCCACGATCAACAACAAGCAGATCACAATCAGTGATCCTGACACGATCACCTACACCGAGATGATGTTTGGAGTGTTCTACGTCAATCCCGCGCTGACATTGATTGTGTCCGATGCGGACAATCAGGAGCTTACTCTGCCCTTTGGCAAGCTACAGCCATCATTCTTTGTCAATGTTGGATTCAAGGTCGTAGGCAGCCCGCTAACGCTTGAGCTCACAGACAGCTCAAAGCAACTCGTTGTGATCACAGGTCTTGGCAACACATCGCCTGTGTTCTATTCACAACAGATCACTCATACATTGGCTCAGGGATTGGACGCCACTCAATCGATTGAGTTGCTGTCACCACAGTTCTTGACCCTGCCCGATCAGCCTTCTACTGGTGGTTCAGTGGTCCTGCCCCAAGTGTACAACACTGATGACCTCAAAGCATTTGTCGGTCAGTTTGAGATAACAGTTGTACAAACAAACGAGAACATCACATTCAGCATCCCACCAATGTTTGGCGGTAGTCTCATCAAGCCCATCCAACTCAAATGGAACAACGTTGATCTCTTCCCATCAAACATCGCCTACATCCCCGCCACGTCAACCTCCTCCTCTACAACTTCCACCACATCAACGCCAACTACATCGACTACTTCCTCAGGAACAACGACCACGTCTACATCCACAACCTCTGGCACAACCACTGGCACTACTACCTCAGGCACTACATCTAGCACAACCTCAGGCACAACTACCACCACGACCACGACAACTACTACCGCCCCGGCAACTACCACCACGACAACGACAACAGGTGGAAGTGGCCTCCCATCATACATCGGTGGAAGAGTATTCAATGATTTGAATGTTGACAACAAATTTGATCCACAACAGGATAGGACCATGGCCAATGTTACAGTCAACCTGGTTGGAGGACCTACCACTCAATCAACACTCTCTGATAAGAATGGATACTACTTCTTCACAGTACAAGAGTTGGGCACATACTTCATTCAAGTGATCCCCCCCAACATTACCTCCTTCTACCTGCCGATCAACAACATCTCAGTTCCAATCACTATCGAGGGTTCAACAATTGGCATTGACATTGCCGTTCATTCAAAGAATGGATATGGATGTATTGGTAACATCAACAAGATGGATGGACCAGCGGTCCAGCTTCAGTATGGCGTGTACTACCTCCCAGCCTACCATGCAACCAACTCAAGCATTGCCACTCTCCAATTCCCATCATATTGCTCAGTCAACATATTCAAGGACTACATTACAATCAAATATAGTTCACTCCTGGACATTAGATTATTTATTGATTCGAATGGAGATGGATTGGAGAGTGTCGATGAGAGCTTGGTGAATGTGCCTACAACAGCATCACTATCACTCATCTCAATGGTTGATGGAAAGAAGTGGTTGAGGAGCATGACCATCGGCAGCATCAACAGGAACATGTTAGTGGACATCCCTTCAACGACAATCATTCAGTTCTTCAGACAATATGCATTCAATCAAACATCAATGCTCAACAACATCACAATCAACATACCACCGAGGTCTGATGAGTTGGTCACCACTGTCTATGACCCGCTGGCCACCCCATCCGAGTCCGCCACACCAATCTACGTCAGCCTGCCCGTCGTCCCACTTCCTGGCTATGACTTTGTCAAGCTCCAAGGCACGATGAGGGAGACCATCGCCATACCCTACGGAAAGACCAACCTGACGTCACTCTTTGCCAATGTCAAGTGGACTTCATCGGTCGTATCACTCGAGCCCACGCAATACCAGACTGTCCAGTTCTACAACTCGACCAACATCGAGCAGACCCTGGTCACAATCACATACACTCCCAAGATGGCCTACACCCTGGACCTGGAAGGCATAGACACGATGCTGATGCACGACCCTCTGTTCCTCAACTTCATCGGTCCCGTCCCAATGAGCGGCGCCAATATCACACTGGCCAACATCTACCTCATCCAGCCAACATATGTATTGGATGGCCGCAATCTCACGTGCGACCTTCTCGATCAGTACACAATCAACTGCACCATACCACCGTACAAAGGAGGTCCATTCAACAGGAGGTTCTATATAATTGAGTTCAATCAGACGTTGGCCAAGTCATTGGCACCACCATACACGCTCACCTACCAGCCCAACATCACAGGTATCGTGCTGAATGACATCGACTTTAACAACAATGCCTCGACCAGTACTCCATTAGCCAACATCACAGTTATCTTAACAGGAATGAACACTACCGACACCAACAACACCAATGTCTACGTCACAAACTCTGATGCCACAGGTTACTTCCAATTCGCCACAGTGTCACCAGGTGTCTATCAAGTATCCATCCCATCCAACTCTTCATTCTTCCTTTCATTGCCCACCATTATCAATGTCACTCAGTCCGAGATCATCAATCTCTCAGTCTTCCAGAAATGTAAGTCCAACCCATTCGCTCAATCATACGTAGATACTAACATGAATGAACACATGAACAGCATCACTTGGATGTGTTGGTAGATTGAACACGAACTTGGATCAATCGATGACCCTTCAATATGGTACATTCAACATGAGCAACTTCAACGTGTCTCTGGATGATGCCAATACATTGGTGTCATATGACTTCCCATCATATTGCAAGATCTCTCGAAGTGACAATGTGATCATCACTATCACCTACATCGCAGACATGAACGTCACCTTCTACAACGACGCCAACATGAATGGATTGCATGATGACGCGAATACAACAATTATCATCGATCCAACCACCACACTCAACTTGATCGTCAACTCTACGATTGGCAACGAACAAGCCATCTCCAGATCATACCCGATTGGAACAGTACCAACGACCATCTCAATCGACATACCAAGCAACTCGACCGTGTACTTGGTCCCCAATACAACATCGGCGACAGTGACCCCAGTGCTCAACTACCAGATGGCCATCTTGAACTCGACCAACGTCAGCACACCAGTCCAGCTCGCAGTTGGTGTGATCAATGATCTTCCGGCCAACACCTTGCAGGTCTTGAGGAATGGTTCCGCGTCTGATCAATCAATCTCCATCCCCTATGGATTGATGTCCGCTGCCATATTCAACAACCTTGGATGGTGCGACAACGAATCAATGGTGTCCTTGGCATTCAGCATACGCTCAGACATGTTTGTGTCGGTAATCAAGGAGGGTACCATGTTGATCGAACTACTGAACGAGACCAGACGATATGAGATCACATTGAATTGCTCAACGGATACTTTGGAGTTGTATGATCCTACTTTGCTGGATAGCATTAGTCGCATCCCTGTCATTGGCGCCATCGTGGACATTCGCAATGTTTATTGGAACAGACTCTCGATGAACGATACCTTCATTGCAGACGCAGCCACACCATCAACTGGATTGAACTGCAGCGTGATCAATGTCAACACGACAAGGTGTACTATTCCAGCCTACGATGGTCAAGACAACAAGACGCTCATCGTGATGATGTCCAACACCACTCAATCGATCTCCAAGTCGTTCAATCACTCATACTCCTACGATCGATCATGTGAGGCGAACCTCACAGTGATCGAGTCGACCTTTGAACAATGTACTGTCGATGTAGACGATGCCACAAGACATCAATGTACCTTCCAACTATCAAACTATGGTACAAGTGATGTCTCAACGACAACATTATACATATCTCAAGCCAATGATGAGGTATCATCATTCACATCCAACACACTTGTTCAGTTGACAGGACAACTCTATCTCTACAACAACACAATACCAGCAATGACCAACATTGATATCACATTCAACATTACCTCTTCCACTACCTATCCATCAATCATCATTGCAACCTGCGAGCCAACAATCATCACTTCACAATAAATGATTTCATTTTCGAACCCTTGCCCTCACCAAACATTCGTTCATTCGTTCATTTGACTTATACACATAAAGATGCACATATTATCTCTTCCATACATATTGAATGTTGAGTTGATTAGATTGTTGGATGAGGAACAGACATTGTTATCTAGATTGGATATTTGGTGTTTGGCTCTGACTTGTAAACAACTACTAAATACAACAAGCAATGTTATCAATAAAATTATCAAACAAGAGGTGTTTGAACAACAACAGCAACAACAACAACAGAGTGTACATCCAACTACAATGATCATTCATGAATATGATCAGAATATTACCATACCATCATCAGTAACCTCACTCTCTCTGCATCCTAGTAAGCAATATCATCGATATGATGTTGAGAACGCTCACAAAGTACTTCACGACAACATGCCAACATCAGTGACATCTTTGGCACTGTTCAAATGCGACGTTGCATTTCATCGTCAACTACCCTCTTCATTATTGTCAATGAGGATCGGGTGGAATAAGTACAAGCATTCAATACAAGGAATACTCCCTCCGTCACTTACCGAGTTATCAATCTGTAGCGGCTTCCGTGGCACAATCCGCGGAGCACTTCCTTCGTCACTGAAATCACTCGCACTAAATGGCCCGCTCTATGAAAGTTTGGTCAGGACACTGCCAGCATCGCTCACTCACCTGTCCTTGAATGGCCTTTGTTACGAAGGGCATGTTTCTGAGGCGTTTGCCAATGTATCGCGAACACTTCCACTTGGGCTTACATCGCTCAACTTTGGCAATTGGTTTAATCATCCTCTTCAAACACTGCCGCAGGGTCTGACCTCGCTCACCTTTGGCATGGGCTTCAATCATCCTCTTTCATTCCCCCTGCCACGATCATTGGTCACGCTGAGGTTTAGCCATGACTTTAACCAGCCCTTCGACCAAAGGCTCCCTGACTCAATCACATCGCTACATTTTGGTGAATGTTTCAATAGGGTGATTGAACCACTGCCCGCATCACTTACATCGTTGAGCCTGGGAGATAACTATGCACATTCATTCATGTTACCTTTGCCCAAGTCACTTACCTCACTGAGGTCGAACATCTGGTTTGAGGCACCGTCGGGAAAGAGCAAGACGTACACATTCTCAAGTACTGGAAAGCTGCAAGATATCAACCGCATTGCATTAAGTGGTGGTGGTGGAGACATGGACAAGCCCTATCCCAAGAACGTAGTCATCGATTGCCTCAAACCGAGTCTTATTAATAATCAACACCTTGGAGAACACGACCAGTTGCCAATGCCGTTGGAGACATTGACCGTGAACCTGTATCAATACAGTCGACAACTTGTTGGGGCATTCATCAAACTGATTCCCAATGCCAGGACCTACCACCTATCGGCACCAATTAGGAATGATAAGGAAGAAAGGACCGATACACATTGTTGTCGAAGGATTGACAAAGATACAGTACTTTGTTGCCGAAGCAGGTTGGAGACCATGCACTATCACATGCTTACTAAATGAACCGAATGAACTTCGTCTAAAAAATGATGGTTGTCTCGTTTTTTTTTTTTTTGATCGTTTGGACATGTTGTTTGACATCTTGGCATCATTCACGTGATCAAAATCACGTTTGACACATGTCTAATGTTTTCCAAGTTCTCCGTTTATCCTTTTATAGTAAGTAGGTTATATATGTGTTTGTTTTTAATCATTTTCCTCGTACTTGTACCCTCATTAAGCAAGTATGTCTCAAAGGTCACTTGTACCCCTTATTCGTACAACAGAGAGACATGTCAATCAGTAATCAATCGATACAAACATACTTACAAAATGTACAAATACAATTCTTTATTATTAGTATATACTCTATTGCTCATCCTTGTGATATCACCTCTTTGGTAAGTCTCACTCAATCACTCCATCACACTATCAGTCACTCCAATCCCATCACCTAATCAATCATTATCTGGAACAATTCCATCACTCAATCAATGTTGCCTTCAATCAATAACTCATTCCAACTCACTCTCACTCACACTGGAACTATTCCATCAATCAATCAATCAATAAAACTCACACAATCAATCAATCTTTCTGGAACCATCCTAACACTCAATCAATCACTCGCTCACACATTCAATCAATCTTTCTAACCAATTCCAAACATACACAAACACAGTTGCCAAGCTCAGTTCCCAACATTGAGTTCTTATCGCCATGATGGTCAACCTGTGCTCACGATCATTGGTAACTTCTTCATGAACATTGAGACTCAGGTCTTCTTTGGTTCATTGAACTTTAGTGCGCCACTACCTGTATCGTCCACTCAGCTTGTTGTCCCATTACCATTGGCAGCACGCAACGGACCATTGTACTTGGTGTCCAATGGTGCCACCTCCAACAATATCTATGTCAACCTGACCCCATACTTCAATGCATCACCTATGCTTGATATCCACGGTGGCAACATCACCATCACCGGATACTTCCTCAACTACTACCGCTGGGACAACATCCGAACCGACATCGCTGCCAAATACGTGTCAAAGAACGGCTTCAGCAACTTTGAGATGTCCTTCATCATCCCTGAAGTTGGCAAAAACCATGACAACACTCAACTTGTGTTGACCTATCCGCCCGGTATTGGACTGTTGAAGGGTACCTTTGTGATCGACTCCCAGCCCAACTCTGGTGTCTTTGTTCCCAACTACAACACCACAACCTTGGTATCATATGCCCAACTCGACCCCAACGACCCATGGACCGTAACCATGACTATTGCCAACTATAATCAACAATTGTCCAATATCCAGTTCTGGAACTATTGGAATGGTGTGGCCAATCTCAACATGAAATGGATCAACGACAATACAATGACATTCTCATACATTCAACCAATCCCAAGGTATGGAAACAAACAACTGGAGTGTCCGGTCAAAATGTGGTTCCAACCAGACGGCGGAAACAGTAACCGTCCCGACTTCCTTGTCTATCCTCGATCATCCATCACTGTGTACAACGGTGTGCCAACGACTGGTGGCCTGCTCCAAGTGTCAGATCAGAGTAACAACCCAAAGACAGCCTGCTTCACACAACTTCGAGCATGTACCGTTGCCGGCAAGTTGATCAACGGACCATTTGAGTGCTCAAACATACAAATACCGGCTGGTGTTGGACTTCAAGTGCCCATCAATTGCACTGATGTGAATGGCAACCCGTTGCTCACAGAGGTCATCCACTTCAACTATGGTCCATCAGTTGCGAATGGCCACATCTCTGGCGGCGGCTCAACTTTGCTGGTCAATGGACTGGGCTTTGCATTGGGTGACACTTGGGCCTCATTTCTCCAATGGACCATGGGTGCAAGTCACGGCCAACTCGACGACCACTCAATCATACTTTATGGTACCACCAACAGCACCAATGACCGGCACATTCAATGTGAGAAGCAGTGGTCAACAAGCTGGACCATTCAATTACCGAGGACAACCATACATCTCCAGTCTAGCACTATCATCGGTTGTATCATCAGCAACTGCTCCAATCATTGGAAATGTCCAACTCACTATCAAAGGTGCATTCCTCAATGTACAACCATCAAACTTTGGTTCAACTGTCAAGGTTGGATCAGAGTGGTGTACCATAATCAGCAATGATGACGGTGTGATTGTGTGCTGGACTCGCACACCCCAGAGCTCTGGTCCACTCCCACTTGTGATCACGATCGACTCCACCACCAATGATCCGTTCAATGTCCAATTCGACCTGTTCCAACCATCGATCACATCGATCACTCCAACATACAACGAAAACTTCACTCAACTCAATGTCCAGGGCACTGGACTTGGTCAATCAATATTGATCAATTCCAACAATCAAGCCTATCTACCTGGAATGTGCAACACCATCAATGACTCATTGATCATTTGTGATATCAAGTATCCAAACGGTACTGCTGCCCAGGGCAGCATGAGTGTCGTGAGAATGGGCATTGTGTCCATACCTTTGGCCTTTGACTTTGTACCCGTGATCAGCAATCAAACACTGACAGGATCAACATTGGTCATTCTCGGCACCAACATCTCCCCATTCGCCTACATGACTCGCCAAACATCGTCTTCCCAATTCACCTTCCAACCAACATCAGCCACATCCACCAAGATAATCTTCCAACTGCCTGCTCAATTCCAATCGGGACCATACCAGATCTTCTCCTCAGGCTTCCTCTCCTCTGAATTGGTATTGAGCCTTCAACCGGTGATCACCAACATAGGATTGGACACTGGTGGCCTGTTCATCAGTGGACAATACCTGGACGTTATGATGTTCGACCGCCAACTACTTCAATATTCGTTGAATGTCAACTCGAGACCTGTTGCCAGCATCGATACCGTCGTGTCCTATACCAACAAGCTATACTTCGCACTTGATGAACCTATCGTGCCGCTCCCCAATGGATCATCGCCCATAGTGCAGGTCGACCTCACCATCCTAAAGCTCAGCTCAACGTACCAGGCATCGATCATATTGCCTCAAGTGGACAATGTCACATTCATTCCAAACATAGACACCAGTAGTAGTACCCTCTCACGTGGCACCATTATATTTACCGGCACCAACCTGGACTGCGTACCCAATCTCATCATTGGTCCTGAGAATGGACCATATCCAATCAAAAACAGCTCACCAACGAATGCATCATTCGCATTGTTCACATTGACCGAGACCATCTACACATTTGTGTTGACGACATATCCCACCGCAGTATGGAGCAACAATGTCTCAATCCACATTCTAAAGCCAACACTGGACAGTGTAACAATCAATGAGCATTCGTTTGCAACTATCAAGGGATCATACCTCCTCAGTCAACTCATGCGTTTTGGAACATACCAACCAACAAATTGCGCTGGTGGCGGATTCAACTCCAACATGACCACATGTGACCTATCCCAATGCGGAGACTGTCTGGCCACATGCAACACATTCACCTATGACAATGAAATGACCTCATTCTCTCAGGTATACTATCATGGTATGTATTAGTAATCAATGATCCAATCATGGAACTATTCCACTCACTCACACTCACACACTCACTCAATCAATCAAACAGTTGATCCAATTTTGATAGCAGCCGTGGCCAATGGTACTCAGGTGATTGTGAATGCAGCTCTGTCATGCACTCAATCAACTATACGCAATCTATTGGAGTTGGTATCGATCAATATTGGAAACACTCAATGTGTGCCAATCAGTATGCTTGATAACAATGTTTATAGTTGCCAATCAACACTCACATCCGGATCAGTATCAGTATCACTACTTGGAAGGAGCTCCAACTCCTTGCCACTGGTCTATATCGATCCATCTTCAAATTCATCTTCATCGCATGACAACTCATCGTCATCACATGACAACTCAACGTCATCATCGTCATCACATCCTAAACCGAGTTCATCATCAAAGTTGCCACTCAATCATATTCTAACCGTCATCATCATCCTCATATCACTTGTACTTTTTACATAGAGATATATTGAATATTCAATAAACTAGTTAATAAGGTTAACCATATAAGGTGGATCTAGGAGTAAATGTTGTCAACCACTCGTCTTTGTCCGGAAAAGGTCCCTGGGGGGGGGGACATCCTGATTTTGACCCGCGCCAATCTTGCAGTTGGATCATTTTGACATCCATCACTATCACCTGAAAACCAAAGATAAGACGACTTAGTTCCCTCATCAATGAATTAAAGATTTAAAACTTAATAATAAGATATTAATAAGTGATGACCTAAGATAAACAGTTATACTTAAACCAAAATATTCAAAGATATAATAAACTATATTATATATAAATATTAATTCTAAAAATGTTATTAAACAAATATAGATCAATTATTATTTTTTTATTCATTGCTTGGTAAGTACTCAATAGTACCTATCAATCAAACAAATTCAAAATACTAACTAAGAATTAAAATCCAATAATAATAGTTGTTATGCTCAGGACAAGCCCATCATCAAGGATGTAACTCTTTCCAATTTTGTTAGTGATGGAGTCCCATTGATTGGAAATGTTCAACTTTCAATCACTGGAACCTTCTTCACTTTGGGTGAAACAAGGGAAGTTAAGGTAGGTTCACAACTATGTAATGTCACAAATATTACCCAAGATACCATCGTGTGTTGGACTAGCAACCCTGCTAGCCCTGGCCCTCAACCCCTTGTGATTTCCATCGACTCTTCTTCCGACAGTGATCCTTTCATTGTTCAATTCGACCTGAGAACCCCGAAAATCTATTCAATCAATCCAACATACTTCCTATCATCAACTCAACTCAATATTGTTGGTCAATACCTCAATCTATCAACTATCGTCAACAATGGTGTACCAATACCACAACAACAAATTCAGTGTAGCACTCCCAACGACAACAACAACAACAACATTTGCTCGATCCAACTAGCCAATGGTAGCTTGGTCGCAGTCTACCTTGGTGTCAGTTCAATCAAAGTGGACTTCAACTATCAAGCTAATATCAGTGCCGCTCCAATATTCAACGGTACATACTTGGAGGTCAATGGCTTCAACTTCTCACCCAACCTCTATCTCTGTATGGGACCATCACAATCGATAAATCCGGTGATTTTGACTTCGACCCAGGCCTTGTTCGAGTTTCCAGATTCATTCCACTCTGGACGGTACCAGATATGTTCATCAGGTTTTGTTTCCGACAACTATATGTTGTATCTGCAACCTGTGATCACCAACATGTCATTCGATGGTGACATGTTCATCTCTGGAAGATTCCTCAGTTCATACGATCAGAATGGCCAACCATTGTCAACACCCTACCTCATAATCAATGGTCAAGATGTGATTATCTTAAAAGATGGTCCCACCAGGACCACATTCTGCTTACCTCATCTAGTGGTGGCAAATGAGACGACTCGATCAGTCACTTTGACAGCCTCTCTCTCTATCATGAACATGTCGGCAGCAACATTCACTTCAACAATCTTATTGCCTTATCTGGATACTGTTACTTACAAGCAAGTAAATGGAAGCAATGAATCATCTTATGGTATATTCGAGTTGACTGGCACTTCCTTGGACCATATGTCAGAGGTCACAATCTTTGACAATTACAATCAGTTTTATGTAGGTCTCTATGTCAACCACACATCGCCGAACCATGTACAGATATACAATTATGGAAACGCACATGCAGAGTCTATATTCTACATTCAATTATATATTTCCCCCGGTGGTAGGTATATATTGATGAGCAATATTATTGAGATTCACATTCTCAAGCCAAAATTGGAGAGTGTGTCAATCAATGATCAATGGATTGCAACTATCAATGGATCAAACCTACCCAGCTATGAGATATCTTTTGGCCCAGCATCAGCATATTCAACATACTTCATTCAATTTGGAACTTACACACCAAAAAATTGCCAAGGTGGTGGATTCAACTCCACCATCACAACATGTGATCTATCACAATGTGGAGACTGTCTGGCAACATGCAACACATTCACCTATGCCAACGGAATGACCAACTTCTTTCAGATATACTATCATGGTATGTATCCATCAATCATCAATCACATAAATGTACTCGTTCACTCACTAACAAATTCATATCAATCAAACATTCAATCAAATAGTTAATCCTGTGTTGAAATTGGCTGTCTCCAATGGTACTCAGGTGAATGTGACAACTGCTTTGTCATGTAATCAAACAATGTTACCAAATGTATTGGAGTTATTGTCGATCAATATTGGAAACACTCAATGTGAGTCAATCAGAATGATTGGTAATGATGTCTACAGTTGCCAAACAAATATCACCTCTGGATCAGTATCAGTATCACTTCTGGGCAGGGACTCCAACTCTATATCTCTCGACTATGTCAATCCCAACTCTTCATCAAAGCTACCACTCAATCATATTCTTACAACCTTCATCATCATCTTCCTATCAATTATACTCTTAGTTTAAAACAATCTTAATAATAAATCAATGATCAATCGTTTGCCAAGATACAGGATCATACCTCATCAGTCAACTTATATATTTTGGATAATACCAACTAGATGACAAGGTGGAAGATTCAACTTCATCATTACCACATGTGATGGTTGTCCAATAGTGCACAGGTGAATGTGACTCCAGGTTGGTGATGTAATCAAACATCATTGGATTCATTCCATCCACCCCACCACCTGATCACTCACACTCACACTCACTCCCACACACTCACACACACACACACAAACCATCACAGTTGCAATGCCCAGTTCCCAACATTGAGCTCGGTCCGTCATGACGGCCAACCAGTGATCACGATCTATGGCAACTATTTCATGAACATTGAGACTCAGGTCATCTTTGGTTCATTGAATATAACTGCACCTCTACCAATATCGTCAACAATGATCATTGTTCAACTACCATTGACAGCACGCAATGGTCCATTGTATCTGGTGTCCAACTAATCGATCTCCAACTTCATCAACGTCAACCTCACCCCATTAATCAATGATCTATCACCAGTGCTCAACACACTTGGTGGCAACTTCACGATCACCGGAAACTACCTCAACTACTATCGCTCAAACAACTCCAAAACCAACATCCAAGCACAATATTACTCAACCAACTCTAGAAACTTCAAGTATCAATTCACCGGCGTGTCCATTGACCCCCAAGACAACACTCGGATGGTGCTAGTCTATCCCCAAGGCGTGGGTGTGTTAACAGGTCAGCTCTCCATTGACCTAGTTGGTGGTCTTGGCAAGCTCACCCCCAACTACAACGCTACAGTGATGGAGTCATACGGCCAAATGACACCAACGACCCAAGCACCATGACAATGACCGTGGCCAACTATGTCAAATTTATGTCCAACATCTATTATGTGTTACCTGCCTATTCGCCTACCGCCCTTACTCATATCTGGATCTCCGACAACACATTGACATTCAACTTAAGACAGAATTCCAATATAGGATCAAACTTGACCTTGTACTTCTCGCCTGATAACAGTGAGAACTCCAACTCATTTAACATCTACTCTCGACCATCCATCTATGTAAACAATGGCGTGCCCCTGGGCGGTGGCTCGCTGCCCGTGGCCCAAGACAAGACCTACTGTACCTCTCAGTTGGCCAACTGTACCATTGGCGACAAGTTAATCACTGGACCATTTAATTGTTATTCAATTCCAATCCCAGCTGGAATAGGACTCCGGGTGCCAATCAACTGCACAGACATGGTTGGCAATCAGTTGCTGACCAATTACATCTACTTCAACTATGGTCCATCCGTCTCAAACAACAAGGTCGTCAAGAATGTGTTAGTGGTCGATGGAGTGGGCTTTGACAATGGCTCCACCTTGGTGACATTACCCTCCAACATAGTCATCTATGCAACCCCCCTGTCGACCACCACTCAAGCATTCTTTGTTCTCCCGATCGGGATACCAATCACTGGTGAATTCACTTTGAAGTGCAGTGGTCTGTCCTCAGGTTCATACATTTACAAAGCCAGGCCATACATCCTGAGTGTGACCATTAGTAATAATACTTTGATTGGTACTGTCCGACTCACAATCACTGGTGGCTACCTCACAATGGGTGCATCGAGCTCAGTGATGGTTGGATCACAAGTGTGCACCGTGATCAGCAATAACCTTGGTAGTGTTTTGTGTTGGACCAACAACCCAGCCAGCCCTGGCGAACAACCAGTCGTGATCACGACCGACTCATCAATCGGACCAAGTGATCCGTTCAATGTTCAATTCGACCTTATCGCTCCATCAATCCTCTCAATCACTCCTTCGTACACCCCAACGGAAACTCAGCTCAACATTGTTGGTACTCACCTATATCAATCAATTCTGTACGAATCTGAGGTATAGCTATCCCAACAAACTCTGCAGTGCGTGACTGTCAATGACACCTTGATCAGATGCTGGAACCTAATCCTCAAGGGCAACTTCTCCGCCGTGTACCTCGGTGTCAGATCCAACCAATACCTATTCGACTATCAACCAGTGATCACCAACACTCCACTCACTGGATCAACATTGGAGGTCATTGGAATCAACTTCTCGCCCTACCTCTACCTCTCTATAAGCGGAAAACAAAAGATTAATCCCGTGTCAGAGACCTCGATCGCCGCCTTCTTCCAATTCCCAGATACATACATATCTGGCGTGTATCAGATATACGCATCCGGATTTGTCTCCAACGACTCCACATTGAATCTGCAGCCTGTTATCACCAACTTGGCATTCGATGGCAATCTGTTCATCTCTGGAAAACACCTCAGTATTTTTAATGTGAAAGGCCAATCATTCAAATACTCTTTCACCATAAACAATCAACCTGCATACATCAAGGATAATGGCGCCACAAGGTCCACCTTCTACCTGGACGAGCCCTTGGTCGCCACACAGGGTGGCCAAACAGCCACGTTGACAGCCAAACTCTCCATCATGCACCAAAATTCATCGTTCACATCAGCAATCCCATTGCCATATTTGGACACAATTACCTACACCCAGGTGAGCGGCAGCTACTCTGGGTCATTTGGTACTATGTTAATCACAGGCACTCAATTGGATCACATGCCTTTGGTCTCTTGCTTCAATGGTAGTTATTATGGTCCCGAAATCTTCACGGCCAATTTCAAGTCAACCACCATAGTACAGTTTAACAAGAACTCATATGATGAGACCATTTATAATATTCAATTGGTGGCCTTCAACGCCATTGTTTCCAACAATATTACCATCCGCATTCTAAAGCCAACACTGGAGAATTTAACAATCAATGAGCAATCGATGGCAACGATAGTTGGATCAAACATCCAAAGTCAATACATTCAATTTGGATCATTCTATCCCAAGACCAAATGCACTGGTGGTAGTTTCGGATCCAACATCACCATATGTAATCTAACCCAATGTGGAGACTGTCTGGCCAAATGCAACAGATTCAACTACAGGAATGGAATGACCAACCTCACCCAGATATACTATCATGGTATGTATCATGGAACTATTCCATCCACTCCCCTCATACACTAACATTAGATCAATTAATCATTCAAACAGCTAATCCAACGTTGTGGGTGGCCGTGTCCAATGGTACTCAGGTGAATGTGACAGCAGCTCTTTCATGCGATCAAACAGTTATACCCAATTTATTGGAGTTGTTGTCGATCAAAGTTGGATAGACTCAATGTGAGTCAATTAGAATGATTGGTAACGATCTCTACAGTTGTCAAGCAAGCGTCACCTCTGGAACTGTATCTGTATCATTGCTTGGCAGGGTCTCCAACTCCATTCCTCTGGTCTGCAATGATCCAACTCCAACTCCATCATCATCGTCGTCCACATCACATGACTCCTCAACATCGACCACGACATCGACTCGACATCGACATCGACATCGGCTTGGACATCGACATCGACATCAACATCGACTACGACATCACATGACTCCTCGTCAACACTTAACTCCAGCTCCTCATCAAAGTTGTCTCTCAATCATATCTTTACAACTTTCATCACCGTCCTATCACTCTTCCTTTCTGTTTAGTATTATGTTCAATCAAATAAAGATGATGTCAGTGTCGCTCCACACCATTACCCACCAAAGTCCCGACTTTCTATGACAGGGGCAACACCAATCCAACAACAATGCCAAATCTATTGGAGTTGTTATTGATCAATATTGGAAACACTCAATACTCGACAATCAGTATTATTGATATCAATGTCTACAGTTGCCAATCAACTACCACAAGTGGATCAGTGTACCTTTCTCCTTTGGGAAGAGATTCCAACACCATTCCACTGGTCTATTTCCCACCAGACTCATCTTCATCATCATCACATGATCATTCATCTTCACATGATCATTCATCATAACACAATGATGAAGGTTCTTCTTCCAAGCTAACCCTCAATCATTATATTCCAATAATGATCATCCTAACTTTGTTGGTTTGGGTATAATGAAGAAGGAACTATTCCAATCACTCAATCAAAGCAATCAATCAAATCAATCAAATCAATAAATCCTCTCTCTAACATTTATTGATATGTCTCAAGTGTAAGCTTGTGGAAGTGCATAGAGTCCAACAGGCTATGGCAACATAGTACTGTATCTTTGTCAATCCTTCGACAACAATGTGATTCGGTAATTCCTTTAAGCTCATTTCTTGTAGACAGATGATATGTCCTGGCATTGGGGAGGAGGTTGATCAGCGCCGCGACTGGTCGTCGTCTATATGTAAATTCCTCCACAGTCAGTGACTCCAACTGCATTTGAAATTGGCGTTCTCCAAACTCTTGAATATGTCCCTGTGTAAGATGCTCGATAACCAAGTTCTCGGGATAGGCCATGCCACCACTTGAGACAATGCGGTCGATGTCTTGGCAGACTGATATACTGGAGGATGTGAGTGTCTTGATGTCGCCTGATGTTACCGTTGTCCAGCTGCTCATCCAAAGTGCGGTAAGTGACTTGGGCAAAGGGAGCTTGAATGAATGACTATAGTGTCCATTTATATCTCCCAGACGCAACGATGTTAGTGATGCGGGGAGTGGTTCAATCACCTGATTGAAGCAGTAGCCAAAGTGTAGCGATGTGATTGAGTGAGGGAGCTCTTGGTCGAGGGGCTGGTTAAAGTCTTGGCCAAACTTCAGCGTAATCAATGATCGTGGTAGTGGGTTAGGGAGTGGACTATTGAAGTGATCGCCAAAGGTGAGCGAGGTCAGAGCGTGTGGCAGCGATTGAAGAGGACGATTAAACCAATTGCCAATGTTGAGCGTGATAAGACTGCGTGGCAGTGATTGTGAGGCATTGGCAAACGACTCAACAACGTGCTCATCTTGATATTTAAAGTGGCCAAACAAGGACAGGTGAGTGAGCGATGCTGGCAGTACCCCGACCAAGCTATGTTTGAGCGGGCAAATTATTATGAGTGATTCCAGTGACGATAAAAGTGCCAATCCGCGAATCGATCCATTGAAGCGATGACCAAGTGTTAGCTCAGTAATTGATGGCGGCAATGATGAGATTGGATCATTATCAAAGTACGAACATTTATCCAGCCTCATCGATGTCACCGGTGGTGATGGTGGTCGTGTGTCAAGTAGAGGTATGGCTGGGAGAGGCATCTCTGATATCTTCATGACTTTGTCATTGCCTCTGTCAAATGCTTCAAAGAATTCTCCTAATTGTTTCTGTAGTAGTAGCTCACGAGTGATTCTATCGTTATTATTATTATTGATTACATCTTGTTCACGTTTGATTATGTTATTGATAACACTGTTTGTTGTACTGTGTAGTTGTTTACATGATAGAGCCAAACACCAAGTATCCAATCTAGATGATAATGTCTGTTCCTCATCCAACAATCTAATCAATTCAACAATCAATATGTTGGGAAGAGATAATATATGCATCTAGTGTGTTTTAGTCAAATGAATAAATGAAAAAGTGTTGCAAAGCATTGTGAGGGTTAGGGTTGGGGCAAGTGATTCACTTTAGTGTTCCATCATTCGTGCAACATCAGCATACTCATCATTTCAATCATTCATTCTTAGTTTAACTACGACACATATTCGATTTTCAATAAGCCACGTAAAGCTATTAACTTTCCAAAAACATTCGACGACGTTCATATTACTGCTCATTGGGTGTGCTCATGGCAATACAGCAATGAGTAAGTTATGAATGTTGCAATTGAGGGGAATTAACAATACTGGATGAGAGGTGACACCAACACAGTGTCATTATTTATTTATTATTATTACACCTTGTTGTTTGATTGAGTGAGCTCAAAGGTGAACACCCGCGCAAAACACTCAATCTTGTTAATTTTGAATTTCCAATAAATATCTCTTTTCTTCGTTTCCAAGATAAGCTGTGATGTCAAAGATGAATGAATGAATGATGTGGACGAAAGAGTCATTAATCAAGTATACTTGTGCTTGTACAACTTAAATATATATATAGATAATAACAATAATGCCAAAGAGAACAAAGAGAGAAGAAGAGGAAGTTGAATCTGAAGAGGAGGTAGTTGATCAAGTCAATGAAGATGAAGAAGAGCAAGATGATGATGATGACACCGCCACAACATCAACAACTTCAACTACATCAACTACAACTACAACAAACTCAAAGAAGAAGTCAGCCAAGACAGACGCTGACGATGAATCAAAGAGGATAATGGATATATTTCACATTGACAACATTGACAAGTTGACAGAGCATGAGTTCCATGCTGTGTTTGATACGATGGCCAACAGACTGCTGAACGATGTTGTGCTGATGGTGGGCGGCGTGCCACACATGCTCAACGAGATCGAGTACTACTTCAAGGGCTACAACCACGTCGACCAGTACGCACACGGCGACGTCAACCAGCAAAAGATGTGCACGTGGTACTTCCATCGCCAGAATGGTGGCGCGTACAAGACCGCCTCGTACAAGGGTCTGGACATGACGTTTGGCGACGGCACCGCCTTTGCCGGAATCCTGATCAGAGGCATCGAGCGCGTCGACAACAAGCCGGTGCTCATCGACGGCCCCTCCCTGTGCGTGGACCACCTGCTCAAGGTTGCGGGCGAGGCCACCATCGACGCATTCGTCGCCAAGCACGGCACCTCTCTACTTCCCGGCGACAACAAACACATGCATCTGGTGATGCGCGACCACGCCGCACTCAAGAAGCCCGTCGTCCAGAAGCCCATCGCGTCCGGCCGTGTCGGCCTCACGATGAAGCTGTACCGCAAGGACAAGGAGTACTACTTTGGTCGCGACTACCGTTATATCCGCATGCCAGACAAGGTCAAGAAGGGCAAGCACTACATGAACACAGCGCTCTACAAACAGGGCATGAAGGCACAGGAAATCAAGGACGTCACCAAGTCCACGATCGCATCGATTGGCAACTGTATCAAAGCATTTGACGCAGGTGTCAAGAAGACCAAGTCCAAAGCAGATTTGGACAAGTATAAAGGCAGTCTTTCCAACGATGACGTTTGCGAACTAGTTGGAGTATGTCATGCATTGGAGAAGATGCGTGGTTCATCATCCACCACCACCAACGACACTGCAGCTCATGAAGATGACGTAGTCGATGGAGCTGACGAAGGTGAGGCTCTTGAGTCCGATGAATAAATGTGGATGATTCTATTCCTTCACTGTTGTAAACTGATCATTCTGGCTCTGGGATGATTCCAGATCATTTGTGGGCGTCATAGTCAATCAATCAAAAGACGAATGAACTTCAATTTCAATAAAGTTTTTCAAAGTGTGCTGAATCATCAACTTTGATGACTCCTTGAGGGGTGGGCTCATCAAGTTGAGCTTGTTCACACTTATGCTCATTCATTCATTCAATCAATCACTTACTTATACCAAATATACATTTATATATACATATAACTTACTTACTATTATTAAGTAGATAATATAGAGACAGATACATTGACACTCATTGAGACACGATTTGACATAGTCATTGAATACAAAGATAGAGTAGAGAATGAATTTCGATCAGGCTGAGGATAAGGATGGAGTCAGATTCTCATGGAACATCTGGCCAACATCTCGTGTAGAGGCTACACGTAAACTACTTGTTCCATTGGGTTGCATGTACACACCAATGAAGCAGAGCACAGAGATTGTTCAATTGCCCTACCCACCCCTACACTGCAAAGGTCTATGCACTGCAGTCTTGAACCCATACTGGTATGTGTTGTTATGTGTACATGATTGATTGATTGAACATGGACTGACTCCTCATTACATACAGCACTGTAGTACCACCGTATAGAACATGGGTATGCCCATTCTGTTTGCAACATAATCAGTTCCCTCCACATTATAATGGATGTATTACAGATACGAGCAGACCGACTGAGCTGCTACCACAGTCAACGACGATTGAATATATGCTGCCAACCAAGGAGACATCTCCACCAATCTACTTGTACATCGTCGACACGTGTCTGCAGGACGACGAGCTCCAGGCGCTGACCGACTCGCTGACCATGTCGCTGTCGCTACTGCCACAGGACTCGTACGTCGGCCTCATCACATTCGGCTCGATGGTGCAGCTCTACGAGCTGGGCTTCACCGCCTGTCCCAAGTCCTACGTGTTCCGAGGCAACGCCACGGCCGCCTTCAAGGCCGCCACGCTCATTGAGAAGCTGGGCTCACCAGAGACCTTCAACCTGGTGTCCAAGCGATTCCTGGTGCCCGTTGGCGAGTGCGAGTTCAACCTGACCTCGATCCTTGAGGAGATCCAGAAGGACCCATGTCGTGTGCCAAACGACAAGCGTCCACAGCGTGCCACTGGCACTGCATTCTCTGTTGCCGCTTCCCTCTTGCAGGCGATCGCACCAAACACTGGAGCGCGTATCATGGCCTTCATTGGAGGACCTGCCACCGTTGGACTCGGACTTGTCGTCAGCGAGGATTTGGCCGAGCCACTCCGTTCTCATCACGACATTGTCAAGAACAAGGCAAAGCATTCATCAAAGGCTTACCTGGTATGTGTCGACGGACTGACCATCATTCAATCAATCAATCATTCACTAATCTCAACACATCACATCACAGCATTACAAGGGTATCGCAGAACAGGCAGTCAGCTCTGGACACGTCATTGATATATTCTCTTGCTCATTGGACCAGGTTGGTCTGTATGAGATGAGGGAGATGGTCAAGATGACGGGAGGTTTCATGGTGTTGGCCGATGGTTTCTTCCATCCAATGTTCCAGCAGTCCTTCCAGAAGATCTTCACTCGTGACACTGATCATCAGTTCAACATGGGTTACAACGCCGACATCCAAGTGTCCACCTCACGTTACCTCAAGGTGTGCGGTGCCATTGGACATCTGTCCTCACTCACAGTCTCATCACCAAACGTCAGCGAGAATGTAAGTGTTCAATCATTGATCCACGTGACACTGTCCACATACTTACCGATCAATCAATCAAACAGGAAATTGGCATTGGAGGTACATCAAGCTGGAAGATATGTGGCCTGGACCAGAACAGCACATTCGCGTTCTACTTTGAGATCGCCAACCAGCACACCAACGCAATCCCCGCCGACCAGCCGGGTCTGATTCAGTTCATCACGACCTACCAGAACACTCAGGGCAAGAGGATCATGCGTGTGACGACCGTGCGTCGTGACTGGACCGATGCCAACGCCTCGGTCAACCTGCTGGCCAACGGATTCGATCAGGAGACCTCCGCCGCCCTGATGGCGCGTCTTGCCGTCTACAAGGCCGAGACTGAGGAGCTGCCCGACATCACTCGTTGGCTCGACAAGATGCTGATCCGTCTCGTGTCAAAGTACGCTGACTTTAGAAAGGACGACCCACGCTCCTTCAAGCTTGCACAGAACTTTGCCATCTATCCTCACTTCATGTTCCATCTGCGTCGTTCCAACTTCCTGCAAGCCTTTAACAACAGTCCAGACGAGTCATCATTTTATAGGTATGTAGTATCGACACTGAGAAGGCATTGGCATCTCCTCTAACATGCCGCCAATCAATCAATCGATCAATCATTATACAGATTTATGTTGAACAGAGAGAACGTTTCAAACACACTGGTTATGATTCAGCCAACGTTGGAGAAGTACTCGTTCAATGGTGCACCAGAGCCTGTTGCCCTGTCAGCAACTAGCATCACCAGTGACACAATACTCCTGCTCGACACCTTCTTCCACGTTCTCATCTTCCACGGTGAGACCGTTGCCAAGTGGAGAAAGGAGGGCTACGACAAGAACCCACAATACGCCAACTTTAAGGCTCTCCTCCAAGCTCCAAAGGACGATGCTAATGTATGTTTCATTGACAATGTAATGCAAGGCAAGGCAAGGCAAGGTAACTAACGCATCATATACATAACACATCAACAGGCCATCCTAAAAGATAGATTCCCATACCCTCGCTACATTGATTGTGATCAACATTCGGGTGAGGCACGTTTCCTGTTGGCAACGATCGATCCCAACTTGACTCATGTTAGCAACACGCCACAGGATCCAACCAAGGGTGAGATTGTGTTCACTGATGATGTAAACCTACATGTATTCTTGGAGCATTTGAAGAAGTTTGCTGTTCAATCCTAAACAAAGAGTTCTCAAGATCCAATGAGAGCCACACATCATACTCTCTCAATTGTATCCAATCCGTCACAACAATAAAGTATCCACCCATCCATCAACCAATCATGCCAAGTCAATCAACAATGCGAGGGCAAGGGTTAGGTCGAGGGTTGAGGGTTGAAATTCAAATTTATTTTTCTTTTTTTGAATTCAACGGACAATGAGATGTGTGTGAGTCAACGACACTCTCTATTCTCTTTCATTCACCTCACTCCCTCACGAACTCATAAATTAGTTCACTTTCATTCATTTGAGCGCAAACACTCACTCAAATAAGTAGGCACGACTCATCGTCTGACAACTCAACTCAACTCAAAGTCATTCTGATCGATCAGAAGTTATTCATTTGAATATACACACGCGCGCCCCTAACGTGTCTTAAATTAATTAATCACACACGACATTCATTGACCCAAGAAATACATATATATTACTTTACTCAAACAGATACAGATACATATACATATACACAGATATACAGATATACAGACAGATACATACAACATATATACTTAATGATGACACGATCAAGAGGTATGTTGTGTATCTGAACATACTCATTCAATGATGTACTAACTCATTCAATCAATCAAAAAGGGTCTGCAGTGTCAACTCCAACAAAGGAGGAACCTGAACAACAGCAACAGAGTGTTATAGATGGTGATCAGGGATCATCTGTTACACATAGACCGAGGAGATCATCGGCAACACCACAAAACAAGGACTTTGTTTATGCAAAGGGTTCACCACAGCAACAGCAACAGCAACAGCAACAGCAACCACCACTATCTCCGACTAGCCCAACGGCAAAGACACCTGCTGCAGCGGCATCGGTCACGCCCAGGAGGGTGATAGTCATCCCGCCAAAGGGCACCCCAACCACAGACGACAAGAAGAGGAAGACGGCGGAGGATACCAGCGCCGCTGCGAATGCGAATGCGACCGCGACCACACCATCGCCGTCGACAAAGCGATTGAGGGCCGCTGCCATCGAGAAGACGCCACCCTCACTCAATAGACGCAGGAACTCACCCGCCTCGTCTCGCGAAAAGACTATCAAACATGATGAGAGCGATGACGTTGAGGACGAGCATGTGAGCATCGACGAATCCCCTGCCCTGCCCACACCGCCACTCAGCAAGAGCAATCTAAAGTTGACGATCAGGTTGCCTGAGAAGAAGACTGAGGTGACTGCTGCTGCAGTCACTCCAACAACCGAGGCTGTCGCGCCTGCCCCTGCTGCGGCTGCGTCCACACCAGCCCCACCAGCAGACACCCCAAAGAAAGGTCGTGGAAGATGGCCCAGAAAGTCGGTGGAGGAGGCGCCAGCGACCCCAATGGAGACAACATCGTCGTCTTCGTCAACGTCTGATCATGCTCCCACCGAGACTACATCGACAACTACAACGACTACGGCGACTGTCACATCACCACAGAACAAGCTGACGACAATCAGAATCAAGAAGGACTTGCTTCAACCAAAGATTGCAAAGACTGCCGCGACAACTGCAACAGCAGCACCAGAGAGTGAGACACAATCACAACAACAACCGCAACAACAGACAGCCGAGCCAGTGAAGAGGCCTGGATTCCCTTACATTGATCCCGCGACAGTATCGAGCGAGCATGTGGCGAGCATGAAGAAGACTGTCAACATCATCATACATTTGTTGATGAAGAAGGACGTGAATATGTTCTTCATGGAGCCCGTCACCGAGGACATTGCGCCCAACTACTTCACCTATATCAAGGAGCCAATGGACTTCAAGACGATGAAGAATCGCAATACGGCCGGCAAGTACTTGTCGCTGGACCAGGTGCTGTACGACTTCACATTGATCTGCGAGAACTGCATGCTGTACAACGAGTCGGACTCGACCTTCTTCAAGGAGGCCAGGAAGTTGCTGACTGCGGGCCGCGTGCTGATCCAGTCCTACGCCAACAAAGTGCCGTCGGCTGCCGGTCTCCCCGCCAGCGCCGAGCAAGGCACCTCGCCCGCAGGCAAGCCCATGCTCACGGGCCCCGTCACCGCCAAGCCATCCGCCGCTACTCTCCGTGAGCGCGAGCGTCGCGCGAGCGCCGACCCCAGCCCATCGCCCCAACCCACGCCCACTCGCCACTCAAGAGGCCATCACTCGGCCGCAGCCAACGAGGCCAAGGAGGAGCAGAGCAAGTCGCTGTCAGTCTCAGCGACCAAGATCTCGCCAATGACCAGGACAAAGAGCAAGCCTGGCTTGGTTCAACAGAACAATGCGCCTCAAATGCGCAACTCACAGGTCTACGCAGCGCCATCCACGCCCGTCGTGTACAACACCCAGGGCATGGCACCATTTGCCATGCCACAGGCTCCGCCCCATCTCCATCTGATGCCGCCCGCGCATCATGACCACCCTGGCTCGCACATGTTCTCAATGACGGCCGACCAGTACACCCTGCCCCAGTCGACCAACGTGTCACTGCCCAAGAGGAAGTACGTCAAGGTGGGCACGTCCGAGGCCAACACACACACCCAATCGATACCGCCAACGCTCAAGTCCTCGTTCGCCGTGACCAAGTCGATCAGTGAGGGCAAGGACATATTGGTGTCGCCGCACAACATTGCCGGCCCGCACACCTATAGCATGTACATTCCCAAAGATAAGAGCAGGACGGACGCGGTCCATGGCGCCTATAGTGTGATCACGGACGAGCTGTATCCCAAGTTCCTGGCCAAGACCACCAGCTACCAGGAGTACCTCAGGATTGAGAAGGAGAAGCGCGAGCAGTACTACAGGCTACAGAGACAGATACAAGAACAACAGCAACAGCAATATCAGTATCATCATCAGCAACAACAACAACAACAACAGCAACAAGAGGAGGAGGATGATGATGAAGAGGAGTCAAGCGAAGGCGAGGGTGAGGGTGAAGAGGAGTCAAATGAGGACACTTATGAGGGACAAGCAACAACAGAGGCGAAGATGGATGACAACAACAACAACAACAACAACACAATGACATCATCGATAACATCAACAACTACAGAGACGCCCGAAACTACCACTACCATGACTGAGGCCACAACAACAACAACAACTGAGGCCACCAATGAGTCCACCACAACAACGACTGAGGCCACCACCACCACAACAACCGAGGCCACAACAGAGTTTGCCCCAATCGCCACACATCCTACAGCAGAGGATGCAATGGAGATTGATACGAACCAACATACAACGATGATGACTGAGCAGCAACAGCAACAGCCACAGTCACAACAACAGGAGACACAACCAATGGACACCACGTCTCAATGGATCAATGAACAGAGGATTGTGGAGATCAAGAGGGAGTATGGTATCGACAGACCAGTCACATTGAATGGTTTGCCAAACTTCCTCTACGTTGGCCCCGAGAAGTCGTCCGTCGCCAATGGCGCAGCAGCAACATCATCGGCCAAGGCCGCCAACTCACTGGCCAACTCATTTTCACAAGACTGCCTATCATATCTCAACAAACAGATGACAAGCCTGCTAAGCAAGGGCAAGTTGGAGCAGGATGAGCAGCTCAAGTCGCACATCGACGGACTGATGCGCAGGACTGTGCTGAGGAGCGTCAAGGACAACAGCAACAGCAACAGCAACAGTCCAGCTGTGGAGAGTCTGCTCAGCGCCGACTCGGTCAAGCAACTGGCCAGCTCATTCAAGAATCATGGCGTTGATCTCTCATTCCTCGACAACATCGTCTTACCTGTAAATGAACTTCAACACACATCATCAGCGATGGCATCGCCGGCGAAGCAGGACTTCTCCGACTCGACGCCACTTGTAGCAACACCTCCACCAGCCTCCCAAGACATTGCCAGCGACGCGTCAACATCAGCGACGACCGCGACGAGCGAGACGTCGAGCAAACAACCAAAGACCACCCAACAACTACTCGAGGAAGGCTTTGCCGAGATCTGCAACCTGCAGCTGACACAGTACATGAGGAATGACAACACACCGACGGCGGCTGAGCTCCAGGTGGCCAAGGCGCTGCACGATGGCATTGGTCGACTGGGCGTCACGCTGCCACCATCAGCCTACATCAACTCACGCGAGGCCATTCGTCAGAGCATCATCAAGAGTGGTCTGCACGTGGGCTCTGGTCGACAGCCACGTCCAAGCTTCCTGCAAGGCAGGAAAGAGATACTTTCACCCAGTGGACATGGTCATGGTATTAGTCTTGGTGCAGCGCGCAACAACTCTGAGGAGACTTTGGCCAACACAACAGCATCTCTGACTTCAACATCTACATCAACATCATCATCAACGTCATCAACATCTCCTGCAGTTACCTCATCAACACCAACGTCATCAACTTCACTAGCCATACCCAATGGAACAGTTGGCCAACAATAGACAGTCTGTCCACGATTGATTGATGCGATTGACAACTCGCGAGTGATCGATTGATGTTCGCTAATTTAAAGTAAACGAAAGTTCGTTCGTTACGTTCACCAACCCAACAGTCAGTTTGTTTGAAATGAATGAGTGAATGCCCATCAACTCATACATTCACTTTGAAGTGTGTCATCCATCCATTCATTCAATTATTCATTCGTCGCTAAGTTTGTCACCAGACGGAATGATCACCGGATGATGGGTGATTGGTTGGGCCAATCATATGATGTTCGCGCATTACATCAGCCGACTTTGGTCTAAACATGGGGTTATGGGCGCGAGGGCTGGGCCAACTTTCGACTGATTTATATAAATGGGCCACGCAAAGGCCAACTAGGACCCACCAACAAGCATAAAGCTTTCAAAATGTCCTTTGGTAATGGGCAGATAATGCTCGCTCCTGATTAATCATCTCGACACGCCTTTGCCAATCTACATTCAATCAATCAATCTATCATATTCATACATATACACATAAACTAGATATATATAACACACATACACACATACAAACATACATACTATATTGTCAACATCACCCAACCTGTTGTTGTTTGCCTATCCCCAAACAGAGAGTCGACTTATAAGGTAAAAAAAGTAAGTGATTGATTGATTGATTGATTGCCTGTTGCATCACCCACATGCATTGTCGTTTCAGATTTATACACACACCACACACATAATCAATCACACACACTTGGATTGTTAATTTGATCATGTGTGATCAAGATCAACTTATAATGAATGATCCATCCAACAGTAACAGGTATACTTATACTTGCTTGTATGGAAGTGTGGAAGTGTTGTGTGAACTGCAGCCACGCTCCCCAAGCTACTCAACACAACACACTCATTCATTCATTCACACAACCAATCAATCAACATCAACAATATGTTGCCCACAAGCTTGATGGCTCATAGATGGGCAGCACACACACACAATATAAGTACCATCTCGATGTGTTGGGGCGTAATACTGACTGATTGCAATCTATCAATCAATCACCTTTGATCAGCAGCTTCATTATTAATATTAATTCATTTAAATGGATGTAATGTAATGTAATGTACATTGGTTTGATGATGGACGGTTATCCGCTTGCTTACTTTGTACTTTGTTTTTTTGTTGTTTGTTTTGTTTATTTAAGGTAGGATGGATGGATGATGTATGATGCATGCCAGGTTGGTTTGGTAGGTTTGGGCAGCTTGAATGGGAGAGTGAGTGAGTGAGGTGATTGAATGAGAGTCATTTCCAGTCCATTCCTGGTCCTGTTTCAGTTCTCTCTGCATATATCTCAAGCCCACTAGTTACATACACACATATACCAAGCAGTGCCACCTCACCCATTCTCTGACAGAGTCACCAATCACACAGTTATATAATACATTACATGATCATCATTTGACAAACCGGGTTTGTCGACCATCAATCAATCATAACAATCAATCAGTCAGACAAACAATCAAACAAAGAAAGAAACCCAAGCCGGAACTATCACACTCTGGTTCTACAACATATATATCCATCACCCATCTCATTCTCCCGAGTATACTTACTATTGTCCATTCAATCACCCGACACTTGCCACTCTCCAACGCCCATCACGTCCATTCTCCGCCAGCCACATTCCAACACACATTTCATTCATACTCTTTCACTCAATCACACACTCATTCATTCATTCACACAACACACTTACTCTCAGTTCTAAATCACTTATTGATCAGTATCATCATCAATCACATCGTGTTGTTGTGCACACAAGTACTTAGTGATCCATCCAACCATCCTACCTTATAATAATATCATTCCTCAAACCTTACCGGTCCTAAATCCAATCGTCAACCAAGCCTGCTTACTTGACTTGATCATTCTTCATAGGTGCCTTCCTCAAGTTATTTAGTTAGTTAGTTAGTTAACTAGTTACTAAAAGTATATATATATAATTATTGAATATATATATATATTATATTTAAATACATAATTATACAAATATATACTTGATCAATCAAAATAATCATGGACGACAAGTCAACGCCTACGTCGCCACTGTCAATGTCGGCACCATATATACCAACACTTAGTCCACCTACAATGGCACCACGTACATCATCATTGCAAGAGGTCTCGTTGACCACGCCCTATGTCCCCGAAGCATCATCTCCACCTCCACTTTTACAAACTGAACACGCGAACTCAGACTCAAACTCAAACTCAATTACATCCTCAACCCCAATCCATGCTCAAGCCCCGTCACATGATGGTGCCGACACAGTCACTCAATCAACTCTTACAACAAATGCTCAAATATCACCAACTACATCAACAACAGACAATGTATTCTTGGATAAGGATGGCATGGGCAAGGCATTGTACTATCACTTGTTTGAACAACAGAATGTAAAGTCAAAGTTGTTTGGCTTCCTGAGGAACCCCCTGCCAAGTATAATCATCGCCTACTTGATCATGGCCCTGGTGGTCGTGTGTCCACTCTACCAACAGACCAACTACCTGAGCATCAACAACCTGACGTACTTATTGGTGTACATCCCTATTGTGGCGGTGTTTTGCTTTGCCGTCTTCTTCTCGCTGACCTACTGCTTCCTGAACCTGTCGCGTGTGCCCGAGAATGCCAACGTCATCCTGTTCCTGTTCGCCTTTGTCTGGGTGTCCATCCAGATCGGTGTGCACGTGTTGTCGATGGCCGGCCACATCTTCCCTGTGCCCTTTGAGTGGATCATCGTTTCGTTTGGATTTGGCGTGCCACTGATCTACCTGATCGTCTGGGCGTCCATGCCTGCACATCTCCGTCGCAACCCCTTCCGTCGCCCCACCATCCAGTGGGATGATCCCAAGGCCATCCCCATGCCACAGCTCACAGCCACCCAATCATCGCCCATAATATCAGATTCGGCCACCTCTTTGGACAATGTATCAATCTCATCGCAGCACAGCTCAACTGACTCGATCGGCTTGTCGGACAAGTCGGCGGCATCGTCCAACTCGACATCATCCTCTTCATCAATCTCATCATCAGACATGGCGCAGGCTGCCATCAACAAGGCGGCAGCAGCAGCGTTCGAGATCACGGTCAAGGAGCAGTCTGCCACGCAAACTCCCAAGACAACATTCCTCTTCCGTTTCTGGGTTGTGGCGTCAACATTGTTCCTCGGACCATTTGGCTACTGTTTCTTCCATCTCTTCCTCTTGGCTTTCTATTCAGTTACATCCAACCTCTTCCAATCACTCCTCATCGTCGGTTTCCAAGTCCTCATCGTCCTCTACAAACTTATCTTCCGTCTCTCATTCCATCGCATGCGTTTCCACCTGCCCTACATTCCAATCAGGTAAGTCTTCCTCACTCATATATATCTTGATCATATATGTTGATCATATATCTTAGATCTGATCTTAGATCTTGGCCATATATATCAATCAATCAATCACTCACTCACACTCATTCAATCAAACATTCAATTCCAATCATACAGAGTATTTCAGGATGGTAGAATATTGTTCCTCTTCTGGCTTGAGCTCAGCTCTCACTGTTTCTTCTCGATGGTGTTCCCACATGTTGGCAGTTGGTACATGATCTTGCTGTATCTGATTGTTGAAGCAATCAGTCTGACATTGCAGGTGGTTGCCGACACATCATCAGTGCGCTCACTGCTCATCCGCATGTTTGAGTCAGTGTACAGCATCTTTAGCGACAAGCCATACAAGGGCTACATGGTCTACAACATATTGGGACAGAGTGGCGAGCTGGACCGCACCGTCTCACTCGAGCTCTTCTTCTTCAACTGTGTGGCGCGATCACTGGCAGGCTTCAGCTACATCGTCTTCTCGCTCGTGATCTACTTTGGGCCCAACAAGAAGTTCTACCAGACCATCGACTCGCTGGATGCCGACGCCTACAACCTGACGTTGGTGTATGCCACTGCCTCGATTGTCTCATCATTCGTGCAACTGATCGTGTTCCGAGTGATATTGAAGAGAGTATATCGCATTGATCTCGTGCGTCAAGGATACCGTGTATGGAAGAGAAAGCCAGACGTGGCCTTCTTCTTCATCACCAACTGTTTCATCCTGCCACTTGTAGTACTACTACAACATAACAATGCTGTTTCATACCTTCTAAGTGTCAAGCTGTAATAATAAACCTCCAACTGTATTATTTATATGCGTAAATATGTATCAGATATCCTACCCTTACCCTACCCTTATCCTACCCTCGCCAACTTGATCTCTGTCTGCAAAACAATCAGTTGCGCTTGCTGCCCAACGAATATTATGATGATGGAATTCAAGAAGGTAAGGAGCCACAACTTTGACTTTGCTCCTGGCGACATTGTCCGCACCGCCGTGCAAAATGGAGACTATCAACTGGTTCAGTATGTCCATGTTCATTGTGCCCAGCTTGGCGAGCCATTCACTGTTAGACCAAATTTAATTCCCCTTGCACTAAAGCTTGGCCATTTGGAGATTGTCTCGTTCCTGTTGGATCACCACGACGACTACCAGAAGATGGAGATCGAAAAGATTGCTCCATCGATACAATCGAGGGAACTCATCCAACGCCTGATCTCCCATCCATACATCAGATTCGATGCCACTAGATCACGCGAATGTCTAATTCTAGCTGGAAACTTTGAGTTGTTTCAATTCTTGGACGATAATTTACAACAACATCAGCAACTATACAATTTCAGATATGAGGATATACTTAATTGCATTGGCAACTCTTCCTCATTTCTCCAACCACCACTGCATCGCTGGTTCGCTCCTTTCTTCTGAATCATCCCAATGCACTCGTCGTCGATCCAGACAGTGACTACAATCTAAAATACTTGCTCAACCCCCATGTCAGAACAGCCATCATGGAGTGCATGCCAGAGCGACATCACTTCACTTTGGACGACCTGGCCAAATGCATGTGTTGGTCACTCTTTGATTTGAAAGATGCCAACACCAAGCTCGATTTATTTCAAGGACTACTGGACAGCGACATCATCAAGCCTTATTACCGATCGGCCAAAGCAGTATCCTATCCAATCGACGAGATTCGCCGATGCTATGAGCTGGTACAGCCCCTGTGTGACAAGTATCCAAATGTACAACTCTACTCAGAGTATGCCTTTGATGGTGTGTCCAGAGATGGCAGGCTCGACATTCTTCGTCTTCTTCTCAAACACAAACACAACCAACATGGGACTGGGCAATGGAAACCTGTGTTTTGTTCGCTATCTTCTCCGCAACTATCCACACCGTTGGGACATCAATCATACAATCGTCAGTGCCTCCCGATCCGGCACTTTGGAGACAGTGGAGTATCGACAACACATCGAAAAAAAGTGGCGACATCCACAGAGGCAATGGACGTTGCATCTTCCAATGGACATTTGGATGTTGTCACTTACCTCTACAACAACCGGACCGAAGGCTGCACATCCGCAGCCTACTCTGGCGCCTGTAGAGGTGGTCACACTCTGGTCTTTGAATTCCTCCTCTCGATGCGCCAATTCGAGCCTGCTCGTTCAATGCCATTGGTAGCTTGATCCGCGATCCCTTGTCATTTGGGCGTCACCAGACGGCATGATCATCCAGTATGACCGACAATTGGCACACGACACACAGCACTTGAGACGGGAGATGCTTAAACAGGAGGTGCTGATCGGCAGTGAAATTCATATTCGAATGCATTGGCAAAGTGCGTCCTCAACAACTGGTACAGCTGTGTGCAGCTTGTGTTCGACACCCTTGATATGCCAGAGTCTCTCATCGAGTACACTCTCGACCTATCTATCAGACATGGACAACTCCATCTCGTCACATACTTTAACAACATCACCAACATCAACGTTCGCAAATAAAGAAGAACGATGGATCAGCAGGACCTCAACGTATACGTTGATCAATCGCTCTCGCTCATCACCTAACGAAGTAGAGGGGGATACACTCCATCAATAAATCCAATGGCCAGAAGTTCATCCCGATCCTTCGGAACATTCGAATGTCTAGTCATCCAGTCAATAAGTCACTGATGTATCTAAAGTGATCAACTTGGATTTCCAGTTTTATAAAATGTTGTTGACTATTGTTGACCCTACTTTACCTAAAATGGGTGGGAGGTGATTCAATCTATGCCGCCCCCACTCGTCCTTTGATCAAAAAAAATATCTTATGGACACTTCTGGACAATCAACTTGATCATACAAGTTTGCTCATTGATTCCTCATTAGAATTATTATCTCGTAAGGATGGATCGACAATCCAATAATGTAAATAATAACATAATAAATCAATCATTCAATCAATGAAACGATTCTAATCATTCATATATTTATAAATTAATAATAATACATTCAATCAATCAATCACAGAGTAACAGTAGTGCACCATGTCTGAAGAGTAAGTTAATAAGTCTCGAGTTTATTTCGAATAATTATTTATTAACTTGTTTGATTGAATTTAACGAACGAACGATAGGGGTAAAGAGTATGATGATCCTCATTATGTTTATAAAGGTTCACTATTTAAAGATGTATTATATCGAAGAATACCGAGGTTTCTGAGAGAACTCAAGAATGGACGTTGGATGAATTGGTCTCGAGTCGATGCCCATCACATATGTCCAAAGACATTCAAGAACCATCCGGCGGTAACAATGGTTGCGCAAGCGATGTGGCCCAATGCCCAATTCGACGTCAACGACAGGTTCATCAATCAATTCGCCAACATCAAGTTGATGCCTAATCAGGTTGGTGACAAGTCCGATACCTTCACGACTCGGACTCTCGTGCATCAGGCGCACCCTGTCTACAACCGTCTGTGGAAGGAGGCACTCGACAAGTTGTTGACCATCAGGGACCCTCAAGAGAGGTTAATGCGCTTCAAAGAGATGCACAGTGCTGCGAGGCAGTACCTACCGCGGCGATCGAAGTGGCAGTGGCAATGGAGGTGGTGGCGGTGGTGGTGGTGGCAACAACAACAACAACAACAACCAAAACAACAACATCAACAACAAACAGTCAATCACTATTGATGACGAAGGATCGATTGAGAAGTTCGCTCAGCAGTTGGTCAAGTTGAACTTGATCAATAGCTACAAGGGATCTAATCCGAACAAGACTTTTCATCAGCACTTTGCAGAGACTCGCGGACATGGCGCATCAAAGAGCATTGGTGGCGTGGCTGTCACTGCTGGACTGTTCACAGGCTGGGCTGACAACATGGCCTTTGTCACACGGCCCTCTCACGTCATCCTCGCGCCCGATCACATCAAGATTCGTCCAATCGCAGACTCGGTATCGGCCGACGAGTTCCATCAGATACTCACCGAGCTGATCGATGGTGTCTACTACCACGACACCATGCCCTTCTTCTCGTTGCACTTCAACAATGATGGTACGATGTTCCCAGTCATACACCCGGCCTACGCCAACACCTTGGTGGGCCACGTCATCCTCATACTGGACTACTACATGAAGGGCTTCCTCAATGGTGGCTTCATGCTCGAGGAGAATGTCGATGAGTGGGATCGGGATGATGGCCTTCAACGTACACTCCAGGAAGAAGTGCTCCGCGCGTTCATGGTGGACATCAAGCGAGAGTTGAATGTTGGTCAGTGGACCGATCTCAAAGACCGCGTACACTATCGATCACTCAGAGAACGTGCTTTTGAGATGGGCATCGAGGGCCAAGCTGCGATCGACAAGCTTGAGGGCCAGATGAGACAGGCCGAGGGCACAGCCAATGGTGAAGCCGTACAAGTGTTGCGCAAGGTATACAACAAGATCAAAGAGGAGAAGGGTCTGTTGTATCAGACGTCGTTCCGTATCCTAGCCGAGGAGAAGTCGGCGCAGTGTGTCGACGGCGTTTGGCTGATGGATGGCGACTTCAAGGTGGCCTACACGATGGAGCCCACGCCCATCTACCAACAGTTCCTCACCGCGTACGCAGCCGTGTTTGGTGGTATGCCACACGGCTTTAATGTCCAGAACGAGCTGTACTCTGAAGCTGCCAATGCTATCCACGTACAGTTACCCCAGCTTCAGCCCTGTCGCAAGTACTTCTCGATGCTCAGTCTGATCTCATTCCTCTCGTCCTATCTCCACACACTCAAGGCCAATGGACAGATACCCGACCTGTCCAAGGTATTGTGGAAGGCCGTGGGCAAGCGCACTCCTGGTCTGCTGCCACCTCTCCCCGTTCGTTCCTACCAGGAGAAGACAGTCACATTGATTGTTAAGTCTGTTTCCAAGGAGATCGCCGCCGACAATCAATCATTGATGACTTTGACAGAGTACTTCAAACGTTCATTCTTTGGCGATGGTGATGGAGATGTTGCGGCCATGTCAACAGTCGTGTCAACTATCATCAATAGGTTACTCAACGAACAATTGAACAATCTGGATATTGACGCTCGCCAACTCATTGACCTGGCACCATACGTCAGAGAACTGACCAAGAAGTTTATGATGATATTGGCAACAGAGAGTAGAATCTTTAGCAACATATACATGGGTCATATCTTGGCCCGCATCCATCCATTCCTCAAGCAATTGGAGGAGCTCAATCCCAACCATCAGCACTCAGCGCCCTTGCCCAAGTCAAGCGAGTTCAATCCTGACATCAATAAGTTTGTAAGTTTTCTTCGACCTCCATACCGTCTCCATCAAACCCTAACCATCACTCACTCATTCACTCAATCAATCAATCAATCATTAGTTACCATCACTCGAGTTGAGTAAGAGGTTGGACCCTCATCCAGTTGTTGGCATGTTCATTGAGGAGATGAGGAAGGCTGGTCTTGGATTGGATGATACAATTAGTTCAATGATGAAGGTCTTTGACTCAATAATGGATATCCACAAGTCAGGGTCGTGTTCGGGATGCATGGCCGACCCCACCAAACACACTGTTTCGGTGTTCGACCTTGCCTCAGTCTGCCGCGCCAATGCCAAGCTCGAACCAAATTGTGCAGAGTTCTTGGAGATGCACATGGACAAGGATGAGTTGACGATCGAAGAACTGTTCGATGACTTCTACAGCATATTTTCGAGCGAGAGGTGTGATCGAGTGGAAGCACAGTTCAAGTATGATATGCTTCTTGCCGACGGTACATTTAAGTTGTGCACCAAGCCCGATGATCTACTGGAAGCTCTGGATGGAGATGACACAGACCTGTTCTCAACAATTGGTGGTGAAGTGGACTCAATCCAGCAACGACTTCACTTGGCCGATACGGCCTCGAAGAAGAAGGGTGCGAGTCCTCATTCTCCAGCTTTGGACACTCAATCGCCCCCACCTCCACCACCACTTGGCAACATCTATGCATCAAAGTTTGACATTGCCAATCAGGAGTACCTTGACTCTGGCGTCGATAAGCATAGAGTGTGGGGTGGATGCGGACTCACATTTACTCAACAGAAGGTGACCTCATTCAAGTCACTCAACCAAGAGCAATGCCAAGAGTTGGCAACATTTGTCAACGAGACTACTATGGATCACCAACACATCTGGACTCAAATCGACCACGCTCTCTTGTCCAAGGTGTCGCCCGGTTCAGTCCGAATGAACGCCATCACACTCGACATTGTGCCATGGGATGGGCCCGAGACAGTGATCGACATGGGTGACGACGATCTAGTCGATGACAAATATAGAGACATGGTCCTACCCTCTGATCCTGTGGCTTTCCGACTCTGGGTCATGTCGCCAGACTTTGACCGCAAGGTGTCAGAGTTATATCATCTCAAACAATGCTGCAAGAACCCTGAACTGCTCACTCATTTAGACGAGGCCGGCAACACATTCATGCACATAGCAGCGACAAGGGGTCATCACCAGGCATTGGCATTGATGGTCGAGGCGACCAAGTCCACTCACATTGACGCCCGCAACCAGAGCGGATTGACGGCGTTGGCATGCGCTGTCCTCAAGAACAATCTGGAGTGTGTGCAGGTACTCCTGAGACATGGCGCCAACGCACAGCTTCAGGACAATGACAAGATATTCCCCCTGTACTCCGCCATTCTCGAAGGACACGAACATATTGCCATCAAGCTCATCAACTCAATCCAAACAAACCAAGTAGACACCCACCTACAACTAAATGATGAGAACACATGTCTACATGTCGCGCTGGAGACTGACCAAGAGGAGATCGCATTCCTTCTTGCTCATAATGACGCGTCGTTGTCCATCGCGAGGAAATCAGATGGTTACTCTCCAATTGAAGTGGCGGCATCACTCAATCAAACATCATTCCTAAAGAGATTGTTTGATTCAGGACTGCTGGCCGAGCACATTGATCGTCTGCTGCCATCACAGGGCACAGCACTACATGTTGCAGTCGAGTATCGATCATACAATGTTGTGGACTTGCTCATTGATGTTGGATACTCATGTGGTATACAACAACTCAATGGGTCCACGCCCCTCATCTTGGCATTGGAGACATCACAACCAGAGTTGGCCAGACTCATACTCGACAAGTGTGGGCACACGGCCAACACTCGTCTGGATGGCAATGACAATGATATCGTCAGTCAAAGTGTACAGTCATCCCGCCACAAGACCTTTGTCAACTCGAAGGGCTCAACCGCCACCATGCTGGCAGTATCCCGCGGATACACGGACATTGCTCATAGATTGATTGCACTCGGCCAAGAGAGTTGGGATCACAAAGACAAGGAGGGCATGTCGCTGCTGGACCTCATCATACTCCATTGTCACACCACTCTCCTCGAGCTGGTTGGTTGCACTGTGGAGCCACACATCATGCTTCCAAACACATTCTACTCATACTTTGCGTGGGCTTTGTTGCAGAAGGATCATCAGATGATCGATTACCTTACAAAGAGAATGAGACCGTACTCAATCGATGAGTATATCGAGGCAGGGGTCAAGGCCAACCATGTGGGCATCTTGTCCAAATGGATGGAGTCGATACCCCCACCAGATCTCCACTGGCCTCGCTTCAATACCATCTTGCCCAACGAGTTAGTTAGTCGCACGTTGACCATTCTGGAGCTGGCCGCCTACAATGGCAGTGTTGAATGCTTGGACTTGATGATCCATCATCTGATCAGCGCACCAATCAATCAATCAGTACCATACGTTGTTCAACCAGAGAATGGCACATACTTGTTGTACTACGCTTTGCTAAGTCGCTCGCCTCGAATGATCAATGCCATTTCCACAACATGGTGTGCTGGCGATCTCAACCGAGCATTGGACCCCTTTGGCAACACGACACTCATTGTCATCCTGGCCACTGGGCAACACACACTGCTACCTCAGCTCCAGAGTCATGGTCTGCAACTGGTCCCCGCACTCAACTTAAAGTCACCATTGTCTTTCCTCGACGCTGCCATCATGATGGACAATGTCAAATCGATTCGTGCCTATGCCACTGCGCTCAATCATGTACTTGATCAATCACGTGTCACGCCCAACGACAATGTCAAGGAGACCAAGCATCAGACCTTACGCCAGACATTGTACCTCCACATCTACCGCATGGCGTTGCAGCACGATGCTCGCAGAATATTGGCCAAAAAGGTGTTGGTCGAGGAGATGACGCTGGCACTCAACGCATTGCGCCCGCAGATTGGCCAGCCTAACCATCCTTTGCTGGTGTTACCTCCATCGTCATTGTTGATCGAAGCTGTGCAGTCCAACAACATGGTGATGGCACGTCATCTCAGCCAATGGCCCTTCACCGTGGACCATTTTGCATTGGCAGCATTCACAGCCATCAACACTGATAATGAACAAATGTTGGACATATTCATCAAGCATGTTGACCTTGACCCTGTTCAAACATATTCACTCGTGTCATTGTCATCAAAGAACATTCCATCAGACGCCTCAATATATGGATATTGTTCATTCATGGAGGCATCCCGTTGTTGGACACTTTTGTCCAAGGTTGATGGCCAATCGCCGCCAGAACACCTTCATGTACCTATACCCCAGTTCCAGACGATCAGTCCAAAGCTGATCAAATCATTGGGCAAGGCATTCACGATGAAGGATGATTCAAAGGCACTCCAAATTCTCACTACCATGGCGGTGGAACATAATCTCGATCAGATCAGATTCCCATTGGACCACGAGGGCACAGCGCCATCACTGCCACTGCTACATCATGCACTCTCCCATCACTGTGGCAGGACATTTAAATACCTCGTGAGCAAAGGATGTAGTCCTCTGGACAATGGACTCATCTTCCTCTTGTGTAGTGGTGTAGGCAGCATCATTGCCAAGTTATCAATACTCTACGACAGCCTGGATCAGGACACACTCACTCACATGTTCAATCAAAAGGCGCCCTTGTCATGTCTCGGCCACATCGTCAATGTTGATGATGACGCAACTACCGGGACACTGTCCAGAATGACCTTTTGGGAGTTGTTGCTGCCATACCTGCCACCAGCAAAGCTTCAAGGATTGTTCAAGGAATTCAAGGACCAGCCCAACCGACTCAAGCCCCTGGAGTGCCTCGCAAACTCATTCGGATATGACTTGGGCGGTAACACAGCGGACGACGAGTTCTTTGCACGCCCCTCTGAATCAATGGACATCTTGATGTTGCACAGTGCCAGCAGTCGATCATCATCAACGTGGGTCGCACACTGGCTCAACCCTTCCAGTCGCTACTACAAGAGGTTCGCACAGTGGGTTGATAGTGTTGACGAGTATCTCGGTACGCCACTCATGAGTGCCGCGGCCTCCGGCAACATCTCAGCCGTCAAAGCATTGTTGTACAGTCGCGCTGATGCCACCCGGCTCAACATCAACGGCGCATCAGCGTTGTACTACGCATTCGACAGGACCAACGAGCGACCAAGGGAGATCATCGATGCCCTGTTGCCATACTCGCGAGCAATAATATCAACTCCCACCAACAAGGGTATCTACATCCTCGATCGCATTGTTTGTAGTCCAAGCCTGCATCAATACGTCCACAACCTGCTCCAGTTAGGCGGTCAACAGGATGCTGCCCAATCAATCAAATGGGCATGTAATGGAGACAACACCACCAACCTCATGTCAATGATCACACATCGAAGGTTGATTGAACCGATCTTCAAGGGACCCAAGGACTCGGACTCGGACACGTCACCAGTGCATCAACTTAGGAGTACAAAGAAGATCAAGACTATCTATTTGGAGAACCTATCGTCAACGATCAGTCTTCCTGTGCTCGCCAATGCTAGTCGTGGCACCATGATCAAGGTGATTGATGAGATTGGAATGGCTGAGGAACCAGGCAGCACCGTCACCCCACTGGAGAACGCGATCAAATGTAACAGGATCGGACTGATCGACTTGCTTACTTCGTTCGTCCATTCTCCAATCGATAGCTTGTGGCAGACTGTTGTGAAGGCTGATGACCCAAGTATGATTGGCGCCCTGGAGAGCGCCCACGACCTACTGACCGTCGACCCAGCCAGCACAATGAACGCATTGCACATTGCCGCACAGTTCAACTGTCATCGAATCACTGGATTGTTGGTGGACATTGGTGTGAACCTTGGACTCGCCAGACAAGTCGATCAATTCACGCCAATCCAGTTGGCCGCATCACTTGGTAATACCAAGTTCATCATCACGCTGCTGCGTATCATTCATTACAATGACAACCCTGAAGAGAGCTACTCTTCGCTGCTCGGACATAATGAGCGGTCGGCTGGCGGTCGCTCTGCCCTGCAGCTGGCACTTCACGGAGGACACATCCCAACTTCATTATGTCTGATGCAAGTGTATCCCAAGTGCGTGATCAGTGGACAGTATGCACTCGAGCTCATCACATCATTCATCAATAGCAACACCAAGTTGCCATGGTCGACCGTCGAGTACTTGTGCAAGTTGTTGATAATCTTTGGTGATCGATCAATCAAACCAGACCTCCTCGCACACAAGCATCCAGAGTTGAAGGTGTTCATGGATATGTTGGGCAAGACTAGGATAATGGACCCACGAGTGCAAGGTCATAGCATGGACGCGGTGGCCAAGCTTCTCGGTTTCACTCGCATCAAGAGTGTTGACATTATCAACATTCGATGGATGAATGTCCATTCAACAAAGAACGATCAATCAACATTTACAGGACCACTTGAGCTGATCACTTCTCGATCACAAACATTCGATATCGCTCGCGTCAATGACAATGACGTACGATCATTCTGGAGACTGTGTCTTGACAAGCTCAGTCCAGAGTTCATAGGCAAACTCAATCAGTTCGCGTGCAATGTGGACAGTTTGCCAAAGACTGCCATCATTGATCTTCACAAGTGTTTCACAGCCATGTCGAGCGCTCCATCCCATGACGGGTTGCTCAAATCATTCGACAAAGCAATTGGCATGTCATGGGCATTCATCGGCCCACTCTTTGACAGCAAGTTCGTCACACTGTTGTCCCGTATCTTGGATCTGCATCCCAGGAACAAGACATTGTTTGATTGGTTCTTGGTCCACTTCACAGCAACACATCGATTCCATCTTGACCATGACAACGTCATTGATGCCGTGGCCTCGTTCACAAAGTTTGTCGACTCTCTTACAACCCTGATCGAAGATCATGGCATTGACTCCATCGCCTATCTCTCGCGACCACCTCGACACATCCAGTTGTCGTTCCAACTCAAGAGTGGACGTCGCAACCTACAATTGGCTATTGATTCACTCAACAAACAAGGCCGACTCAGACATTTCCAGGCCGCAGTTCTCGACCTACTACCCCCGCGCCAACGATCACATCGAGTACCTGGTCCGACACGCCGTCAAAGACAGTCATCTCGTCACATGCCAGACAGTCCTGGCCACGTCCGCCTCACACAACGCCAGACATGTGCAGAATGATTGTTTGTGCTCTGCACTCATACTTGATGTGTTTGCTCGCATGAGCCTGCTGGAATTCAACCACACGCATCCATCATTCATCGTTCAGCTACTGGCCAGCCTTCGACGTCTCCTCGCAATGGACCCAATCCACGAACTACCAACAAGTTGCAAGACATCATTGATCAAGTACCTGAACACTCTGTTGTTGGACGACTACCAAGATATATTGATTAATGGTGACATGGAGGCAGCTGGCCACATTGATCAGATCATCTCACTCACTCCATCACTTTGTAGAGTAATCGGTCATTTCTCTATTCCATCATTCATTCAATCAATGATCACAGTCGATCGCAATATGACCCTTACAGGCGCTCAATCAATCCAGGCCATGCTCAGTTTGATCCAACAGCTCCTGTCACCGTGGGCCAGATCAATACCCCGCACAACCATCTGGAACAGTTCCAACAACTTTGACAGCATCACCAAATTGTTGTCCAGTCACCAGAGCAAGGATATTGAGGGCAAGCTCAAACAGAAAGAGTTCACCGAGTTCTGGAATCGATTCACCAACATCGATCACAACCAATATCCTCTTTCAAAACTGGATATGGACACGACCCACCGAATCTATCTCAAGATTGTTCAGTTGCAGCAATCGATGGACAAAGATCCTCAACAAACATTGATTGATCGCCTTAAAGAGCTGGCGACAAAGGTGCCCAGACATTCTCGCCCACTCATTAATGCGCCAGACATCGCTGCTGAAATGCTTGCCAGGCTGCGTTGGCTCATTCTGTACCAGTTTGGCGTGTTCCCGTACTGCACCCAAGTGATCTCAGTCATTGACACTTCACTCAGCTCTGCACGTCTGGCCATCACCATGTCAACCGATCACAGCTTCATCTTCAAGCCACTCTCACTCTATGCACACGCCCATGTCACCATCCCAGTGACCAACAATCATGTGATCAAGGCAAGACAGGTGATGGTGGATGCTGCCCACAAGCTACCATTCGATGCCCAAGGTATCAACCGAGCGATTGAATGGGCACAAGCATTGAGTGAAGCAAAGGTCAAACAGTTGTTGATACACGCACTCAAGTCATTCGAGCTCAAGGAGGATCATGACTATGCTGTGACAACACTTGTGGAGGACAGGGCATCAGGCAAGAAGACGGTGGTCATTGTGGACAAGGAGAACACTGGTCGACTATTCTTTGGATGCAGACATTGTGGTGGCCTTCACGAGTTCCTAGAGGTCAAGCATGATCTCCCTGCCGCACGGGGCAGCCTCACGGCCACAGCTATCTCTCATCCATCATACTTTAAGCGATATGAATGTCTCTTTGGTCTCACAGGCACGTGTGGTGACCAGTTCGAACGTAATGAGCTCAGACAGGTTTACAACGTTGACAGCTTTAACGTGGTGAGCTACCGTCCTTCAGAGCGCGAATCACTTCCGATGCAGCTGTGCAACACTGTGACCGACTTCCAGAACGCAGTATGCCAGGAGGTGCAGTTCTTTGCCGTGGCAAAGGGCAGACCCGTCCTCGTACTCCTGCCCACTATCGAGGACAGCCAAAAATTCATACCATTGCTCAGAGCTGGTGACATACATGCTCAGCTACTCAATGAGTTCCAACAAGAGGACGAGGACTATGTGGTTACCCATGCTGGTGAGCCTGGTCGCGTAACAGTTGCGACCAACACAGCTGGTCGAGGAACAGACATCAAGCTGACAGCAGAGTCACTAAAGGCAGGTGGATTGCATGTGATCGTTGGATTCTACCCAAGCAACAGTAGAGTGGAGAACCAAGGTGTTGGACGAGCAGGACGACAAGGACAGCCAGGATCATCCCGCATCATCTGTTTGGAGAGTGGACTCAATAGAGAGTATGTTGGTGCCATTCAAGCGGCGAAACACATGCTCAACATCAACGAGGTACTTGATCAATCAAGGACTAGATCATGCAAGGCTGTATCAGAGGCAAGAGTGAAGAAACTGCTGGGTGATCAAACTGATGATATACTCAACATGTTCTACGAGCTAATGGACAAGATACGATCAACTTGTCGCAGCAACGAGTTTGAGACGATCATTCAATATATGATCGATGGTAGTCACACAGCCAACAAGTACTCAAAGTGTCAATGCACTCATCAACTGTGGACATCATTTTGGAGTACATGTTCAGTATCATTTGATCCACAACAACATCATCAATCTCCAGATGTTAACAACAACAACAACAAAAACTCGGCAGCAACAACAAGCTACACAGCCAACGCAAGGATGGCAAAGTTGATCGCTGGAAGAGTGGAACAGATGGTTATCCAGAACATTCAAGAGGAATGGGCACAAGTCTTCACAGAGATGTCGGAGGGTGTGGAGTCCAAAGTTGATATGAACACTTGTCTTGCCTGGTGGAACAAACATTCAATGGCAGGATGTCTTTCGATTAATACCATTCAACATCTAGAGATAATTATATCTCAATTAATTAGATCAAATTAATAAATCGATACATACATCGACTTGGAAGTTGGAGTTCGCCACAGCCTCAAGCGTCACTCATCTTTGGATGCACCAATTGGTTCAATGTGATCCTGAAGATAGTGTATATCTTTAATCTTGTGTTTCAGGGATACTGTTTGGAAGAGAAATAGCCCTTCTATGAAAGGGCCTTCCCACTCTGAACCATTGCTCACACTCTGGAGCGTTTATCTTTTGAAAGTCTTCCAGAATCCAATCAAAATCAAAAAAGTAACGCCAAAAGTATAATAATAAGTTAGAATGAAACTTGGAAAACTGAAGTTGATGGAAGGTCAGTGCCAACTCAATGAAATAAAATTTTACTTTTCACATATCATAAGAAACAAAAATAAATATCTGGATCGAACCAGGCGCATTTTGATCGACTTTTACTTCCAAAGTCGTCAAACTTGCACTTCAAAAGTTGTTGTTCTTGATTCTTCAGGTGTGATTGAGTTTAAAATCCGAATAAGATTTGACCGAGATCAATGAAACTTTGAAATTTCCAGTGTATAAAGTTGGTCCAAAAGATGACAATATTTAAAGGTGATCAATTCAGAAGTTGAAGTATAAGATACTGGATCATCAAATAATAAATAACAACAATATATGATGGCTTCAAAAGGTAAATTAATTATTTATTTATATTGATCAAAACATAATTGATACGACCATATTGACCTTCAATTAAAATATTTAGATCAATCCGAACACAATGACATTGTGTTCAAAAGTTATAGGACCAAAAGGGCTGGAAGTTGTTCCCTACTTGTGTACTTCTTCTGCTACATATTCCTGATCTTCTTTGCTCCACTTTGGATCAATGATATCGTTACCATACCCACCGAAACCAAGGCCATATGCCCATGCCTCAAATGCTTACAGTCTCCAACCAAATCAGCTCCAAATGCACTACCTTGCAAGGACCAGATGACTTTCGTTTTGGAGGTGACTTCAAATCTAGTAACTGCCCCGACCTCAGGTACCAAACCAGTGATCTTTGCTTCTACAAATTTCCCAAATGAGAACCATTGGTATGTGGCGGCCACCTCTGATGAACCTCTAACATCGTTGACCCAGACTTGGGAAATTGACGGAGGATGCTATGGAGAAGCTGGTCGCATCTACATTGTCGCTTGTCTTCCAAGAGAGGGTGTCGAGTTCACCCAGGGCCAACAAATGCGTGGACCTCCTTTCGATGGATACTGTCTTGCCCTTGGAAGTTATTGTGGTGGAACTTGCTCCTCCTTGGTCAAGACACCACCTTACTGCCTAAGCAACAACGTGATCAACAACACCCTCTTGCTCTCGTCAAACAGTATCCCCTGCTCCAACTCTGAAGACTCTGAATCTTCATGCACTGATGTAGTCCAGGATTCAAACACGTTGTCCAGTGGCGCCGCCTCCATTACTTTCTTATACCTATCCTTTATGAGTTTAATCTCTTTCATGGTCCAACATTTCTCGCCATTTGGAGCAGCCCTTCAAAGGTTCATGGCTCTCTGGCACCCCAATGTGACGGAAGAAGTCATTCCTTTGAATCGACCTCCATTACCGAAGTGGAAAGGAAGGAAGAGACTTTGCAATTATGCTGCAGTGTCAGTGTTGTGCTCTGAAGGACCATTCCACTTCTTCCGGAACATCTTTGGAGTGGCACATTCCTTCTCTGGTATTCCCTACAAAAATAGAGAAAACACAACTATCACACACTACATCCTAGACAATAGTGGTAGGGATGCTCAACTTCCAAGGCTTTGTCAGACAGTTCTATCATCTCATGAGCAATCCTCGTTTGGACACCCGCAGCCTCTGGAAATTACTTTGCAATGTCCCATTCAGTCCAACTGATAAAGAAATGGAAGACATTCTTCCTTCAAACATCAATGATACCATCGGCAACCTCATCGATCAATGGAACGTCAAAAATCCTCCAAATAACAATTTCAACGTCAATGGAGCAGATGATAATGGATACAACTTTTTCGAAGTGGATACTATTACAAACTCTACTCTATGGAAGAACGTATGTGGAAATGGTATCAATGTTAGGGTCATTATTGTCAAGAATAATGACCTATCAATCACTGGAAAGGCGGCTGGTCTCCATGCAGTTGCCCAACACCATAAACAACTATCGAATGCCTACTTGGCCATCTTTGACGCCCGTCATATGGTAGGTCCAAAGTTCTGGAGAGCCACAGTTCCAGAGTTTGGAAAAAAACATTCCTCTACCCTTCGATTTGTTCAAGTTATGCAGTACTTTCCAATGGTCAATGCCGAGAGTGACACTTTCGATCGAAACAACTTCAACAACTACCTCTACATGAATCCAATGAGAGACCAAATTGGAACAGTCACAAGCTGTGGTACCAATGCCTTATGGCGCCTCGATGGAGACTTTGAGCTCAAGAAACTAACTTTCATTGAGGATACCGAGTCAAGCCATTGGTTCCCAAAAGAATGGTGAATGCTCCGCCTACATTCCACACTGCCTTGTATTGGATCTGCTAAGGAGCCCGAACGTTATGGTGAGGCCCCAGCTCGTTGGGCAGCCGGAGCAATCCAGCTTTGGGCTCTGGAGTTCGCGACTACAGGTATTGCCAGTATCTTCCTGTTTATTGTCTTTCCATCTCTGTGCACCTTCCTGGTGTATTGGGTGATCCATGCTCAGTGGATCTTTGTCGGTTTAACAGGCGCCATCTACCTTGTACTGTTATGCTTCATGTTGGCCATGAAAGCATTTGAGGTCAGTGCCTTCTTGGTAAGGGTCGTCAATGTCTCCTATTGGTTCACTGGTCCGGTCACAGCCATCTACTGGCTCGAAGTGATGCCCCTCTGGCTCCTGTTTACTTTGAGGCTTCCTTTCGTCTTTAACACTCAGGTGATGATGACAGGGTGCCTAGTAATCATGCTGGTACAATGGATTATGACCAACATTGTTCAAAGCTGGGCGGGTGTGTCTGATCTGTACATCTGGCGAGGTCAACAGAACTGGTTTGCTCTCTGGCCATTGGTCATTTCTTCCTTTATTCTGGTCTCCAAGTCCAAGCTTGGAAAACCCAGTTGGAAACCTAGTTCACTCCAAACTAAGTTGGTGTTTGTTGTGAACGTCATCGAACTAGGTCTCTTTGTCTCCGGAATCATCTATTCAATGTTCAGTCTTAGAACCATTATGAATGACCACTTGCTGGACCATAGCAACATGTCGGCCATGCTCCTTGGATTGCTCCTGACGTTCTACTCTATTAATCTTCAGTTCCAGGTGACCTACTTCTTGTTCTCGGTGTACTTTCATAACCTCAAGAAGTACTTTTTCCCCGCGGCTATCCCAAATCGGTTTGACAAAACTGATTCTGTAGGCAGAGAGATGTCCATCAGCATGAGACACTACATGGTCTTGTTACTTCTCATTTGGTGCTTGATCCTTTGGTTCTATCAAGGAAGTCAATGGGAATGGAGCCAGTTCTCTCAGATCTTTACCAAGGGTGTCCCACATATGAGATAAAGTTGTAGTACTAAACATTTATTCGAATAAAAATTTATATTATTATAATATAAGAATAATATTCCCCAATGGATTGAGGAGTGATCCAATGATTTTTATGAATATGATGGTTCGTTTAAATATATTATATGTATATTATTCCATTCATCCAATAAAGCAAACCTGGATTTAATAAAATATATATAAGTTTAATAATATTATTAAATCAATGGAATCCAAATCCTTCAGAGTTCTCGCTAATGGCAATCTTGAGCATCTTCTCCAGTTGTTCCGCTGAATCATATTCGGGCAGATCTATTTGATTAAAGCTATAAAGAATAAATAATGTTAGATACTATCATCATGGTCAATCATTCAATCAATCAACAAACTTACCAAGTATGAGCAGTAGGTAATCTATGAGCATTTCCTCTGATCCTGTGTATCTGGAATCGCTGTAGACCTGTCATGCCTATCAATGCCTTGAATCCATCAAGTGGCACCTTTGAAGTACCAGTGACAAACTGAAGTAGCAAGGCCTTCTCCTCGTTGCTTAGGTTCTGTACAACACTCCAGAACCAATTGATCTGAGACGACTCAGCCGTGTATCCGCTGTACTCTGTGTTGGCGCGCAGGTCGTCAATGTCGATCTCTGGGAGACCAGAGATGAGCAGCTCGAGCTCGAGCTCGTTGAAGATGCTGATCAATGTCTTGGGGATGAGCTCGTGGAAGCCCTCCAGGAAGCTGGCAATCTGCTCCTTGATCGAGTTGGTCATTCGTACGTTGGCCACCAATCGCACATACTCCATCTTATTGTCCTCAGTCACCTGGATGTTGGCGCCATCCGGCTTGAGCTCAATGACGCGTGTCGAGTCAAAGATATCGATCTCAGTCGAGAAGGTCAGGTCGAGCACATTGGTGATGTCGTTGTTGAGAATCCAGATGAGGTTCTTGTGGTAGGTGGGGTCGATCGCCTCCATGTCGGTCACGGTGATGGGCAGACCCAACATGTGCTTATAGAAGCTACGCGTGAAGAAGGCGTCGAGCATCTGTCCGTCGTAGAGCGCCTTGCCAATGATGCGTCCAATGAACTTGAAGTAGGACAGATGGTCCGGGTTGATGTATGACTCGGGGTTGGGCTGGAAGGTGACATTGTCCGCGGATGTCTTGAACAGGGCGTAGCCTGGGTTGAACATCTCTCTGGAGAGCACCAGGTACCACTCACGCAGCAGACCACCCACGTCAATGCCCTCCTCGCCTGAGAACTGGATGTGCAGCTTGCCCTTGAACTCATCGGCAGGGCGCATGCGCAGCTGTGTGTACGAGTCCTCAAAGATGTGGTTCCTGCGAATCTTGAGTCGGATTGAGTTGGCACGATCCTTCTTTGATTGGAAGAACTGTCTAAAATATGTTCGCTTGTTGTCAAAGTCCAGGAAACGAGGCAGCTTCACCAGGATCTTGCACGAGCCACTGAGTAGGGAGTTGTCCTGGCGCACAAGGTCGTTGATCAGGTTCTTGTTCTGCTCGACAAACTCAAAGAATCGCATCGTCTGGTAGTCGGCGGCTGGCGGTGTGTTGGTGCCCTGTGATGACAGCTTCAGTCCGGTCAGACTTGGCGACGAGGGCACTGTGTTGACATTGAGCTTCTCTGGGTTGGGCGAGTTCAAATGGAAGTATATCTCGATGAGTGGCAGCACCAAGTTGGACATGGGTACGCTGGAATTCTTCTTCTTTGTAAGCTGCTTGGGTTTGTTTGGCTCTGGCTGATCGTGCTTCTCAGTCGCGTTGATATACGTGAGGAATGACTTGATTGCATCCCACAATGTCTCAAACTCTGGGTTGTACTTGAAGTGCTCGCCAATAGTCGTGATCTTTGGTTCAGCTTTCGATGATGTTGACGATGATGTCGTTGTTGTGGTAGTAGTCGTAGTGGTGGTGGTGGAAACAGATTCTTGTGGCTCGATGACCATTTGGTCTGGTTGATTGACTGCTGGTTCGACAACTGCATCTGCTGGAGGAGCCTGTGGTGCTACAACAGCCTGTGGCGCAGCAGCTTGTGGCGCGGCAGCTTGTGGAGCAGCAGCAGCAGCTGGAGGGACCTCCTTCTTGGGCGCCAATATCAAGGACATGGTCTGGAGTGTTTGAAGCAGGTTCTGCTCATTGGTCGAGTTGGGCAACAGTGACACGATGAGAGACGGCGACACTCCTCCTGAAGACTCCTTGAACGATGACTTTAGACTGTTGAGGTTGTGGATCACCTTGTGAACAAGCTTCTTGGCCGTGGAGGTAAGCTCATCTAGTGTCGAGGCCCTGTTCTGTTCGGTCGTTCCAATATGTACAAGTAGGAGTGCCACCTTATTGTCGCCGCTCACAAACATGGCATCGATGAAGCTGTCGATGAACTGCTTGGGGAAGGTCGGCACCTCCTTGACCGTGTCCAGCACGGACAGGAAGATGGTGACCAGCTTCTCAAGATGCGAGGACTTCCTGACGATGTCCTTATTGGAGACGAGTGAACACAGACGCCACAATGGCATGAATGTCTCGTTGGCATCGCCCTTCTCCTTTCCCTTCTTGGAGGGTGGCAGTGGCATCGTTTGCTCAGTGCAAACCCACTGTACTGTGTTGCTGTTGTTGGAGATCAGATTCTGGAGAATGTCCAAGATGCGACGGATGACCAGCAGGGGCGGGTGATCAGCCTCCTCGAACGTCCTAAAGTGCTTGAACTTGAGTGTTGGGTGGCACGGGTCGTCCAGGGGCGAGAAGTTGTCTTTGACGGCGCCACGGTGCAGGTTGGGACGCTCACACGCCGTGAGTATCTGGAACAGATACTGGAGCAGCTGGTTCCTGTTGTCTGTGAATGAGCAGATCTGTTGTAGGATGGCGTAGAACTGCTGACGATTCCATGGCTGGTCGAGGTAGAGTATCTTGAGCAAGGGTATCAAGTTCTCCTTCTTTATCAACTCACCACTCTGATTGAGTGACGCCTTAGGCTTTGGCAACGGTGCATTCTTCATGGCAGTGCCACGCGGCAGATAGACATTGCGCTCGAATGCATTGCGCAGTTCGAAACGATCACGCTCACGCAGACGAACGGCCTCGGCATGCAACTCGGGTGGGAGGGTCGATAAGAATGCCTCGGGCTGGCTCATCAACACCTCCTCACGCAAGTCTGGTGGGAGAGTGGCCAGGAACGACGCGTTGTCCATCTCCTGTGCGTGTGAGATGTCGGCGGGTGGTGGGGCAGCTCTGTAACGCTGAGAGATCACTCTCTGCTGCTCCAATACCTGATTGCGTATCTCCTCTGGCAGCACAGCCATGCTGGCTGGGTTGATCACAATATCTGGTCTGTTCTCGGTCTGATAGATCGTTCCCAGTTGGGCCGAGATGACCTCTGCTCTAAGCTCAGCGGGGAGCTCAGCCAAGAAGGTTGGGTCAATGCCAAGATCAACTTGGACTGGCTGCTGTGGTGCGACTACTGGAGGTGCTGAAGGGGCAGGTGCAGGGGGTGCGGCAGGTTCAGAAGTGGTCGTAGTAGAGGTGGTTGTCGTTGTGGTCGTAGACGATGATGAAGACTGTGGCTCGTCCTCCTCCTCTGCCTCTGCCTCATGCATATCAACATCTTGATTGTTGGTTGTCTCGGCTGCTACTACAGCTGGTGATTGCGGTGCATCCTGTTGCTGTTGCTCATTGGTAGGGATGGTTGGTGGCTGTACAATGTTGGTCGCAATCTGATTGATATCCATGTTGTTCCTCCATACATTGAGATCGATGTCTGGATTGAACAAGAGTGGTGACTGCGAGATGGAAGATGGCATTGATGATGCAGATGATGACACTGAAGTCGATGGGGACGATACTGATGATACTTGGGGCGATTGCATTGGTTGTAACGTCGGTGTCGTGGTTGAGTTGCTTGTCTCGACCACCATTGGCACCTGTGAGTTGCTACTCTGAAGTTGTGGACTCGATGTTGAAGTGGCCTGTGTCGACTCCGTTGCGGGTGGCATCGATGATGACGAAGCCTCTGACGATGCTTGTTGTTGTTGCTGCTTCAACGCCTTCTCCTTAGCCTTGAGCTCCTTCTCCTTGAGCTTGAGCGCAGCCTCCTCTTCCTTTGTGATTTTGGACAGGATCTTTATCAGATCCGGCTCGAACGAGAGTGCGTAGTTGACGTCGTCCTGCTCGCGCACCACATTCATGTTGACGCCAACACCGGCGTTGGGCTGTTGTGGGAACATAGGGTACTGGAGCTGGACACCTCTTGGTCGAGGCAGATTGTTGATATCAAAGTGTGGGGGCATCTGCAGAGCGTTGTTCATCTGCAGTAGCTGGTTAAGCACGCCAGGGTCGATGATATTGGACAGCATTCGGGCATCGTTGACGTTGAGCCCCAGTATGTTGTCTTGGAACTCGGCAAACTCTTCGCCGTCAAAGATGTCGTCGTCGATCTCTTCGTCCTCCTCGTCGTCGGGGATTTCCTCGTCGTCCTCCTGGTCCATCTCTTCGTCGTCGTCCTCTTCGTCGTCGTCCTGGCCATCGATATCCATGTCGTCGCTGTCGTCAGAGTCGTCATCATAGTCACCGCCCGGTTGCTGCACCACGCGCTGATTCAGTGCAAGTCGGTCGCCCAGCATTGATGAGCTAAGGCTGTGGAGGAAGGTGTTGCCCATCGAATGCCATTCGTTCTCCTCTTGGCCATTGCGAGATGATGGGGGGTTGGCATACATCGCGTCGCGACTGTTCCTCAGGTAGATGTCAAAGTTGGACAGGGGAAGCTCAAAGATGTTGAGGCGACCCTCGTCCTTCTCCTTGTCCTTGTCGGGGTTGGATGCGTACTTGGTAAGATGACCGATTGTCTGCAGCATGGTGATCACCATGACCGACGCGTTGTTGGTGCTCATGTCGATGGCACCCAACACCTCTAGCAGCAGGTTGATCATGTCATGCTCGACCATCAGGCGGTACAGCTCGTTGGTGTACGCATGTGGTTGCAGGTTGAGAATGACCGCCACGAGGTTGACGAGGTAAACGATACGATTCTGGACGGCCTTGTCGTGCGTGAGAATGTACTCGCCCTTTGCCTTGGTCAGGTCTCTCGAGATGAAATCAATCACTAGGTTACGGCCAATCTGGCTGCCAAACAGCGAGAGGATGAAGCGAATTGAGGCGTGGTGCGTGTGCATGGCGGGGCCGTCACTAGGCGCGGGTACCAAGAAGTTGTCCATGGTATACTGCAAGATGTCCTCCTCGGGATATGTCAGAACGTTTTGAAGGAATACACTATTGTTGATATTGAGCTCCTCCAACAAGTTCAAGATGCTGGCCTTGGTGTACAATGTCTTGGACTCGTTTACTTCAAGCTGCACCTTGTTGTCAAATTTTGCCTTGGCCGCAGCTCGCGATGTGCTCATTGTGCTCTGTCTCTTTTGCTCGCCGCCTGTTGTTGTGGTTGGAGCTGGTGTAGGAACCGAGTCCTTGGCCAGCAGTGCCTTGATCAAAAATTCGGACACCTTAAAGATGTGGGTGGCATCGTAGCTGTCGGTGGTTGTGATCGTTGGGGTCTTTGCCAGCGCCAGGGTACTGCTCTGGCTCAGACGGCACAGGTCAGCACTGGCACGCAAGAACACCACGGGGTTCTGTGCAACGTTCTTGGCTAACGAGGTCAAGAATGTCTTTGTGGCCATGCCCTTGGTGCTCCTGTTTGAGCCAAGTGTGTTCTTGATCAATGTATGGTCGGCCCTGAGCATAGTGCCCTTGTCCTCCAATATCTGTCGAACAATGGCGTTGGCGATTGGCTGCGCATCACGAATGTTGCTTGGGGCGTAAACCTTGGCAAAGAGAAGGGTGAGACCGTCCTCCTCGAGGAATTGGAGGGCAAGCGCGTGTCTCTTTGTCAGCTCCTTGGTCAGCCGCAGCAGGGTCAGATCGATGATCGATGGCGGCACCTTGAGCAGGCTGATGCAGCTGTCCAGAAGCATGTTGAGCTCGGGGTCCACAGACTCGTCCTTCTTGAATTCCTCGTCAAATTCAAACGTGTTGGGCTTGATCGAGCCAAGTCTGACCATGTCAATGATTAGCAGCAACAAGCTGTTCAAATAGCTCTGCCATTGCTGTTGTGTATCCGCATTGTTGTTGTTGTTGTTGTCGTCGCTGATGGTGGTGGTGGGGAAGATGACTGTTGACTTGTTATGCAGTAGGTCTGCGAGGTAGCCAACGAGAATCATCAGGAAGCCCTTGTCTATGTACATGCCGTGGACGTCGGGTAGTTCGTTCAGGCGCTGGGTAATCTTGAAGTAGGCCACGAGCTGCTTGGCGTTTGCGATCGAGAAGTCTCCAAAGGCAAGCTGAACCTCCTTCATAAGGCGGTCGACAATCATCTCCTTGGCCTCTGGTGTCTTACAATCCTTGGTGATAAAGACCAGCATTCGGTAGACACTCTCACATAGTGGCAAGTCCTCGACAACGCTGCCAGTCAGCAACGAGAGCGATCGCTCCAACAATGTCGGCTTGATCTCGAGCGCCAATGTCTCGAGGGACGTCTTTTCCTTCTCTTTGGGTGCTGGTGGTGTTGCCACTGCTGGCTGTGCGGCCTCGGTGGCCTTGGGTGGCTCGTCCTCTGGGACATATGGATGGTTCAACATCCAGTCTGTGACCTGCTCCACGTTGTTTGATTGTAGGGTCTTCATGCCCTTGACGATGTGCTCACGGAGGAAGCCCATGTCCTGCAGGAGAGACACAGCCGCCTCGCTTGGTACAAACACTTGCGGCGCTGGCTTGGCCGGCCGTCTCTCTACGAGTGGCTGGTCCTCTGGCTTGTTCAAAAAGTTGTAGATCGCCTCGAGCACGTCCTTTTTCAGAGGGTACTGGGCCAATTGGGGCATGCCCCAGATCTTGGCCACCTCGCCCAGCACTGTGGGCAGCACGCGCTCGGCCATCAACTTGACTGGCGCGGTCTGAGCCTTGAGTGTCAGAGCGTGAACAGTGACATTGATGATGCGGCCACAGTTTGTGAGTGGTGTGTGTAGATCGCTTGACTCGCCTTGGTATTGCGCCAGCAGTTCATGTACAATGGCAAAGAACTTCTCGTAGAAACCCAGGCTGTGCAGGCTGTTGATGAGGTGGGCAAACAACAGTTTGGAGATCTCCTCCATCACGTGACCGGTGTACTTGGTGCACAGACCCAGGGAAGGGTCGTCATCCTCTGGGCGCCATGCAAGCCAATTGAACAGGTTGGTGGCGATGTTCTTGATGAACACCTCAGACTTGGCCTCGGTGAGTGACTCGCGCTTGTTCTGGGGATTGAGGCAGTCGACAAAGTAGTGCGACAGATACTCCAAGTCTGCGATCTGGCTGTTGAACAGGAATTCGTGTTGCTCAGTGACATTGGTGACGGACGAAGATGATGAAGAAGAAGCGGTGGACATCTCAACATCACCGCCAGCGGCAGCGACGGGCGCGGGTGGCTCGGCGACCACGGCAACAGGTTGCTTGGGTGATAGTGCCGATCGCTTTGAGATGGGAGCCGATAACAGTGAATTGTTTCCAATGACCATCTCCCAATAGAGTGCGCGTTGGAGCGCGCTGAGTGAGGAGCTGGCAGCAATGCCGGCCTCAACAGCCCACTCGTCCAGGACAGAGATGGGAATGTCCTCGGGATGGTCGCGGATGAGACTAGTGAGTATCTGTACCAATGAGCCAATGATGCGGATCGAGCGATGAATCTTGTCCTTGTTCTGCACCTCCTGCTCGACCCAATCGCGCACTATACGCGATGTGCGCCAGCCGCACAGCTGGTCCAACTCGCCAAACTGCAGATTGAGTTGCTTGATGATCTCCTTTAGAACAGCCGATGTGTTGTTCACGCTAAGCTCCTTGAAGACAACAAAGCTCTTGGTAGGACAGCTTGGGTGAGAGAAGATCTGTACCAGCTTGTCAAGACCGCCCTTCTGGATGAACGCACGCTCATTGTCGACGGCGCTGCCGTCACGGAAGAACACGGTCAGCAGGCTGACGACTGTAGTACACACGGTCTTGACCGTGGTCTTGTCCCCCTCAAAGTCCAGAGCGAGGACATCATCGAGCAACTTGACAAACGAGTCAATGATGATTGGGCGCATCTCGTTGTGGTGGCGGATGAGTTCGACCAGGCCTACGGCCACTGGACTGGATGTGCGATTGTTGATCGAGTACTTGGGGTTGGAGAACACTGATATGTACTTCTCGAGGAAGTGTGAATCGAGCAACACCTGCTTGAACGCCGAGTTCAGACAGAATGAGTTGAGCACGTTGGTGATCACAAAGATCAGTTCGCTGGGCAGCTCGTTGTTGGTGATGTAGTCAAACAGCGCACCGATCAGGCCGCTGCTCTGCAGCGCCGTGAAGCAGGTCGGCTCATTCTGGATGAGGCGAGTCGGCAGCATGATGGCCTGCAGCAGGATCATTGGCGAGAAGCTGCTGTGGTTCTCAAAGATACGCTTCAGTCCGGCGATGGAGCCGTCGATGATCTGATTGAGTATGGTCCTTGGCACACCGTTCGAGCTGACAATTGGTATCAGCGTGTGCAACATCTCAACCACCAGTGACATCTTCCTGTTGGTCACCAGCAGTGGGTAGTTGGCCTCGAAAAGTCGCTTGTCCACTTGAGTCTCGTCGAATGCGCCACCCAACTGTTGCTTGGGTTTCCACGCTGGCGCGGTGCTGCTGCTGCTGATGGCAAATGGTGGCTTCTTGAAGCGATGCTTGTCGACGCCATAGGTGGGCCGAGCGATGCTGCACTCGACCACCATGTCCTCCTTCTTGTCGACGACGTATGGATGTGCGATCATGTAGTCAATCTCATTGCCGAGACCCTGAATGAACTCGCGCAAGTTGTCTGACTCGCCAAAGATCTCAATGTTAAGTGTCTTGAAGAAGAGCATCATCTCGACGATGCGGTACGTCGCCAGCTGGAAGTTGATCGTGCTGACCACCGTGGTGTGCAGCTTGAGCATGGGCAGCAGCGACTGGAAGATGCCCGAATTGTGCAAGATCGCCTTGTTCAGCGAGGAGATGGTGAACAATAGGTTGAATATTGACTTGATAAAGTTGACGCTGAATGGGTGCTCGGCGGGCACCTTGCCTGTGATGACGGCCACACACTTGCGCACGATCGACTGGAAGAAGCCCTGCGACAGAGCCGAGTTGAGTGTGTTGGACAGCACACCGTTGAGGAACGAAGGTGAGATGGAAGAGAGTGCGTAGACGGCCGCGACCAGCACGTCCTGTGGCACGACCATGTGTCGTCGGAGCAGCTCCAGCAGCTCGTTTACAAAGTCGGGCTCCTCCACCATGATCTGTGTGTGGTAGGCCTGCTCGGTGGTGTGATAGAGCGCGTTGATGGACATCAGACGCATCTGCAGCCACTTGTGGCGCTGCTCCACCACGCCAAACTGCTTGGCCAGCGAGATGCGATAGAAGATGTGGAACTGATCCTCCTCAAACAATGAGTACTTGGCAAACAGGCCCTTGTAGGCAATATCAAACGCCGAGTCAGGGTTGCTGTCGACGTTGTCCAGTCTCACAGATATCTTACTCGCATTGTCAATGGCTGTGGCGTATGTACCAATATTGTCCGTACGTTCATAGAACTCTACATTAAAGCTTGTAACAGATGATGGTATCTATATGTTTGATTGATTGATTGAGTGAGTAAGTATGGTTGAATGATTGCGAGGAGGAGTGAGGGAGTGAGCGAGGACTTACAACAAGCTCGTTGGAACAGCAGGAGAGGAGGTCGAGATGATTCTCGGGGAAGCCTGTAGCAAAGACCTTCAGTCTAGGATTCAAATGATTGTGGATAAAGTATTCGTTCTCTCTGATGTATTTCGGCACCGACAAAAGTATATATAGTATCTTCAATATCTCACTGTTGACGTCATAGTCATTGAATGAGAATAGTTGAAGTAGTTCCTGTTGTTATGTACGTTCAAGTATTAGTTAGTATGTGTAATTCAATCAATCAATCAAACATATAACATACCTCGGATGAGTGGAAGAGATGACTGTTGTTGCAATTGGAGAGCAACAACTTGAGGAACTTGAGCAACTGCATCAGGTTGTCTTTGTCGACTTTGAACTCGGCGGCCTGCTCGGGCAGTGGCATCAGAACGGGAATATAGGATGAGGGAGGTCCATGTGGCTGTGACGCATTCTTGTTGTGGGCACTCTGTTGCTGCTGTTGCATGAGCTCACTAATGGACGGAGGTGTATATTTATGAATGATTCGATGAGTTATATCTTGAAAGCGCTCTAACAGGTCATTCCAATGACTGATGTCATCCTGTTGTGATTGTATAATGATTGAGTTAGTGAGTGAATGAACACATGATCATTCATTGATCGGTTGATTGATTGATTGAACTTACAATATCAAATGGCCATTCTTGGATTGGCATGATATACTGAAACATCCTATCTTCGGGAGCATTCAAGAGTAGTTCGATCAACTGTTTCTGGCCCGACTCCTATATGTTGTTGTTGTTGTTGATCAATGTTGTTAGTTATCTCATTCATTCAATCATTCAATCAATTGAGATACATACTACTTTGTAGGTCTTTGCCACATGTTGTTGTCTTGTCTTCATTTCTCTTGTGATCTCGATCAATCAATCAACCTATCAATCTCTCTATCTCTTTTCTTCTAAAATAACAACAACAACAATAATACAATCACAAGACCAGTTATATGATATGCTATGATTGATTGATTTGATTTGATTGATTAAAGTATGTACAATATGAATATATAATATATATAAGGATGATAAGATAGTATCTATACTTCTTATCTATATCTCTATCTCTATCTCTATCTCTTTATCTCTTTCACTGTGTTCAAAGTTAATTTACGAGTGTGTACGTGTCCCTCTACAACACTTCATTCACCTCACACCCATCATCATCCATTCAAACTCACTACTCCATCTTGAACAAACAAACAACCCCCACCAATCAAATTTTAATTAATTTTTTAATTTCCTTTGTGGAGCTTTATTGCGAACCTCCAACTTGTGAACTTCGATCAATCAATTAAAGTTCGAACATATCAATCATTTTAAGTAAGTAAGTTATTTACTTATTTTCATCATACCAGGTATGTCTGAGGAAATCAGGATCACAGTAGTGTCTTGGACATCCTAGGGGTTTAGATGGAATTGATACTAGGTAGTATCCTTTTGGACATACTGGTTTGGTGAGGATACATTCTCCAGCCATCACATATCCATCCCATACTACACATCTCTCCTGAGTACGATTGAAAACCTGTGCTAGTTCACTAAGTTTGTGAAGTGCTGGTAAAGTACAAATTGGTACATTACCATAGTCAAGTGGAGGGTCTTCTAAATTGATAAAGATTGATAGTATTCTTGGAGTGCCATCTGGTGAAGTGTCCATTGATGCTTGTACAATTATCTATAATTCAATAATGATTTTCCAAGTTTATGTTCCAACCATATTTTATTAATATACGGATTGTCCAAGTAAGGATTATAAAATGGATATGAAATTATTCCATTAACATTCTCATTGTTTACCATTTCCAATTCATACTCTTCTGGTGAAGTTTTAGAACTAAATAAATAGAAATAATTAATTAATTAATTAATTAATTAAAATGGGATTGATTATCTTTTTTTTGATTAAGACTTACTAGAACAAGTATTTAAGATTTCCAGGGAGAATGGGTTCTTGATCAATGTCCATCTTTGTGTAGGCTTGACGAACTGAAAACTCGACCACTCGTTCATTATCAACCATGTCGACGCGCCAAGTACCTTTAACAATACGATCATCTTCATCTGCTTCAAATAACTCTGTGGAGTTGATATTCGATTCAAACTTCAATTAGTGCACTTCAACAAAGTTATGACCACTTGCTTCAAGATTGACCCGATCAATCCTCCATGATGGGCATGGATCCCTTGGACATAATTTTCCAGTTGACCTTAACCAATAGAAAAAAGGTAGTGATCCAGGAATAATTCTTGAGGCATTGGATATCTCAAAACTAATATTAATAAATATAAATATATTTAATATTAATAATAATAATTTTCTATTCATATTATCTTTGTTGATTCAATAATGATCGTGATACTCTTCATTCTCTACTTATACTTTCATGATCCCCCTCCCTCCCGAGATCAATAATGTAGACCGGAAACGACAACACCACTCTCTCAATATCTCAAAGTCTGAGTGTTCTAGATCATGTGTAAGTTGTTCCAATATTGACCAACCCAAAAAATATTTATTTTATTTATTATTGGGTATCATTCCTACAACTTTGATACGATTACAAATTCTTCATCAATCCTTTGTGTTCACATGTAATGATTGAACTATTTTATTATTAATCTTCAATTAACAAATCAACCAAAGGTTGACCATCCAGCACTTGGAACAAGGCTATCCGCTCTTCAAGATCACGGATAATATCACCAAACTTGGTTGTGATCATACTCCACTCAACTCCACCCAACTTGGTTATTTGATTGATTGATGAAGTTGTTGGTGATTGGCTTGATCTAATATTACCTCCACTTGCACTTGACCTCAATTGATCACTGATCAATTGGGTTGGAGTCGGATGTCCATCTTTGGAATTGTTGTTGAGCTGAGACAATCGCTCATCAAACACTCGAATATCTTCGTTAAACTTCAAGATATACTTATTCCATTCCAACACTGTGTTCTCCATTTGACTGGTCCTTGGTGTATCCTTCAATGTGACTTGATTTGAAATCATGACCAACACCATTCCAAAGTTGGAAAGGTCGTGTCTAGGCACTTTGATTGCAATAGTCTTGTTTGGACAACCAATGTTGCCAAGCTTGATGGTCAAGTCTTGATCGACTACAAAAATATTCTCCAACCTGATGTCATTATGAATGATTCCAGATGAATGTATCTCATCGATGGCCTTGGCAACTTGTAGGGCGATCAAGAGTCCTTTATGGTATGTTATGGGATTGTTGACGAGGTAACTCCTGAGGTCGGTGTCATGTCTTTGATAAACCAATTGAGTGCTGTATGTGTCGTGATACACGCCCAGAAGAGGTAGGTTGTTTGCCACTGGCAATGATGTGTAGTATGCCTCTTGGAAGAAGGACAACTGCTCGGGGGTGGTTGGGACCCTGTGTGCGAACTGTTTGATGAAGACTTGATGGCCACCGAATACTCCTGTGAATGTTTGTTGCTCAGATGTTTGGTTTGAAGCGATGTTTGATAAGTCGGTGACTTGTAGTGTTGGGTTGTTAAGTTTGAATTGATTGGCCAATGCTTTGATATGTAGAATGCCAACCTTGTGGGGAAGGTCAGACAGATCATCTCGGGATTGTAAACGATTGAGGAATCTTGTATATCTTGAGATGGGCACTATCAACTCTTTCATGAAATCCTGGATAGGAACGAATATTCTTTCAAGGGATCGCCAATCAACTAAACTGTACTTTAGTATACCTTCCATTGTCTTCATCTTGAACTTGTCATCGATAATTAATAATGGCTCGACTAAACTAAAATAATATTCACTCGATAAATGTGTCCCAAGTCGAATATGAACAGATTGAAGCAGATTTCCAATGTCCGTTGTAAATCTCTCCAATGAGTGATCTTTAAATAGTTCCAATATGTATTGGTTCTTCAGTGTTTGAATGGTTTGTTTGCATTGGGTGTCCAATCGCTCACGAATTGAATTGATCACTGGATTTGTTATGTTTTCAAAGTACCAAGGTGAGATCTTGGACATGAATGCTCCAACTACCTCGAGTCGGGAACTCGCATTGACACGTAGGGTTTCAAGTGGCCTAAAGGTTCCACCTACTTGCTTTTCATAATGTTCGAGAACTATATCGACTGCTGCCTTCATTGCTGCCTGTTTGGATGCTTCACCTTGTTCAAGCAGTAGTTTGGGGAACATCATACATGTTTCTTTGATTTGAGTCTCCAGATCGTTTAGAAATTGGTTCACCTGTTTCGAAAAGTCCAATGGAGACGATGACGAGGACTCTCTTACACTCCTGTTTGGAATGACCAATGCGTAGAACCGTTGGCACAGTTCAATAATCTCATCAAGTATGAACTTAATGATTGAGTGTCTGATTGAGATGGTCCACCTGGTAAGGCGCTCGACGAACCTTCCAAACACCCTCTTACTGCCACTCTTGGATGCCAAGTAGTCCATTGAGTTGACCATTGAGAACTGTTCTGGCCTGGCCCATCCATCCAACACTGAACGTTCCTTCAAGTGTTGATAGATCGTAATCTCCTCATTGATCAGTTGTTCATCAGTCACATCATTGATGTGTTCAATGTGATGACTGTTCTTGTAGGCTGCCACATTGAACTTGGTGTTTGCCATGAAGAGATGTGAGTCCGCATTGAACCCATCACCAAACTTGACTTGCATGTTGTCGACAAAGTCTTGATATGAGTATACCTCAGCGTCTGAGAATGCTGGGTTGGCGTAGCAAAAGACAGCGGCGTTGGGACGGACAACCGAGAAGAAGTTGGACCGCATCTCTTTTAGGTTATCTAGCTTTGAGCCTGGAATGTCGTGCACCTCCAGACCGCTCTCAAGCATGGGTATGGGATAGCTGATCACCACAACCTTCTGCATCCACTCAATCATACCATCGCTGGCACCATCCTCAAGCGGACAACGAAGATATGGATCGGCCATCTTGGTCGCTTGCCTTGCGTTGGTCACTGTGGCTAGACTTACAACAGGTTCATCCTCGCACTCTTTTGAATCACCCGGAAGGAGCTTGAAGAGTCTGATTGATGCTTCGGCAAGGGGGGCGTAGCGTAGTACGGTGATACGAGTTGCTGACACAATGGGCAATTGGGTACCTAATAGAGTGTTGATCAATGTGGTCTTGCCCGAGCCAGAGGGACCAACGAAAGCCAACCTGAATTTGGATGTCTGGCGTGTCATGTACTCCAACTTGTTCAATCTCTCCTTTGAGAACAATATCCGAAGGATGTTCAATGTTGGCAGAGCAGGATCATCAGAGTTGAGTCCAGTGTCTGTTGCAATGTCATCAAGTGTCTCTTTAATGTTTGATAGTACAGTCATCTTTTGAGTCAAATTGGTGAATGAAGTATGACAATCATTCATATATTTAAGTCTACTCTCATCATCCTGTTGTTGAGGTGTTGGAGGAGGTACAATACTATCCAAATCAAATATATTACTAATCATATTATATATATGTATATCTCTTGATCAAGTTATGTGTTTATGTTGATGATTGAATGTTGGAAGTTAACTGGACTTGAACTTGAACGAACAAGGGGTTGTGGCGAAAGCAACAACTTGGAAAGTCACTTTGCAAAATGATGTTGTTGGCCCAACTTGAGCCTCTTCATCAAGTGTCAATCAATCAATCAATGTTTCAATCTCTCAGTCAAACAAACATTAAGTCATTCAGTATTATTATCTCTCTTAACATAGTCAGAAGTTCATCATGTTTGATGCAAATGTTAAGATGGGGTTAGGCCATCTGAGCGATCAAAACAAGATATTTTGATCAAAGTTGATGATGGGTGGCTCTTTATTGGTTCTCTCGCACATCAGCAAATTTCCATTGATGTTGTTGGCCAAATACCCATTGACCAGCCATCCTCGCACCCATACCCCTCAACATATCCTCTTTCTACTTCCTCCTTTAATCATTCTGTTCAAGAGTCAAGGATTAACCTTGTGTATGATACATCATCAACATCTTCATCAATCAAGCAATCAATCAATCAAACATAAATATTATTTATTTGTAAATATAATATATATATATTTTACTTTGTATCTGTATATTTATTTATTTATTTATTATATATTATTTATTTGTTTATATGATGGAGATAGGAGCACAAGTTAGAGAACTTGGAACTGGCGCACTTGGTGTTGTGGAGAAGGGCAACAATGTCGGTGGATGGTACGTCAACTTTGGTGCGAGACGTAATTGGAAGAAGGCCACTGAGTTGGAAATAGTTGGCAAAGCTGGTGAACAACAGTTCTCTTCACCGTCAGTAACATCAGGTATGTATCAATATTGAACCTTGGCCTTAGACTGGAATAATTCCAGCCCCTCCCCTACACACTCACTGACTCACTCACTCAATCAATCAATCAAATATTATTAGAGGAACCAATATCTATGTTATCGATTAACAACAGACCTGCAAAGGCTAGAGGCGCCATTAACCTTGGTAAATACTCGACTTTGCCTTCGAAGGCCTACTTTGAGGCTGTCAATGCTGCTGCCCCACAGTCAGCTTTCAAACCAGCGCCAGTCATTGCACCAGTTCAACCACAGCAACAGGTGGCACCCAAGCTGGCACCTGTTCCTGCGCCAGCCATCACCCCACCACCCGCTGCCCCAAAGCCTGTTGTCCAACCAATCCCAGCCTTCAACAACAACGTCAATCGCTCACCCATTCAATCACAACAAGTACAACCACAGCCACAGCAACAGATACAACATGTTCAGCAACAACAGATGCCAGTCTTGGCACATGTCGCCCCTGTCACACCACCCACTCCATCAACACCATCACATCACGTCCAGAAGGACATGTGGCACATTGAGTTCAAGGAGTTGGCCTTGGAGGACGTGATTGGCACGGGCAAGTATGGTGAGGTGTCACTCGGCACCTACCTGGGCACACCATGCGCGATCAAGAGAATCCTCGAGTGTTCGGAGGACACCAAGATCATGATTGAGCGTGAGCTCCAGATTCTCAARGGAGGTGCGCCACCCCAACATCGTTCAATTCCTCGGCGCCACTACGCACAACGAGGAGATCTACATCATTACCGAGTATATGAAGCGCGGTGACCTCTTTGACGCGCTGATCTTTGGCGACATTCCACTCACTTGGCGCCAGAAACTTGGCATTGCCCTTGATGTAGCCCAAGCCTGTACCTACCTCCAGGCACGTGGTATCCTGCATCGTGACCTCAAGAGTCAAAACATCTTGTTGACAGAGAACTACCGAGCCAAGCTCTGCGACCTGGGTCTGGCCCGTGTCTTTGAGGATACCGTCAACAAGAGATTGACCTTTGTTGGTAGTGATCGATGGATGGCCCCTGTAAGTTTTTGACCCTTGCCAACCCCCTGGAACCATTCCACTCACTCACCTCCCTAACTCAATCAATTAATCAATCATATTATACAGGAGATATTCATGGGCCAGGACTATGATTACAAGGTGGATGTATTCTCTTATGGCATTGTGTTGGTGGAGTTGATCACTAATGCTGTGCCAGATGAGAGGAAGCCTCAAAAGATGTTTGCCTTTGAGTCGCAGCTGTTCTTGAACAAGGTGCCGCCCGACTGTCCATCGGCATTCGCCAAGCTCACGGTGGCCTGTTGCTCGACAGACCCCAAGAGCAGACCATCGTTCAACAAGATCCTCGAGATCGTCAGGGCCATATATAACTCTATCCCTGATGATGAAGAGGAAGGTTATTAATCAGTCGGTTTGCTGGCTGGCTACTCCACCTCAACACCAATCCCATCAATCAATGATGGTCACTGTTCATATATCTATTTATTACAACCAATGAATCAATCAATAAACACTCCCATTATTTATTACATTACTTATTCTGTTTTGGTATTAGGGCTAGGGTTCCCTTCTCTGGATGAGTCCTTTGCCACCTTTTTTTTTTAATGGTTTTACATGTTTTTTTTTGTACTTGTACCGAGATGAATGAGTTGATTGATCGTCATTCTCCCCAACAGGATCAAAGATAAATTAACAAATAATAATATATATAATTGTCCTATTGTCGAGTGAACCAGGTCCGAGAAAGTGACTTAGGAGATTCAACCGCCACCAAGAAGTCCGAATCAGAGTCTGTTATTGAGACAACCAAGATGCAAGCAGCCTCGCCTAGGCATTCGTATGCAGACCAGACAGTTGCCAACATCAAGTGGGTTGAGGAGACTGATAAGACGGTCTCCAACAACAAAGATGAGTTCAATAGCAACAATAATGACCCAGCCATCACATCAACAGTCGACACCTCACCTCCCAAGTCCAATTACACATACAGTAAATATGAAGATGTTCTCAGACTGTTCAATCACCAGATGATGATGAAGGAGTCACCGGGATTCTACCACTGCACTGAGTCAATGGACCAGATCAAGGAGAGTGGATTCCTTCGAGCCACTCACTCAAATAATCCTTTCTATGATCGACGTCTAGTGGATCTCGATATCAAGGTGGTGTGGTTCGTCGTTAGTTCCTTTCCAAATGAAGAGAAAGAAATTCGATTGGGGCCATCCACCTGTTATCCTACAAACCCCAAGCGTTGGTACGCAGACAGGATCACATTTGAGAATAGTCCCCATCTATTCCCTGGTTATCTCTTCTGGATTGGATCTGCTCCCTTAGCTTCTTCACTTCAACACCATTTCCTAATGGCCCCTCTTGACTACCAAGACCTGGATTTCCTTGCGGCCCATTTCGATCCGATAGATAAATATCCAATCATTGGCAGAAACTTGCAAGATGGCTTCTGGTGGGCACTCCCTTACTATGGAAAGACCTCCTCAAATATTGTCAATGTTGCCGTTATTGGTGATGTAGATATTAACAAGTATAAACACAAATGGGAACAACAATGTATTAGGAACAGATCCTTCAATCCCCAATCCCCGAGTTTCACTACTACTGCAAGTGACTCCCCTGCAAGGGCAAGAAAATCGGCAGCCCAGTGGAGAGCAACCGTGGCTAAAGGGTCCACATGACCATTCACAAAGTACATGCCAGTTGCTTACAATCAAAGTACATAATCTCATATATGGGCTCGCCACCCCAGTCTAGCCCATCAAGGTCCCTTTCCCCTTCGAGGTAGTTAAGAGTTCCAAGCGTTGCAGAGGATGCCAAAGAGAATTAAGATAGTATAAATATGTATTTAAATGTATTTAAAGAAATAAAGTATGATATCACAACGTAATGTGAAGGAACGACAAAGTAGCGCACAAGGTATCCACAGACCATATTTTCAATGATAGAGTGATTATCAATCACGAATCAAACATGCACCAAACCAACAACGATCACCAACATGATCATTATCAGGTATTTGGACCCATTGTTCATCTTTGATTGAGTATTGATAGTTCTTTCCAGTGCCTCCAAGGTACATGATGCTGGAGATTCTGGTATCATAGATGATCCTGTGTATATCACCTTGTGGACGATCGATTGGACATTTGGCCAACTTGATCGATTGTTTGTTCGACAGTGTAAACTTGATCAAAGAGTCCTTGGCCAGAATATACATGTTGTCCACGCCATCAAAGCAGCATGGATCGAAGCTGTCGGTGCCCATATCGGGCAGGAGTACATCGGTGTTGCCAGTGTGCGCGTCGAATGACAACAGGCGTCCAGACGCCTGTACATGCACACGGTCGTCGTGGAAGTATGTGCATGTCATCGTCACGCCCACAGGCAGATGGCCCACCTGCTTGAACTCCTGCGTGTCAATGTTGAAGCTGTCCACACGGTCCAGCACCTGGCCATTGTCCTCGTCGTAGCCGCCAACAAGGTAGATGTGTTTGTCGCCGTCGTAGCATACGGATATCATGCTGCTCCCGCTGATGCCGGTCATCTCGGCCTGGTAGCACTGCTTCTCTGAGAGTGAGTAGCGCGAGTATGAAGTCTGGGACTTGCGACCGCCAAACACATAGACGCTTCCACGCGCGTAGACAACAGACGTCGTCACGCCGTTGAGAGATCGCTTGAAGGCACTCTTGATCGTCGTCCATTTGGCCGCCTCGAGTGAGTACAGTGAGACCTCATCGCACCTCAATGACATGATGTAGCCATCCATCTCATGCTTTACGTTGGCCATTGACGCTGCATGTGCTGGTGAGATTAGCGCAAAGCAAGACTCGATCTGTTTCTTGATATTGTTGAGCTTGGTCACATCGGCATTCACATGCCATGGTATATCAGGCGACATCGTCGTTCCATCATTTTGAGGTGTCAGTTGCATTTGTTGGAAGTGACGACTGATCATCAACAGGAGGTCATCATCATTCATGACTGAAGGTGGGATGGTTCCAGACTGAGTCTCGTCGTTCAACAATGCATGAGCGAACATGAATTGATTGATTGATGTAAATGAACTGATTGATTGGACCAAATCTGTGACATCCTTGGCATCATCATCATCATCTTCTCGAGTTTGATCATGTTGTTGTTGTTTGAAGTTGTTTACAATATGAGTGATGTCCTTGATCTCGCTCATGATCGAGTTGATCGTCGATTGTATCTGTGACATCTGATCATTGATGGGCGTCTTGATCCTATGCTCCTGTGCAATGATGACCTTGATCAACTGTTCAAAATGTGCAGTGATCTCGCCATGAGTCTGTTGTAACGATTGGTATGACTTGGCACACTGTTGCAGTGTACTCCACAACTGATCCAATCTTGGTGTACACCACATTGATTGATAATCCCTCTTTACAATGCATTGTCTAATACCAATGACATGGTCCAACTTGTGACCATTATGACTCTTCACCATACACAAAGGACATGCCAGCTGCTTACATTCAAAGCACATAAACTCAGTCCTCAAGTTATGTGTACTACATATTATTGTCATTGTCATTGCTGTGTGTATCTGTTTGATTGATTGAGTTAAGTTATTTGATTAAACTTTGTTGTTGAAGTCAAGCCAATGAGGGGTAACACTTCCAGATTCAAGTTGAGATGTCAGAGGTCACTCAAAGACACAAGTTATACATGTACAACTAGTTGTTGTTCAAGTACATCATAATGTTGAAGTCCCATCTCATACTTTTACATTCTAACATACAAACAACATAATATATATATTATGGGTAACATCATTGAAACAATCGATAGATTAGAATATCTTAATAACCAAACCAAGTACATGGCAAGCTTTAGAGAACTACATTTCTCTATTCCTCATTCGCCTTTTGCTGTAATTGATCAATCCAAGGCAAAGCAAGCATACCTATTGGTGTTCAAGTACTCGCTCGATCACCCTGCTGACAACAATCATCCACTTTTCCACTATGCCATTGTAATCGACTGGATTGGAGAGACTACTGACTTTGCCAACCCAGTTGGTAAGATGGTACACTTGGTACTCAGGAAGTCATCAGATGAAACCCAAGATGATATCCGAGTACAATACGCTGGCCATCACTACAATAAGAATCCTCCATCTCCTCATCTTTTAAAGTCTGTACCTTTGGGCAAGGTCTCTTCTAAACTTAGCGTAGAATGGGCGGAGACTGCCTTTGGTTGGTTCATCAAAGAAAAATGCAACAATGATACTCATTGGGGACCAATGGCCAACTCTCTCCAATTTGCCAAATACTTAGTATCCGATATCCTTAACCTCCGATGGCCCAAAGATGACTACAGCAACACACCATTGTCCATCATCACATTCTACCGAGACATCAAACAATGGACAAGTTCTCAACCTGAGACTATAACTGATACATCTTGTTAATATCTTGGTGCAGGCATTCATACTCCATGACGGATCCTAATTAGGTCATCTACAATGTGGTCCCAGGGGACCACTGGACCTGTCCTGGGGGAACTACTAGACCCCATCAAAACGTCGTTACATCATTCATTTTCATTTCAATCATTCAATCATTCATTTTACAGATATTCAAAGTCATGTCATCAGCAAAGAATACAATACTTATATCGGATGCAGTTGGTCTTGTAGGCGCTTTCATTATCACAGAGTTGGTGTCGATCATTGGAAAGGACGCCACGCCAGAGAACTTGGAGATTAGAGCTGGCTATCATACAGAGACTGAGTTGGCCAATGCTCTGGCCAACCCACCACACCCTTCATACGTCAAGCCCTGCTTGACCAAGTGGAAGGACGTCGCAAGCTTGGAGACGGCGATGCAAGGCTGCACCACACTGTTCCTGCTCACACCCTTCACTTGCGCGGTCGTCGCGCAGCGCAAGGTCTGGGTCGACCTGGCCATCCGACTGGGCGTCAAGCACATCCTGCACGCAGGCATACACAATGGCGAGTTGCCCGCCTCGGACATCCCCGCACACGAGGAGTGGAACCGTCAGTCGGAACAGTACATCGAGTCACAGTCACAGCACCTCACCTGGACTCATCTTCGCATCAACTTTGATGGATACAACGGAGTCGTGTCGATTGGCAAGATACAGTACTTCTTGCCCGCCGCACTCAAATGTGGATGGATAGCACGTGAGGACATTGCAGCTGTTGCGGCCCGTGTGTTGTTAGCCCCTGCCGATCACGCGGGCAAGCGATACCGTCTGTCTACAGAGTCATTGTCTTTAGAAGACATGGCGGCGATAGCCAGCGAGGTCGTGGACAAGCCCATACCAGCCGTATCACTCAAGCCCGAGCAATTCTTTTCGATGGCCACGTCGGCGCTGGCCAACCCTGACAACGACGACCAATACGTCGAGTATATGAAGTCTGTGCAATCCATGTTCCAAGGTCTGAGTGAAGGACTTTACATCTACCATCTAGAAGCCTACCCCGAAGTAGTGGAACAAGTCTGTCAACGACCATTCCTCAGCTTCCGTCAATGGCTTACCAACTCCCCTCACAAGGCAAAGTTATTACAATAACATTCCTTCATTCTTTCCTTCCTTCCATTCATTCACTCATGTTTCCAGGTTTGTTCATGTGTGTCCGAGTGTGTGTGTTTGGTGATCATGTGACCTTGACACATCACTTGTGATTGATTGAGTGTGTGACACGAGTGTGGGGTGTGGACCCTCGATTGACCAAGGGTCAAACCAAACAGTCGAGGTCACTCCAGACTTGTGACCTTGCCTCGGTCATCCAGTATCTTAACCTCCTCTTACAAACCTCGAAGCAATACCATACATGGGTCTTGTTGATCTATATCTCTGGTGAATCATGTTTAAATTAATTAATAGATGATTGTTTGTTTGATTATGTGATTGATTAAATGATCAGATCAAAGAAATAGAGTCCACCACTCCACATGTATATAAATGACCAGAAATGGAAATCATTTAATCTATCAATCAATCAATCAATTAAACAAACAATCAAATATACAATATGACTATTATGAGTAAGTATTGGATAGCACCTGTCATCCTAAGATTGATAACTAATCAATCAATCAATCAATAAATCACACATAGGAACCATTTCACAACTTGGATCATTATCCAATATTAACCAAAATAATAATGGTGGCCAGACCTCATCCAATGACTTGTCAAATGTCAGCCGGGCAATCTATAGTTCTCAACCAGGCCTTGCAGTTCAACAGACTTCTAACACGCCATCCTATTGGTTCTGGTGGTAGCCACTCTCCATTGCCAACTAGCTAGCTGGCAATATATATATATAGTAGTCGCCATGTGGAAGGATATTACCTCTGCCACATTCCCATCCATGTACACAAGTACACATGGATGGGTATTTAATATGTGTTTGTTTGATTGTTTGGTAGTTACTGTACTAAATGCTCGCTCGCTCAATCAATCAATCAATAAATCATCATTCGATCGATCGAAAGTGATTGCCTGATTATCCTGTTGTTGCTGTCTATGTCAAATATACATGTCTCCTTGTCGACAAGGCTCGCACTAGTTATAACCATAGTTATTGAATTGGTTAACCATCATTCCATAGCCAACCATTGGACTGCCATTGTTGTAGCCTCCTCCGCCATATGCCATGTTGTTATCAAAGTTGTTGTTGTATGGTTGTTGTTGTTGCATTTGATGCTGTTGATGTAGTAGCTGTTGTTGTTGTTGTTGTTGTAATTGGATATGCTGTTGTTGCTGCTGCATTGGCAATGGGAAGTTGTTGTTGATGACCACACCAGCGAATCCAGGCATGGAGGAGATGAGCTCATCGATGTTGGACACAACACCACCGCCACCGCCGCCGCCACCACCATTGGTGCCGCCGCCACTGATGACAGTGTCACTGCCATTGACATTCTTGTCGTCAAAGTACTCGGGTACCTTTGACTCGTCGTACTCCTCAATGATGTCAGGCTCCATTGGTGTGTCGGGGATCATGCTGGTCGTTGCGTATGTCGCACGAATTACCTGTTGTTCCCTATCCACCTGTGTCCTCGCTTCAGTGCTCTCCAGACCCGGCCGAAACAGGTAGCCAAGGTCGTCCTTGTCCAGGATGGCAGGTTGGTGCCAGGGCACCATGGGCCGACTCCTTGGCGACTTGAGCAGCTTTGTGTGTCGTCCATTGGTCTTTGATGGCGATGAGTCCAGGTTGAGCACAGGTCGATCGAGGCCAGTCGTCATGTCCAAGATTGATACACTGGCAGAGTGCTGCTTCGAATTGGATGCCAAGGCATTCTGCTTTGATGTCAATGGGGGAGAGGATGCAGGTGGTGTAGACTTGGTGGGCGTCGTCTTTGATGAACTGTTCGTGACCTTTGTCTTTTTTGATATCTTGCTCAGATATACATCTTCAATGACTCCATCCTTTGATGATGTGGACTTGGTGGGAGTGGTGTTTGAGTTACTGCTGTTGGTGTTTGTCGATGAAGTGTCACGTGACCTCTTCTTTGTGTTCTCCTCATCCGATGTCGAAGGCTTCTGCTTTGAGTCCTTCTTGACCAAGCCCAGCCACGACCTCTCCAGCTCGCTAGCCAAGTCCTTCACATTTGCATTGACATGTGTCTTGAATCCACGAACAGTCTTTCCAATTGTTCCTCCACCCTGAAGATGTGTCAATGTTGCTGGCAAGCCTTGAAGAGACTATGGTTATGTGCAGGTTATTAGTGAGCGCGTCCAATTGAGTGGACATCATCATAATGAATACCTACCTTCAATATCAAGATGATGTCACGTGGGATTGTGACAGTCTCATTGGCATACTTCAAACATGTATGTAGTCGATTGATACCTCCTTCCTCGAGAAGCCTTGAATGTGATTGAATGAGTGGAGCTGTTAGTATCATGTATGGACTTCATCAATCAATCAATCAATCTCATAGCATACTTCTTCTTGCATGAATTGCTGATCTTGCCATCGAGCACGAGGAGGTATTCGCGAATGGTTGCCCAGGATGAGCAGGCACCTAGCTCTTTGAGAAATACTGATACTTTGTCCGTCGCGGACAGGCCGCCCTTCTCATCCTTCCATGTGGACTGATCGATTGTCAACGACGTGGAGGATGTTGCATCGGTAAGGTTGCGACCTGCCAGATACTGCTCGAGGGTTGGCTTGGCCTGACCCTCGAGCAAGTCACTGGTTGTCAGTCTTGTCTGTGTCTGTGTTGTCTGTGTTTGTGTTTGTGTTTGTGTCTGTGTAGTGGAGCTGCTACTTGTTGTTGGGGCTGGCTGCGTCGACGCAGCAATCTTTGAAGTGTCAGCCTTCTTCTCCTTCTTCTCCTTTTTCTCCTTCTTCTCTTTTTTCTCTTTCTTCTCCTTCTCCTTCTTCTCTTTCCCTTTCTCCTTCTCCTTGTCCTTATCCTTATCCTTGTCCTTCTTGTCTGGTGTCCCCTTTGACTCCTTTGACTTGTCCTTCTTCTCTTTCTTCTCCTTCTTCTCACGCTCCTTCTTGTCCACCTTTGATTTACTCTCCTTCGACTTGTCCTGCGCAGCATGTGATGTCTTCTTCTTCTTCTTGCTACTGCTACTACTGCTACTACTACTACTAGTGCTGCTGCCACTGTTGTTGTTGGTGCTACCCTTGAATAGGGGATCGATGGATGACGCTGCCGCCACACCAGCTGCCGGCAGCTGTGCATTGATTGATGAAGATGCCAACAGACCTACAAATGGAGAGATGGAGCTTGCGGTGATATATGATGTGTTGGGCGATGGATGCTCAGTGCCAGTGCCATGGCCATGGCCAAACGATGATGATGATGATAAAGATGACGATGATGACTGTGAATGTGTCTGCTGCATGCCACTCTGAAGGTACTGCTGAAAGAGTCGTAGTAGTGTGACGTAGTGTCGCTGATGCCACCGGTACTGCCCCTCCCACTCGGTCGTGGGCTGTCGGTTGTACTGGCCGACAATTTCGTTCATCAGAGAGTGAATGGCATTCATCTCGGTGTGTAGGCGCGACATTATCAGACGGTCCAGTTGCATTGGGCTCTGACATAATGTGTTGTAATACTGTACATTGAGCTTCTGAACCATTGACAATATATAACTTGTCAGTGCTGCAGGTGTCGTAGTTGGATCAATAGATGATAATGTAACTTGATTGATTATATCCTCACATGATGATGTATATGATTGTGATGATGATGATGATTGAGTCGATCCATTATTAATATTATTATTATTATTGTTGTTGTTATAATGTTGTTGATGTTGTTGTTGAGGTATTTGATGATGTTGAGGTAGTTGATGATGTTGTTGAGTATGTTGATGTTGATGATGTAGTGGCAATTGAAGTTGATCCATACTCATACTATATAATGATGTCTGTTGTTGTTGTTGTGGATGTTGATGTTGATGATGTAGTTGATGATGTGATGATGATGATGAAGAGGATGATGTTACATCTACTGGTTGACTGATATAGGTATCTTCCAATAGTTGTTGTTGTTGAGGTAGTAGCTGTGAGTCTATGATCGATGTATGACCAAAGGTACCAATATCCTCACAACTTGAATGGAAGATTGAATCATCGCATGCCAACGATGAGTCCACTGCATAGTCAAGCATATCAGTGATATCATTGATATCATTGATATCCTCTCCTTGGAAGCTATTATCCATTGATTGTTTGTTTGTTTGATTGATTGATTATATGATTGTAATTGATTGTATGATTGAATGATTGAATGAAATGAATGAATGAATGAATGTATACTAAAGTATGATTATCTGATCTACAATCTACAATCTACTAATCTCTCTTCTTGTTTTATATATTGATGATATAAATGTTATATTATATATTATATTATTATTTAATGAATGGTCAACTTCTGAAGTCAACTTGTTCATCAAATAAAAGAAATAATAATGTTTGTGTGTGTGTTTGTTTGTTTGAGTGGGTTTGAACCCCCACAACAGGGAAAGGTGTGTAAACAAATCTTTTTATCTATTTTTATATTTAATTCAACTCCAACTTCCCTTTTTTGATCAAAACACTGATGTCTGTCTGGTTTAATTCCATATTGATTACTTCATCAAGGAAGTATTCCAAACCTTTATTAATTCTCCAACTTTATGTTGATTGATTGTTTAATAAATGATTGATTTATTGAATGATTAAAGGAAAATAAAACCCGGATATTGATTAAGATTAAGATTTATATTATTTTAATGACTTTGATATTTAGAATTAATTGGACACATTATAAATTAATGTTGAAGCTGCAAAGTTGAAACATCATCAAGCCCAACCAGGATGGAAGTCTACAAAGACATGGATATTATTTTTTACCTATCTAGTTAAATATATTATATTATATAATATTTTTGGTGTTACCCTGATGGTGATGAGGTTTTGTTTGCAGGTCCATCCAACCCTAGCCAAGGACAAAAATCAAATCACTGCTCCAAAAAAAAAACAAAAGAAATCAGAGGTGGCTCGATATGTATTCTGGTGATGTTGTTTAATGGTCAGGTGATTGATTTGATTGATACAAATCAATCAGAATCATCAGGCACATCAGGTCAGGTGGATGTCACTTGGCACCGAGAGAGAGTGAATGTTCGAACCACACACAACAGCAAGAATGAATGAATAAAGTCTCTCCTTTTTAATTTGTCATCACATGCCTCCCCATTTGACAATTCAACAAACACACACACATACAGGCTCTCACTTAGAGAGAGAGACATAAACAAACAAACAAAACAAACAAAACAATAAGACAAGAGTGTTGGAAAGAGATAGAGATTTAGTGGAGAGATAGAGAGAGAGAGTGACGTTTGGTCGTACCTTACTCATTCATTCATTCATTCACGGCACACACAATCAACCACCCACATTCTACAACACGACAACACCAACAACAACAAACAACACAAGACAAACCATAAGAGCAACAGTAATTGGTTGACAAACACCCCCTCAATCCACACACACCCACACGTTCACACACACACACACATACACAAAGGTCTGACCAACCAACACACACACATAGAGATACAAGAAGAAACAAACACAACCAAAATTGTGTTTTTTAAATGAGAGAGTGTGGGAGAAGACACCAACTGTTGTTGACACCTTGCCAGCCATCCAGCCAGCAAGCAAGCAGCTGCTCCTCCATCGGCTGCACTGCACCTCCTTATGCCTCTCACCATGATTCATTCTCCAACACCACAAACAACAACAACAACTCCTACTACTACTACAACTACAACTACACATACATCAACAAAGAACAATAACAACAACAATAACAACAACAATAACAACAATAACAACAGCATCGATAGAACAACAACAGGTAGCAGCAACAACAGCAGCAGCATCGGTAGCAATCTAGATTACAATAGTGTACGTACCTACTTTTTAAACTTAAATGCGATGGATATGTGTGTGTGTGTGTGAGCATATTGGATTGGATTGAGTTAGAGTTTAGTTAGGTCAATCCCCGGATTGACCTGACCTAACTATCCAGTCAGCCATCCCATCCAGTAAGACGGTCAGCAGTCATATATTAAAACAGCGCGCGCGCGAGTGTTTATGAGGTTGGATGTCTGTTCTATACATGCATCACACATACACAACACTCTACTACTCCACTCATTCATTCATTCAATCACGTGATCACTCACTATATCACTTTCGCACCCAAGTAAAATGATATGCATATACGGCATCATTGTGCTTTGGATGTATGGATGTGAAGTGAATGAAATGATATGAATGATATGAATGAGGAGGAAGTATGGCTGGCTGGACTGGATGAATGATTGGATGGGATAATAGTGACATCTTATCCAAGATTGGTCGCATATGACATATAATGGGCTGAACTTATCCCTGACTAACTCTACCCATCACCTCTCTCTTTCTCAATCCCCATCCTATCCCTCACACTTCACCATCATCTTCACCTTCACCTTCACTCACTCACTCCAACCTCTTTATCCTTGTCAATCAATCAAACAATCAAACATTCATTTGGTTACTGCAGTATCATTATATTCCAAACAGATTAGTTAATAATAACAAGGACAATCAACAACAACAATATCAATCACCTGCTGGAGGAGAATCATCATCATTGGCCTTAGACCATCATCATAATCATTCAATCTCTCGAAGCAAATCACCTTACTCCTTAGGATATCACAACTCGTTGTTCACATCGCCAGCAGGGGCAACTGCGGCGGCACCAACAACTTCAGCTTCGCCACCTCCACATCCAGCATCAACAACATCATCACCATATTATTATCCACCGCCATATTATTTATACGGCTATCCTAATGAAACTCATCCATTAGTACATCAACAACAGCTACAGCAGCAACAGCATCACGAGGCATCGACCGCATCAATGCTACAGCAGCAACAGCAGCTACATATTCAACATCAGCAACATCTTCAGCAACAGCAGCAACAACAGCAGCAGCACATACCTGTACATCATCAACAACAACAACCTCTGGAAATGGAGCAACATCAACATCCACATCACTATTATATGGCGCCTCAGCCACAACAGCAGCAGCAACATGGCATGCAGCTACCGCCGGGCATGTCGCCCACCCAGCCATATTGTATAACAGCATCATACCCTGCTGGGCCGCCTCAACAACCCCCGGCAATACCTTATTATCCATCGCCTGCCGCCGCTTCACATCTTCATCTACCGCCACAGGGAGCAGCACTTCACCGCAACCCCTATCTATTGCACACGTCACAGCACTCTGCGCCATACTATTCCCAACAACCACCTCACATGATGACCGCGGCACATCAACAGCAGCAACAGCAACAACAACAGCAACAGCAACTTCAACAACAGCAACAACAACAACAGCAGCAACAACAACAACAAAAGAATGTTGCTGTTGAACCTAGCTTTGTAGACGAAGCTGCTGGACACACCTACAACTCTGACGACGACAGTCAGTACGAAGGCCTGTCACACATGCAAAGGATCGTGGCGCAGTTCTACAAGACACTGTTTCAGTATCATCCCAACACGCAGATCGTCTCACATAGTGAGATCCCGCCGCCATCATCGGCGTCGCCAATGCCAATGATCGTCTTCACACCAAACATACCACAGCGATTCCTGTCGGCCAGCTCCAGACACTCTTCGTCCACATCATCGCCCTCCAGCGACTATGATCGATCGACGCCAAAGAGTGAGCGTTCTTCGTCGGCCAAAGAGAAGAAGAGCAACAACAACAACAATGACAGTGCACCAAAGAGGAGCGATCGCGAGAAGGAAAAGAAGAAGGATGGCAAGAGTAAACAACAGACAACAGCTGCTGCCAAAGACAAACAACCACAACAACAACAACAACAACAACATTCTGTAGATAGTCCAACACATATAGGCCAGGGCAAGGAGTCGAGGGTAACACCATCTCCGCCATCGAGCAACATAACACCAAAGTTACAACCACGCGTCAACAGCAGCAGCAGCATCAGCAGCAGCAGCAGTAGCAGTAGTGGCAGCAGCAGTGGCATCAGCCATGAACAACAACTATGTAAGAGTACTGAGGAGATGGCATCCACAAGCAAAGAGAGCATCCTACCACCACCACAATACAACATTCCATCGATCAACATCAAACCGATTGCCAGCGGCAGCAACGATGGACAGTCATCACAGACACCGCCTCAGCCATCTCTTCATCACAACGTCTCGATACCCCTGAATCTTGTTTCACAGGCACCTGGCAACATCAAGGTGCCCGAGTACTCCATCACAATCGAGCCATCATCCAGTGGCGCTGGTTCCAGATTACTTGGCCCACCATCATCGTCATCGTCATCGTCTTCATCATCATCATCAGACGATGTTCTTGACAAGAACAACATTTTACACAACACTTCTTCACCCTCTATCGCCATCCACTCACAACACAACAACTCACAACAGCAACAACAACAGCCACTGAGTAGCGGCGGCATGAATGGAAAGCCGCACTTCAGTCTGACACCCTTTGACTACTTCGAACCGTGGACAGAGGACCGCAAGAACAGCAATCCCTACTCCAACTTCTTCATGCAGGACTCGCGCAAGAACAGCATCGTGACACCGGAGCGCAAGAACAGCTTCCTGTTTGACCGCAAGAACAGCACCACGTTCCTGGGAGATCTGGGCGCCAGTCCTCTGGGCGATATCTCGCTGCCACTCATCCCCGACCAATTCTATCCGCGAAGGTATTCGATGGAGTTGAAGCCACCCGTGTCCAACAACATCTACGGCTCAGCCGGCACTCCTGGCAACTCAACAGAGTTGGATGCGGTGCTGGTTGGCAGGAAGCGATCACTGTCCCAGGAATACCTTTGGCAGCGTCGAGGAGCATCCCAGTTCCAGGCTGAAGCTGGAGCCCTCGGCAGTGGCCTAGCCTAACTAGTGTAGCATTGTAGACTCATTGGACATCAACAAAATAAAGTGTATTTTGAAGCAGTATCCAGTATCGTGTCGTCGTCGATGTAATATTTATTGAATGATTATGATGTTAATACAACTCTGTGTATTGACCATCACGCTTCTTGAAGCATGTTAGGCTGAGACCTTGCTTTGGCTCGACGAGTGGACGAATGATTAGAGTTCGCGCAGTCATCACAGCGTCGTGCACTCGCACAAAGAAGTGGTCACCTCCAAGATCGCGATACACTCCAGAGATCTTGAGAAGCTCCACAACATTGGCTCTGACGTCGGCGAATGCCAATGGTATCTGACAGTCGTTCAGCTCCCTGTTCAACTCCCTCAGATACTTGATACCAGTCGAATCGATGTATGATACTGATGAGCAATCCAGAACGATCGCCGAAACATTCGGGTTCTTTGTCTCGTCCTCGTTCTTATAAATCTTCTTCAATTGCTTACGAAGGTAGTAAGCGTTGACCTATATTGATGTGGATGGTTAGTCTGTGTGGTGATTCGGTTGTCATCAATCAATCAATCACAACCAACTTACAAAGAGAATGGGTGCATCGAATCGGTAGACGACCACGTTGTTCTCGGTGATGGCCTCTGGGTAAAGCTCGATATCGTTGTAGGTTGTGGTTCCAGGGATACGTCCACAGATATATGTGTTGGGCCGCGAGCTCTGGTAGATTACAAGAATGAGTGAGAGTACCACTGCTGTGGAGATACCGGCCTGGACTCCCAAGACGATCGTTGTCCAAAAGGCGACCAACAACAGCATCATGTCAATCTTGTTGATCCTCCACAAAAGTTGAATCTCGCCCAAATCGATCAGTTGCATGACTGCAAAGATGACGATGGCAGCCAGGACGACCTTGGGAAGGTAGTAGAACACTGGAGTCAAGAAGAGCAGAGTGAGGCCGACGACCACCACTGAGATGATTGTGGTCAGCTGGGTCTTGGCGCCAGACGATACGTGCAGCGAGGTTCTTCCAAAGGCACCTGCGCATGGGTAGGCTTGGAACACCCAACCAAACAAATTGGCCATGCCAAGTCCAATCAGCTCGCTATTCAAGCTTAGTTCGTATTTACATTTGTTGGCAGCGGCCTTGGCAGCACTGACCGTCTCGATCAATCCAACTATTGATTGATTGAATGATTGTTAGTATGTCTGTGACTACCACATTGATCAATGGTATCGCAGTGTAACCTTACTAATTGGTATGATTATAGCCTCTTTGTAGAGTGATAGGGCTACGTTGGTGTCAAAGTACTTGAACTGGCCAAAGGGTGTTGGCAAGCTTGATGGGATGGGACCGACCACGGACAATCCCTTGCCCTCCAAGTCGATAAAGTATGATGCCAGTAGGCCAAGTACTACAAGGATCAATGGTGCAGGGATAGGGATGGTAGTCTTTGGAATCATCTTGAAATGATTCTTAAAGATGTAGAGCAAAGCGAAACAGATTATGGCAAGAACAACAGATATCCAATTGGTATCGGGTAGATTCTTGATAATCTCCAACACATACTTCCATGCGTACTCTTGATTGCCACCCTTGATACCAAACAAGAAATTAGTCTGGCTTAGTATAATGATGATCGCTGCTGCCGATGTGAATCCACTATAATAGCGCGAGGAGTATGAGTGAGTATGTTGATCATTCAATCAATCAAACATGAACATACCTTAGGACAGGTCTGGAAAGGAAGTTGATTAGATATCCGAGTTGTAGGAAGCCCATAATGAGGTAGTTGATTCCCACCATTACGGCGAGGAGGTTTGCGTAGGGGACGTATTGCTCATCGGTTGGGTTCTGACCTTGGACGGCCGCTCCCACCATGATGGACATGAGGGCAAGTGGTCCGACAGCCAAATGCTTGGAGCTGCCAAAGAAGCAATATACGAATGATGGGACGAAGGCGGTGTACAGACCAAGGATGGGTGGCAGGCCAGCCAGCATGGCATAGGCCATCGACTGGGGAATGATCATCGTGCCCGATGATATTCCCACACTGATGTCATTCTTGAGGAACTCCTTCTTGTAGGTGGTGATTAGCTCGATGATCGTAAACTTGCGTCTTAAGAACTTCTTGATCACCTGGGACACTGGAGGCTTTGGTGGTTTTCCGCTGGCATTAATATCCATTCCATCCACTGCCTTTCCCTTCTTCTTGGCGCCTCTCTCCTTTGTTGTGATTGAAGATTGGGTCAAAGTTGGTCTCGTGTCACCCTCTACATATGTGCACCAAAGGTTAGCAAGCATGTCAATGGCCACTGATCAATCAATCATTCAAGGATGAGTACTTACCGCACAATGCTTGGTATGCCAATCTAAGATACTTGATTACTTCATAACCTTCGGTACCGACATAGTTTGCGTAATGATCTTCCACCTCTGTATGATTGATTGAATGTATGTTAATGGGTGTGTGGACGGGATGGATGGGATAGAGCTGGAGGACATACCCTGAGACCATGTGGTGTAGAGCAAAGACTTGATCTCTGTCACATTCTCTCCATTGAAGTGCTTCTCATAGAGCTTGGTATAGAAATCCAGGTTGGCAGCCTCCCATTGCTTCCTCTCTTCGGCATTTCTGTGCTCAATAATGTCAAGTGCCTTGGAAATGAACTCGGATGCTAGGGTAAGGGTGAGGGCGAGGGCGAGGGCTGGGTTAGACGATGATTGATGTACAGGTCATTCATGATCATGATCATACATACCTTTGGCTGATTCAGAAAGGTATTGGTTAAGGGATGGCGCGGTCTCATTGAGGACAACCTCATCGTAGGGTGACATTAATGGAGATTGGAATACATGGTCACGATCAACGTATAATTGAGACTTGTCCTCCATCTCAATGCCAAGGTCTTCATTGTTGTTGTCATTGTTGTTATTGTTGAGTATTATACCACCACCTGGTCCTCCACGTAGTTCATCAATCACTACAGATGGCAGTGGAGAACCGGGTGAAGATGATGAAGTGTTTGAATCTGAATCATTGAAAGGTTGTATATTATTACTATTATTATTATTATTAATGTTGATCGGGTCCAAGTTATCTCCGCTCCTATTCATCACTCTTTTTAATTTGATTGATCGATTTGTTTGATCGATCGATTAAGATGTATAGTGAATGATTGATTGATTGATTGATATAATATGTCAAACAGATACAAAGTAGAAATGTAAAGATACAACAAAGATAGAGAGAGAGAGATAAATAAAGATAAAGATAAAGTAGGTGTGAATGAATGGATGGATGTACAATGGTTGGTGTCAGTCAGGCTGAGTGACATGTTTTCACCAGATTCACCAAGCGTGTGAACACTGGTGATTTTAGACCACATTTAGTGTCAAAATAATGATTTTAAATTAAATTGAGCTAGTGAGAGAATTATTGGGCTGTCAGAAGTGTCAAACAAAAACCTTCGTCTTGATCCTGGGCTGTTAGATGGATTTGGAACCACCCCGTCATCAAAGTCAATTGATTTATTTTTGGAATGATTTTGTCAAAAAAAAAATGTTTAATTGGTGAAAGTGGGGAGATATCAACTTGACCATGACCAAACAGATAACTATGTTCAATCATCATTGACTCCATCGACTATTCATTCATTTATTCAATCAATCCATCAAACTATCAAACCCACCAACTTGGTAGCACAGACACTTTCACAATCAAATAAAACAGATTGTTTTGATTGAATGAACAGTGCTTGATGATGTGTGAGATCTGAAAGGATGTGGTGGGTTTGAAGGAACAAATTGGTTGGGATAATAATAACTCACACTCATTCATTCACATTCATTCAACTCATTCAATCCTTTGTTTCAACAAGTAATTATAGTTGGAGATAGAGATTGAGATAATATCTATCTCAACAAACAAACAAACAAACAATGGATGAAGATAAAGGAGGAACTAACAACAACAACAACTCAACATGTACAAGTGGCAGTTGCAATGCATTCGACACTGTTGACGAAAGATACAAGAAAGGATTCCATCCAAGTAAATGGGAGTTGGCCAATGTGTTCTTGAGTAACTTTTGGCAACCATCTAAATGGAATCACATCATAACTCATATGGGTAGAACAAAGCCTGTGCTCAATGAAGGAGATCAATGTCCCGATGCCAATCTACTAGAGTTTAGCACCGGCGATGGCAAGAAGGAGGTGTACACCACTGGCAACGTGTCGATCTATGACCTGTTGCAGCGTAATGGCCGACCCGTCGTTCTGTTCTGCGGAAGCTACACTTGACCCCCATTCCGCGATAAGATGCCCTTGTTCCAAGAGATCTACGAAGAGTTCAAGGGCTTCGACATCGACTTTTACATCGTGTACCTGGCAGAGATGCATCCTGCCGACGGTTGGGTCATTGGTGGCGACTCGATCAGCACATGTTACAAACAACCAAAGACAATGGAGGAGAGACTGACCATTGTGAAGGCGCTCCAAGAGTACAGTCCCAATGTGACCATTCCCTATCTGGTTGATCTGATCGACGACAACTTCAATCAAGTCTACGATGCTGTGCCCGAGCGTCTCTACGTCCTCGAGAACAACAAGTTCTCCTATGTTGGTGGTCCTGGACCTTTCCAATTCATACCCGAGGAGTTAAGAGAATACCTAACAAAGAGATACAAGTCAAACAAGTAATGAATGAATGGATGTCATCCGGATAACTCTGGGAATAGGCATATTTGATGATGGATGAATGATTGCAATTGTGAATAGTAATGACGTCCAACCAAGCTAAACTGATTGCCAGTGCTTGTTGGATTGATACCCTTATACACAATGCATTCAAAGTAATCCAAATCAATGCCGCCACCATCCAAGTAGACATGGATACACCCTTTCAAACAAAACATTAAAGACAAGATATAAGACAGGAAACAGATAATGGATGATGAGTGGCTATATTACATTGCACTTCTACATGGAGCCTCGCGGCGGAAGATTGGTTGGTGGATGGATGGACGGACTGATGATTGTTCTAGAAGGTGTAGGGATAAGGATAGGCAGGATGTCCGTTGGGGTAGTAGTAGGAGGGTCGGCCCTCGAATGGTCCTTCGTAGGCTTGGTACATATTGGGCACGTGAGGGGGCGGTGGATGCTTCAAGGGAGGGTTGGTCGGCGAGAGTTGTGGTGGCTGGGCTTGTTGTTGAGCCTGTTGCTGCGCATCCAGTCTCTGCTGCAGACGCTGCTGAACCACCTTCTTCTGGCTGGTCAGGCTGGGCGACTCGGTCGGTCCACCCTTGGCGAGAGTCGGTCCGCCCTTGGAACCACCTGCCGTTGATGGTTGCTGTGGCTGTGGTTGGCTGGCTGGCTCCTTGCCGCTGAGCGAGAGGTGTGGCGGCTGCTGATGGTACTGTGGAGGGTGTCTTGGGGAGTGATCGATGAAGTACATTGGTGACGAGGTCTCGTGCGAGGGGTGGCCGCCCATGCCGGGTGGGTACTTGGCCGGGTGCATGATGGGCGAGATGGGGTAGTCGACGGACGAGCCCGGATGCTTGGGCATCATCAGGAACTTCTCGAAATCCATCATACGTTGGGTGAGCAGGTGGATGCGTTCCTCAATGCCAATCATGTACGACTCGTTCTTGGTGCTGAACTCCAAGATGAACTTGAGAGCGCCGTCAATCTTGCGCGCCTGGTCGTTGTAGCCTGCCTGGAACTCGTTGTTGAAGCGTATCCACTCGCGAGTTACACACTCCTGCACGGTGGACTGCAGCAGCGGCGACTGGGGTGGCGAGCTGGTGCTACCACTGCCCTTGGAGCCGGTGGCCGTGATGGCGCCGGACCGCGGAGATACGGTGCTGGGGGGTGAGCTGCTGAGCGTCGCCACCTTGGACCTGAGGGACTGCAGCTCCTCGCGCAGTTCGTTGAACTCCCTCTTGGTGATGTATATTGGTGTGTTGTCGTCGTCGTGACTGCTCGTGGAGACACGAGCAGAGCTATGTACAAGTGAGGAGGAGGATGTGGAGAGGGAGGAGGTGGGAGGTACGGTGGATGGTGATGGGAGGAGGGAGGATGATGAGTGGCTATTCTTTATCTGCTGTTGCTGCTGCTGCTGTTGCTGTTGCTGTTGCTGTTGCTGCTGCTTTGTGATGAAAAGGTTTGGCATGTCATATTTGGATGAATCCTTCTTGTCGTTCGATGGCTGTGAGAGTAGACTGTACAGGCCGACTGTGGACGATGGCGTTGATTGGCCAAGCTCACGCGGCGTCTTCATAGATGTGCGCCCGCTGCTGCTTGGACTCAATCCTGGCACAGCCACAGGCGCGCTCTCCACTGAGTCCAATAGTAAGTTGAGCTTGCTCATGGACTACGAGGTCAGGTGTTAGTGTGTGAGCGTGGACTTAAGTTCCAACGAATGAACCATAACATACATGTTGTCTAGGTGGAGGAGGAGGATAGTCGGGAGATACACTCCTGGAAGGAGAGGAGTGTATTGAATCTTTCAACTTCTTGGTTGAACTGCTGTTGTTGCTGTTTTGATCATCTATGCCCAGTTGTTGTGTAGACTGGACATTTGTTGGCGGAGACTGCGAGCCTGAGCTCCAATCTCTCTTCTTCTTATTGTTTGTTGTACTTGTTGATGTTGTTGATGTGGGAGATATTGGACGTGCATTGCTGTTGCTGTTGCCATCCATGTTGGATGGCGATGAAGTTGATTGAGATGTTATAACTGACAATATTCCATCCATAACTTGGTCAACGTGAGGAGATTACGTTTGCCGTAGTTAAATGTATATGTATAAGTTGTTTGTTGGCCGTTAGGTATACGTTGATGGAATAAAAGATGTCAGGTGATAGTGTCAGGTGACCGGTCAAGTGTGTATCAGCTGATTGATGTTAATATTGATGGAATGATTGTTGTAAGTTGAGTTTGAATTGGATCAAGTGGTAGTAGATGGATGCCAGGTAGACCGGCAGACAGACAGGCAGCTGGATTGATGGATGGCGTGTGGAGTGATGGTGATAGCGATCAATGATGGCGTGCTGAGGTGGACTGTACTGCACCGCTTGTGGACATGTGTCTACAACGACAAGACAACAAGAACAACCAAGAACACACACACACACACACAGAGGTGTTGAATGATCAGAGAGATGGAGGAGGAAGATGAATTGATTGATCGAGGTTGCAAAAATGAGAATGAGCAGTACTTGTTGCTTTGAATAGGTGAAGGCCATGCCGTGCCTTGCCGTGCCTTGTGCTGACCTGCTCACTGCTCGCACCTTCTCATGTTCATTGACCAAGCAAGCTAGCCAACAAGGAGGCATTTGTGTGTGCCACACTTACAACAAGTGTGGATCTTGGCGCTGACCAGACATGCCTCGTGCCCCGACTTGGAATCAATCAAACTTTAAACTCTGTCTATGACATTCCAGATATCTCCTCGTTGGGCTGCGAGTAACTAAGTAAGGTACAGACTGACTGACTGACTGGCTGGTCGGGGCAGATCAAACAGGCGACCAATAGGCTAATGCGCAAAGTTCACTGGATGGATGAACAACCACAGATGTATCTGATTGTGTTTGCATCAATCAAGATGTCAATCTCCACATACTCCTCGCTCCCATTCGCTGATCACCCCCCACCACCCGCAGGCCTGTACACGAGGCTTTTCGCGGACGGAAGGGCAACAACCCCGCTTTTCGTTTCGTTTTTTGCAAAGGCATCGATGCCTCGAGATTGGTATCTGGACCACTATTAATGCAATCAACATAGCGAGGCGGATTCCCCCATATCGTTGTGTCGATTTGATAGCGAGTCAAAGCCATAGAGTGAATGGATGGTCCGTGTTGCCTCGAGGTGCTGTATCCGCATCCATCAATGATCAAAGGGAGTGACCCTTTGACGAGTGTGCGGGCCTATACCCATGCGATCTGGACTAGGTCTACATAGATGCCAACCATCTATCCCATCCCTGGCAAGTCATCGCGAACAACTCTCTGTTTTTGGACAGCCGCGATGGACTTGGATATCAAAATCAAGAGAGGTCATGTCTGTGTGTGCGTGTGATTGGATTGATTGATGGGTGGATGGATTTTGATTTGATTGAAGGGCGTTGATGTGACGGGGATGGGGTCGGGATGGGCTTGTCACTTAATGACAACCATGGGTTTAGTTGTTGACCATCACCACCTCCTATCTGTATCTGTAGATGTCACCTTGGCAATGAGATTATCAGACCATCAATAGCGCACCTCTCCCTCTTCATCCATTCCTTGTTCAACATTACTTGCCTTCATTAATCAAACCAATCTTGACATATATCTGCGAAGAAGATAGATAAAGACCTGTTCCCTTGGCAAATGGCATGGTTGGTCACCAACACCCTCGCACCAATGGTATAGGCTTGTCCGTTAGCAGTCGGAGCTACTTGCCAATCTTGGTGTCCAGACGCGCACCCTTACCAGGGTTGTGAAGATATTAGATATGAGACATGTCTTCAAACAGTTCTCTCTCTCTCTCTCGCTCGAGTTCCCTCACTTAAGTATTACTTTTCGACATTACCGTCCGACCATGCCAAGCCAAGCCAAGGGCGTGCTCGAACCATGTTTGTGGTGCACCAGATTGAGTAAGTAAGTAAGTCAAGATGTCTTGTTGTTGCACAAGGTAACGTAACTTCCCAGATTTGTTTGACAAGATCACCAACGATGAGGAAGCGAGTGCCAGTCGTTGTAGCCATGTTTGATTAGCAACCTGGCAATGTTCGATTGGGTGCTGCGGTAGTCAGAGGCATGGCCCTGGCTCTCGTGCTCAAGAAGCTGCTCGACGACATACTAGTTGCCCGAGCAGCAGGCGTTGATCAGAACGTGGGGTGGCTGAACATGTGACGTCTCTGCGACAAGATGTAGGTGAACAGTGGCGTTGTGATGTCTGATAAGATGATTGATGTCCCAGTCCCAGACAAGCTCCTTCCCGATCACCAACCTGTCAAGGATCAGCGCGATGAATCAATTGTTGACCATCCTCGTCACGCTGCACCAGTCTCGGTAACGCCATCCTTGCTTGCGGGTCCCACTGCTTGTTGGTTGATGCTGAATGTACTATGGAGAACGAGAACGCGCCACTCTCTGCAACATCTCGATGCCCTTTGGGAACGCGCCACTCTCAATATATCTCTTAAGAGGGTAGACCCGAGCACCAGGTAAACGTCATCATATCTAAATGCCTTTCGCTAGCCATAATATATATTGTTCTAGAACAATGTAGATTAGTGCGTGGTGGGTAAGGAAGGACAAGGGTAGGGTAACTTATGTTAGCGTTTGGGTTGTGAAATGAGGGCTTGATGAAATGAACTTCGTCTAGAATCATTCTCGAATCAATATGTGTGTGGATGGATAATGGATGGAAGGAGGGTCATTTGATTCATTTTGGTTTGCTCCCAACTACTTGAAACAAATAATTAATAATAATAAAAATACTAATATTAATACTATACTAATCCATGGAGGACAAAAACAATAATAATAATATTAATAATGATAATAATAGAATAAATAAAAGAAAATCAAGTAAACCAGTTAAATTATCAACTAAACAATTAGTAAATAATACATGGAGCGAGATAAATACATCCACAACACCAACAACATCAACTACATCAACAACATCACAATCTCTCATTGATCAACATGAACTTGATGATGAAATGAATAAGAGAATTAAACTTGGTCATCATGATAATGATGAGGTGAGTGTGGAGCAACAACAACCAATGTGCGAAGATGATGAGAATATTACATCAACGATGGAGTCAGTGGAGGTTCCATCAATACTACCATTGACTCAAAAGTATAGAATATCAAACAAAAAGAATGGATTCATCAATGGAAGTCTTGTCAATGTCTTCAACTCAATCCAAGAAGCCTCGCTCAACAACACTGCATTCACTCCCAACATTGACATACCCATTGGTCACATATCACTTAGTGCTGCCACATCACTTACTCAATGTATGTATTATTGATTCATTGAGTGAGTGAGTGCAGATACTAACTCATTGGGTCAATTGTCATTCTCATTTAGACAGTGGACTGTATCTGTTTGTGAACAATGTTGATATTGACCCTGCTTCGGGCTTCATATGCAATCATCTCAATCAGAAGTTGCTTGAATGTACTCTACAATGCCCTCGTGCTGTGATATCTGATCTCCTCTATCTTCACTCAATTGGCTATGTTAAACTATTCATGATCACATGTGACACTAGCAACAACAACAACACTGGACTCAATCTTTCAATTCAAATATATATTACCAATGATGCATTTGAACAAGTTGTATCATCGTCACAGTCAGAGGACAAACAGACGGACCAACAACAACAACATGAGGAATCAATGATATTCCAGTACAAGTACAACAAGTGTATCAAAACATTGTTCAACTACTTCCTCAACATCAATGATGTTGATGGTGGTAATGGTGATGATGCCGCCATCATCGAAGAGGACGATGACAACAACACATCACAGTCACTCAATCAGATTGGTACATCATCGTCATCAGATGACACTTCATTCACATTCCCCTATCCATCTCTGTTCTCAAGCAATGACAACAACAACAACAACAACAACAACAGCAACAGTGGCACAACATCAACTCCATTTGTGTTCGACCCAAAGATCATTTATAACAAGGTTGGACTGCGCCCTGGTGCACAGACAATGCCCACAGACATGTTTCAAGGCAAGGTGATATCAGAGCTCAAGCAGTATCAGCTGCGGACAGTCAAGTGGATGTATGACAGGGAGATCAAGCCCACCATGACAATCAACCGCGTAGGCTCGAAACTTCATCCACTCTGGAAGTCAATCTCAATCAACAACAAGGAGTTCTGCTACAATGAGTACGTTGGCCGACTGTCGCACGAGCCCATCGTGTCAAACACATCGTTGGAGGTGCCAGGTGGCATCCTGGCGGACGAGCCAGGCATTGGCAAGACTGTACAACTACTCACACTCTTGGTCGCCAATGCCAAGAAAGACCCGGCACCGCGTGTCCTGAACGCGGGCACCAAGCCCAAGCTCGAAGTGATGGACGTTGAGTTCATCCCAACTCCTCCTCCCATCAAGGAGTACGTCAACGATGCCGGAGAGGTCGTGGCTTGCAAATGTGGCAAAGATGAGGATTCGCACGACAAGGGCATCTGGGTGCAATGCACGACTTGCGCACGATGGCAGAGTGTGGCATGCGTGGGACGACAATACCGCGTGACCAACGACCACTACTTCTGCACATTCTGCACGGACGCCAATCGAAAGAGGTACAATGCGATGGTTGCGGAAAAGGAGCAACTGAGGGAGGAGGAGGAACGCGAGAGGATACAGAGCGAGCTGCGACCAATGTGGTACCGCGACACACTTATCGAGTCCAAGACCACGCTCATCGTGACACCAACACCCATCTACTCGCAATGGCTGGACGAGATCAAGAAACATACGAACGGCCTCACCGTGCTAGAGTATCACGGCATCTACAAGGACAACGTTACGCCACACGAACTGGCTTCGTACGACATTGTACTGACCACCTACGACGTGCTCTCTGGCGAACTGCATTGCATCAACCCTACACGCACACAGAACCGCCTTCGCTATGTCCGCGTTGAGACGCCAAAGACTCCGCTTGCGTGTCTTGTGTGGTGGAGAATATGCTTGGACGAGGTGCAGATGGTCGAGTCAACCAACTCCAAGTATCTCCAGATGGCTGTATCTCTACAATGTAGACATCGCTGGGGCCTATCAGGCACGCCCATCCAGCGCGGACTCAGCGACCTCTTTGCCCTGGTCCAATTCCTGCGCCTCACGCCATTCTCTGATCGCTTCTGGTGGAGTCACTGCATCGAATCAAAGTTCAATCGTGGCGATCGGGGCACCATCGACTACCTCATCGAACTTCTTCAGCAGCTCATGGTGCGCACAACCAAGAGCATGGTGGCGAACGAACTCAAAATACCGCCACAATACGATCGCGACACCAAGTTGCTCACATTCAGTGTCGTCGAGCGATTGTACTATCGACGCAAGGCTCATGAGTGTTCGGAAGCAGCGCGCACACTCTTCAACAAGGTGTTCAGTCGCAACCCCAACGCGACCCACACCTCACCTCAGGTGATCCAGAAGATCCTGCAGCCACTGCTTGTCCTGAGACAGACGTGCCAGCATCCGCAGGTTGGCAGTCGCGGCGTCCAGAGCATCTCGAGGAACACCATGACTATGGACCAGTTGCTCGAGCGACTGATTGAGAACGCATCGCTCGAGTGCAAGAACGCCCAGAAGGAGCTGGTGCACACGATCAACTGTCTGGCGGCAGGACACCTCATCAAGGGCGATCATAACCTCGCTGCCACACTCTATCGCGAGTCCTTATCAATGATTGAGTCCAACACTCAGTACTTCAAACCCGAATGGTACCAGCAGCTGCATGTCTTACACAACCTGGACTACTTGGTCAAGCAGGGCAAGCTCACGGCCAGGGCGTTGCGCGATGATGACTTTGCCGCCGAGGCAGAGGCCATCAAACTGGCGTATCAAGAGCGAAAGAAGTCGCACATGGTCAAGGACGACCTGGTATTCAAGAATGAGAATGAGGCCACAGTGGAGCTGCTCAAGGAGTTTGACAGCAGCACGCGTGGACGTGAGTGGTGGACAGCGGCCATTCAACTGATCGTGGACAAGGGCCAGCGCGCAGACCTGTTTGACAAGATCACCAACGAGTTGTCGCAGCCACATGTCTTCCAGCACAACCAACACATTCTCCTCAACAAGTTCAAGGAGCCATCAGGACTGATCTACATCCTATCGTCACATMTATCTACGCAATGTTCCGTGAGCGCGCTAAGTTCTTGAGCGCACTCACCCCGCTCTCATCATCATTCACATCACAGGACGTTGAGATGTCGACAAACTGCGCCTATTGCAGGGATCGACGCCTTAGGAAGGGTCCTCAATGTGGACATTGCAAGGCCAACGAGTCTCTGATTGACTACCAGGAGAAGCTATTCTCGATCAAACACAAGTCAGAGCGTGAACGGATGGATCAAGTGTTGGCGCTTCAATCACTGGACGATGGAGATGATGAGGGGGACAACGATGTGGACATGGACGAGGACGACAAACATGACGTCACATCAGTTATCGCACAGGACGCCTTCTTGGCGAGCGCTGGCAAGAAGACAACGAACATTGTAGAGTCTGAGGTGGAGATGGCACTCAAGATCATCATGCAGATGGTACGTCCACTCGATGATGGTATAGCCAGCGAGGGTGGTCATCACATCAAGACCATCAAGCACATGAAGAAGGAACTCAAATGTGCGAGGGACTTGTGGTCATCGTCAAAGGACTACCTCAACTCATTCGATGAGATTGATTCAGCAATCATCCGAATCAGAGAGTGCTATCCAGGCGAGATCATTGCGCCGCATCAACAAATGTTCATACTTCGTCCACTGGAAGTAGGTCCATTCATCGAGAGGTTCACCAACGAGAGAAAGAAGGCATCGGAGAACTATAGAGTATGTCCTAATGCAACATCAAAACCTTTGTCCTTACCCTAACCCCAACCGTTACCCTCATCCTTGCCCTCTCCCAACTCATTCCAGAAATTCTATACTCAGCTCTCTTATATTACAAACCTTTCCAAGGCAAAGAAGAAGAATGCCACAGCATTGGAATTGCCAACATGTTCGTCATCAATGGTGGAGGATGACTCGAACAAAGACCAAGATACAACATCGACTACTTCCACAACCACAACCACGACCACAACGACCACGACCACGACTACACCTACATCCACTACGATGATGGAGACCAATGACGATGAACCAAGCTCATCATCAATCAGACCAATTCCAGAACAATCCTCATCCGACCAAGAGGCACCCATTTGTGTAATTTGCCAAGAAGCCTTGGGAGAAGAAGTAGTTGTACTGATGTGTGGACATTCATTCTGTTATGAGGTAAGCACACGCACAAGCACATGGTCGACTATCCATACTAACATGCCATCCCAGTGTGTAATGTACATGATTGAGCGCACGCCCAATGCAAAGACAATGCAGTGTCCTGTGTGTAGGGTGCGAGTCAACATTGAGGAGATATCATATATTGAAGCGATTGAGAGTTCAGTGCCGAATATGAGTATCAAGGGCTCGTATGGAACAAAGATCGAAGCCATATTGACAGCATTGATGCAGATTGCCAAGGACACTCCAGATGACAAGACCATCATCTTTTCACAGTGGTCTGATGTGTTGGAGCTGATCGCCAGAGCCCTACAAGAGAATGGTATACTATTCGAACGTGGCGATAAGTCAAGCAAAGGCAACAAAGGTAACAAGTCCAGTGGCAACAGCAGGTTCCAAGACGCGATCAGTCGCTTCAAGAAGGAGCCCACCATCAAGGTGTTACTGCTACCAATCAACAAGGGAGCCAATGGACTCAACATCATTGAGGCCACACATGTATTCATTGTTGAACCATTGTTGAACCCTGGAGTGGAGGCACAAGCGGTCAACAGAACACATCGATTTGGTCAAGAACGCGAATGTTTCATTCATCGCTTCATCATCAAGAACACCATTGAAGAGCGCGTTGTCCAAATGAGCAAGACCAAGTCTCAAATCGAAGGTGGTGATTGGAAGCTTGCCAAAGAGAAAGATAGCCAACTGCTCACCAAGAATGACCTTGTATTCTTGATGGAGTGAGTTAGTGGTCTATGCCCTCACAGACATACCCTCGCAACCACACTCACACACGCAATCAAACAAACAAAACAATCGATTCGTTCGTTTTTTCTTCTTTTCGAAGTTTCATTCATTTGATTGTTGTAAAGCAAGATAGAGATATTGTACAACATGGTTGAGACAAAGAAGAAGAATAAGGATGTTGTTGTGAATGAGGAGGAGGATGACAGCAGCAGTATAAGTAGCGGCAGTATAAGCAGTAGCGATAGTAGTAGTAGTGGAAGTGAGTCAGAGTCAAAGACAAAGGCAAAGAATGATTTGAAGAGGAAACAACGTAAATCATCGTCATCTTCGTCATCATCATCTGAGAGTGATGTCAAGCCAAAGAAGAAACAATTAAAGAGAACAAAGGATGAGTCATCATCTTCATCATCATCATCCTCATCAGAGGACGAATCTGCAAAGAATAAGAAGAAGGCTGCTGTTGTCAAGTCAGCACCAGCAACAAAGAAGAAGGTCGAGTCAGAAGACGAATCATCATCAAGCTCATCATCAGAGGAGGAGGTGGCGGTGCCAGTGAAGGCTGCAGTGTCGTCCACACCAAAGAAGGTTGTGGCTGTGTTGGAGGAGTCTGAATCAGAGTCCGAGTCAGAGTCAGAGGAGGACACCAAGAAGAACAAGAAGAAGACAGTGGAGTCGCCAAAGTCAGAGTCGGAATCCGACAAATCCGAGTCAGAGTCAGAATCAGAGCCAGAGAAGATGGTAGAGACAAAGACAAAGACAAAGACAAGCACGAGCAAACAAGAAGACAGTGACGAGAAAATGGACACAACATCATCATCCTCAGAGGATGAGAAGGAGGAGAAGAAGGAGGTGAAGAAGGTGCAGGAGAAGCCATCAAACAAGAACAAGAAAGACAGCGATAACGAACAAGATAGCGATGAAGATGATGACGATAAAGATAGCGATGATGATGATGAAGACGACGACAAACAAAGATTCGATAAACTATCAGACTCTGAAGAGGAGAAAGAGCCAGTGATCATCAATGAAGAGGAGCTAATCAAGCAGACCAAGCCCAAGAAGTTCAACCCTGTCCAATATATATCCGATCTAGATGATGTCACCAAGTTACTCAACCGAGTTGAGAACCTCGAATATCGTAAGTACCTTGCCGATCGCGTGGTGGGGGTGTGGCGGCCGCCACTCATTCGCCGCACGCCACTCCCACGCGCCACTCATTTGCCGCACGCCACTCACCCAAACACACTTCCACTCGCGCGACATTACATAGCCACAAAGAATAGAGTCAACAAGAAGACAACAGAGGAGAAGAATAAGTTCTTGGAGAGGACGGCATCACTGTCGACAAAGGTACTGCTACTGATGCGTAGAGTGTTGTCACATCACCAGAATGAAAGGATGCCACTATCACATCTATTACAACAACTGTCCTTTGGTGACATGTCCTACAGTGATCTCACACTTTGGAAGGATATCTGCAAGATCAATCAAGCGTCTGCCAATGCAGCCGATCAACTACTCCTAAAACAACATACCAACGTAAGATTGATTGATTGGGCGCCGAGATCTTTGATCTTGCCTGGCCTTTGGCCTGGCTGGGACAGGTCCCATCCCATGCCCATAAACCATTACTGACTCATTCCATTCAAACAATATGGTACACATAACAGAGACTGGAAGATGATGCCAATGGTGGTGTCAACAATGTGAATCAATTGAATGCAATGCAACATAATCAGATGACGAACAAGACATTCCGTGACTTCTTCATTGAAAGATTGACGAATGAGTTTGGTGACGACATTGACAAGATGAGAGGCGATACGGTGTACGACGATAGGATGCTGTCGGTGATCTTGGAGGGCATGGAAGTTGGGATTGACCTGTACTCCTTGGCAGACAAGCAAATGGTCCTGGACAACCACAACTCTTCAGCGGTGGTGGTGTCCAAGGGCGTATCCAGCGCAAGCAATGGTGGTAGCACGACCAACACCAACACCAACACCATGAACAACAACATCAACCATCATCATCAACAAACCGAGATTTCATCAAAGAAGAAGAAAGACACAAGTACCAGCAAAGCATCGAGAAAGTAGTTAGTTAACTTTGCAACAATTAATAATACTGTCTGCGACATTGTCCAACCCTTCCCTACTTGACTGGCACATGATTCATTCATTCACGCACGCCATTCCCTTTTGCCAATGAATGTGTCGTCAACGTCACATCAATCAGGCCAGTCCGCGTCACATGCCCCCGTCCAACCCAAGATTAATGCGGATGAGCCCACACGGCTGGCCCACTCAACACAGATGTGATTGTAATGCAAATCGGGTAGATACTCGCGCCCATCAAGGGTTCCCACACACGATAACCACAAAGTTGGTCCAAGTCAGGTCGATGATATTATTTTTGATTGTCGTTTTTTTGCGGTCCTTTAGGCAATCAGGTGTGATTGTGTGATTGTGTGATTGGATTGCTAGTGTGTGATTGATTGATTGAATGAATGATTGAGAGATATGTCTTAGGAAAGACAGCCAAGGTTAGTTAGCCAGGGCTATTATTCTAATCAATCAAGTATCCTTACAACTATCAAGCCAACAAGCTCAAGCAGGGTCGCAGGTACCAAGGGTCGCTGTCACCTCATTACATTACTCCCTCCCCTCCCCACTCACCATCCACGATCTTTGGTCATCCGAAAGTCATCGCCAATCACAGGTGTTGCGAGTCTTGTCAGTCCCCCCATCCCATCTCCCATCATCATCAAGTTGTGTTGCATTTCCCATCTCACAATTAACAAAAGGTCAAAGTCATATCCTATAACTAATAATAATATTATAATATATATTACTTTTGATAGAGATAAGATTGAGATAGATAGATTTACAATGTCAACTAGTCCAAATAATAGTAGTAATTCATTGGCCACTGCTGTGGCTGCTTCATCACCATCACAGTTTAGCACAGCCAAGGGAACAATACTTAGAGGATACTTGTCAAAGAAAGGACATGGTAATATTGATAATCATAAGTTTGATTGGATTGGTTCCACTGACACTAATCAATCAATCATTCAATCTATCATATAGTGATCAAGAATTGGAAACTCAGATTATTCGTCCTAAAGATAGGATCCAACTATATTGAGTACTATGTTGATGAGAGTGTAGGTGATCATTCCCAATTTGGACAAAATATTCCACCCCACTGGAATGATTCCAATCAATCAATCACCCATACACCACACTCACTAACACAATCACATCGACAACACATATAACAGAAAGAATCAACCAACTCACCAAGAGGAAAGATACCACTTTATAACTGCCGTTGTGCAGAGTATGTACACACAAAGAACAATAATCCAAGAGAGTATTGCTTCAATATTGAGACATTCGAGGGCAAGTCATGGATTATATCTGCGGGAACAAAGGATCAGCAGGTGCAGTGGATCGAGTCGATCAAGGAGGCCGCCTCCTACGCAGAGGAGACCGACGAGTCCAAGCTGGCCAAGCACAAGCAGATCGAAAAGATGATCCAGGACGACATGAGACATAAGAGTCGCGTGCCCATTATCAAGCTGTTGTTGCTGGGCACTGGCGAGTCGGGCAAGTCCACTGTCGTCAAGCAGATGAAGATCCTGCACTCCAAGGGCTTCACGGACGAGGAGAAGGACTTCTACCGCAGACTGGTACATCGCAATGTGATTGATGGCATGGCCATCCTCGTGCACACGATCCAGGAGCATGGCATCCAGGTGGCGCCAGAGACCCGCGCTGCCATTGAGCAGTTTGCCAGCTGGTTCCAAGTGTACCAAGCGTCGCGCCCCTCACTGCGTCTTAGCAACAATCACTCACCCATGAATACACCAAAGCTCACCAGCTCATCATCATCAATATCATCAACATCAATCTCTCCCAATACCAGCTTCAACCTGAACGACGCTGCTGCTTCCTCATCCGAGTTGGGACAACTGAGCACCAGCTTCGAGGCCAATGCCTCCCTTGTCGAGGACAAGGGTATCCCCACACACATCAGCGAACTAATCAACAAGATATGGTCCGACTCTATTGTACAAACAGATGTTATTATCAAGGCCCAGAGATACCATATCAATGATTCAGTTAAATAGTATGTAGCCGGAATCATCCCACTCACTCAAACTCAAATGCTAACTCATTATTCAAACTCCATCAATCATATAGCTATTTGAATGAGTTGTCAAGATTGATCAAGGCAGACTACACACCAACTAGCTTTGATATATTGAGCTCGAGGAGCCAGACAACTGGAGTGATAGAGACAGACTTTAAGGTGGCAGATGTGATGTTCAAGATTGTGGATGTTGGAGGACAGCGTGGCGAGCGAAAGAAGTGGATACACTTCTTTGAGGATGTCACTGCCATTGTATACGTGGCGGCCATCAATGAGTACGACCAGATGTTGGTCGAAGACGGATCAGCCAACCGTCTCCAAGAGTCACTCACACTCTTTGACCAAGTGTGCAACGACGCCTCATTCCCCAACTCATCAGTGATCCTCTTCCTGAATAAGATCGATCTCTTCCAAGAGAAGCTCAAGCGTATATCAATGCAAACATGTTTCCCAGAATACAAAGGTATGATCATCAATCACTCCACTCAATCAATCAAACATGGATATGAACTAACTTCATCTCCACACATATCCAGAGGACCAAACATATGAGCGAGCATCAAATTATATCAAGAACTTGTTCCTGAGCAAGAGGAAACAGTCTAGCAAGTTCGTTTACTCTCACTTCACATGCGCCACTGACACCAAGTCCTTCGAGAAGGTGTTCAGCTCTGTACAAGATATCATCCTTTCCAATGTATTGGACGCCACCGTTGTCTAATCCATCCAAACCTGCGTCAACAACCATACATACATACAAAACTCAATCAAACCATCCACATCATCTCCATCCATCCTAAAATGAATGAATGAACGAGTGAACATTTCCCCAGCGTACCCTTGGTATATGATATACATGTGTCCTTTGATTGGGTTGGACATCCATTTATTGTAGGCTTGCCAGGCGACGGAAAGACAGACAGACAGACTCGAGTCAACTTGGAGTCAAATGAATTCTCCAAGTACATCCATCTATCACATCCATCCCATCAATATCCAATGTTTGTGATGTTATCTACGCCACAGGGTTGGATTGTTGATCTCATCCTTGATACGTTGTTCACCTATTATCTCTGTCTGTCGATCAAACATCTTCAAGGCCTCTTCGTAGAGGTAAATGTCCATCCAGTTCTTCTTCTTGATCAACTCGATCACATCCGCTGGTACATCAGGTTGCTTCTTCTTTCTATTATTGATCTTTACCTCCTTCATTGCTCCCAAGCCACAATAATACTTCATCATCACAATTGACTCTTTGAACTTCTCTGTGATTCCAACGAACTTCATCCTATTAGATTGATTGATTGATTGATTGGAGTGTGAGTATGTGGTCAAGTGATTGGAATAGTTCCATCCAGTACTTACTTTCTCAAATGATATAATGCCATCCTGAATGATTCCATTGAGACATTCTTCTCGGCTTCGGTGGACATGCCAGAGAGTACTCTGGTTTGCTCGTTGGCACCTCTTGGGGATTGTTCCAGCCATTCCTCAAACTTTAACTTCATGGCCAGGGCATGACCCTCGTCCTGTATCTTCTCGCGATGATAATAATAATGTGATATGACTCTCTCGACTGGATCCCTCAGCATTGTCATGTAGTTGGCAGTGTCGCGGTCTGGCTGATCAAGATAAGTATGCAGACCATAGTTGAAGTGGCCCACGACGGCCTTGGCACCGCGGATCAAATGCTTCTCGTTGTGGCCTGGGTGGACCCATTGCTGCACAGCCTTCTTGGCGAATGTCAGACGGAAAAGGTGAAGAACAGAGTTGCCGCCAGTCTTGGGCACGTGCAGGAAGAGGTATGGCCCCGACATCATGGGCTTGGGCAGTCGAGGCTGGATTGGAGTCTCGAAGAATGGCATTGTGTTGTATAGTTTCAGCTCCTCTCTGGCGCGCTCCAAAGAGAACATGCGGCCCTCAAACTCGTAGAACTCGCGCACGACGTCCGACTCGAGTCGGCGACGTTCCAAAAAGTTGAGCGAATTGTTGCGGTCCTTATCCTTCTCGGGCACCTTGTCAATGAGCGCCTTGATCTTGTCCACCTCCATCACGGCGGGATGCTCGAAACCTGGCTCGGGCAGGGTGATTGTACGCACGTACTCTCCATACTGGTGCTTGGATGGTGAGGTTGGTGTCACGTTGGTGTACTCTGTATGATAGTACAAGAATGTGAGGAAGGTCTGGAAGGCATCGCTGGCCACCAGTGGCCCATCTGGATGGTCCGAAGACTTTGGTGTAGGTTGTTTCATTGAGTTGATGCCAGGTACTACTATATCATTGTTGTTGTTATTTGGAGTTGAAGCCAGTTGTGTATGTTGTTGATTCGCACCTGCACCTGTCTCCAACGATTTGTCTATATCTACACGTTGTTGTTGTTGCTGCTGCTGTGACTGTACATCACAACTCGTGTTCAAATGAAACATGAACAATAAACTGACAACGCATGCTGTCAACAATATTATAACAAGCTTTCCATATGTATTATTCTTTGTCTTTGCATTCCTCATCATCATCACCATCTTTTGATTGATTGATTGATTGATTGATTGATTGATTGATCGATCGATCAATGTTTATACATATAATATATATAAATAATAAAGAGATTGATATAGTATGAATGAGTGTCAACTTGATTGCATGGAGGTAGTAGAAGAGAGAGAGAGAGATAATGGTAACCACCTGACTGTTAAGGGATAAAGAGAATGAGCGTTGGAGTATTATTATTGCCAAGTTTATATGAATCGTGACCTTGTACTGCGTCATTGGTGCCGGACCATGACCTCAACCTTCTCATTCACCTTGTGCACTCAATCAACAACAAGGTTGTCAATATGCCAGACACATTGTCCATGGTCTGCAGTACAAGACAACAAGGACTTGTACCTTTGACGCTAGCATTCACACACACCCTTAGTCACGACATCATTCTGCATTGACACGCACCCCACGCCTTGTACAGACACCAAAGATCCAATGGCATGCACAAAAATATCTGCTGTCGATTTGGGTGACGACACTAGAATCAGCAAGAACAGTGTGTGGAAGTGTGTGACTTAGTTTTGTGGATGTCGAGTGGTAGATCGTTTCAAACTACTCACGCGGTTATTACTTGTATCCAAAAAAAGTAAGTTGTTCATTATTACAACAACATCATCATTACCAAAAAAACAATCACGACGTCGTTTTACCTCTAGATTTGTTAGGTTTAATGGGGATAATGGACCGAGTGGAATCCATTAGGAATGAATGAATGAATAAAGTAAGGAGTGAATAATCTGGAATTGTCTTTGGCTGTTTATAGCTCGCAATCAATAATTATTATATTATTATAAAGATAAAGAGAGGTGGTAATTTATAACTTACCTTAATCTATCTTCATTATTCTTGTCACATCAAGAATATGATGATGTTCAAATACCATGTCAGTGAGTAACCACTCACTCTGGGTACTTGTCGACAATAACAATAGCAACAACAACAACATCAACAAGTTAGGTCCTTGAATTGATAATTTGATAATCTTGTAGATGTATCACAACAAATTATCAATCGCACAAACAAGTGAGTGGATGAACACAAATGTAGTTCGATATTGGATTGTTGTCTGGTTTGTTTGACGTATTCTCTTTGTTGACCATTACATTACTTCAACAAGTATAATACTCTGGTTATTATTATTTGTATACTAGTATCTGTCTTTATCTCTAACATTGAGTTTTTTGGAAAAAGTGATTGATTATTCAAGCTGGGAGAGTGCTAAGCAAGAACTTTTGAAAGTATCTTGTTCCTCATTTTTGAACTTGTAATACTTACTTTGAATTTTTCTTATACATATACATATACATATACATATACACATATAAAATGATTATAGTACTTGATAACAATCATAGACATGATCTACAATTCTTAAAGACAATTGAACTCGATGGTGAGTGTGAGGCGATTCAGCAATATCATTGGATCGTTCAATCAATCAATCATATCAACATACTTACCATTTGATATGTATCATAGTTGTCAAGGAGTTCTGTAACATCTCTTTAGAGTTCATTCGTAAAGGTGATAATAAGAAACTATACATTGCAGCTTCAAGTATGTATACGAATCATGAGTGAATAGCCATGGACATGGGATCAATCACACATACTTACCTTATCGGGATAAACGACAACAACATCACCATCACCCACCACATAATCAACTTACAGAGAAGTTAGGAGCAACACCCGATACGGTCGAGAACGTCGTGAAGGGACTGTCACACTTGTTTGTTGAGTGTTCAAGATTCTTGCTCACAGACGCAGACTTTAGAGACTCACTCAGCGCACTAAAGTACGCCGACGAGCTTGTCGACCATCTGAAAGAGGTCTACTTGGAGAACAGGACAGAGATCAGAGAGATCCTGCAGGAGCTCTATCCACACTTTGATCACTACGCCAACCTCGAGTGGCGTCTCGATGTGCAGGTGGCCAACAGAAGTTTGCGCGGACAGACCATCAATCCAATCTACCTGCTCAAGCTGACGACGCAGTCCGGTGGCACAGAGGACAAGAAAGAGCACCTCTTGCAGACCGATCCAAACAATCTCAAGCATCTCTGTAACGAACTAGAGTCAGCGCTCAACGAAATACGTTCCAATGACTGTCGTCGTATCATGCGTAACATCAAGTAATGGTCTGGACAGACCCATCAACTACATGGTCATCTTCTGCAGCATCAACATCAGCATCAGCATCAACAACATCAATCAAGTCGACGCAGGTCTGTCTGACTGCAAATGGATACAACATGCACATGTATAATACAACTCGATAAAATGAAGAATGATTGATTGGTTAGGAAACAACTATTTTAGTGGCCATCATCCTCGATAGACTTCAAACGAAAGTCCTTAGGTGGCCAAGATTGATTCACAGAGGATCATACATAGCCTTAGCAGAACATAGTGAATTTAGATGATTGATGGTTCGGAACACAGACATAGAGAGTTTTTGATCATTAGTGTTGTGGGGGAGTTACAGCTAGCTAGTTTGATCGTTTTGATTGATCGGTTGGGGGTCATCAGCTCAATATCTCTGAAATTGAATTGAAATAATAATAATTTGTGACGAACAGTCACACCCGATAATCAGGGGCAGTCCCACTCACAGACTCTCTCTCGCTCTCACAACACAACTCATCATCATTCAGTCTGTCCACAACATCATAAGTTATAATAATACCAACAACCAAGTTCAGCAACAGCAACAGCAACAGCAGGACACACGACGATGGTCACTCCAATCGAAAGAGAGAGCAGCACACCTGGTGGAGATGACGATGATGTTGAAGTGTCATTGACTTCTGATCATTCACATCATAATGAAGACACTGATAGTGGTGATGTTGGTGGAGTAGTGCTCGAGCAGTCAACTGGTGGGTGGACTGATGAGACAACACCTGCGTTGGAGCCATTGGTCGAGACATCTGCAGCGTCAGAGCAGCTTCATGCCAAGATGTTCTATCGTCCGCCTATCTTTCGTGACAATGATAACAAGATGCGATACATTACATTGGGTTGGGGCATCCTGACCATGCTGATATCAGGCACACTCTATGGCTTCAGTGTCATCTCCAACAACGTCAAGACTCAACTACACTTTGATCAAACCGAAATCAACACCTCAATATCTCTTGGAGATGTTGGAATGTATGTTGCCTCGCCCTTCCCCTTAACCCTCGCCTACCCTAACCCTTGCCATCACCCAAAGATACCTTGGAGTCACAGTCGGATACTTGTTTGATTTATATGGCCCTTTCTATACTTCATTGATCGCAGCAGTCTACTACATCATTGGATACTTTGGCTTCTATCTTATGCTGGTGGACCGTTTCCCCTCCAACCCATACTTGCTCAGCTTCTTCTTGTTCATGGTGGGTCAGGCATCACATGCCTCATTCACAGCGGCAATCATCTCCAACATCCACAACTTCTCATTGAAACACCGTGGCAAGATCAGTGGTGGCCTTGTCGGTCTGTTTGCCACATCTTCCGGCATGTTTGGCATCATCTATCGCAACACATTTGGCGTTCACAAGGATGTCCAAGGATACATTCTCTTCCTCTCCATTCTCTGTTCCATCGTCTCATTCCTAGGTGCATTCCTTCTTCGATACATTGTAACTATCATTATCTTTATCATTTTGCTGGATCACGTGACACTATTATCTGATCACGTGACACAATTATCTGATCACGTGACACTTACTAATTTATTCCATATAACGTAGGGTGCAAAGGAGGACTTGACAGCATCTACTTCAGGTACCAATAATACAAACTATAATCTATTGACAAAGGAGGATGTAGAGGAGTCACCAATACTGAAAGAGGACACAACTGACGATGCCAACAGTCCAAACTATCTTGATGGCAAGCGAGACATAAGTGGACGTAACCTTCTAAAGACTTCAGAATTCTGGTTGATGTTCACCATCTACTTCTTTGTTGCAGGAGTATGTATATCGTCTTCCGAGCATTGCTTGGACCATCGACTAACCACTTCCATCAACTTATTTAGTGTGGCTTGATGTTCCTCAACAACATTGGATCAGTTGGCAAGTCTTTAAATAAGAAAGGTAAACATTGCCAACCAGTCACTTGAAGTGATTAACAATGGTCACGTGACCATTTGGACGATCAAGTGACTTTCCAATCATGGACAACTTACTCACATTGTCAAATCAATCATCCAGAGAACTTACGAACTGACTTGGTGATTGTGTTTGCAGCTTGCAACCTCACTGGAAGATCTACATTTGGTCTGATGTCTGATTTATTCTCAAGGAAGATATCAAGGTTCTGGTTCCTATTCTTTTCAGCCACCATAATATCAATCACTCACATGTTCTATGCCTTCCACACCGATTCACTCTACATTGTGGCCACCATATTCACCGGTATTGGCTACGGTGGTCTAGTCTCCACCATGGTCCTACTCACCAGTCTTCGCTTTGGTGTTCGCAACTTTGGACTTAACTTTGGATTGGTAAGTGATCCTATGTGATGGCGGGACTATCCCATAGCACCACCGCTAACACAACACTCACTCAATCAATCAATCATTCATTCTAGTTGGCCATTGCCTCTGCGGCTGGATCATTGACATTTGGATACATTAGTGGAGAGTTGTATGATTCAAAGGCTGACGAGACTAATGATCAGTGCTTTGGCGAGCAATGCTTCTTCCATTCATTCCTACTCAGTGCCTTCTGTAATGCCTTTGCTGCATGTATAGTACTCTATTTAATCTTTAAATCAAGGAGAAAGTCCTTTGCTGTGTAAGTCGGCATTAAAATAATGTGTCAAAAATACCAAGATTCAATTGATTGATTGGTTGGTTGGTTGGAGTAATCGATCGGGTGTGGTGGAAGGGTTCCAAGTTGGTGTTGGGGTAGGGGATTTGGTTGGGATGTTCTACAGTTTGTCCAGTCGTTTGGTGGAGCCAAGGTTACTCTTGGTACGCATCAAGTGCAGTCTGTGGCGCACATAGATGTTCCTCTTCAATGCCATGTATAGTACAACTCCTACGACTGCTACGAAGATCACACAGCCAACGACGATCAGTGGGATGACGTAGGGTTTCCTGCCGTCATCACTCTTTCCAGAGCACTTGCCGGCATTGCTATTGGCTTGATTGTATGACACCAACACGGAGAAGTCTGGATCAATCGCGGCCGACTTCTTGAAGAATGGCACGGCGGTGGCGATCTGCACGGGCTCCGCGGCAGAGATAATCTTGTTGGAGATGGACATCACACGACCATCTGAGATGACAGATGTTGGGAATCTGCCATAGCATTGCATCTGATGTTGTGGGATGACAAAGTAATGCATGTCTTGAAGTGATGCTGCACCCCATGTGATGTTCTCATTCTGTTGTTGGGTACATTCACCCATGGACACTGTCTGGAATATGATCTGGATGTAGTTGAGCTGACTGGTGAAGTTATATCCATCAAAGCTCACTGTGTACTTGATTGTGTTGGGCTGGAAGTTGAGTGTCTTGTTGGCCCACACCGTCTGTCCACCCGCCATGAACTTGTCAATTGTCAATGTGATTGTGTTGGATGCGTGTTGTCCCTTCATGTTGGTGATTGTGTACTTGGTCGAGTTGGCAGTGGTCGATGCCAACTTCCAATCCAATGTGATGTTGTTGGCCACCGAGTCATCATAGCTCATCTCTTGAATGGCAACAATGGATATGTTGTAGGAAACGGACTTTGTGTCTTGGGTGAGCTTTGTGTCATTGACCTTGGACACGCCCAGGATGGCCGTGGACATATCTTCGTTGTAGTCCATGTCCACATCGACCTCCTCCAAGTCTAGTTTACAAGTTGGACCTGCGTGACCATTATGGCACATGCAGTTCTGATCAACACAATCACCATTACCATTACAGTTCTCTGGGCATGTGTAGTTCTTGTTGATCGAACAATCCTCACCGCTCCATGGTAAGTTGCAATGACATGTTTCCTCAATACATGTACCATGTCCACTACAATCGAATGAGTCACAGTCTATGATTGTGGGACGTTAGTACGATTGATCAATCAATCAAGATATATTATCATTTGATTGATACTCACAGAAGAAGTCAAGGACGTATTCGACGTTATTGATGGTGATGTGGTTGTCTTTGTCAAGGAAGGGCTGGAAGGCACCGAATGGGATGATGGCAGTGTTGGGATCAGGGAATGTTGGTGTAACCAGCTGATTGTTGAGCATAAACTGAGCACCGACCAATCCCTCTCCAGTGATATTGATTGTCTTGTAATAATAATCCAATACAGACTCGTCCACATGAACAACTTGTCCCATAATGATCGTTGGCATAACCTCACCACTGTGGAATCCAGTCGTGTAACCATACTTGTCAACAACGTTCCAGAAAGAGGCCGTGATGCCACGCAGACCCCAAGAGCGTGGCAACTTCATTTCTCCAGTGTAGAAGAATGTGCCGCCAACCTTGTTGCAGTCGCTCACCTTGAACTTAATGAAGTCCAACGATCCAATCTCTGTGATGTATAGGATTGGGTTGAGAGAGCACTCCATGGTGTTGGTTGGCGCGAGCGATACGTTGAACTTGACCGCCTGTTCCGCAAAGACATCGATCGTCATGTTGCTGAATCTGATCGATGGATTGTTCAGCGTGTTGGCTATCACGACATCGGGACGGGTCGCCGTGATCTTGATGAAGGCGAAGTATCCAAACAGGGGATATTCCTCGCAGTTATCGTTAAAGTCACACATGGACGACACGTAGACATGGACGTTGTTGCCCCATGTGACCAGCGTGGTCACGTTGTAGGGCAGTATTGTTTGTGGATTGTAGGTCACTGAGACAACCTCGAGGGGCTGAGGGTTGAAGTCGTCGCGGATCACAAACGTCGCGTTCTTGAGACGGTCCACGCGACCGGTATCCTGCTTGCTAACCTGGATGGTGATTGTGCCTGGCGCTGCCTCTTGGATAATGTTCACAATGACGTCGGTTGGGAATGGCTGGTATCCTACGTTTCTGATTGTGACGCGATTGTTTGCATAGGTTTGGAGTCCTTGTGCCACATTGTTTCCAAAATAGGCAATCTCGCGCGATGACAATGTGATCGTGGGCTGTGCTTGATCGATGCTGTACTGCAGACCAAAGAAGTAGGTCTTGGTCACATTGAGTCGGGGAATTATGATTGTGCCTCTGAGCACGATCGTTCCAGGATTTAATACAATGGAAGATCTTTGGAGTGTTGTACATGATTGAGTGTCACCACCAGAGCCAGTGCCGTTGGTGGGTATCTTGTTGTCAAAGTCCTCAAACAGACACACTGTGCCGCTATTGAATGTACTGGTGCCAGACACGACTACGTTGATGTTGATAGAGTCGCTGCCATTGAATGAGTAGCCAAAGTATGACAGACGGGTACGGTACACGGGCGTCACGGATGGATTGCAAGTCGGGATGTCGCTAAAGATCTGCGTGATGTCATTGCAGGGCGCGTTGCCACAATACTCATTGGACTTGGCAGACAGGGTGGTGCCACGGATATCAGCACAGGTAAGAGTGATTGGTGAGTGGCAGAAGTGTGCCTCCGAGTACTCAATGGGTATGATGTAGGTGCCAACTGAGTGATTGCCTGATGCCCTTGATCCAGAGTTGATCCAGTACACGGCACCATTATTAGCCACATCGCCAACTGTCACGCTACAAGTATTCTCTCCAATTCCAACATCATCATTCATTGTCACCAACAATCTATACTTCTTGATCGAGGACGATGGTGGAAGCATCTTGACGCGGACAAATGGTGACGTGAGGTCCAGGTCTGTGTGGGGTCGGGGTTGGGTGGGGGTGGAATTATTCCATTGGGCGTGTGAGTATGTGAGTGATCACTTGATCAGATAACTAACATACTTGCAATATCTCGGTTTGGTGTTGAGTAGACTTGTTGATTGGCACCGTTGATGTTAAAGTCAGCGGTGGGCATGTCTGATGGGAAGGTGAAGGGTGGCTTGAAGGTCACTTGCTTGAGTGATCCAGAGAAGTAGTCTGGGTATTGGAGATCCTTCGTGGCAACAATATTTCCAAACAGTGATGTAATGCCAACGGTGAGTTGTTGAGTGACTGGTTGCTCATTGATCATCACACCAGTCATTGACAAATCTGGCAATATAAGGTTGTTCAACTTTGTCACGAAGCCATTGGAGATGGATGGGAAGGTGACTGTGTGCTGGGGTGGTATCACCATCAGGACGGAGGCGGACCTGAACACCTGGCGACCCGTTGTGAAGACCATGGAGTAGAATGAACACGAGCCGATGTTCAGGTAGCAGTCATAGGGCCAGGAAAAGGCGCGGGTGAACGAGCTGTCGAACGACTCCTTGAACGACACTATCATGCGGGCCTTGAGCTCGTCGTAGATCTGGATCTCGGCCACCTGTTTCTCAAAGCCCGCCGTGAAGTTGACCGAGTACACAAACAGCGTGTTGCCGGCTCCGCGCAGGCTGGGGTAGGTGCGCAAGGGGTCGGCGTTGCCCAGCGTGGGCGTTATCTTGTCGACAAAGTTGGCGCCACTGTTGTCTGTGGGTGCCGGGTTATTGTTGGTCATGTTTGTGTAGTGCAGGCATGTGCTGACTGAGAAAGTGGGCTTGCTGAATGAGCTGGGCACGAGTGCGGCGTAGATGTATTTTGAGTGATTGGTGGCGCCAGACCACAGGGGCACAATGTCCTTGGGCACGGTGTCAATGCGGAATGATCCCAGCGGTTTGGTATATCCAAAGCCCAACAAGGAGTAGGGCTCCTGGTCGATGTCGATGATGTACGAGTCGGCGTTGTTGGCGAATGGCGTTGGGACTGGTGGGGCCGGACACTGGGTGATGGGGAATGGGATGGCTGACTTGCCGCCCATTGGGAAGGTCTGGACCAGCTGACTCCTGTAGCCAATGTCGCCACTGGGGTAGCTGTACAAGTGTTCGATGTTGTGGAAGAACTTGGTGCCGCGTGACCTGGGGCTGGAGCCAGAGCCGGAGCCAGGGGTGGGCAATGACAACAGGCTGTTTGAGAGGCTGTATTTGGCCTTCACTTCGATGGGGCCGGACGGGACATACTCGTATATGCCCTGGTAGCGAATGTCTGCGCTCAGGATGGTGGTCATGAAGACGTGGCAGGTGGGGGCATAGGTCTCCACCAGGGAATCATTCCATGTAGTTTGTTGTGTTGCCACAATAGAGAATTCCTTCATGTCTGTGTTGAACTTGCTGACATAGGTGATGTTCTCCATTGTTGTGGTACCATTGCATAATGGTAGTATTGGTGGAGTGAACTGGCTGACGATCGACCTTATGATTGGATCGCAAGTTCCAGATATACAATTGACAGCCTTGTAACTAAAGTTATATGTGTCATTAAGCAATATTGAGTCACATCTTTCCAGTCCAGTGTTTGTCAAGTTCAGCGTGGCAGGATCATGAAGCATCGGGTACAAAGACTCAATGTCCAAAAAGTTGACTGGTGTTATAGGTGTGACGCCTGTGGTTGATCACGTGTGTTTGATTGAGTGTGTGTGAGTATGTGATGAGTGGACTTGTTCGGCCTTTCTCGATGTCATAACTTACCTCCGCCACCTGGTACTGGAGTTAAACCTGCAAGAATGTTTGGTGTCAACATCAGGACAACAAGCACACATAATGTTATGAACCTCTTCATAATTGAAAGTATGTATGTTGATCAATCAACCAATCAAACAATCGATGGATGGTGATTATCAAGATATATATTTATATATATCTATTATTATTTACAAATAAGAAAGTATGAAAGTAAGTCCAATAAGTAAGACCTATTGATGTTGTGTGTGTTGCAATGATGTATGTTTATGTCTTAGCGTGTGCATGTGTTCGTTCACTACAATACGGTTAGGTCAGAAACAATTCCGATCTGTCTCATCAATATCTAACCTAGAAGTAGGGTGTACTTTAAGGTCATGGTCCAAACCTTTTTTGATCGATCAAAATCACACCACAAGACGTCTTTTTTTTTTAAAGGGCTAACATGCTTTGCCCCTTCAAAACACCTAACTTCAAAGAATAAATGAATACATATATTACCTAATAAGTACACCAGGATATCATGTTTTTAATTATAACTATAATAAAATGTTGTGTCCAACCAGGGGGGGACCGAGTGATTGATTGATTGATTGAGTGAGTGGAATGATTCCTGATTTGTGATGGGAGTGGATTATAAATTGTCCAACTTGTTAGAACTAAAGTTGTTCTTGGATCTCATCTTGTGTAGGGTGTGGCGGACAAAGAAACTCTTCTTCAGTTTGATGAACACTGCCAGTCCAACGATAGCCACAAAGATCACACAGCCAACGACGATCAGTGGGATGACATATGGCTTCATTCCATCCTTTGGCCCAATGATGTCACATTGTCCAGCATTGCCATTAGCTTGATTGTATGAGATCAACACTGAGAAGTCCGGATCGATCGCCGCCGACTTCTTGAAGTATGGTACGGCTGTGGCGATCTGCACTGGCTCCGCGGCCGAGATAATCTTGTTTGAAATGGACAAAATGCGACCATCTGAGATAACCGATGTTGGGAATCTGCCGTAACATTGCATCTGATGTTGTGGGATGACAAAGTAGTGCATATCTTGAAGTGATGCTGCTCCCCAAGTGATGTTCTCATTCTGTCGTTGGACACAATCACCTGTCGACACTGTCTCGAATATGATCTGGATGTAGTTGAGCTGACTGGTGAAGTTATATCCATCAAATCTCACTGTGTACTTGATTGTGTTAGGTTGGAAGTTGAGCACATTGTTGGCCCACGTGGTCTGTCCACCATCCATGAACTTGTCAATTGTCAATGTGATTGTGTTTGATGGATCTTGGATACCTCCCATGTTTGAAATAGTGTACTTGGTCGAGTTGGACGTGGTCGATGCCAACTTCCAATTGAGTATGATGTTGTTGGCCACCGAGTCATTATAGCTCATCTCTTGAATGGCCACAATCGATATATTGTAGGATACGGACATCGAGTCTGGTGTGAGCTTGGTGTCATTGGCCTCGTTGGAAACACCCAATATTGTTGTGGCTGTGGATGGTTCTTCCTTGAAGTTCATGTCCGCTTTGACTTCATCGATGTGCAGGTTACATGTTGGACCTGCGTAGCCATTGTGACACATGCAGTTCTGATCAACACAATCACCATTGCCACTGCAATTGTTTGGACAAGTATAATTCCTGCTGATAGAACAATCTACACCAACCCATGCTGGATCACAACGACATGTGTCCTCGATACATGTTCCATGTCCGCTGCAATCGAATGAGACACAATCTATAATTGATGGATTGAGTGAGTGTGAGTTAGATGGTCGATTGATTGATTGGGTGATCAAGATATGATATAGATATATGATCAAGATATATGAGTGCACTGAATAATCTATGATCAAGATATATGATCAGACGCGAGTGATTGGAATGATACATACAGAAGAAGTCAAGGAGGAATGGCACTCCATTGATCTTGACATAGTTGTACTTGTCAAGGTATGGTTTGAAGATGGCGTCATTGAATGGTATGATGGCAGTGTTGAGATCAGGGTATGATGGTGTGAACGGTATCAATTGATCATTGAGTGTGAAGTCTGCACCGACGAATCCAGCACCAGTGATATTGATGGTCTTGTAGTAATAGTCCAAAACAGCATGGTCCACTCTGGTTACCGTGTCTATTGTGAATGTGGGCACCGGCGAGTCAAAGATCACACCAGTCGTGTATCCATACCTGTCCACAACGTTCCACACCGAGGCGACGACCCCGCGCAGACCCCAGGAGTAGGGCACTGTTAGGGATCCATTGAAAGTGAGGGCATTGCCATTGGAGAAACATGACGAGGCTGGGAACTGCAGGTCGTCCAGCGAGCCCAGTTCGGTGAGGAACAGGATGGGGTAGTAGGCACCACATTGGATAGTGGTGGCGCTAGTGAATGAGATGCTGTAGTTGGAGTAGCGGTGGGGCTTGGAGACATCGATTGCCATGTTGCCAAACTTGATCGAGGGGTTGGTCAGTACATTGTCGTTGATCACGGTGGTGCCAGACATAGAGATGTTGATGTTAGCAAAGTATCCAAACATGGGGTAGTACTCGCAGTTCTCGTTGTTGTCACACATGGACGACACGTAGGCCAATAGTTGCGAGCCGGACGTTACGATCCTGGTCAGGTTGAAGGGCAGCTGAGTGGAGTTGTAGTACCATGTGTTGTTGTATTTTGGTTGTGGCAAGAAGTTGTCAAAGACGACGATTGTGATGTTCTTGATGTTGTCCGATGGGTTGATAACTGTCTTTGTCAACTGCACTGTGAGGTCAGAAGTCGCGTCATTCTCAATAATGTTCACTATGATATCAACTGGCAATGGCTTGTATCCTAGATTGATTGATTGAGTGATGTCAGTATGGTTGATTGAGTGATTGGAATGGTTCCAAGAACGTTTGAGTGATAGTTGGGCTGGTTGGAGTGATTGAATGATTGGGAATGGTTCCATGATTGAGTGGATGTTTGAGTTGTTGTAACTTACCAATGTTCCTGATGGTCACTTGGTTGTTGGAATAGGACTGTGCGTCGGTAGCAGTTACTTGGCTAAAGTAGGCTATGTCACTTGATGAGAGTGTGAGGGTGGGCTGAGTGGAGTCGATGCTGTATTGTAGACGGAAGTAGTAGTTCTTGGTGACACTGAGTGCTGGGAATGTAATGTTGGCCGAGAGTATGACCAATCCAGTCTTGATCATCAATCCAGTCTGATGTAATTGAACACATGACATATTCTTGCTTGGCATGTTGTTGTCCATGTCATCAAACATACACACTGTGGCATTGTTGAACTTGAATGCGCCAGACAACATTGCATTGACTTGAATTGTTGTCTCAACTATGAATACGTAACCAAAGTATGTTAGACGGCTGCGGTAGATGGGGGTGACAGTCGACTCGCATGAGGGCAAGTTGCTAAAGATCTTGGTAAGGTCGTTGCAAGGTCTGTCTACACAGTACTCGTTGGACTTGGCGTATGTTGTGTAGCCTCTGATGTCCGTGCACATGATTGTAATAGGCGAATGACAGAAGTGTGCTTCAGAGTAGTCGATATCAACTAGATAAGTGCCAACCGAATGATCGCCTGATGCCCTTGATCCAGAGTTCAGCGCGTAGACAGTTAGGGCATTGTCTCTCTCGCCAACTGTGACATTACAAGTGTTCTCGCCAATTCCAACTTCATCCTTCACAGTGATCAACAGTCGATACCTGTCAGTGCCAACCGAAGGAGTCAACATTGTAACGTGGACCAAAGGGCTCGTGAGGTCCAAGTCTGTGTTGAAGAGTGGTGAATGTTAATTTATGGGACGGTATGATTCCATGTGTGTGATCAATCAGACTTACTGCTAATGTTATGAGAGGGGATGTCGTAGACTCTTGAGTTGCCACCTGCGAATGCGTAGTTACATGTTGGTGTGTCTGATGGGAAACTGAAGGCTGGTGTGAACGTGCCAAACTGGAGATAGCCACTGAAGAATGCTGGATATTCCAAGCACTTTGATATCAAACTGTTGACTGGTAGCAATCCATTTGGTACAGGGATGGCCAATGACTCTGATGGTAGATTATCGCCAAGACTCCATTTGTTTACGAGAAGTGATGGTATGATCACCTTGCCTCCCATCTTTGTCTGGACCGTTGAGCCAATCGATCTTTGGATTATTCCTGTGTCCATCATCATCGTGTCACCTTTGGTGATGCTAAAGGAGGAGAAGTAGACCTCGCCAGTGTATGTGATGACATATGATGTGAGAACACAACTTGTAAGAAGGCAGTCGTCTTCGAGGAGGAAAGGGCTAGTGTAAGAGCCTTTGCCTGCGAATGACTCTTTGAATGAGGCAATGCGACCAGCAGGCAACTTGATCCATATCTCTTCAACTTGGTCATGGAATCCATTTATGAAAGTGATCGAGTACACCAACATTGTGCAGACCTTGCCAAGACGTGCGTACAATGGTGCATTGAGAGTGGCCATATGGATGTTGTCAGTGAAGATCGTCGTGGAGTTGCTCATTGGTTGGGACATGGGCGAGTTGTACGTCAAGAAATGAAGACTAGTGTTGACCACGAATGGCTGGTTGTATGGGTAGGTGATGGGGAACAGTGCTTGGTAGTGGTAAGTCGTGTGATTTATCGCGCCAGACCACATTGGCACCACCTTTATCGGTGTGCGAGAGTCGCCCATGTAGAATGAATCGATCTGTTTGGTATGAGTGAAGTCGATCAGAGTGTATGGCTCCTTGTTGATGATCAGCAGGTTGGAGTCCGCGTTGGATGGGAGCAGCACGAGTGGCTGGGCTGCCGGACATGGATTGATCATGTTGGGTCGGACAAAGTCGTTTCCGGTTGAGAAACTCTCGACCAATACACTCTGATACACTGGTCCATGCTCAATATTTAGATAGTACATCGAGCCTTTGATCGTTGGAGCTGATTGCCCGCCAATGTAGACAAGTGGCGTGGTTGTTCCAGCGCGTGGACCATCGGAGACACCCTCGTAGATGCCTTGGTAGCGCATGTCGGCCTCCAGCGTGACCGTGAAGAATGATCTGCACATGGGAGTGCCAAACTCAATCTTGGAGCTGTCCCAAGGACTGTAGTTGCCAGAGTCGACTACGTTTGGTTGTTTGTAATTGTAGGGCGAGGTGTAGTTGATTATGTCAAGCAGGAGCTTGGAGCCGTTGCACCAGGCGGTCAAAGGAGGTTCGAGTTTTGCCAGATAATTGGCGGGAATTGGAGTGCAGGTACCTGTCAGGCAGCCACTGACCACTGGTACGTCCATTACATTGTTGAGCACATCAAACAATGTGAAGTTATCGCATATATCCAACAAAGAATACTTTAATACAATTCCATCGGGGAATGATAACAAAGGATATAAATTCTCAACATTTGTAAAGTAAATGTCTGTAGGTTATGATTGATTCGATTGATTGTTAGTGAGTGAGTGGTGGTAGTGAGTGAGCCAGGAATGATGATCACATGATTCATACTTGGAGTCTGAGACCAAGTGACACTAATAAATAGTGTCAATGATAATGATATCAATAACAATGACAGATGATTTGTCTTCATTATTTGATTGATTAATTGTCTTGTAAGACAATGTTTGAATGTTTGTCTGATTGAATGAATGAACGATCATTCGGCGCCGGTGATCTATCACTTTGTTATTCAATACGTCTGTCCCATTTATCTCACCATCAATAGACTAATGGGTATGATAATGTGACGTGACCCTACACCGATCTTTGATCATGATCAAGGCCCAACCCCCTCGAAAGTTGCACCGATTTGCAACGAATCATCGAAAAAACACCCAAACTTATGAGTTTTGATCAAAAAATTTGTGTTGAAGGGGTACAAGGAGGCCCACAAAATAACAAACAAAGGGTGCGCTAATCAACCTGTTCATTAATCAATGAACCAAAGGTTACTTGTTACTGTTTCGTCTATGGCTAGCCTAGACTGGTCTTACATTCTATCCAGTTTGTTGGAGCCAAAGGTGCGCTTGGCCCTCATCTTGTGTATCTTTTGTCGGATGTACATGTTCTTCTTCAACTTGAAGAATAATGCTAAACATATGATCACGAGGCATAATACACATCCGACAACTATGAGTGGGATGATGTAAGGCTTGGGCCCGCCACTGGCTTCACACATGCCATTACCATTGCTGTTGGCCTGGCTGTATAATACCAATACGGAGAAGTCCGGATCGATTGCCGCTGACCTCTTGAAGAATGGCACTGAGGTGGCCACGCGCAATGGCTCGCCAACAGACACAATCTTGTTTGATATGGATACTACGCGATCGTCTGATATCACTGATGTTGGGAATCGTCCATAACATTGCATCTGATGCTGTGGCAGTATGAAGTAGTGCATGTCGTCACGTGATGATCTGCCCCAAGAGATTTCCGTATCATTCTGAAGTTGGGTACAATCACCCATCGACACTGTCTGGAATATGATCTGGATATAGTTGAGTTGACTGGTGAAGTTGTATCCATCAAAGTTGACCGTGTACTTGATTGTGTTGGGCTGGAACTTGAGTGTCTTGTTGGCCCACACCGTCTGTCCACCATCCAAATACTTGTCAATTGTCAATGTGATTGTGTTGGATGCGTGTTGGATACCGCCCATGTTAGTGATCGTGTACTTGGTCGAGTTGGAATCCGAGTTTGCCAAAGTCCAATTGAGTGTGATGTTGTTGACCACTTGGTCCAAGTAGTTGAGCTCAAGTATCGCCGCGATTGATATGCTGTAGGAGACTGACATGGTGTCTTTGGTGAGTTTGGGGTCATGATCCCCAGCCACACCAAGTGTTGAGACGGCATTGGTCAAATCTTCCTTGAAGCTCACGTCCACTTTGACCTCGTCCATTTTGAGATTGCAAGATGGGCCGGCGAATCCATTGTGACACATGCAGTTCTGATCAACACAATCACCATTGCCACTGCAATTGTTTGGGCATGTGTACAGCCTACTGATCGAGCAGTCCTCACCTCTCCAATCGGGATCACATTGGCAAGTGTTCTCAATACACTTTCCATGTTTACAGTTTGATGAGTCACAATCTATGATTGATTGATGTTAGTTAGTAATCACGGTAGATCATATATCATGATCATTCAGTGCACTAATAGATTGATTGATACTCACAGAAGAAGTCGAGGAGGTAACTGGTTCCACTGATTACGATGTAGTTGTCCTTGTCAAGGTCTGGCTTAAGTTGACCGAATTCTATGATGGCTGTGTTGGAATCTTGATATGATGCAGTGTACTCCTGGTCCTTAACAGTGTATTCACTTCCACCAAGTCCAACACCAGTGATATTGATAGTTTTATAATAATAATCAATCACTGCACTGTCCACATGATAGGACGCACTAATCACTATAGTGGGAGCAGGATCAACAACTCTGAATCCAGTCGTGTGGCCAAAGTGATCGACAATATTCCAAACAGACACGGTCACACCTCTAACACCCCAGGCAAATGGTAATGTCATTGTTCCGTTGAACATGAATGTGTTGTTGCCATAGTAGGTGCAGTGATCGGGGTGGAAGTCGAAGCAGTCCTGTGAGCCCATCTCCGAGACTACCAAGATGGGACTGGCTGTCAAACAGTCCATGGGGTTGGTCGTGGTGAAGGTGAAGTTGAATGGAGTCTGTGTCATCCTTGACGCGTCAATCGTGACTCTGCCACTGCCAATGCCATTACCAAACATGATTGAAGTGTCGCTCAGAGGGTTGCCAGAGATGCTTGCTTGTGTCTTGGTGAGGTTGATGTAGTCGTAGTATCCATACATTGGATATTGTTCACAGTTGTTGTTGTAATCACACATTGATGAGATGTAGGCCAACATCCTACTGCCCCATGACTTGACTATTGTCATGTTCAATGGCATTGCTGTTGTACCCGGTGACACCTTGTCATTGATCCATGTATAGTTTGTACGTGGCCTCACTGCAAAGTCATCATGTACGGCCACCGTTATATTCTTGACATTGGTCAATGGATTACCCGCGGGTAATCTATTCAACTGAATTGTCAAATCATATGACTGATCCTCGACAATCTTGACAGTTACATCAACTGGAAGTGGTTGGAAGTCTTTAGATTATGGGTCAGTGAGTGATGGATGGAGCAATTCCAGGGCTCGGGTATACTTACCAATGTTCCTGATGGTCATTTGATTGTTTGGATATCCTTGTGAGAGTTGGGATGCAATGAGTGTGATGTCACGTGATGATAGGATGATTGATGGTTGTGCTGGATCAATGCTGTAGGTGACACGGAAGTAGTAGGTCTTGGTTGATTGAGCCGGTGCCAGAGTGATCACACCTGTTAAGACGTAGCTTCCAACATTGACATCAATCGTATTGAGTAGATTGAGTTGGATACATGATTGATTGGCACTTGGTATCTTGTTGTCCAAGTCATCAAACATGCATAGTGTGGCGTTGTTGAACTTGTTGGCGTCAGACACTATGGCTGTGATGCCAACTGTGCCATCTCCATTGATTGAGTGACCGAGGTAGCTCAGTGTACTAAAGTATACTGGTGGAGTGGTCAATGCATCGCATGATGGAAGGCCCGAGAACACTCCGGTCAAAGCATTACATGGCCTGTCCAAGCAATAATCATTTGAAGTTGTTCTCATCATGTTGCCATTGATATCAGCACAATCGATGGTGAGAGGGGCATGACAGTAGTGTGCCAAAGAGTAGTTGATGTCTACTATATATGTTCCAATCGAATGATTGCCTGCAACACGATTACTTGAGTTGATTGTGTAGTAATCACCACGATACCTTGAATCAGTATATCCGCCAACTGTTATCTTGCACGTGTTGTCGCCAATTCCAATCTGGTCATTGACGGTCACCTGTAGTCTATAGACTGGTACATATGTCGTTGGTGGCAACAATGAAACGTGGACCAAAGGTGGAGTAAGGTCGATCACTATTTATGTTGGGTGTGCGTACAAAGTTAGAATGATTGATTGAGTGATTGAGTGAGGATGGACATACTTGTTAGGTCTCGGGTACTGTTGGTGAGCATCAAGTCTCCGTCACGGTCCAACTCAAACGAGCATGTGGGCGTGTCGGTGGGGAAGGTGAAGGGAACGGAGAAGGTTGCATATTTGAGGCTGCCACTGTAGAATGATGGATAGTAGTAGTTGTTGGTGAAGAATCGTTGAAGTCCTTCAGGTCTCACATCCAGGTATACGTTGGGCAACTCCTCTGTTATCGAAACCTCGGTGAATGACATAACATTGACGAGTGATCGATCTTTGAAGTTGGCACTGACATGCTTCTGTGAGGTGTCGGGCGTGAGGATCGACGTCGACGCCTTGACGCCAAGGAAGTTGGAGCTGAATGATCCATCACTTCGTGTCACCACGTAAGCCTTGAAGTGGCATCCAACATCCGACGCCATGGCACATGCATAGTCATACGAGAAGGAACCGCTGAATGTCGCCAAGTTGGTGAAGTTCTCTTTGAACACCGCCACGCGAATGGTGTCCGAGCCCTGTATGTTGTACACCTGTATCTCCACGACCTTTTGTTGGAAGTTGCCTGTGAATGTGGCTCTGTACACAAACAATGCGCGTCCATATCTAGTCTCTGAGGGAAGGGGAGAGGCGGGCGATGCCACCGATATGCTGTCAGTGTACATTGTATGATCGGGATTGGCAAACTGTGTCGGGGTCACTGTGTAGTAGTGATCGGATGTGCTCACATTCCAAGGTGAGCCAACCAAGATGTTGGTCTGCAACAGACGATACTTGTATCGCTCGCTAGCAGGCTTGTTGATCATCACTGGCGTGAGAGGGTAGAATAGGCCCGAACCCCAATCATTCAAGAGGCCCTGCTCGACGAAGAAGTTGCCCAATGGGCTGGCGTAGGTAATGTCCAACATGGTGTAGGCAGGCTCGCCGGGGATGCTCAATGGCGTGAGCGTGAAGTTGATGCCTGGGAACACTGTTGGTGGGAGGCCGGACCATTCGCAATTGGGGACCGGTGTTGGCTTGGCAGGTGGGGGGTCGATAGTGAACGACTTGACGAGGTCGCGAGCCATGTGAGTGGTCCAGGTGAGCGCGTAGAAGTACTTCGCACCCTTGGCGGTGGGGCTGCCTGCGGCGCCGTAGGGCACGATCTGATCGATGAACGCTTCGATGTGGTCGGGTATGATGTACAGGCCTTGATACTTGATGTAGTTGTTTAGAGTATAGAATGAGTAGCCTGTGCATGTGATGGCCGACGCTTCGTTCTGCGGGTTGAGATATAGTGTTTGAGTGACATCGGCAACATCCAATTGATATGGGTTTGGATATGAGAAGTTACCCATGTCCTTGGTACCATCACACAGTGCAGTGATTGGTGATGATAGTTTGGCTACATCATCTTGGAGCGAGGCGTTGCAGGGTGTGCCAGTGCCAACACCCAAACAAGCTTCGACCAACAAAGTCTTTGAACGACTATCCTTCAAAGTGACCGTTGTGCATGTATCCGATGTATTATAAGTGAGACCAAAGGTAAAGTCCTTAAACATCGGGTACAGTTCATCAATGTTGATGAATCCAAAATTGGTTGTGGAGTCTGTGTGATTGGGTGGGTGGGGTGGGAGTAAGGAATAGTTCCAACCTCAATCAAACAACTACCAACATTACATACTCGCATTGATAACAAGTGGACTACTACAACCGATCAGGAGAATAAGTATTAATATATAATTCATTGTTGTAACATGAATGACTGAAATTGATTGTTTGACAAGTCGAATAAGACCTGACTTTCATTGTTGTTTCGAGGGAGGACCCATTGTTGGGATCAAATATCTTCAGACTGTTGGTGTCACCACAATCAAGAATAGATCGTTGAACTCGTACCTGATCTTTTTATCCCTGATCTCTCCCTGATCATGTGAAACGGCAGCGACCTTTCAAAAAATGGGTCATTCTTGGCCATCAAAGATAAGTTTATTTTTGTTTCTTTCTCATTCATGTCGCGACATTAAAAGCTGAGGATGACCATCCAGTTAAGATTAGTCGTTGTTTTATCCATCACTATTCTCTTCAACTTTCATAATATCATTGAATTAAACTTTGTACAAAGTTTTATAATTGCGAAGACCAACAATGATCACTTCATCAAACCAAGTCATGGTCCATGACTTTAATAGGTGTACTTGATTGTAATCAAAGGCCCTAACTAACTTCACTCCCTCCTCTAAGTATACTTACCAGGCGTGAACCAAACTTGGTAAACTTTGGTCTAAAGCCAGGTGAACAATCGTTGAACATTGATCTAGACCAGGATGGTTTCAGTTCAAAATCACACTTTGAAGACTCCAAAGATAAATTTGACCCCTGACTTTCTATTTTTCTTTACTTGTTGAGAGAAGTGAAGTATGTTTATTTGATGGTCAACCATTCAACCAACAACAATGGTGATCAAGTAAAATAGATAAGATGTAGAAACATCTGTATGTTCAACAACAATAAACAACAACATCAAATACAATGTATAATAATAAGAATATCTATTTATTAGCAATCGTTGTTCTGGTGCTCACCTTGTCTTTGGTAACCCATGGCCAATATGTCATCTTGACTACCTATGGTACACCATGCCAGGGACAGTATTCCAGCATGATCATCTACCCCCAATCAACTTGTGTCTCCATTCCTGGATTTAATTCAAGTTTCATGATAAGCTCATGTGATCACAACAACTTTGTCACAGAATCCTTTGACGCTGCCAACTGCACTGGACCCAGCATCACGATCACAACGCCAAACAACCAATGCCTGAACCAATCTAATCCTAGTTCGATGGCACACTATCAACAATCTACATGCTCTAGCCATGCCTACATCCCCGATTCATCCTTTGTCATTGCTTGGTACAAGTCGGATGAATGTACCGAAGAGAGTATTGTAGAAGTCCAACCGGCCAATCAGTGCTTCTACAGTTGGTGGTTTGGACAGTACACCGTTTTATCAGTTGACCGTACCCAAATGAATACGACCTACTACTATGACTCGAAATGTATGGTGGTCGATGGCGGTGCTAGCGGTGATGACTATGCTCTAAACTCCACTTGCAATATCGATGGAGGCACTGCATGGTTTGCCTATTTCAATGACAACTCGTCACCTTTGAGTATTCCAGTTTGGTCAACACTTATTCTCTCAATAATAATAAACATTCTTGTTGTTGTTTGAACAACATGTTATTGTTGTCCAGATGTTGTTGGTGGTCAGGTGAAGTATTATTCCAGTAGTCCAAGAGGGATCAACTCAAGGAATCGTCGAGCGAGGCATACGAGGGTCATCGACGACGTGGCGCAAGACCACCAAGATGGCCACATAATATATAATGGACATAGAGAGGCTGGAATATTTCCAGAACCACGAAATCAATCTTGTTCAATATAATATTGATGTCGTTTAATTATAAATAGTTCCTTTGTCTGTGAGTTATGGTGGCAATAATAGGTCCAGATGGTTTACCCTTGTGAATATGTCCGCCATGATTCCATATCAACGTTGTGCGCACCACCATTACAACATATAAAGTCGAGGATGAACATCCTGCTTAGATATGTTGTGTCCTTCTAGGCATAGTACACTGTTTTCTCCAATCCTTCTAAGCATGGTAGTACTTATTAAATCTGAAGAACTTGTAATTGTGTTCCTATCTCTCTTGGTCGCAGTTGTCTTTGACAATCCAATTGAATAGTCTGATACTTTGGGTACAGACTGGACCAATGCCTTGTAAAACTTATGTACATTGCCTTGAAGTTGTTTTTGATGTTCCTCTTTGGTGTATCTAATATTTTGTGTAATGTCCAGTGCCACCTCCAATGTCTTGATCTTTGTTGATACTAAAGGCAATTGTTCTCCAATCAATACAGTGTTGACAACACGTATCACATCGATTTGTGATGATCCATTATCCACACACTTGATATGTGAGACGTAAGGACAAGTGAGATGCTTGAGGTTGGTCTTGGATGCTTCCGGAAGTGTGATGTCGGCCACGCGAGTGAGTCCAAGGACCAGTGAGGTGAGGGAGTCAGGCAGCGCGCCTGCTACCAAAGGTTTGGTGTACTCGCCAGAGATTATGAGTGTGGTCAGTGTCGATGGTAGTACGCCAGGCACCAGTTCATGGTTGTAGAACACGCCAAGGTCGAGTGTGAGCAATGATTCGGGAAGACATCCAACCTTCAATGGTTGTTTGTATAGCGTGCCGAATCTTAGAGTTGTAAGTGTTGTTGGTAGTTGTCCTTTGATTATAGGTTGATTGAATTCAAAGCCCAATGTGAGCTTTGTTAAGTTGGGCGGAAGATAATGGTCTGGCGACGCCTCCAATGTTTCGAATGGAGTGTTGAAGTCATTGCCAAATCTTAGCGTTGTCAGGGATGCAGGTAGATGATAGGTCTTGTGATCAAACATTCGACCGAATCTTATCACCTTGAGTGACTCTGGCAATGAATTCCTGTGTAACTTCCTCGTGAAGTAATCTCCAAACTCAAGGTAGTGCAATCCAAATGGGAGGACACCCTCATCAATCGGAGTGTCGTACCTAGTGCCAAGGGTCAGATGTTTGAGCGCCAGTGGGAGCACATTGGGTTTGATCTCTTCATTGTAATAGTGTCCAAATGTGAGACGGGTCAGGCTGATGGGTAGCGAACCAACAGCCAATTCTTGATTGAAATAGTAGCCAAAGGTGAGTGTTGTCAGGCTGGCGGGCAGGGCTCCAACTGCCAACGATCGGTTATAACAATAACCAAAGGTTAACTTGGTCAGGTTGGGAGGTAGCTCACCAATGTTCAAACGTTGGTTGAAGCTTATGCCAAAGGTCAAAGAGCGGAGTGACTCTGGCAATGCTCCGGGTACCAACGAAGTATTGAATGCATTTCCAAATGTCATTGTAGTGATACCATTAGGTATTACCCAATTTAGATCATTCAATGTACCAAGTACCATGTCTACAATTGATGTAGTAGTTGTAATTGTAGTTGTAGGAGTTATAATTGTAGTTGTATTTGTAGTAGAACTATCATTTTCTTTGTTATTGAATCGTTTGTTTATAAGATGACATGTATTCATTCCCATCTTGATTGATACTGCTCTAAATGCTTTTGATGTCATTGACATGCTCATAAGATCCAAACACTTTGATGGATAATCTGGCACTGATTCCAATTGTTGGTATATCAGACCAATGACTGTATGTGGAAGATGTTGTTGATCCATTTCTGATTGATTGCTTGATTGATTGTGTTGTATTCTAGTCTGCTTGATATCTTCTTCCTATTCTTTGTAGTCAGTCGTACGATTATTAATAGTTTATATAATTAGATGTTATTTGATTGAATGCAAGACAGCAATAACAAACAACAATGAATGACATTGTGATTCTACATGTTGAATAAATAATGATGTGGTTTGTTTACAAGAGAAGAAACAGAGATAATTAATTAAAAGAGATAATATGTTTGAGAGGAATTGAAGAATCCCAAAATGAAGGGTTTGCGACCTTGAGTTCGACTTGTGCTTCGACCTCGAGTGAAATGCACACAGATGCATACATTTTATTATAAAAGTAAAAAAGGTAACATTGTTTGATCTACATCTTATCAAGTTTGTTCGAAGAAGAGGAGCTGAGATTGTTTCGCGACTTGAATTGATGTATCCTGTGTCTAATATATATGTTCCTCTTCAATGACATGTATAATACTACACCAATGATTGCTACGAATATTACACATCCTACTACGATCAGTGGGATGACATATGGCTTCATACCATCGACCTTGACTTGGCATTGACCATCATTGCCATTAGTTTGACTATATGATACGAGGACTGAGAAGTCTGGATCGATCATTGCCGACTTCTTAAAGAATGGAACTGTGGTGGCGATCTGCACGGGCTCCTTGGAAGAGATGATCTTGTTGGACAATGCCAATATACGACCATCTGAGATGACAGATGTTGGGAACCTGCCATAACACTGAATTTGATGTTGTGGGATGACAAAGTAATGCATGTCTTGAAGTGATGCTGCACCCCAGGTGATGTTCTCATTCTGTTGTTGGGCACAATCACCCATGGACACTGTCTCGAATATGATCTGGATGTAGTTGAGCTGACTGGTGAAGTTGTATCCATCGAAGCTCACCGTGTACTTGACCGTGTTTGGCTGGAAGTTGAACGTCTTGTTGGCCCAGGTGGTCTGGCCACCATCCATGAACTTGTCAATTGTCAATGTTATTGTGTTTGATGCATCTTGGATACCATCCATGTTTGAGATCGTGTACTTGGTCGAGTTAGCAGAGCTAGATGCCAACTTCCAGTTGAGTGTGATGTTGTTGACCACCGTGTCTGTGTAGCTCATCTCTAGAATTGACACAATGGATATGTGGTATGACACGGACAGAGTATCCTTGGTGAGGTTGGCTCCGTTGGACACGCCAAGAATGGCAGTGGACATATCCTCTTTGTAGTTCATGTCCACCTTGACTTGATCCAGAGTGAGGTTACAAGTTGGACCTGCAAAACCTGTCAAACACATACAGTTCTGATCAACACAATCACCATTGCCACTGCAATTGTTTGGACAGAAGTAGTTCTTGTTGATCGAACAATCCTCACCTTGCCACAACTTATCACACTGGCACTTGTTCTCCACACACTTTCCATGTCCACTGCAATTCAATGAGTGGCAATCTATGTTTGATTGATGTTAGTATGTAGTTTGATTGAATGATTGAGTGCGATTGATACTCACAATAGAAGTCCAAGAGGACTTGTATACCTCCAATGGTGATGTAGTTGTTCTTTTCAAGGAATGGAATGAAGGAGCCAAAGGGGATGATGGCGGTGTTGGTATCCTTCATTGTTGGTTTGATTGATTGACCATTGAGATTGTAATCAACATATAATCCACTACCAGTGATATTGATCGTCTTGTGATAATAATCCAATATTGATTGATCGATGTGGAATGGTTCATTCAATTCAAACATAGGTGCTGGATCAGCTGAATGGAATCCTGTACTATGTCCATAACGATCGACTATGTTCCAGACGGATGACGTGACACCCCTGAGTCCCCAACCAAATGGTGTTGACATGGTACCTGTGAATACATATCCGTTTCCAGCTGATCCACCCTGGTTGGAGCAGTGATCGGTGTGGAATGTGAGATAGTCTTGTGAGCCCATCTCTGTGAGAATGAGGATAGGGTCCAACGTGCTACAGTTGAGTGGATTGGTCGATGTGAATGTGATGTTGAATGGGGTCTTGGTCACACGGGCCGCGTCAATGTTGGCTGTACCAAACTTGATCGATGTGCCACTCAAAGGGTTGCTAACGATCGTATCTGGTTGGAATGATTTGACCAAGTCAACTTGAGAGTAATAACCAAACATTGGATATTGCTCACAGTTCTCGTGGTAGTCGCACACTTGGGAGATGTAGGCCAACATCCTCCTTCCCCAAGTCTTGACAGTTGTAATGTTGAGTGGTAGGAATGATGGAGCCGATGGATCATTGGTCCAAGTAACATTGGTGAGTGTACCGGGTTTGAAGTTATCATGGACAACGACGGTAACATTCTTGAGCATTCCCAAAGGTCCAGCGCCAAGCATAGTAATCTTCTGCTTTGACAACTGAATAGTGATATCCAATGTAGGGTTCTCCACAATGATTAACTTCAAATCATTTGGCAATGGTTGGAAGTCTGAATTGATGGATTAATTGAGTGTGTCAGTGTGGGTGTGGGTGGGGCGAAGGCTGGAATGATTCCGTCAACTTACCTGAGTTCCTGATTGTGATGAGATTGTTTGGATATTGTTGTGATCGTTGTATGGCAAAGTAGGAGATGTCTCGTGATGAGAGTGTGATGGTGGGCTGGGCCGCGTCAATGCTATAGTTGAGGCCAAAGTAGTAGGTCTTGGTGATGGCGTGTGGATACACCGTGATCGCACCTGATAAAATGTAACTTCCAAGAGAAGATCCATCGATAGCCTTGTTCATGGTCAGCAATGTACATGAAAGGTTGCTCAAGATCTTGTTGTCAAAGTCCTCATACAAGCATAGTGTGGCCGTGTTGAACTTGTTTGTACCTCCCAGCACTGCATTGAACATGATTGTTGATCCATTGCCATATGAATATCCAAGGTATCTCAGTTGTGTGAGATACACTGGTTTCACTGTGGAGACGTCACATGATGGCAAACCCGAGAACACATTGGTTAACTCATTACATGTCTTGTTGATGCAATAGTCATTGGAGTTGGCCTTGAACATGTTGCCACGTATATCTTGACATTTGATTGTGAATAGTGTATGACAATAGTGTGCCTCTGAGTAACTGATCAACTCTACCATGTATGTTCCAATTGAGTAGTTACCAGCGATACGTGAGCCAGAGTTGAGTGGATATACATCCCCTTTAAAATTGTAATCATCATCTTCTCCAACAATCAAAGAGCATGTCTTCTCACCGATACCAATCGCATCACTAACATCCACCTGTACCCTATATGATGGATTGAACTCAGATGGGTACAACAATGTCAAATGGACCAATGGTGGAGTGAGATCAATAACTAAATCGATTGATTGGTTGATTGGTTGATTGTGAGTGAATTAGTATGGGTTAGTGATTGATCGAGTGATTGGGATAGTTCCAGATTTAGTGCACAACTTACTTTTGAGATCACGTTGGTTGGTAAAGATACGGTCGTGCTCGTAGTTTAGTTGGTATTGACAGGAGGGCATGTCGGTTGGGAATGTGTAGGGTAGGTAGTATGATCCATCCTTGAGGTTACCACGGAAGTAGACTGGATAGTTATACTCTTGATTGAAGGTTGAAGTGATTCCACGAGGATAGACTTCTAGATATCCAGTTTGATATTGATCACCTATTGACATGTTGCCAATTCTTGATACTGCCGTTATCACTTTACCATCGACCTGTGTGACACCTTGTTCGATATTTTGGAACGGCGCTGGCAATGTCGTAGCACTGAGCAATGTGAAGTTGGAGTAGTATGTGCCCTCTGACTTTGTCGTGATGTACACGCTGAACGCGCATCCAGGTGGCTCGATGGCGCATTGATACTTGTATGAGAATCCTCCACTGAACTCTGCACTCCTCGTGAAGTTCTCCTTGAACGTCGCGCATTGTATCTGTCGGCCGTGGAAGTATAAATAGACCTGGATGTCCGACACCTTGTCTTGGAAGTTGTTGAGGAATGTCGCCGAGTAGACATAGTGCGCCAGACCATAATCATTGTCCTCCGAGGGCAGGGGGTGATTGTGGGGATGCCAATGTGAGGCTGTCAGTGTACTGCGCGGGATGACTAATCGTTGGTATGTCAACATTGTTGATTGACATGGTCAGGTAGTGTATATTCGTTGAGATGTTCCAGTTGGGATTTGTGAACAGTGGTGCAGTCTGCAGTACCAGGTAGTGGTAGCGTATACTAGGCGCTGACGATGATGTCAAGTTGTTGTTGTTAGTCTGTACCATTGCCCTGGGTATAAAGCCACTATCTCCAACATCATCAGTTGGATAACCTTGTGAGAAGTCAAAGTTTGCCAATTGTTGATCATAGTTCACGTCGACAATCGTGAAGCCTTGTTCAAAGGGTATCTTGACGGGTGTGATCGTGAGGTGACTGGGGCCAAACAATGTCTGTGGACCTGGAAGACCACAGTAAGGTAGGTTGACAGTCCTTCCCCATCCAGAGGGTTGGAAGCCCGTGAATAGGACGAACTCGGCCCACAAGTAGTAGGTGAAGGGGAAGAAGAACCGTGCACCCTTTGAGGTGGGACTCGACTGCGGACCATATTGCATGAGCTGGAGTGTTCGTTCATCCTTGCCAATCTTGAGCTCTGCGTATAGGCCTTGGTAGGGTACGTCGCGGTTCAAGGTGTAGACGACAAAGCCACTGCACACGGCGCCGTAGTATCCTTCGAGGGTAGGGTTGAGGTAGATCTGTTCGGTGACATCGACGTCGGGGACGTTATAAGGGTTGTTGAATGAGAAGTTACCCATGATTGTTGTACCATTGCATGATGCTTGAATCGGTGATACCAGACCAGCCAACTCATATTGTGGAGTTGCATGACATGTTCGACTGTAACATCCTGCTGCTGTCACTTCATAACCATTGACATCGGTCAACTCTACATATTGACAAGTATCCGCAGTCTGATAAGTGAAGTTATAATACAATCCTTCAATCATTGGATATAACTCATCAATATGATCAAATGACAATGTTGTTGGACCTGATCGATCAAAGTGGATGTGTGAGTATAATTAATTAATAATTAAATATATTTTATTTAATTAATTATTTACCTGAGTTGATCATCACTATGTTACCAAACAATAATAACGACAACAACAATGATAATGATATCATCTTTGAATAATATTTATCTCTATCTATATCTAATTATCTCTTTTTTTTTTTGTTTATCTGTCTTGATCAAACAAGAAAGATTGTACGAATGATGATCAATGCTTGATCGATCATCCGAAGCTACACTCAAACAAACATAATATCATAAAGATCTTGTAATTGGATATTGAACAACAACAACCCATCACTCTAGGAAGATCAGCGGAATCTGCCCACCCTCTCGTTCGTCGAACTGAAGATATTTTTAGAATTGATGGGAGTGCGCCTCCACAGGTCCACCCCTCCCCTAATTCCCCCTCAAGCGACACTCAATCAATTATGTCATTTAACTTGCTCTAATACCCTTACCCAAGTATGACATCATTCATTGAATAAACTACATTTTAGAGTGACCGTATGTTGTTGTTGGATCACTTATGACCTCATCAACCTTGCCCTTACCCTACCCTACCCTACCCCTTACCCTACCCTTACTCAAAGTCAATAGTAGTTTGATGATGATGTACATTGTATTTATTCAATACACACATGTGAAGATAGGTGGAGAAGGACTGTTTAGATTCCAAGTCCGCTGGTAACACTATCAACAGTCTTGAAGGTAGTGGCCAAAAGGCCGTTGACAGTACCAGTTACAGTGTCGATGATTGGAGCAATGGCTTTGCCGAGGTCAGCAACAGCACCAGCAGTTCCGTTTGATGATTGGCCGAAGGAGCTCATGCTTCCGCTGGAAATTGAACCATGGGTCATGGATGAGGCGTTGAAGGACAAGGCAGTGATGGATTCTAAAATGAATGATTGAGTGATGTTAGTTCATGTTTGGATGGAATACTGATTGATTGAACATACTGATGATAGTCATTTCTTAGATTGTTAGTTAGTTTGATTGATTAAATTGATTGATTTGATTTGATGTCTGTTAACTATCGAGAAGGTTCAGTATTTATAATGAACTGGAAGTATATAATCAATGTCAAACTTACAACATGATCAAAGTATACAATGTTAGATCCATCCCATTATCATCCAGATTTCAAGTAATAAATAAATATAGATATTACGTATATCTGATCAGTGATGTCACAGTCTTGTTTGATTGAGTGATAGGACTGGCATGGATGTATCTGAGAGGGACCATTAATGTTGAATGTTACTACTATTGACTTATTGTATTGATTAAATTGACATACATTAATACTGATTGATCTGACGTCAGATCAGAATTATCATCACTTGTCGAACGAGTATTGATGGGTGATAAGTGATCATTTGATGTAGATAGTGGGTGATTGGTTGATCAATCAAGTAGCGAGTATGTGTGAGTGGGGGGTGATGTATTCGTTCGGACTACATAATGTTACTTACACCCTACCCTCCCATCACATGATCAATCACATGATCAACATTATACCAACATAAACACATCTATCTATAAACATGGAAAACTCAATCAACCATACATAATGAATGAATGAATGAAGGGGATTGTTTCCAGAGACTGACAAAGATTGATCAGATAGATACACAGTTGTAGAGTGAACCAGAACCATCCAATCATTGATTGGATGGATAATGGTATTAATAAATAATATTATTGTGTATTTTGGATTTGGATTTGGATTTGGATTGTTGGTGTCATCAATTGTTACTCGATCATTGATTGAATGATTGATTGAATGATTGATTTTGTTTGATTGATGGCCTATATAATATATGATACAATTATTGATGGATGATGACTAGGAGTCCTTCCTGGACTTTCCTTTCTTGAGCTCCTCCTTCTCACGCTTCTCTCGCTCCTTGTCCTCTTTTTCCTTCAACTTGCGCTCCTCCTTCTCGCGCCTCTCTCTTTCCTTTTCCTCCTTCTCTCGTTGTTTCTTTTCCTCTTTCTCTCTTTCTTTGTCTTTCTCCTTCTCTTTCTCTTTATCTTTGTCATCGTGTGTGTCCTTGTGTCCACCCAATCCAGTCTTCTTCAAGAGTGAGCTGATGCCGCCAATGCTAAGACGACTGGAACTGACTGTCCTTGTGGGCTTGAGTCCAGGTGAGTTGTTAATTGATCCACCACCACTACTATTGCTTCCAAAGCTAGCTGTACTGATCGATCTATTCTGAAGTAGTTGTTGTTGTCGGGTAGTGGGCATTGGCTGTGTCGATGTAGATGTAGCAGCTGACAATGGTTCCAGCGATGGTGACTCCTTGGTTGGGGAATGTGATTGAGGTGAGACTGATGGTGATGATGTTGGTGATTGTGATGGTGATTGTGTTGATGGAGATGGAGATGATTGCTGTTGTGGCTGTGGCAGCCGCGGGGATTTAGACTCTGGCGATACTTCCAGTGGAGGTGAAGGTGGTGGGGGCGGTGATTGAGTTCCAGGTGATACTTCAACTGGTGATTCATGATTGGTTGGTGATGATCCAGATACTTGTGATGTTACATCATTGATCACTGCCACTACAGTGTCACCAGCTGATGTATCGCTTGCAGCTGACAGGGGTGTGTCTCCAACCCTGGACGCTGCGACCTTGATATCATCCTCCTGCTCTTGTTGTTGTGGCTGTGGCTGTTCCTTTGGCTCTGGCTGAGGATGTGGCAGTGGCTCCTCCTCCTTCTCTACTATCTGTACAATGACTGTTTGGACCTCTTCCTTCTCTTCCACAACTGCCTCCTCCTTCTTGACTATCTCTGGCTCTTCATGTTTGATCGCCACCTCGACGACCGCGACCACGACCTCCTCATCATCGTCATCCTCATCGTCATCCTCATCGTCATCATCATCTTCCTCAATCTTCATTTGTACATTATCAACATGCTCCTCCACCTTGTCGTCACCAACCACCTTGTCTTCCTTCTCGCCATCACTGTCGCTGTCACTGTCGCTGTCTGACACTTCTGAGCTGGACTCGGAGTCGTCATCTCGCAGCTCCTCAAGCAAAAACTCCAACTCTTCAATCTTCTTCTTCATTCTCTTGGCATTGTACTCGGCATCTTGACGTCTCTGACTCTCCTTGCTGAGGTTATCGCTGTTTCTTGTCTCCATGTCCTTGATCCTACGCTCGTACTCCACGGCACTGTCCCTGAACGCATCGCCACGCTGTCTCTCCTTGAACACAGTGTCCTGGCCCTCTTTCAGCTTGGCGGCAGTCGTGTCCTGCTCGCGCACCAGATCATCATTCCTCGTCTCCAGACTCAACAGATGTGCTCGCAGACGCTCGATCGACTCGGCCGCCTTGACCGAGTCCACTTCAAACTTGTCCAGTATCTTTGTAAAGAGAGAGCGAGTGACTGCACGTTGGGAGGCCTCGCGGTACTTGGCAATCCAGCGATCGTCTGTCTCGAGCAAGTGGTCCAGGCCCATCCTCATCTCATTACGCTCGATCTCCTCCATGCATATATCCATCATCTGCTCGTGCGTTGTAAATGTCGACTGCTGGTTGCCAAACAATGTGAGGCGGTCTGAGCTGCTGGCAGACGCCATCGGTGTAGGTGGTGAGTCGACTGTAGTTGTTGTTGGTGATTGCGTTGGTGGTGTGAGTGTTGTGCCCTTCTTTGGTGATGAAGTTGTTGATGTTGATGTTGTTGATGTCGCTGTCCCATTGCTGTTTCCGTTGCTATTGCTGTCTTTGCCGTGACCTGTAGTGGCGTTGACCAACTTTGTAATGCCAGACAACAACTTGTTGCTGGTGGGCTGGTGTGAGACTTGTGCTTGGAGCTGCGCGACTTGCGCCTGCAGCTGGGTAATGCGGTCCTGCGCGACGGATTGTGACTTCTTGACGGCCTTGGCCACCTCGTTGTTGACCTCCTTCTGTGCTTGAATCATGCGATTGCGCGTCTCCTCGAGGATTGTACGCAGCTTGACATTGTCGTCGGCCATCTCATTGAACAGCTCGCTCATTGAGTCGAGGCGACGTGTGAGCTCGGACGTCTTGCGACGCTCGACGCCCATCTCCTCGTCCTTGTGCGAGATGATCTCGTGCAGGCCCTCGATCACCTTGTTTGTGTCGCGATCACGCTGCTCCAGAGTCGACTGCAGACGACCGACCTTTGCGTGGAGGTCAATGTTCTCTTCGGATTTCTCCTGGAGACATGACACGATTGCTGAGATCTTGCGCTCGTATTCATCGCGTAGGTCGTGCAGTGACTTTTGTCTTTCAAACTCCTCGCGTGATAATGATATTGTCTTCAAACTTGAATCCATCTGTGATTGTTGTTGTTGCTGTTGCTGTTGCTGTTGTTGCTGTTGGAGTTGTTGGAGTACTCCTCCACTCTTTGAGAGAGATCTACTCATACTCAATCAATGATTGGTTGGTCTCTATATCTCTTTAATTATTATCTCAATATATATATTATTATATATAGTAGTTGTAGATGTGATATAGATACACGTGATAATGATAATGAATAACTAGTACCAAAACGAATGAATGTGTTCATGTTTGAATGAAGGTTGATTGAGTGTTAGTGCGTGGGTGATGGTGTCAAATGGAAGTGGGGTATGATTGATTGATCAAGATTCGCAATGTAGTGTGGGTGTTGTGTGTGAATGAAGTGATCTGCCCTGGGGTTAGAGAATGCCGAATGATTGTCTTAGAATGAGTATGTCTCTAGAGTGAGTGTAATTCAACGAAAATGAATGTGACGTGACTTTGTCGTCTTGTCGACATGATCAGTCAATCATCAATCAATCGAATCAATCAGTTTATAGAAGTTTTGGTTGATCGTTGTTATATCGTCGAATAAGTTCGTCTTCTTGTTTGATGTCGTGGATGGTGGCTGGACTCATTCCAAGCTCAGTTAGGAGTGATCTGATCTCTGATGATGGTCCAGTGAGAAGTGGGAGAGTCTTTGAAAGGAAGAAACAGACACTTTGTAATGGTGTGTGATTGATGTGGAATGGTGTCGATGCTTTCAGCACGGACTTGGCATGGTATGCCACGCCTAGATGTGCATAGGCCACCATATATCGATCGTTTGAGCCATCGCCCATCGCCAGGGTATCCCTCTGCTCGCACTGATTGAGTGTGGACAGCTCCTGAAGAATCTTGAGCTTCATGTCTCCATTGAGTATCGATCCAATGATGCCACCTGTCATGCAGCCATCGACCAACTCCAACTGGTTGGAGTACACGTAGTCCATGCCTAGACGCGCGCCAACACGATGTGAGAAGAAGGTGAAGCCGCCAGAGACCAAGGCCACTTTGAATCCGAGATGCTTCAGAGTTTGAACCATTGCGTATGCGCCTGGATTGAGTTCGATGCGGGTCCACACCTGCTCGAGCTGTGCCAATGTCATGCCCTTGAGCAATGCCAGACGCTCCATCAATGCTTGATCAAAGTTGTACTGGCCCTCCATTGCGCGGCGTGTGATCTCCGATACCTTTTCCACTACGCTCATCTCCACGGCCATCTCATCAATACATTCGTTCTTGATCAGACAGGAATCCATGTCGAATGCGGCTATGCGAGGGCAATGATTCCATTGCTCCAATGTATTAAAGTATGTATCCAACTTAATCTAAGTGATAAATCAGATCGTTAATAATTTGTATGGAAAAGGCAAGTCACATGATCAGTCATGTGATAGAAGATAGGTCACGTGATCAGATACTGAGCATATAGATACAATACATACCTTTTGATTATCTATATATTGATGGATGGCATCGGCTATGTCTTTGACAGACTTTGTTGCCATGTCGGATACAAGTAATACCCATTTTGAGTACTTATAGTCCATGGCTTCAAAGGATGTCAATGCCTTTACACCATCATCTTGATCCAGTGACAATATATCCTTTGAGATCACATCAAAGTTTGATTCATGATCGACCTGTTCCTTACTCAATGATACAAATATCAATACACATTCAACTCTAGAAGTCATTATTTGTTCGATTATCATATGATGTGTTGGATAAATGAATGACTTGTGAATGGAGGTGTCCGACAACTTCTAAATTAAGAAGTTTGTGTGGTCCTTCGTTTTTTTGTTTGATTTTGAAGTCTTTTTTCACTGCTGATCACTTCTGAGTGTGAGAAGGACTCAGGAGCACTATCAAGTAGTGTAATGAATGATCACTCTTATTCACTGTAACATACATAAACATATATAAACGAAACGAAACGAACGACAAGGATGGCATTCAGAAACATTGCAACTCGCCTCGTGGCCCCTTCATCAAGCTCATTGCAACAGGGTGTCCGTCACTACACTGTCGGCACCAACGTCTTTAAGACATGTCCAGAGGGTCTGACCTTCATCGATCAGGCCAACCGCAAGCACCCAATCAAGGATATCTTTAGCAACAAGAATGTTGTCGTTGTTGGATGCACTGGATTGCACCCAGTCGATCAATTCCAACTTGTAAGTCATCATTATCATCACATTGATTGATTGATCACTCATACATCACATCACTTACATTACATCATGAACAGATACCATCATATGTTAAGAATGCCGATAAGATATACAGCAAGGGAGTCGACTACATTGTATCATTGTCAACACTGGACGCACCAATGTTGAAGGCCAACCGCATCAGTTTAGATCCAAAGATTAGAGTATGTGTCAATCACTCATTCATTCACTCATTCATTCATTCACACTCAATCAATCAATCATACTCACTCAATCACTATATAGCTCACTCATTTGTGCGATGAGAATGCAGAGTTTGCTGAGGCCAACAAGCTTTGTGAAGACATCAACATGGAGTCACTTGGTGTCATGGATGCTTCAGTCAGGAGATACAAGAGATTCGTTCTGATCGTCAACAATGGAAACATCGTTTATGAGAGTGCCGAGTCAAACCCAGATGAGTAAGTGCCACCCATCAATCATTCGATCAATCATGCGATCAAACAATCAAACTAACTTTTGTACACTTTTAGTTGTTCCCATACCGATGCTACTGCAGTCCTTGCTCACCTTTAATACACACCTAGCTTGCTTACCCATCAAAGGGTCGTCTCCACAATCGTGTGATCAAAACTGATCACCAGCCACGATCCACTGGCGACATCATGTGATCGGAAATAAAGATATAATATACAGTTACTCAGTGTCGTGGTTGATGTTGACTGGAAGTTCACCTGATTGACCTCTGCCAAAGGTCGCACTCACACCATCAAATGTTTGCTCGATCAATCTTGAAGTGGACTTAAGATGGTCCTTCAAGACCCCTATGCAATCAATCAAATAATCAATCACTCAACATATACATACATACATTTACACAAAGATAGATATAGAATTGGAAAGAGGATGAAGTCAATCATTAGAGCCAAGAGAGTTGTGATTGGATCAGAGATAAAGCCTGCCACGATAGTGATCGAGAATGGTGTGACAGTCCAGATACTGCCTTATGAACATTCATTGCCATTAGGAGAGTATGGTGTCGTTCGTGATTGTGCTGATAATGAGGTGTTGATGGGTGGTTTGGTAGACAGCCACGTCCATGTCAATGAGCCTGGCCGCACTGAATGGGAGGGCTTTGTCACTGCCACATCAGCCGCGGCAGCGGGCGGTGTCACCACGATTATCGACATGCCACTCAACAGCGACCCTGTCACAACATCATTCGACGCACTTCAGGCCAAGATCGCATCGATGCAAGGCAAGTGCTTTGTGGACGTTGGCCTCCTTGGTGGAATCATCCCCAACAACGAGGACCAGATCAAGCGCATGGTGTTGGAGGGTGGTGTCGTGGGCTTCAAGAGCTTCCTGGTGCACTCTGGCATTGACGAGTTCCCTCACGTCAACAGACAACAAGTGGACAAGGCCATGAAGGTGATGGCCGAGCTCAAACAGATTGGCAAGGATGTGGTAATGATGTTCCACGCAGAGGTGCCCGAGCCCATTGATGAGGCAATCGCCAACATGCCCGCAGATGCCGATCCACGCGACTACAACACATTCCTGAGCAGCCGACCAAAGGCCTCGGAGAACCAAGCCATCGACATGGTGATCGACTTGACCAAGGCGAACAACGTTCGCACACATATCGTCCATCTCTCCTCCAATGAGGCCATACCAAGTATGCGCGCAGCTCTCGATGCAGGTGTTCCAATCACCGCCGAGACAACATTCCACTACCTATTCTTTGTCTCAGAGCAGGTACCACATGGCGCCACTTTGTACAAGTGCTGTCCACCCATCAGAGAGTCTGACAACAGGGTCGACCTATGGAGCGCCGTCCAGGATGGAACCATCGAGCTGATTGTGTCGGACCACTCACCTTGCACGGTCAACCTCAAACTGTTGGACCTGGGCGACTTTATGAAGGCTTGGGGCGGTATCTCATCGCTCCAATTTGGCCTGTCTATCATATGGAGCGAGGCTAAGAAGCGTGGCATCGACATCACCAAGTTCTCAAGGTGGATGAGTGACTCGCCTGCCGCGCTTGTCAACATGAACGACCGCAAGGGTTCGATCAAAGTGGGTCGCGACGCAGACTTTGTTGTATGGGATCCAGAACAGACGTTTGTGGTCGATCCCAGCATCATGTACGTGAAGAACAGGGCTTCACCATACATTGGTCAACAACTCTATGGACAAGTCATCGAGACCATTCTTCGCGGACGTCCAATCTACACCAGCAAACAAGGTCACATCAAGGAGTTCAGTGGTGTGCGCATCGTCCCGACCAACATCCACACCCTGCCCACCTATCCTTCTTGCCACCTCCCACCCATCATCAGGCTTAATCAATTGGACAAGGATACATTTGATAAGTATGTACCATCTTCAATCAATCAATAGTTCGATCGCTAACTCATTCCCAACTATCCCAGCACAATCCACTTGTTATTTGAAAAGATACCAATGTTGTTCCAGCAACTGTATGATAGGAGACCATTCACTTGTTATGAACACCTGGTGGATACAGCTCAAGATATAATGGCCAATATGTCGACGGCTGATCGCACACAATGCCTCAACTCACATTCAAGAATAGGTGCAACAGTCACTCAGATGAAGAGTGTATCGAGTCTGTCGGTCAAGGAACAGAGTGCCAGTGGCGCGCAACAAGAGACACCGGAGCAAGTTCAGGCAGTACATGAAGAGCTACAACGTTTGAACAAGCTCTATGAGGACAAGTATGGATTTAGGTTCATTGTGTTTGTCAATGGTCGACCAAAGTCCGCCATTGTGCCCGTGTTCCAAGAGCGACTGGACAACGGCAAACCCGAATCAGAGCTAGCCCTAGGTCTCTCTGAGCTAGTATGTATCGCTCGTGATCGTCTCAAGAAGCTGGAAATCAAATAAAGTTAGTCAAGGAACGCAAATGATTGATGAATGTATTGAGATAGTTAGTTTGATAGAATGAATGAATAATTAGGATTGATGTGAGTGCCAGGAGTACGATGTAACGTAGTTCATTTAGGGCGACATGGTTGCAGATGATGGTGGTGCATCGGGCTCGGGGACGCCATACTCGTCAATGAGTTTGGCAACAAGTGCTGTCCAACCTGTCTGATGGGATGCGCCAAGTCCAAGTCCATTCTCACCATGGAAGTACTCGTGGAAGAGGATGTGGTCGCGCCAGTGCTCCTTCTGGAAGATGGGCTTGTTGCTCGAGAATCTACGCACTCCCTTCTCATCCTTGGTAAAGATGTTGATCAGTCTGATTGAGATCTCACGCTGCACGACATCCAAAGTCACCATGTTGCCTGAGCCAGTTGGGAACTCGATCTGGAAGTCGTTGCCATAGTACGAGTGGTAGGACTTGAGTGCCTCGATCATGAGGAAGTTGACACAGATCCAGACACTGCCACGCCAGTTGGAGTTGCCACCCATGATGGTGGAAGTAGCCTCACCTGGCTCGTAGTGCACAGATGTGGTGTTGCCCATAAGATTGAAGATATATGGCTCGTCACGATGCTGCTTGGACAGCGAGCGGATGCCAACCTCTGACATGAACTTGTCCTCGTCCAGCATCTTGGTTAGGATCTTGGTTAGACGCTCCTTGTTGACAATTGACAACAGCTTGCTCTGGTCTTGGCCTGGCACCATGAACGAGGCCATCGATGACACGAGATGTGGACGGTAGCGCACGAACCATTCTAGTCTGGACTTGAAGCGTGGAAGCTTCTCCAGCACCTCCTGCTGCAGCACATGCACGGCGAACAGTGGGATGAGTCCAACGAGCGAGTACATCTTGATCTGCTGCGACCATCCACTTGGGGTGGTGATCGAGTCGAAGAAGAATCCTTCAATGTCGTCCCACAGACCTCTGCGGCCGCCCGACTCGGCGGTACCCTCGCCAGGATGCGTGACACTGTTGGCAATGTAGATGAAATGCTCCAAGAACTTGGTGGCAATGCCCTCGTAGGAGGGACGCTCCTGGGCCAGCTCCAGGGCCATGGCCAGCATGTTCAAACTGAACAGGCCCATCCAGGCAGTACCGTCGGCCTGCTCCAGCTTGCCGCCGCCTGGGATTGGTGCTGAACGATCAAACACACTGATGTTATCCAGGCCTAGGAAACCACCCTCAAAGATGTTGTTGCCATGCTCATCCTTGCGGTTGACCCACCAGGTGAAGTTGAGCAGAAGCTTATGGAAGATCTCCTCGAGGAAGTTGATGTCCTTGTGGCCCGTCTTCTTCTTGATGTAGTTGTACACCATCAGTGTGGCCCATGCGTGCACGGGTGGGTTGACGTCTCCAAACTGGAACTCATAAGCGGGCAGCTGGCCATTGGGCGCCATGTACCACTCACGGGTCAGCAACACCAGCTGGCGCTTCGCCCACTCGTGGTCAACCAGAACCAACGGCACCATGTGGAAACAGAGGTCCCAAGTGGCGAACCAGGGGTACTCCCACTTGTCGGGCATGGAGATCACATCGTTGGCGTAGAAGTGGTCCCAATGCTTGTTGCGCACCACGGGCGTAGCCTCATTGCGCGGGATGATTGGATCGCCGTGCTTCCACATCTGCACACCAAAGTGGTAGAACTGCTTGGTCCAGAGCAGGCCGGCCAGGGCCTGGCGCTGCACAGCCTTCATGTCATCGTTGATGCCCTTGGGATGGACAAAGTTGTAGTAGGCGTCGCACTCCTTGATACGTGTGGCAAACAGCTCATCGTAGTCGCTCCACGGGGTGTCCAGCTCGTAGTTGGCCATTCTGATCTTGACGGTGTAGGACTCGCCCGGCTTGAGCACCTTGAAGAACTTGGCAGCCATCTTGGTTCCGCTCGAGTTGTTGACAACGTCCTTCCAGCCCTTGACCACGGCGTTGTTGATGCCGTCCTTGACATAGGGAGTCTTGTTGGGGAAGTTGTAGTGTCGCTCAGTGTTGGTGTCGTTCTCTGTGAACATGAACTCGACGTCGCGCTCCCACAGCACCTTCTTGGGCTCCTCGCCCTCGGCAACTGGCGATGCGGGTCCCATCTCTGTGCCCTCGCCATCGCTCACGGCGAACCACAGTGGACCGATGTGATGCTCCTCACCAAAGGCCACACCAGGACGCTGCGTCCTGATGAATGGTCGCTTGTCGCTGTAGCCCCACGACCATGTGTTACGGTACCATAGGTGTGGCAGCACTGTGATGGGTGCCTCCTTTGGTCCTCTGTTGTGGACGGTCACTCTGCCGATGATGTCGTTCTCTGAGGCCTTGCCCCATTCGATAAAGATATCAAAGTACTCATCGTTGTCAAATATGCCCGTGTCCTCCAACTCAAACTCTGGATCGAACTTGGTCCTTCTCCTATTCTCATGAACAATATGTTCATAAGGGAACTCATTCTGGGGATACTTATACAACATCTTTGAGTACGAATGTGTAGGTGTGTTGTCCAAGTAGAAGTAATGTTCCTTAACTTTGATTGATTGATTCATCGTGATTGGTTGAGTGAGTGATTGATCATGTGACACTAAGGGATCAAGTACATACCATCTTCACCGTGGTTACCCTCTGGTCCTGTTAGTCCAAACAGTCTCTCCTTGATGATTGGATCATTGCCATTCCAAAAGGCAGTGGCAAGACATAAGTTCTGGAAACGGTTACAGAAGCCTCCGATGGCATCCTCACCCCAGCGGTATGCTCTGCTTCTTGCATGGTCTACATGAACATTACGATATAAGTTACCAACTGATCTACATTCCATTCAATCATAACACAAACATACCATGAGGGAAATACTCCCAGACATTGCCACCCTCACTGTAGTCCTCTCTGACAGTGCTCCACTCTCTATCAGATACATATGTTCCCCTAATTATGAATGATTAGTATTCAAAACAATAATCCATCCATGCATCTATTCATATACCATACCATGATTTCCAGTCAGTCTTTCTCTTGGCCGAGTCGACCAATCTCTGCATCTCAGCACATGGATTGTTATAGAATGGTAGGTCCACCCAAGCCTCATCATCCAATGAAGCAAATCCTGTAGTTGACATTGTTGTTGTTTCTTATAATATATATCTGTGTAAGTATATGAATAAGAATGATCTGAATGAACTGAATGAATGAATGAATGAATGAATGAATGAACTGATGTGAGGTGAGTGAATGAATGAATGTAGGATGAGTGATGAAGTGTTGGTTGATGTTCACAAGAGAGATCTCGAAGTGTTGTGTGTTAACTTCAACAACACACAACAACACTTGGGTTCAATCACATCTCTGATTCTAAATTACACTCCAAAAGGGATGTGTGTGTTTGTTGTGATCAACCTTTACTTGCTTCCATCTTTGTGTGTTGTCCGACACTATGACACCCCTGCTTTGAGAAATGGGCCATGTGTGTAGTTCATGTGACCAGTCGGTCCGTCACATTCCAAATTGACTCGTGGAAGCACTGGAAGGTAGGTCGACTAAAATGTTCATTGGGACGAAAGGTTACAATCGTATTCATGACTTATAAATATCATTCCCGAATGACAATTGAATTGGGTCTTTGTTGATCCCAAATATAAGTTGGACATTGTATTTATGAGGATGTTCTCTCTCTATTTATAGACTTTCGTTCTCATTCTTATTTGCAAGGAACTTTAGATATGTTTGTTGACATTCTTAGTTCTTAAGTTATCAATGATGTTGATGACTCCAAAGACGTCGCGAACTTCTATCTAGCCTTGTCCCTTTGTATTATGGGACCGATAGGGTCTACTCGTGGGAGGGGCACCACACTTTGAATGAAACAGACATTCGCTGTCGACATCAGATTCATTGATTCGAAATTACAAGAGATAGAGAGTGAGGTGTAAGTGTGCCTCTTACTCCTTCATCTTTAACTACATATATATACATATATACATAGCATTCATTCATGATGACACGCGATCAATCAACAACATTGGAAACTGCTACAGTACCAACGACAACAACTGGGTCACCGACATCATCGACGTCTCATTCAAACATTCGATCACTCTATGCTGGTGGCATATCTGGTGTTGTCTCACGTACTCTGACTGCACCCTTGGAGCGACTAAAGATACTCAATCAAGTAATTGTCTGTCGAACGAACAATCGCTCAATCTAGCTCATTCACTCATTTATTCAATCACTGCAGGCACAACCATTGTTGAACAATGGAACCAAATACAATAATATAGGTTCAGGCCTAATGACTATATGGCGCGAAGAAGGAATACGTGGACTATTCAAAGGCAATGGAACCAATGTACTCAAGGCAGGCCCTCACTCGGCCATTCGATTCTACTCCTACGAGTACTTTAAACATGTATGTTTGTTGTCCCTCACACAACAAGATGTATCCCAACCTTAACTCACTCACTCAATCAATCAATCAATAATATTAGATGATGATTGGCGATCAACCATTATCATCAATAACAAGAACACAACAACTTTGGGCTGGCGCATGCGCTGGTGTCACATCTGTCACATTTACATATCCTCTTGAGGTCGTCAAGACAAAGATGACCTTGCAGTTTGGCGAGACTCCTCGATATAGTAGCATAATGCATTGTGTACAGTCGACCGTGCAGCAAGAGGGCGTGCGCGGCTTGTTCAGAGGCCTGAGCGCAGGCATACTCAACATCGCGCCATTCTCTGCGCTCAACTTTGCCTCGTACGAATGGTTCAAGTCGATGGGCAACAAACTGTATATGAACAATAGTGGTGGAGGAGGAGATGTCACCGCTACACCACCACCCGTCTACCTCTCAACGGTTTACGGCGCACTGAGTGGCGCGTACGCCATGACGATACTATACCCCCTGGACGTGATCAAGCGACGCATCATGCTACAGGGCTACAATGGCAGCACGGTGGTCTACCGCAACTTTGCCCACTGCGCCTACAAGATCGCCACGGACGAGGGTGTGCGCGCGCTCTACCACGGCATCAAACCGGCCTACGCCAAGGTGATCCCCACCGTCAGTCTCAACTTCTTTGTGTACGAAGCTGCTCTGCTGCTGTTCCCCAGTGCCAAGGAGAGTGGCGGCGCCGGACATTAGTGGCGAGCGCGATGATCTGTACATTAACTTAACTTTAACCTTAACTAAATCTCGATCGATCGAAGCGACTTGGCGCCGACCCGGCCGTCCCGCCCATCGATGGGCAGGATGGAGTGTCGTCGGCGCCGTCCAATATATACACAGGAGCACAACTCTTCTCACTCAATCCCATGGCATCGGCACCCAGCGCGATGCCGCCAGTTCCAAGACGCTGATGTTTGTTGTTTGTCTCGTGTGATCACATCGGATAGACAAGTCAATGCCTTGGTGATGGTTATTGTTTCCATGAGAACATCACCCGATGAACTAACCAGGCTCAGAGTCATCACTTTTTAAAGATATTATTATCAATTCTTGGAACAAAATGATCATGATCAAAAGTGGGTCCACTTTGTTTGTTTGATGTTCATTCATTCAATACAGATAGAGATAATAATAATAGAGATAGAGATATGGACACACTTTCAACACTTGTAGTTAGACAGATATTCGATTATATGAAGGATTGGCCATTTGATGCACTTTGTCTTGGACTAACATGTAAACGACTATTCGTCTACATGAGTCGACAAATGCCAGAGATCAACTTTCAACGTGATACTCCACTTCTTCGTCCACAAGACAATACAACAACAACAACTACAACAAGTACAACTACAACTAGTAGTACAAAGACATCAGTCATTGCAATGATGCATGGAATGAAGAGTACAACATATAGTGTTGATGCACAGTTGGATGATTATATATTCCCATCAACATTGACTAGATTGACATATAACTCGAGACATCAGATTGTGACAGAGTATCTACCTCACTCTCTGACCAAGTTGGTGCTTGGTAAACTTTGGTGTCAAAGTTGTGAACTACCAATAACATTGCCAAACTCAATCACCAGTATAACCTTTGAATACATCACTCATGAGTTGAAGCCGGGCTCCCTGCCAGACAATCTCCGCTCATTGAAGCTTAGGTCACGATACAGATTTACAATTACACCACGCGTATTGCCACGATCGCTCATAAAGCTCAAGTTCGCCAATGACTATTATCAAGGACAACAATTCCCAATGTTGTTTGCACCTGGATCACTGCCCGATTCCCTCCAAACACTGATTGTCTCGGAATCATTCAATCAACCTTTGGAGGTTGGTCTACTACCGGCATCACTCAGATCGTTGTACCTTGGCGCGGGATTCAATCAAAGCCTATCAGGCAATGTACTTCCACCGGCACTTAAGAAGCTGTCATTTGGCAAGTCGTCGATATTTAATCGTGAGCTCCAACCAGGTGACCTACCACAATCACTTCGATCCCTTCAACTTGGACCTCAGTTCAATCAAATGCTTCAACCTGGTATCCTGCCCCCAATGCTCGAGACTCTATCCTTCATTGGATACTCAATTTACAATCACATCTTTGTTGCAGGCTCGCTGCCAGACTCACTGACCAGTATAGACCTACCTTATACCTTTGATCAAATGATCTCGGTTGGTGTGCTTCCAACATCCTTAACCTCACTCACGTTCAACAAAGGTTATAATCAATACCTTCAACCTGGGGTCATTCCAACGTCACTCAAGACACTATCCTTCGCAGAGTCTATGTTCAATCAACCTATTGATGCAGGCTCTCTACCAAAGGGCATCACATCACTATCTTTTAGCCAACAATTCAACCAATTGCTCTCCCCAGGTGTGCTACCCTCAACCATCACATCACTGACCTTTAAAGAACTCTACAATCAACAGCTGGTTGCAAATGTATTGCCAAGTGCATTACAAGAGTTGGTGTTTGGTGCATCGTTCGATCAAGACGTCTTTGTACCCAAGGTACTTCCATCAAACCTAAAGACATTGATCATGGCCCAATGCAAACAACCGATCATTATTGGATCCCTCCCATCAACACTCACTTACTTGAGCTTAGGTGAAGAGTTTAATCAATCCATCAAACCAAACGCATTGCCGTCGTCATTGACAAGGTTGGAGCTGGGCGACATGTTCAATCGTCCTCTCCTGCGTGGCGTGTTGCCCTCGTCGCTCAAGTGGTTCAGACTGGGAAAGCAGTACAAACAGATTGCACAGAATACAGTGTTGCCAGAAGGACTCACTCAACTGTTGGTGGCATCATTGACGCAGCTCAAGGGGGTTGTGATACCATCTTCACTTGAAGACCTCGAGATAGAGAATGACGTCAGGGCCAACTTCCAGCCACCGGCGATCCCCGCCAGCGTCAAGACGTTGTGGATGTATGCCAAGGTGCCAACAGCCAACACCCAGAATCTAACGAATAGACAGGTATCGTTTGTGTCGACGTGCGCAGCTTCACTACCAAACGTCACCACGCATAATCTTCGCATCGAGTATTCAGTTCCACGCTACTCATCTTGGCGTCGGCGCAACACGTCAGTGATTGTCAGACAACTTTCAGTCCAACTTCGTATGAATGATCAGTACCATGGTGTATGTCTGGTGCGCAAGATACCAGTCAACTCCAACGACACCGATACACTATACTTCCATACGATCAACTTTGATGATAGCGAACAAACAACAACCTCCAAGAAGAAGAAGAAATAATAAAGTGTTGTGTCCACATATTCATTCATTCATTCAATCAATCATTAACAGACAGTGAGAGATGCCACAAATTATTATAATAACTGTACACTATCTTTTTTGAATACAACTATTATCTGTTCTCTTCATTAATCAATCTTTCGCTCATTACATACATGTCGGACTCTGACAAAGCTCGAAAGATTATTTGTGAGTCTCAGTATTACAAAGGTCTTGACATCCTTGGCAAGACCCAGGCATTAAGTTTGCTCGATAATGCCAATCATGTCAGCAATATCCTCCAACCTGAAGTCATTGGGATGACCAGCGAGCAATACATCCAAGGTGTTCTCGCACCCCAACCAACTCGTAAGTCCAATATCGGCGCAATGTCTTCATTCAATACTAACATACACACTCAAGCCCCTATAGGATCACAAGGTGGCCAAGCTAGTAAGTACATCATAAACAATAGTCATCTCGCCCTGCACTAACTCCCCAGCTACTCCTTTATCAGCGAAATCAGTGTATGAATGGCTTAGTAGCAATCTCATTCCGTCAAAAGGGACAACTTCGTATTTGGGAACATTTGGACCATCCTTCCCTTTGGTTGGCAGAACATCGGTAATGAGTGAAATGAAGGACGAGGTTCAAATGAGGTGGATCAACAAAGATAATCCAGACCAGCATATTCACACAATCCTTGTGGTCCCTGGAGCACCTGGCATTGGAAAGACCAGACTCAGTAGTCAACACATTGACATTCAGCTCGAATGGTAATGCGCGCTGTATGATCGTGGCGTGGCATGGTTAGTCACACTCTCCACTGGCACAATCAATCTGGCAATTGACGATTTTCAGTGACTTTTGCTTGATTCCGGCAAAAAAGAGAAACGGTCTCTCCTCAAACAACTCACATTGATCATTGGTGGAGCTCAATCAACGCCCCCAACTGGCATCTTCTTAGTAGCTATTCTTGCCGGCACCGTTCTCTCGCCTCTGGTCGAGGTAATTTCCGAGTCATCTTACAAATCATACTTTGCCCAACTCGATCCTGTCCAACTCCAACACTTAGACACTAGTAGACTCACGTAGACACGGGTATCATCTCAATCAGTTGTAGTTCTCCATGGTATCTTCTCATCGCCATAAATGCAACAATTTGGACTGTTGTGACACCAACTAGGTCTGTACACAACTCTCTGAGCTCCATCAGTCTACAAATATAAACATAACATGTTTGCCCTGGTATTTTATTCAAAAGGGTTACACTGCGGTGTTTGGTTGTTCGGTTGGTTGAGGTTGCCTGCTATTGTTGTTATTGCTGTTTGTTGAGGTAGTGTTGGTAGTCGTCGTCGTCGGCATTGTAGTAGTACTATTGTTTGATTCGTTTGGTATGAGCGATGTGTAAGGTAGAATTGATTTGGATGGGGAGGAGGAGGACGATGATTGTGTTGTGACACCACCATTGTCGTTGTTGTTGATCCACAGTACAGAGTCCCATAGCTTCTGCTTGAAGTAGTCCCATCGCTCCTTGCCCAACTTTAGACGCTCCTCAGAGTGAATGGGCATCTGCTTTGATCTGCTGGTGTACTGTGTCTGCATCTTGTTGGCCCTGATCTTGCGCTTCTCCTCAGTCTCTTGCACCAACTTTTGGATGGTAGACTGCTGCTTGGATATCTTGTCCTTCCTCTGCTTGATGCGCTTCTCCTTTGACTTGACCAACTTCTCCTGCTGACTGTTGAACTTGGTCTCGACTGGTGCCAGGAGCTTGCCGATTCTCGTCTCGATCTCGATGCGCTTGGGGGTGAACTCTTCACGGTAGTAGCTCTCGATAAAGTAGGTGATTGGATCGTTGTTCTCTATGTCATCGTTGTTGTGGTGTCCTGCCACTGGTGAGTGTTGTGACATGTTGTTGTTGTCAAAGAAGAGATGGATCACAGTGGCGTCCTCAAGGATATTGGATATGATCTTCCTGTTCTCCTCGCTGCTGCCAAAGACGTTCTTGAGAATGGCACAGATGTCATACTGCAATTGTGGATCATTGACAGAGATATGGAAGAAGTAGAGCAAGTACAGGAGGCCATTGTTTGCTTCTCTGAATGCCTTCTGGTCCACAACGCATTCAAAATCAAATGTCATTATAACTCCCTTGATATCACCTGTTTGATTATGTCATCACGATGTTAGCCTTTGGACAATCCACTATATATATATCCATTATTATACTTACATCTTAACAACTGGATGATCAATGTATCTCTGAGGTCAAAGAGTCCGTTGGACTTCATGGATGCTCGGATGGATGGTGTGTTGTGGAAGGCCAATTGATTGATAGAGTTGAGTATCCTCATTGATGTGACTGGTGGTACAGCAATGTCCTCCAATGTCTTGAAGTAGAGTACCAGGTTCTTGATGATATCATTGGCTTCATTTGTCGCCAAGACAAAGTCCCTCTCGATGTAATCCAAAACAGAGTCCATAATATGTACATAAAACTCCTCCAGGTCAATGCAGACCTCTGTTAAGTGATTCATAATAGTTAGTACGTATCTATTTCCTTTATCCACCATACCAAACTTACCTTTGACCTTGATGATCTTTGAAGTCTTCTTGACAACGTCGTGTATCAACATCTTCTTGCAAATGGATAATGTCTGCTTGTAGACCTTGTTCTCCTTGGTCAACTGGAAGCCCTGATTCTCGATGAATTGGTACAGCCACTCGAACCATGATTGATTCCAGAGAATCTCCATGTTCATATTGTCCAAGATCTTCTCAATCTCCACCAGTGATTGGTACTGAACATTGCGAATAGCCTCAACGTCTTGTTGTTGCTGTTGCTGTTGTTGTTGTTGATTTGGAAGATTGTAGAGTAACATGATAACAGTGTGGAGGGCCTCTGGGTAGACGATGGTTCTGCCGTCGCCTCTGTTCTCCATACCCTGCATGTCATCGACGTGATCGCTTGATGAATCATCACTGACACTGCTATCCTTGCTGGTGTCTCTGTTGGCGTCCTTGTTTGCCATTGCCGACAAAGCATCTGAGCTCTTGTCTCTGGTGAAAAAGTCGAGAGATATCCAACTGGACGATCGTTGCTTGGTCTCAGACACGCACTTGGGGTCGAAGCGATAGCCATCCACCATAAGAACGGTAAGAGCGCGGCACACGGCCAGTGAGGGTGGATAGCGAGAGAGCATGACGGCCAACAGGTCAAAGCCACTGTTCCTACGGAAGAGTGACGCTGCCTTGGAGTTGGAGTGCATCAGCAGACCGATCATCTTGATTGCAGTGACTCTGATCTCCTCGTTGGGTATCTCTATCATCGAGAAGACAATGTTGAAGCCACCCAGTGAGCGCAGGTGCTCGAGCAATGAAGGACACTTGCGCATCTCCTCGTAGACAATGTCAAGGATCTTGGACTTGGTGTGGATCTTCTCGTAGACGCCATTGTTGTTGAACAGCATGTACTCAAAGATTGACTCAACGTCATCGATGGCCATGTGTGGCAGAGTCTTCTTGAGGATGTTGTACAGGAAGACCGACTCGGACTCGAGCTTCAGCGACAGCGTCAGCAGGTGGTTGATCTTGGAGGCTCCCTCGCCACCAGTGTTTGTGATCCAAAGGCGTAGGGTGTCGTACGATGTGTTGTTCAGCAGGTTGTTGAAGTACTTGAGCACATGCAGCTGTAGTTCCTCTGTGCAGGATGGTAGCAGGTCCAGGATTAGATTGATGCAGTCGTGGCTCCAGAGCTGCTTAGTGTCGGACAGGTTGTTCATGCCATCGAGCAACAGGTCAAAGAGGATCTCAAACGTCTCCATTGTGAGCTCGGTCGAGAGCGCTGGGTTTGTCGAATGTGAGGAGAATCGCAACAAAAGGTGATAGAGTATGGCGAATCCACTGAGCTCACGGAACTGTGCCTTGTTGGAGTCACTCTTGTGTAGTAATCCAGCAAGGATGCGAAGACCGGCCACTTGTTGTGCTGGAGCCATGTCAAGGAAGGGAAGACAGAGATGGATGCCACCCACCTCCTTGATCACATCCTTGAGACAACGTGTCTGATGAACATTGACGCCAATGAACTCAATGACCGCACCCTGTGTCTCGATTGGCACCAGAATGGACATTGACTTCTTGAGGAGAGATGTCTCCTCCTTGGGAACTTGCAGAACATGATCGCCAGAGTTGACAAGAACATTGCCCTCTCTGCCGCTGCCGGATGATGGAGGCGTAGACGTCGATTGGAGGTCCTGAGCGAGAAGGAATGAGTTGTTCTGACTTGGTGAGATGTTGCTGCCTGATGCGCTCGTCTGACCAGGCAGCTGACCTTGGAACGACAAGTTCCTTGTGATTGGAGGTGATGAGGGTGGCGATAGCACCGCTGGTATCTGGACTGGTGGAGGTGGGGCCAAGAAGACATCGCCCGACATTGACAACGCCGATGATGTGATTGGGTTGGCAATGGGTTCGATGACATTCGATGGCGATGAAGCAGGCTTGATCACCAAGAACTCCTTGCTCTCGATGCCAAGTGGCTTGTAGGAGTTGTTGTAGAGATTGCCACGACTGAACACCTTGAGACAGGATGGTGCCTCCCAGATGCCCTCAAAGAAGTGGATCGTGCCCATCTGTCCACAGAAGAAGCCCTTCTCGCTCTGAGGCGTCGAAGAAGTGGGCGCGTTGGTGAAGGAGTCGGGATCGATCGAGCTGAGACTGTTGAAGCTGCTCTGTGACGCCTGGCTGACCAGCTGGCTAAGATTGCTGAAGCTGTTGTTGTTGCTGTTGTTGTTTGGTAGACTGGTGTACAGTCGTCGACCAATGCAACCTTGGATGGGCTTGTCCTTGGTGATGACCTTGGGATAGTTGGCCGTGCTGTAGTTCTGAATGAACTTGCCATCGACAAAGAGACTGATTCTCTGCTTGGAGTGAGTGATGACAATGTGATGCCAGCTGCCACACTCTGAGAACGAGAACTTGTCAAAGAAGAAGGTCTCGGGGGGCGAAGGATAGTTGCGCGTCTGCATACATAGGTAACGCTTGCTGTCAGCGTGTCTGCCCATTGCCTTGAAGTATACGTCAAATATGTTGTTGTCGCTTGCGTCCTGCCAGCTGAACAGTCCTGCCTCGTCGCTCAGGAAGTAGTTGGTCTTGATCCAGCAGCTGAACGTGTAGCCGCTGCGCTGACTGGGGAACTTGTCGATTGTTCCCACCGAGATGTAGCTGTCAAAGCCATCAAAGTTGAAGTAGAGGGGTGGTGCCTTGCGCTCTGTGAGCGTGCCAATGACGTAGAGGACCTGCATCTGTAGCTCGTGCTTCTTGTTTCGCTCTCTCTTCTGTGTCGAGTAGGGGGTGGAGCTGTTGGACTCGCCAAAGTTGTTGCCACTGCTACTGCTTCCGCTGCCACTGCTCGAGTTGATTGGGTTGTGGCTAAGGGGTGGTGTAGAAGTGTAATGTTGCTGATGCTGCGCCAGTTGGGGATGTGACTCGAATGCAGGGAAGCATGCCAGGTCAAACAACAGTCGCACCTCTGATGGACTGATATCATATAGGCCAAGGATAACGATGAGACGGCTAAAGTAGGACTGAGTCTCCTCTGGCGCCTGATGTGAGAGGTAGAGAAGGAACTTGAGGCCCTGTGCGGCACAGAGCATCTTCTTGTTCTGTGGGTTGGATTCGAGTATCTTCATCAGAAGTATCAGATTGTGTTGCTGAATGTGCGTGGGCGACTGCGGCAGGAGATCGATCAACATGAGTGCTGCATCGGGTGATCTGAGCTTAGAGCGACCGAGCAGTGTGTAAGAGTATAGTGTCTCCTTGTCATCATCCACACCAGTGCGCATCTTGATCAGTGTTGAGCGTCTGTTGCCAATCTGTGAAGCCTCTGTCAGACTGTTGGTCTCGTTGAATGATTGGCACACCTCGTAGAGGTCGTCGAATGAACCAGCCCATGAACCAATACTGTTCCTGCGCGTGCCGCTGAACAGATTCCTAAAGCTTGGAACACGAACAATGCCAGTGGTCTTGCTGTGATTGGCGAGCAATGAGAGCTGAGTGTGTGGTCGTCCGAGCATGGGCAAGTGAACCTGAGGCAGGCTCTGTGCAGAGTGGCTGTGAACGTTGCTCTGCAGGTGATGCGTGTTCATCATTTGATTTCCATTCAGTGAGCCAGACAGTGAGTGGATCGGTGTGCTTGACGGACTGGAGACGGGGGAGTCCTTGGTGAACTCATCGTCCTCGCCAAGATTGATCTCGTCTCCATACAACTCCGTTGTTGGCTGTGTGCTCTCGATACCGCCCAGTGACTTGTTTCCGGTGCCTGCGTTGCCGCTGGTGAGCTGCTTGAGGGACTTTGACGAGAAGAGATCGATCTGACGTCTGGAGTAGGGTAGGATCGAGGTGTACTGTGGCTGGGGCTCGATGATGTTCTCGATGATGTGGTTGACGCGATGCGAGAAGTTGTGCTCCAAATAGTTCTGGTCGTAGCGAATGACGACGTTGTTGTTCATGGCCAGCTCGACAAACATCTGGAAGAGATACTCGTCGATGACAACGTGTGTCGACTTGACTGCAGCGGACAGGGCCATGTAGCCCGACGAGTCGAGAACACACTTGTTCTCTTCGCAGCCGTGGCACACCTCGCACAGGGCCACCAGAGCAGCGTAGACGAGGGAATGGGGCGATCGCGTGTTCTTGGCAATTGCAAACAGAGCGTTCATACCGCCACACTCTTGGAACCTAATCTTGAGTGATCGTTGCTCGGGCAGCAGGTTGCGCATCATATCGGCAAGGCAGTAGCACAGCTTCTCCTTCTTGTTGGCAGAGAGCGATTGGTCGTCCAGCAAGGACACCAGCACCGACACGCTCTGGTGAGGGTAGTGCTCCATTGCCACGATCGCATTGACGATCCACATACACAGGTCAGACACATCGCTGCCCTGGAACACCTCGTCGTCGTCAGGCATTGTGATGAACATCACAAACATCTTGATCCTGTCGCCAATCTTTGAATAGAATTCCTTGCTGGCATCGTCCGAATCTAAAGGTGATAGTTATGTTAGTTAGTGTTGTTGCGTGGCCTCTCAGCTTGGACTGATGGGTCTGTGTACATACATTTAATATACATAATAATGAGTTCAAATACAAGAAGTACCTTCTCTGTCATTGGTTGCTTCTTGTCATCGTCCAGCTGCTGTTGCTCACTTTGAAGTGTGACCACCTCTCGTTGGTATCGAAGTATGACATCGATGAATGTGGATAAAAGGTGTTGCTCGACCAGTGTCTGTATATTGATAGATGATGTTGTTGTTAGTTGTATACTCTCCACAACATGATGGGATTGATGTCGTCAACTAACCTGATGATATATAGTATCGGAGAGAAGAGTGATTGATGAGGACAACAACAAGACCTGTAGTGTATCCGACAATGTAGTCATCTTGATAAGCTCTACATATTTGCGGAACACATCAGTGTTGTGCTTACTGAACAGCACTCCAAGATACAGTATCAGCTCGCTAGTTGCCAATAGCAACTTGGTGGACTCCTTCACTTCGTTATCGTCTTGACTCACGTCAACATTGTCCTTGTCCTGTGTTCAATTGAAACGATTAATAAGAGTGATTACATGATGTTGTAGTTAATACATACTCTTTGATGGACATCCAAAACCAATTGGAACAACTTGTCGATTGCTCCAACCTGTCTGATGCTAACAATGTTGAGTGGGTTGATAGAGATAAGGTCCTGGATGCAGGTGAGTGTCTGTAGACGCACCTCTGTCTGTGCAGAGTTGGACAGGACGTTGAACAAGAACTCTAGAGCATCGATGTTCATGACTCGCTTGGACTTGCTACCGTCCAATATGATGGCAAAGATCAGACAGAAGCAGCTGTCCAAGAAGTCACCGCCCTCTTGCGAGGCAAAGTCGTGCGAGTTGTCAAACAGGTGAATGAGGATCGAGTATCCATCCATGTTCCTGAACTCCATCTGGTTCTTCTGGTTGTTGTATAGTAGCTTGCTGATGGTCTCGAGCAGGTCCAGTTGGACGACAAGCGCTGCCTCCTGAATGCAGTTGGCGAGCAGTGTGAGTGCGCCCTGCACTCTCATGAACTCCTTGAGTATCTCCTCCTCTGACGATGTGGTGTTGGTGGTGGAATCTGTTGCCACCTGTGTCTCTGCCACACTGCTGCAATTGCTCGTGCTCGTTGTTGCAGTCTGGTCATTGTTGTTGTGAGACATTGTAGTGGTCGTGGTACTACTGATGTTGCTATTATTGCTACTGCCAATGATGATATTGTTGCTATTGTTGATGTTTCCAAGCAAGAGCCGTAACTCCTGCTCAATGGTCTCTGCGCTAGGAATGAACGAGTTCTGTACAATCTCATTGACACTATATATCACGTGATATTGGTTAGGTTGAAGGTCCTCAGTTGATTGAGGAGGTGATGACCCCGGCACTACATACCCAATTGACTTCTCAATGGAGAGCTTCCTTGGCATTGAATCAGACTCGTTTGGCGAGAATACCTTTTGGAATTCACCTACAATCACCTTGAATCCCTCTGACACTACTGTTCCTATCTTGTGTCTTGCAAACTCTGATTGATTGTTGATTGATGGGCGTCAGTGATCCGGTCTGTTGGTCGCGTCAACAACAACAACAACAACAACTAATAAACATACCACCAATGGATGACATTGACAATGACTTCTTCATATTGATGAGCTTCAGTAACTCCTCCTCGCTCGCAGCAGAGGTCTGCTTGACATCGAGAAAGTGTTTGATTGTCTTGAGGATCTCGCGCGTCAGCTCCTTGTCATTGTGCATCAACACCAGCAGCTTCTTGAAACCCTCCAATCTTCCAATCTCCAACTTGTTGTCAGGGTTCTCGCCAATGGCACTGATGATCCTTAGCAATATCTTCTTGTTCTCACTCGTACTCAATGTGTCCAACAGTGTAAGTATCCTATATATTAGATTTGGTGTCTCCTTCACAACTACCTTGTATTTCTCGTCCTAGTTGTTGTTTGTTGTGTTCACATGTTAGTCGCACACCATCATCATCATCATAATCATATCTTGTGAACACTCTTACATGTAGAATCAACTCTGCAACACCTAAAGACTTGTTGATCAACTCGACTAGTAGTGTGACGTCATCCTCATTGGTATCAGCGGATGAGCCCTTCTTTGCCTGTCTGTTTGACTCTCGCTCGACAAGATCCAACAATGACACCAATATATCTGAGCAATCACCGAATATCTTGTCTAGGTCGATTGACTTGATCTGTCCAGACTCTAGCATGTCCTTGTATGATTCTTGGAATGAATCCAAGAAGTGGTTCAGCTTGATTGTCATCAAGCTCGGGTCCCTATATTGATTGATTGGTTGTCAGATGTTTGTGCTGATCGTTGTTGTTGTTGATGAAGTATGACATACTTTATCTCAGCAACCTTTGTATACTCTGTCCACAGACTTCTAATCCTTCGTGCAGTGACATGTTTAGTCCATTTGTTGCGAAGAGTGTTCCTAAACGTCTCCATCGTGCTCTTGTTGTTACTTGTTGCTGACAACAGCACGTGTCACTCCTCTGTCTGTCTATCTCTTTTGTGTCACTCAATCTCTTTCTTTACTTGTCAATGTCAACTCAACACACAAAGAGATCTCTTATATACTGTTGTTGTTATATAATAAGGTCTGTCTCCCTCTTTACACACTTGATATATATATATATAATATATTATGAGTCCTTTGTCGACAAAGATGTAACTGTATGACTCGTCTCTATTTCTCTATTGTTCGCAATCCTCTCAAATGTTGGAATGCGTTTGTTATTGTGTCTGTGTGTTGTCTTTGTATTTATTTGTCTGTTTGTGTGTATGAATGAGTGTTGTATTTTTGTTGAATGAACAAACACAACCCCCTCCCTTTGTTCCAACTAGATACTCCTCCCACAGGTAATGGGCAAACAAAGTAATGTGTGTTAGTGTGACGAAGGTTGTCGTGCAGACCTAGGAGAGAGTGCCTCCCTCCCTTTCCAATGCCCAAGAGAGGCCAATGTTTGTTTTTTTTTTGATAACGACGGAAAATTGATATGAAATAATGGGCCGCGGCATTATCTTTAAGTTCATCATGTGACCTCATGAGCAATGCACTGCGACACTCACAACTTGATCAACATGAACCAACTAATCGAGATCTACGCAAATGTTGTTGTTGCCACCAATGATTTTATTATTATCTTGGCAAAGAGACTGAGAGAGAGAGAGAGAGGTAGACAGAGAGAGACAATGGATATGTATCACAACAACACACTCTTCATTAATTATTTATACAGAGCCAAACACTGGGATATTGGCTGGACTAGTGAACCATGATCCCATTGGTCCCGTGTCTTGGGAGCCAGGATCTGGTGTCTCGGACCATCCAGTGTCACCATCGGTCGTAGACACTGGTGTACCACCAGTGGTTGTAGCAATGGTTGACGATGTTGTCGTTGTGGTGGATCCCGTAGTAGATGTTGTTGTTGGTGGGATGTCATCACTTGTGGTCGAGGTTGTAGAAGATATAGTTGACGATGATGTAGATGTGGATGTGGATGTCGTGGAACTTGTACTACCTGTTGTAGATGATCCAGTTGTTGCTGACCTTGTTGTTGCTCGACCAGTTGTTGAACTACTACCAGTGATTGTGGTGCCCTTGGTAGTTGATGAGCCCTTGGTAGTTGATGAACCTTTGGTAGTTGCAGGCACCCCAGTTGTAGTGGATGTGCTTCCCTTTCCTGTGGTGGACGACGAAGTTGTTGTGGTCTTTCCAGTTGTTGTGGAGGGTTTGGAAGTGGTGCTCGATGCACTGGTTGTAGTAGGTCTTGAGGTTTGCGGAAGTTCCGGACAGTGGATCAATTGTAATATTCGTGGAAGGGTCTCCAGGCTTAGGACCCAGATACACACATCTTGACTTAAAGTTACAACATGATGACTTGGAAGTTGGACATTTGATCTTTTGTTGTCCCGGGCCATCCTCACATGTGAATCCCTTTGAACATTTAAGTTTATCACATCCTCTAGCTATAATTTGGATTATGTTATTAATAATTCTTTAAATAATTAATAATTAAGTATAATATAAATATAACAATTACCATTTGGAAGGAAATAATCCATTGCATTAGGAGGCAAACAATCTATATTGTTGGTCTCATATTGGAAGAATCTATGCTCTTGTAATTCTACACACCATACCAATGAACTGACATTTGATATACATAGGTCTGAAGGTATTCTCAGACAATCGAATTGTTTAGAGCCACAACACTCCACACCAAAGGCAGCGTGGCATGTCTCAATAGCAGAACATCTGTCGGCAGAAAGGTTCGTACAATCTATATATTATTTCAAAAGTTAGAAGTTAATTCCATTGTGATGAGATATAAATATTGTATAATACTTACCTGGAATGTTACCAGCATTCACAGTGGTCAATAGAAATAACACAACTAATAATAATTTGAGAAACTTCATCCTGGAACCAATAAAGTAAAAGTCAACCTAATTGGTTGTAGATGTTGTTGTTGTTATAATAAATAATATGGATAGATGTATAGATGGAATGGATGGAATGGACTGACTAACAAATTGGTTCGATGGATTGATGGATGGGATAGTGTGTTTCAATAATATTATTATTATTATTATTATTATTATTATTGTGTCTGTTGGCTAATTATGATGATGATGTATGTAAAGTCTTGAAATCAATCATGTCATGTTGTTGTTGGTCACAACTGATGATGCACCATCGGTTGATGATGGAATTCGCATGTTTAGTGTCAGGATGACAATAGCAGCGACACACTCACCCATCAACACACACACTTTAGTGATGATCAATCAATCAAGAGATATTATTTAGATGTGTCAATAACAACAGTGATTACGAAAGGTATTGTCCATCATTCATCCCATCAATATTGCTTGCTTCTAACCAAAGATGTTGATACACACATTAAACAAAGGGTTGTCGTCGTTGTTGGTGTGTGATCGTGTGTATCTGTGTGTGTGTGTGTGTGTGTGTTTGTGTGGGTGTCTCTGTCCATGTCTGACCTTACAAGCATGTCATTCATTCACTCTCACTATTTATGTACATGGAGGTATTGCGGATTACTACTATGATCAATCAATCAATCAATATTCCTTGATGCTACGACTTTGAACACTTTATCACTCTCCACAACAACGATAGCAAGTATAATACTTCCTTGTTTGTGTGGACAACAACATGTTCGGCTGCGGCCACTGCTATTCATACTACTAACTAACTACCAATACCATCCCGATAAACCACATTGTGGTTTATATTAGTAGTGACAATAGATTAGTCCAACAACAATTCAGTGGGATATTTTTGATCAAATAACGATTATTTTGATTTTTTTTTTTGATTTGATTCCTGAGGCTTTGGGCCACTCATCAGACAGGTCCTCATGGTGTGGGATGGAGTGCTCGCATCAACTTTCCACAAGACTGAAATTAGGCTAGAAGAGTCTAGCAACGCAACAGCAAACGCACTCATAACACACAATCTTATATACATAGATAGATAGATAAGTAATCAACATACTTTAGTTGTAATATATAAATATATACATATATAATTAATACAGGTAGGTGACAATACTATTTTCACATTCATTCATTCATTCTTTCATTGTCATTGATGATGAAACTTATTGAGTTTGCTTTTGGTGGAGTTGTGGCAGTTGACCCTGTTTGGTTGATATATATACACCAACAATAGCCAGACGACATTGATACCATCTCTCCTCGCACACTGCTGAGCTAGATGAAGCAACTTCACAAGAAGCACAAACAAACAACCCATCGACCAATTGATAGAATGACACATCTTAAGTGGAGGATATTCAAACAAACTTTTCAACAACAACAATCCCATTATAATGGTAGTTGTTATTATTACTTGAATGTTTGGTATACCCTACATTGATGATGCTTGTATTCATCATTGCTCAATCAATCAAACATAATCAATCAATCATTCATCTTATCATTCATCTTATCATTCATCAACAAGAATATTGTTACTAACTGATCCAACCATCCAATCAAACAAAACACAATCAACTTTACTTTAGAATGAACAACAATCAAATTCTCTTGTCAGGACTGCTCGCTACATTCGTCTCCAGCGTTGCTGCTGGTAACTGGAACGCTGGTGACACCATCGCCCTGTTGATTGGTATCGCTATGTTCATCGTCCTTCTCCTTGCTTTCTTGGGCTGGTTGTCAAGAAGACAGTAAACTTCATTGAATCCAACAACAACAACGACAATGACATTACAACATCAAACCAAAAATGATATGATATCAACATCTCCTCCATCACCAACATTAACAACAACAACAACAACAACACAAACAATTGTTATAAACTAGTTGACAAACAACTAGTATATATTGCAATAAAGCCTCCTTTTTGTATCCACAACACTATTACTACTTGTTGTTTATTATCCAACTATGTCCGTGTCCTATGTTATGGTGTTGGTCAACCAGAGTTACCCAATGRACAACACAACGAGAAGACACAATCCGATCAGTCTTATCTTCTTTCCTCCCCCACCCCCTTAAGTACTACGACCCAACCCAAGATTAGAAGATTGGACAGGTAATCTGATCACGATCACTGGTTTTGTTTGGTGTTGTGCATGGTTGGTTGTCTGATGACGATGAGCTCATCGACCATTCTAATGACCTCCTGTGTGTTCCGGAATCGATCTCTTGGACACAATCACCCGAATCCGCCAACAGGCCTTCAAACCCACTCACTCCAAAAGTTCCTATTTAAAGACACTACTTTGGTCGTCGTGCTCATCAAACTCCTTTTAGCAAAACACCTCGTAAACGACCAATGAATGATTGATTGAATTATTGAATGATTGAATGATTGAATCAATGACATAAAGTAAATCATTGTTCATTAATACTACTAATTCTAGATAGAGAGAGATAACAAAAGGGTATGATGTCAAATAACAACCCCATCAATAATGWGAGAAGACTCAACTGCCCATCTTTCACAACCCCCCACTCGTTGTCTGCAATCAATCACACACTCAAACAAACAAACAATCACACTAACCCACAGACACGCTCTCTCAATCACATGTTTTTGTTTGATGTTTAGTTGTTGGAGTTGGTATTTTTGTTGTTATTGTGTTAACATAAATATATATATTAACAATCAGATATATATATACCTTCTATTCTTCATCTTCTAATATTCTTATTCTTTCTTATTCTTATCGATCATAACATTGAATCAAAAACAATAACATCATAGGACGAAACTAGTACTTTCAGTAATCAATCATACATACATAACAACTCCCTGTAACAACAACAACACGACAAATATATATATATAATATAAAAGATAAGAGATATGGATATGGACAAGATGGAGACTTCAGACGACGAAATGGAATTACCATCGGACGAGGAGGAGCACAGTGATGATGAGATCGACTTGAATGGACCTTATGTTATGGGCGACGAGATTGGAAGAGGTGCATTCTCTGTGGTCAGAGTGGCCACTCATCAGGTCACTGGTGAGCGTGTCGCCGTCAAGAGCATCAACACCAAGTTCATCAAGAACAAGCTGCTGAGACGAGAGATAGAGATCATGAAGAAGGTTGGTGACCATCCAAACATACTGAAACTATACGAGGTCTACGAGACAAAGAAGCAACTACATCTGATTCTTGAATTGTAAGTTGATCGTGATCGTGATCGTGATAGTAGTATCACTATCTTTGACACGCTGACACTGACACTGACACTCGACATGTCCACTATCTCGTAGGGTCACTGGTGGAGAACTGTTTGAAAAGATTGTACAGAGAGGAGAGTACTCGGAGCAGGATGCCGCCAAGATTGTTAAACAGATAGTATCAGCCGTTGGACATTTGCATGCCAATGGCATTGCACACAGAGATCTGAAGCCACAGAACTTGTTGTGTGCTGGCGAAGATGGAGATGATATTAGAGTGGCAGACTTTGGTCTGTCCAAGATATTTGGTGAGGGCGATCGTCTAGAGACCTGCTGCGGCTCACCAGAATACGTTGCTCCCGAGGTCCTAGAGTGCAAGCCATACGATAAGGCTTGTGATCTATGGAGTGTCGGTGTCATTACCTATGTATTGTATGTATATTAATGACAATGGTCGATGATAATGATGAACTAACAACTGACGACAACTCAATATATAACAGACTAACAGGATGTTTCCCATTCTGGGACAAGAACAATGCTGTGCTATATGAGAAGATCAGAAATGTAGACTATGGATGGCCAAAGGGCTTTGAGGTATCGGACGAGGCCAAGGACCTCGTTTCACATCTCATCGAAAGGAATCCAGAGAGAAGATATACAATTGAGCAATGTCTGGCACATCCTTGGGTAAACGTAAGTCACTTCATTATCATTCAATCAATCGAGTATGTTCAAGATTACTAACCTGACATCATTGATGTTGTTGCTGTTTCATTTATTATTAGGGTACTGGAGTCAGTGGCGAGAGAAGGATCAAAGCTCAACAGCTTCCTACACATGGAAGATAAACATAGACATCATCAATATCCACAACACCAACAACAACAACAACATAGACAACGACAAAGTCAATGAAACATTAACTAGACTAATATCCATCAATCAATCAATCAACAACATACATGTTTATAGATATATAAGTAACAACAATATAGAAGTACATTTGGGGTACCTCCTCCATATTGTCAATCAATGCAATAAATGTTCATCATCACAACTCCAAAGTTGATGGTGATGACAGTGTTGACAACAACCAACTACATGTCCAGGCGTGTTTGACCTTCGACCAATCTTCACAAATTCAAAGTTTAGTTCACATCATTGATCTATTAATACATATTCATAAACAGAGAAGAGAGAGAAGAGATAGTAATGTCTGATGAACCTGTGAACTCAAAGTCCCTGGCTAGGGGACTGCATCGTGCTTCAAAGCATGTTGATAAACATACTTCAAAGGGGAAGTATAAGAAACAGGAGGCTGCTGCCAAGGAGAAGAAGAGACAGGATGATATCAATAAAGAACAGCGTATCGAGCAATACGGCGGAGACTCAGACGATGATGATGAGGATGATAATGACAACAAGGAGGAGGGAAACACTACAACACAGCGCAGAGAGAGATCAAAGTACAGCAAGAGAATACTTCAACAAGAGACAACTGATATCAAAGAGCTTGATAGGTTGGACCAGCAAATGGCTGGACTGAACATGCAGGAACTTCTCGATGCTTCAAGTAAGTATATATACTATTCAATGACATTCAACTTGATTCAGTTACTAATTCGAATATGTCATAATATGTAGTTGACTTCATTCCAAAGTATGATGATGATGAGGTACAGGAGAGCGTACCAGTGGCAGCAGCGGCAGAGATGATCAATCTGGCAGAGATCGAGAGATTACTACTGTCATTCAGTGTTCCAGACAGATTGATGATTGACACTGATTACTTTGTATGTATCAGATAGACCTGGTGTGTTGTTTAAGATAGTAGTACTGAGTACTGACATTCATATTGTGACATTAACAACTGATAGAGAGGTGTAGAGTTGGACAAAGTCAATGCTGTAGCATCAATATCAAGGAAATCAAACAAACACATCAATGTCCATTCACAACAACAGAAACAGCAACCAAGCAGTAGCGGCAGCAGTAGTACCAAGTCTACAACAACAACACCGACACCAACACCGACACCAACTCCATCATCCACAGTGGCTCAATCCACATCTGTACCACAACCAACTTCACAAACAACTTCCAGTCAGTCTGCAGTAACCACTTCAAGCGACAACAACAACAACAATAGTAGTAGTAGTGAGGGTGGTAACAATAAATCATTAGAGGAATGGTTAGACTCCATTCTCTAATCTACTGACTGATTGACATGATTGACCTGATTGAATGTGTGTGGTTTGTCAATCAATGACCAGGATTGGTTGGATGATGGTGCTGACCGCCCACCTGGACTTCTAAGATGAAACTTCTTGGTTTCAATTCCCACTACTCACATCATCATCTTAGTGTTCACAAGTAAACATTACAGTTAATATAACTCTACTTTATTGTATTGTAGTATTGTATATATTATATTATATTATATATTATTATAGACAGATTGACTAGTTCTCTCGAGAGGGAGCGACATACTCGATCGAGAAGGTTCAGAAGAGAGGTGTTCACCATTTCAATATCTTTGGTCAAAGTATTGGATGGACTCTAGTGACTCTCATTCACCAACAATACTGTTGGTCGAACCACCTGTATCAATCAGTGCCATCATGGAGTCCAATCAATCAACAACATCAACAACATTATCGTCAATTGGAGATGAAGATAATTGCAGCAACAGCAATAGCAACAGCAACAGCAACAGCGATGTTGGCCAAACAACTCAACTTACTCAACAAAATGAGAGTCAAGACGATACTACGAAGCAATCAATTGATGATGACAATCAAACAGTGACGGCACAAGAGTCCACTCAAGGATCAAAGACAGCTGATGGAGCTTCACCCTCAATTCAATCCACTTCATCAAGTCAGCAACAACAACAACAACAACAACAACAACAACAGACATCAGTCAATGCGGAATACCTAGCATTTCAAAGAGATCTGGAGTCTGGTTCACCACAAAAGGCCATGAATGGTATCATAGCCATGATGGAGGATCTCTCTGCAAAGAGACTGTCCTCTGACAAGGAGTTACTACTGCTCAACTGGTTGCCAAGATACGCATTGACAGTGTTCAATTTCAAATAGTAAGCTTGTCTGTCTGTCTGTCTATCTATCATGCCTTTCATTGACACAACAACAACACTACTCTTTGTAGCCCAACACAAGAGTTGAAACTAGCAATATTGGTTTTCAGCCATCAGTATATCAATACGACCATCGATTGTATATCAATGGACAATGTCGACATATGGACTGCATTGGCGCGTATATTCAACTGTTCGCACACCTTCTACACAACTGCCAAGTATGATACATTCCTCCTCGAACCATCCGATAACGCCACACCCAAGCAATCATTGTTCTTCAAGGTATGTACATTGTCCATGTCCATGGAGTTGACTAGATGCCAGAAGTGAACACCAACCATCAATCCACGATCGATCACACAAACAGAGACAGGAATCAGTTTACTCAAAGTTCTATTATAGGAATCTGATGTCATTGGAGGAGAGAGACTTCTTTCAGGTGGTGCTGGATGGCATCACTACCAAACTGGTACCATTGCCAAAGCTGAAACCAATTGTCAAGGCGATGTTCCATCTCAAGGACTCGATGAACTTACCTTATCTTCATCAATTCGTTCCCAAACTCAAAGACACTGTGCTGGCCAGTCTTGTGGAGATTGTATTCGATGAGTTGAATGGCAACGACAAGGAGGCCTACAAAGAGATCTGCAGCACACTCCAAATCATCATGGGCACTGCCATGCCACAGAACGACATCGTTCGCACAATGCACGAGTTTGAGCTGAGCAATGCACTCTGGTGCTTCCAAAGCACCAACCTCGAGAAGAAGCTGCGAGGCTTGCGATACATCAAGCGATCCACCAAGTATAGCATCGTCAAGAATGATCAGCAGGTGTCCAAGGGATTGGCTGGGTTCCTGGGCAAGAAGTCCAAGCTGCCTCGAAAGCCTCAATCGCCATTGGAGAACAGTTATATCACACATAGTTTATCTACATCACCACCATCATCATCATCTCCAATCAACAAGCATACTATTGGTGGCGGTATGCAAAGCACAGGCACTGGAACATCATCACAAGGCAATATTCACATTGATCAACAATTACTGCTCGGTTGGATCTTAAAGAATGAGATCGTCGAGCACCTCTGTAGCATATCTGATCGACCCGACATTATTAGACATGGCCTACCCGTCATGATATTCCTATCCCAACATGGCAAGCTTCAAATAGCTCATCTTGAATCACTCTGGACATCGTCACTTGTAAGTGCCCTCACTAGATACACATTGAACCAAACTAACCGAATCATGTACACACATAGGGCAAACACGAGTCCGTTCGCAACACAACATACAACGCACTGCTCGAGTTGATACAATATATACCACTGGAGCAAGTGAGCCAACTGTACAAATGCATAGCAACAACGGTATCTCTATTGAAGCCGGTCGAGTTTGACAATGACCTGCTCCAATTTGTATATAACTTTTCATTGATATCACAGCGCCACCAGGAGGAGCCTGCAGCCAACCAGCAGACACCCAACTACGGAGTCGATCTATTCTGGAGGCTGATGCAGGATACAGACCAAGCCACTGGCATCCGCACAACCCAGGCACTGTGTCTGCGCGCCAACAGTCTGATCGTACTACTCCTTGGCACACCCGAGTATGCCAGTCTGCGCACAGTGTATCTAGACCTGGCCATTGAGAACATCAAGCATTTCCAATCGGTCTTTCAATCACTGACACTCATTGTCAACATTGTCGAGCTGTTTCCCAAGAAACGATCACTCTTCGAGTCGTTGGAGTCAAAGCATGGACTCCTCGACCTCTTCTTCAAAGAACTGACGCACTACAAGAGTGTCGTTGGCACATGCTTGCGCGATACTGTGAATCTGGCTGTCGACACCTCATCCGATGCGCTCAACCAATGTGTATTCTATGGCAACTTCCCTCATCTCCAACAGACCCAAGCACGACTCGAGTTCCTCGAGTATGCACTGCCGCAGTCATCATTGATGCTCACTGTGGCCCAGGCCAACATTCTTTGGGTAGCACTGGTCAATGGCGCAGTGACACAGGAAGAGCGTGACATCTGCTTTGCATGGTTCAAGAACACACGTCTTCAAGGCAAGGAGCGCATTGCATTCCCCGAGCAGGTGGTACACCATCTGTTCACAGAGAAGATGTCCCTTCTCGACTGGAGTGGCATGCCCTTGTCGTCATACTGTCTGTATGAGCGATACTTCTTCTTTGTCAATGAGAAGAGCAACAAGCTTAGACGTACTCAGACATCACAGTTCATTGGAGGCGATCTGTTTGTTCAATGGACGAGCACACCGACCAAGGTCACCAAGCCAACATCTAGCTCAATCCTTGCGCCCAATGTACCAGCAGCATCGTTCCTTGATCCGGCACAACAGGCTGACTACACACCCAGCGACTATTCGATGGTCAGCCTCGACCTGCTCGGCATTGTACAGCTCTGGAACGTTGCATTGGACTCAACAAACATTGACGTCAGCGATCGTGCCATCGACACTCTGCGCACGCTTTACCAAAGTGGAGACAAATCGAGCAAGTTCAAGGAGGAGTATATCAAGGTTTGCATGGTATACATTGAGAAGGCTCAACAGGTGTCAAAGTCCAGGACGTCATCGATCAATCGAATCTGCAGGGCATTGCTCATGATCAAGTCGTTTACCAACAGTGAGATCATGAGGCTGAGTGAGATGTCCAGACAACAGGCCAGTCTTACAAGCAACTCCGCTCCAGCATCATCAAAGGACAAGCAAATATTTATCATGGTCAGACTGGATCGCGGAGACAGCCACTCTGTCAATGACCTCACAGGAACAGACACTCTACGCATGCTCAAAAGGAGAGTGGCCTTGCTTTATGGCAATCCCAGACCATCAGTACGATCGCTCAGGGCATTCCACGCAGACAAGGAGCTAAAGGACGATGACAGCAGTCTCGACACATTCAAGATCATCGACTCTGGTGGTGGCCAGTTCTGTCCCGTCATCTTTAGGATCGGCGACAATCGGCCAAAGGAGAAGGAGAGGAAGTCCGCCCTAAAGACTGAGGAGGACTTTATGGCGTTGGAAGAGGGCGAGTATGTGGACCTACTCGATGACACACCAGTGGCCACCGTCGTGTTGGAGACTTTACAGTTCCAGCTCGGTGGAGTGGGTCTGCTTGGTGACCTCCAGCTGAGGAAACCACAGCAATCTCAACAACAGGATGCTTTGAGCAAGTCCAAGCTATCAGGAGTACTGGTAGGCAAGTCTAGAACAGAGAGCAACAACACAATGGCAATACTCATATCCAAGCCAGTGTACTTTGAGCAAATATTCAACCTACTCGACTTTGACAACGAGATTGCAGAGAACGCTTGGAACGTTCTTTGTGATCTTCCAATCTATGCCAAAGTTCTCAATGAGCTCAAGAACTTTAAAGGTATGTCCCATCATCATCACATCGCACGACCAATCATACTAACACCTTATACATACATCGATCACTTTACAGAATCATTGATACCGACCAACTCGATATTCAAGACTATTTATTATCTCAAGGTACTGGATACATTGTTTGAAGGTACAACCGATTGTACATTTAATGGCAACAGTGTGGACAGTGGCGTTGGTTCATTGGTTAAGTCCAATGGTCATCGCTCACTCATTCAAAACCACTTGTTCCCTCTGGAGGAGATGAAACATCGCTTCGTCCAGAGGGGTGCAGTCATCTGCCTACACCAAATACTCAAAGATGTTCCACTACACCGAGGCCTATCCAGCAAGGGATCACTCAAGTTGCTCTCACTCCTTCTCAAGAACATCTATACTTTGGCAATCATTCAATCTAGTGATAACAGGTCACCAACTGTCAGCAGAGTGTTTAGACGTGAAGCCAAGGAGGTACTAGAGTCACCAATGTTCATCCAACGATTGTTCTCAATGTTGATCACTTCAGTGAATGACTATCAGAAGCATATGGCCAATGAGTATGCTTCTCATGACTTCAACTCATTGTATCACTATGGCATGAGTATATTGAATATGGCACTGATCAACAACAGACCGTTGCAGTTTGATATGAATCCATCCAATCAACGCAAGGAATGGACGTCATGGCTCCAAGCATTGATACTGGACTGCCAGCATCTTCATATCCAGACCAAAGCATCACAGCTTATTATTGACCTTGTCTCACATGATGCCACCGAGGATGACAGGGCTGAGCGAGCATTGTTCTTCCTCTTACGTCTACTCTCATTCTTGCCATCGATCCATCAGTACCATCACACTGCAGAGCCATTCTTTAGTCTGTTGTCTCAACTACTCAACATTGGTTATCCTGCACAGTCATCGCAATCTCGTCCATCAAAGAACCAATCAAAGGAGTCAAGCAATCTTCAATTCCTCAAATCATTGTTGCATGATCTTCTCAACCAGCTGTTCCAAATGCCCATTCGAGAGACTGCTGGTTCGCCAAACAAGGATCACATTCTAGTTGGAACACTTAATGTCATTAGGAATCTTGTGCGAAGGAGGCCTTCCCTCAAGTCTCAATGTAATGAGGAACTTCTACTGGCCTACCTCTTTGAGAGCTGTCTATTCAAGACACCATCAGTACAATCGACTCAGGGCAACATCATTAGCAGTAACAACATTGTAGACAACAACAATGTGACCAATGTCCAACCACCATTGTGCAAGACCAAGGAATCGCGTCTGGCATGCTATCGACTCATCAGAGAGTTGGCCGTCTATGATCATGCAAGCTATTTATTGGTGGATTCACTGATCATCTCTGAACTGGATCGCATGACACCCACGAACGACTGGTGCTACAATCCTGCAGATCGCGAGAAGTCCAATCTCAACTATGTTGGTCTCAAGAACCAGGGTACGACCTGCTACATGAACTCTGTTCTCCAACAAATATTTCATTCCACAGGTCTCAGACAGAGTCTTCTTTCCATCGACATTCCAGAGCCAAAACCATCTGAACCAGCACCAGTCCCTGAGTCCCAACAACAGCCCACAGAACAACAACAACCACTACAGCCACAACCAAACCCACCGAAGCCCAACGTTCTACATCAAACACAACAATTGTTTATATACCTCCAGGAGAGCGCCAAGCGCTACTATGATGGCATCAACTTTTGCAAGTCACTGACCAACTATGACGGCACACCAATCAACCTGGGCGTTCAAATGGATGCCTACGAATTCTTCCATCTATTCTTGGATCAGATGGAGCAGTCGCTCAAGACACAGACACCAGATCACAAGTATATACTCAAGGAGTCCTTTGGCGGCCTGTTCACCAATCAGTTCATGCCTCGTAGTTGTTCGCATCGATCACATCGCGAAGAGCCATTCTACTGCATCTCACTCGAGGTCAAGAACAAGAAGTCAGTGCTTGACTCATTAGAGCTGTTCATTCAAGAGGAGTCTGTCAAGGACTACAAGTGCGAGTCATGTAATCAACATGTCGAGATCAGCAGGAGATGTCTCATCGAGGAGTTGCCCAACACACTGATACTCCATCTGAAGCGATTCGAGTTTGATGTAAGTAACATTATAAGCACCATCCTCCAGCACCATCCTTACTGACATCCATCGCATCACAAACCAAGTTGGAGAACATGAGGAACATCAAGTTGAATGACTATTGCGAGTTCCCACAACAAATCGATATGGCACCATTCACAAGGGATTGTGTGGATGCTAAGGAGCTTGGCATCAAGTTGCAAGGTCCCCAGGACGACTACCTCTATGAGTTGAATGGTATAGTGCTGCACATGGGCACAGCCGACTCTGGCCACTACATCACATTGGTCAAGGACGATCAGAACAACTGGTTCGAATTGAACGACACTTATGTGCAGCCATATGACATGCGTAGATTGAACCAAGACTGCTTTGGTGGCTTTGACGAGGTCCGCGAGTTTGACAAGGCTCAGAATAGGTTTGTTGGTGTGCGTCGTGCCAAGTCTGGAAACGCCTACATGCTCTTTTACAAGCGACTACAGAGCTCCAAGTCCAATGGTGGCAGTCCTCCCACGTCCACAGAACACCCTCCTCCAATTATCAAGGATCTAAGAAAGGAGATTGCGAGCAGTGTGTTGGAGACTGTCTTGAAGGAGAACAGATCGTTCATCTTGGAGAAGTATCTCTTTGACCCTGACTTTGGAGGCTTCGTTTGGGATTTGGTCAATCTCAAAGCAAGTCCATCATTCGAGCCTTTGAAGCCTACTCTATTGTCCAATACCATCCACTCTACCGAGTCCGAGTGTAAGTAGATCCAGACAAAACCAAACAAGGACATACCATCTAACATGGCAATCAATCAATCAATCCAGTGTCCATCCTGTCCAGCATCAAGTTGACAACACGATATCTCTGTGACATATATTCACATTCCAAGGACAAGGACTTGATGGATGTTTGGGCCTATCATCTCAAGCGACTGATGAGAGAGAGTATCAAAGGCACTGATTGGTTCATCCAGCATCTGGCCAACGATGCCAATTGTCTAAAGAGTGTTCTGTTAGGCTGTCACTTTGAGAGGACCAGACAGGCATTCTCTGACATCATATCATTTGCCATTGAGCTCAGAGAGTCTGAGAACGATCATAGCACACCAACATCCTCAATCGTTGACCTACTCAATGCATTGGTCAAGTTGTCCAAGCTGACAATGGACTATCCCAAGCGTGTAGTCAGTCAGTTGTTCTCCATGCTGCTTAGAATAGTCACTTCAAACGACAAGGTGGTATGTAGTATACCTGTCCATTGAACACATGGTCCATCATACTAATGACCTACTTCACCAAACAGAGGGAATACCTGTTACAAAGAGGTATCATATCCAAATCGATTAGGAACTATATCGAGTATACAAGGGGCTCATCAGTCTTTGGCGCTCCTCGTACTGCAACTCCGCTCAACAGTAACAACAGCAACAGCAACAACAAGGGTTCACCAGCAGCGATGAACTCAACATCTTCATCAATACTCAACAGTATCAACAACAGTTCACAAGACTACAATACGTCCATGGTGGAGTTCATTTGCTTCATGATCAGATGTTGTCAGCCAGCTCAACAACACAGCATCACACCGACTCAATTGACCAACTACCCGATCATCGAGAAGGATACTGTCAAGCCAACACTTCACGTCATTAGCGATCCACAATGTGAACGGTCCACCTCCCCATGTTTCCCGACGACCAGCAGGACGACTACATTCACGATGACCGACAGCACTATGATGGCAGTATTATCAAGGAGTTTCATTGTGGCACTGACACGTGAGAGTGGAAGTAGTGATATCATCAAGCAGATGTTGATACATCTATGCTGGAACAACACAACGATCACTATGCATCTGTCCAGCACACTGAAGGACATAATGATCAAGTTGTCTGCCAATGGATGTCTGCAGCAGGTGTATCCAGCATTGACTGCCATGCTCGAGATGAATGATGGCTTGGCCATTTGGAGGATCGATACAATGATGTCATCACTACTCAAGAGTGTTGAGAACAGTAGTCATGATAGCTATGACAATGTTGTATCACGTTATATAGTATCAATATGTTATGCACCAACTAGTAGTAGTAGCAGTAGCAGTAGCAGTAGTAGACAACCAATCACATCGGAGCACTTTTTGGATTGGAAATCAAAGCACAAGGATACTATACAGAAGATATTCAAGGATACCTATAGATAGTTGATCGATTGATTGATTGATTGGCAATAAAGGGAGTAGTTGGGCAGCGTCTGTTTGTTTCCAAAAACACTTTAGAGTCGGATTGTCCACGACTGTTCATCATTCATTCAATACTTTTACACATATAACATATACAACATATACATATACATATACATATATATAACAATGAGTCATCTGATAGATTCATATAGGCTGATATCAAGCAAGCTGAAGAAGAAGTACGTGTTGATTGATTGAATGAATGAATGAATGAATGAATGAATGAATGAATGAATGAATGATCATGATTGATTGAGGACAGGACACTGACCAACATCAACAACAACTACAACAGGAAGTTCCCTATGAGGAAACCAAACTACTCAGAGGCAATAGATCAATATGCTCAGATTATGAACTCATTCAAGAGAGAAGGCAACCTTATGTATGCTGCCTTTTGTTGTCTCTCAATCGGTCGATGTGAACAGGCCATAAAGAATGCTTCATCAGCAGAGGCATCATGTTATATAGACTCTGGTAAAGTGGACACATCATTCATTCAATCAACGATGGTTACTAGAATGTACTAACATAGGACTACTACCAACTAGGTTATCTTATGTGGGAGAGCGAGTTAAGATCATATGAAGACGACTTTATATCATTCGAAGAGAATGTCACAGAGGCAATTAACTGTTACCTCTTGGCCATTAAGGTATGCTAGAGATGGTCGGTTGGATGGTTGGATGGACTCACTCTCTAACTCCATCATACATAGATATATCAGAATTATAAACGATTCAGTATAATGGGTACATTGTTCTTTGAACTGGCATCGATCTTGAAGAGACTGAACAAGTATGAGGAGGCAGCGGAATACTTCCACAAAGCATCAGAGATAATGCGAACAGAGAGTCCAATCACAGCGATCAACGCTCTAAAGGAAGCCACAAAGTGCAAGATTCTGGAATGTGACTACAAGGGTGCATGTGATCTATTGGATGGAATGGTGGCAATTGCAACTGAATCCATACAGCAAGACAAAAGGACAGCTCAAGTGTTGGCCAATCAAGTTGAACAACATCAACTGCAACAACAGTACCACAGCTATCCACTGTCTGCATCATCATCGCTCAGTCTCTCATTGTACCCCTACGCATTGATCGAAGCACGTGTATCATTGATTCTCTTGTACATTCTCCAGGACAACTTCTTAAAGTCACAATCACATCTTGGCAAGCTAGTCAACGACATCACCGAGCACGAAGGACAGTCATCAGACCTGACAGAGGAGAGTATTGCTCTACTTAACAATCTATTGGTATGTTTGTACTTTGATCAAAGACAAGAAGTACTTGGGCGTCACTAACCAAGACCTACTACTATATTATAATACTATAGATGGCATGTGAGAGGAAGGAGACTAATGGTCTACAGGCAATTCAAAGGGAACTGTGGAGTTCATTGAGTGATGTCCAGAATGATATACTACAAAAGATATGGTGTGCCAATAAAATGTTATTGTGATCGCGATTGGTAGATTGATCAATCTTTGAATCATGCACAAGGCAAATAGAATCGGTTGATTGAGATTCTTCTTCGGGCACCTCACTTAAGTCATTCATCAGTCTGGTCCCAAGTAGGTAGGTGGTCTATTGCCATTAATACATTAAGATATCAATATATATATATATATATAACATACATACATAAGAATGGTATGTTTGATGACAATGAATGATGATGATGATTACAGAATACTGACAACACGATAACGACTTAGATACACTTTGTGTTGACATTCAATAAACAGGGTAGAGTTAGATTGGGTAGATGGTACTCTACGTTTACACCAAAGGAGAAGACAAGATATACAAAGGAGGCAATAAGTAATATATTGAGTAGACGAGAGAAGGATTGTAGCTTTGTAATATGGCGTGATTATACATTGGTTTATAAACGATATGCAAGTCTATACTTTATGATGGCCATCGATAATACAGATAATGAACTGATAACATTGGAGATGATACATCGTTTTGGTATGTTGTAATCATCATGTTGATGGACACATCACACAAACCATACTTACACAACGGTACAACAGTTGTAATTTTAGATAAAGTATTCCTTAACATATGTGAGCTAGACCTGATATATGAGTTTGAGAAGGTTTGTTATATATATGTCTTTTATCCATTGACAATATCATAACTGACATCATCTAATCATTTGGATCAATCAAACAATCATTTAATAGGCCAACTGTTTACTTGATGAATATATATTAGGAGGTCAACTACAGGATAGCAGTATTAATGAAATAGTGGAAGCATTGACAGGTGGCGAGAAAGTGGAGAAGGCAATACTTATAAACGAGGCAATTGCCAATAGTTTCTAAATCAGATAGATCAATCGATTGATACTAGTATATGAAGTTATAATAAGCAGCACAAGATTGACAAAGATGATGATGATTATCTCAACATCTTCTTTCATTCAATCAATCGTATACGATATTCTCTCTTCATTAAGTCGATCGATCACATTAACCATTTTTGGACTCATTCCACACTTTTGTGGTTGGTTTCATTGCGACAGTGCCCCAAGAACAAGTTCTCGAGCTTCTCCGCATCGTCGTTGGATTTGTGAGTGAGGGTGTTTCAAAACCAAGACGTCAACATCATCATTACATCAAAGTAGAGTTTATTTATTGGTCCAATTCCCAAACAACAAACCCAAACAATAATAATAATAATTAGGTTTACTTTATATTATTTATTTATAAATAGATAGATAGATATTTATTACCTTCAAATATATTACTACAACCAATATATAATTATATATATATATATATTAATTTAAATTATAAACAGGAGATATGAGTATATACACTAGATTAATTTCAGAGACTATGATGCCAATATCAGTTATACATAGACCATTGCCATCAGTATTGGATGAAGCAAAGGTACTATCATTAATGGAAACATTAAGAAAGTCTGGTGCAACTGCAGAGGATGTACCACCAATAGATGTAAATTGGATAGTAGGTTCACAAAATCCAGATAACAATTATTATCTTTCATTTGGAGGTTGTCATAGGTATGTATTCATTACATTCTCATCACTTAATAATCATTCTAATAATGAATTGTGTTAGATTTGAAGCACACAAGAGACTTGGTCTTGTTGAAATCAAAGCAAGAATAGTAAAGTCAACGCCTGCTGATATCAAAGTTTACCTTGGTGGTTCAACTCCTGAATTCCTATGATTGATCAATAATGTACATATTCATAATAAGGATTACCGATCAATTCTAACTATCTCTTTAAATATATATATATATATAAATATAATATAAATAATGTTCTTTCATTACTGGGACAGACATTCTTTTACATTCGATTTATCTTGACAATAACACCATCCATCTTGGCTCATTGATTATTGGGTTCATTCATAACGATGGGCCATCCCACCAGTCAAAGGAATTTTCATTTTCATTCAAATATCTCAATGGAATGGATGTTTCACACTCGTCCATCAATCAAGAAGAGGCAGAGTCATTGATCAATTGTTATTGTTTAAACACCGACACTCAAACACACACACATAACACCCTATAAATATAATATTTATTATTATTATTATTACTGTCACACATATATGTTCAGTGATAATATAGTAGTTGGGTCAGATACACCGACTCTTGCTTCACAGAACTTTCAAATGGACGGCCCTCCATTAGAATCACAGCCACTGCTATTGTCAAACAATAACAATGGCACATCGCTCAATAGCCATCTCGATGACCAGTACCAATATGTCAAGCACCAGAACAGCTTCAAGTCCGTCGATGACTATCCATCGGACTCGGGCATGTCCGATCCACTGCTCTCTGCAAACAACGGCGGTGCAGGTAGCAGTAGTCCATCGGACCCCGGCGCCACCCCATCCCGATCATCAGCGCAGGCGCAGTTCTTCCTCTTCCTCACCGTGTGCATATCAGTGCTGAGCACTCTGGAGTTTGGTTACAACACCGGTGTCATCTCGCCAACGATGCCCACCATGCAGGAGATCTTCAAGTTCACAAAGGGTCAGAAGAGTTTCTTGGTGTCCATCATCCTGGTCGGTGCCATGGTTGGTTCCTTTGTCAGTGGCTTTGTGTCTGATCGAATTGGAAGAAGATGGACACTGTTCCTCAACAATATCTTCTATCTCACAGGTCCACTACTGACGTCGTTTGCCACCAACTACTCTACACTCTTGGCTGGACGTATCATTACAGGATTTGCCGTTGGTGTTGCAAGTGCTGTCGTCCCCACCTACATTAGTGAGGTAGCCCCTCATTACATGCGTGGAGCGCTTGGTCTGGTATGTTAACAACGCGCAACAGATCAGTCCAATCATTTGAGTGATACACTAACACTCCTTCATCATCACTCATTCAAGTTGAGACAAAGTACTATTACATTCGGTATCATGGTATCTTCACTTGTTGCTTATGGACTGGTAAACAAAGATAATGGATGGAGATATACATTTGCCATTGCCACAGTACCATCGTTCATTCAAGTGGCACTTATTTATTGGTTCTTGGAGACACCCAGATTCTTGGTATCAAAGAACAGAGTCAACGATGCCTTCAACACCATCAGAAAGCTAGATACATCTCTTCCAACCGACTCTGTCAACAATCAGATTCAAAAGATCAAGAACAACATCCTTGAGCAACAAGGTACCTCTGGATGGTCACAACTCTTCAAGAAGTAAGTAGTAGTAGTTGTGGTCATAGTCAGTCTAATGTGTCTCAATATTAATCACTCGATCAATCACAACAACAACAGGAAATTCCTAAGAGTATACTTTATTGGATTTGGAATTAGCATGTTCCAACAATTCGTTGGTATCAACTGTGTAATATATTATAGCACTGCAATATTGGAAGCCGCTGGTTTCAACAAGAACACTGCAATTCTGATATCGGCTCTGGTTGGAATCCCTCAATTGATTATGATGTTTATCAGCGTCTGGCTCATCGATCGCTTCGGAAGACGTCCACTGCTCCTGATCGGAAACATTGGACAAATCGTTGGACTCGGTATACTTGGTGGCGCTTTCTGGGGTCTTGGCTCCAAGGGAGTCATTCACTCCACCGGACTCGGATGGATGGCCGTATTTGGCATGGTGTTCTTTAAGTTGATGTACGCCGTCGGCATGGGTCCCATCCCTCTGATGGTGGCCGCCGAGATCTACCCGACAAAGATCAGAGGAAAGGCAGTGTCGATTGCCTCCACTCTCAACTGGCTCGCCAACTTCATCATGAACATCTCATTCCCCTATCTCCAGACTGGACTTGGACAGACTGGTACCTACTGGCTCTTTGGAGGCATCTCTTTCCTATGTTTCCTCTTTGTCTATTTCTTTGTGCCAGAGACCAAGGGTGTTACCATCGAGGAGCTTAGCAAGCAACTGGTGAAGGAGCAATAAACCATGGTCTACCCAGAGGATCGAGCGAGTGTCGACAGTCACTAGTCTCAGACCAATCCACTTTTAATCCATCCCACTGTATTGACACTTTTATTTCTTTGTAAAGAATGATGTGATGTTTGACTGTACTTTCTTGTCAGGTGAACTGTCTGACTTGGAGACAGCGGCAGCGGCAGCTGCCTTTTTGCTAGGAGACTTGGCTGGTGCCTTCTTGGCACTAGGGGTCACATCTGTGTCCTTGTCCTTTGTTGTCGCCTGTTTCTTCTGTTTAGTCTTGTCAGCAGCGGGCACAGGATCAATCGTCTGCTCAACCTCATCCTTTTCATCTTGAGTACTATCCTTTGTGGACGCCTGTTTCTTCTTATCCTTTACAGTCGATGATGGTTTGGTAGCGGCCTGTTTCTCTTCCAACTTGTCATTCTTTGTAGAGTCACCGGTCCTTTGTTTCTTGACTACCTTCTTTGCAGGCTTGTCCTCATCATTCTCTTCGTCATCATCCATATCAATGTCAGCTTGCTGCACAGCAACCTTTGATTTCTTTACGGTGGACTTGGACTCCTTCTCCTTGGCATCCTTGGCCTCCCTCTCCTTCTTCTCTTTGGCCTCCTTTTCCTTCTTCTCCTTGGCATCCTTGGCCTCTTTCTCCTTGGCCTCCTTCTCCTTCTTCTCCTTTGCCTCCTTCTCCTTGGTCAACTTCTCCATTTCCTTCTCTTTTGCCTCTTTCTCTTTCTTCTCTCTCTCCTTCCTTTCCTTGGCCTCTTTCTCCTTTGCCTCCTTCTCTCGTAACTTCTTCTCTTGCTCCTTCTTCTCCTGTTCTTTCCTCTCTTGCTCCATCCTAGCCTGTTGTGAATGACCACTGACATCGATCTGGTCGTCGTCATCCTCTATATCCTGTAATGTTCTCTTCTTTCCAATTGACTTTGTAGGCTGCTCTTCTTCCTCATCACTGTCAATGACCATCTTGTTACTCCTGACCACACGTTGGAATGACACGACCTCCTCCTCTTCGTCATCACTGGCGAATGGATCATCCTCCGAGTCACTGTCATCGCTTGACTGTCGCTTCTTTGGAGGTGCTGCAGCGACCACCTTCTTTGTTTCGATAACCTGTTGTTTGCTCGTCTTGCTAGCCACAGGATCCTCCTTCTTCTTTGGCGATGGCTTCTTCTTTGCTGATGCTGGTGTGGTGTCCACCTTTGAAAGAGGATTGTCCTTCTTTGCCAGCTCCTCCTCCTTCCTCTTCTGCTCAAAACGAGCGAATGGATCCTCTTTGGCATCCTGTTTGCTAAAGAAGTCAGTGAGTCCCTTGGCCTGTGGCTTTGTGGCCTGCTTGGCAGCACTGGCAGTGGTGGGAGCGGCGGCAACGGCAGCAGGCTTTGGCTTCTCCTGTCTATACATTGTAGGATTGTTTGGTATTGGCAATGGCTTCTTCAACTCTCTCTTTGAGAATGACTTTGATTGCAATGGAAGTGCCCTGTTTTCATTCATTCATTCATTCATTCATTGTGTCAGTGTCTAGCTTGGCCAATGTTGATTGTGTCCTTCTGGATATTACTTACTTGTTGAAGTAGTCGGGACCAAGCTCTTTGACATTATGATACCTCTCCTTTTGTTCATTATGGAGCATAATGACGGCGTTTGTTGGATCAGATGGGATGACATCCTTTGAGATACTGTATACATGCATCGAATTGATTGAAGTGAACTTGTCCTTGCATTCTAATGTGGATGTTTGATTGAATTATTGATTGGTTAGTCTTATGGCAATACAATAAGGCATTGCCCTTAACTCATACATACCATTCAATTTGTCAATAGAGACAAGTGTGACAGTGATACGATCAGGGAGATCCTTCATCAATCCAGACACCATAAAGATTGGCTTGTGTTGTACTTGGTCTGCATTGTAAATATGGTAAAGTATCCTATGAATGTTATTGATTGATTAGCAAACTATCAATGATAGAGAAGAGAAGAGATAAACTTACTGCTTTGAGATATCTGGATGTAAGTTAAACTTGTTAGACACCCATCTATAGTTTACAGTATGTCCCTCATTTAGAGTTGACTTGATAACATTCAATATATCAGTTGATGTTGTCGATCCTGTTGTTGTTGTAGTAGTAGTTGTTGTAGCCATTGTTGTTAAAGTCTTTGATGATGATGTTGTAATACAACTAACTAAACTTGTATCTCTCACATTCAATCTTCTACAAACAAAGTACTGAGAATTTGAAAAAGTGCGCCATTTTATCACTTTTAGTAAACAGGATGAACTACATGTCTTTTGTCAACTTCAAAGATATCTTATCTGAATGTTCATAGTTGGACAGACACACTTGGAACCACCGGTGGTATATCTATAGGTAATGTAAAGTCCAACAACATTTCTCGGATCATGGTTCCAGATTGGATGATCAAGGTAGGTCTTGAATTAGATGGAAATTATAGATCCTCAATCAGATTAATGTAGATCATTGTCGTTGTTGTTGTCATGAACATCAATCAATCAATCAATCAATTACTCCAGTCATGACCTTGTAGTGACTATCGACCAACCATTGTGACCATTGTTGGTGGCTCATCCTGCCCACTACCACCACTTTGTACCAACCAACAAACCATTGCCATAACTGTCAATGAGTAACTCTCATTGGCAATACTTATTTACCCATGATCATCTCATGTCCAATCAACCAGATCCTGGATGTCGTGATCATGATGACCTCAACATCAAGATTAGGATCTCTTCTTGTTGTTGTTGTTCGGCTAATTCAATCTTCCCAATGAACGAAAGATTGATTGATTGATTGATTGGACCATAGATAGATGGATATCTCCGATAGCCGAATATGGTAAGGTCATTCCACGATTGATAGATTCAAGTTAAAAGAATCTAGAGTTCCATTCGTTGTAGGTATCATCATCATTGCCATCAAAGTACGATACGTAATCAATTGAATCTACGATTAGTGTAATAACCATACTATTGTGGCCATTGTATCCATTCATTGATTGATTGTATTGGTAGATTAGATATATTGTTGGTTGGATCTTGACTCATGAATGATTGATTGAATGAATGTCAATGGCAATGGACACTCTCATTGGAGTTTCGACCCATTGCGTCATCTACCAAATAGCCGTAGCACCGAACTCAATGGACTGAGTACGGGAATAATATTAATGTACCCTCCTCCATATGGATTGAACAATCCTGGATTTATGAAATATGACCCTCACTCCCTATTCCACTTCTTCGTCTTTGACTTACGGTTGAACAGATCAGTGTCAACATATCGTTTGACATTAACACGCACATATAATAGACGCATTGTTGACAACTAACTCACACATGTCCAAGACAGACTTAACATGATTGGATGATGTGGTGTGTTGGTGTGATGAGGGGGAGTACGGAAGGATGTCAGGAGATTCATCGGCAAATGGTCGGACATAAGATTGATGGGGTGTGGTGTTGATTGGTTATTATTCAAACTGCCGACGACAACATTCTAGTATATAGTCAATAGAAGTAGGGAGGGAGGGAAGGTGGGTGTAGCTACACCAATTCCATGCACAGTGCAAATGGCAAGGGAGGGAGACTCTCTCTCGATGAGATAAGTGTATATCTGCGATTAAGGCAATGGATAGATAAATAGACAAATGCCGTTATTGCCATTCATTGACAATCAAACAATCCAGTTAGCCGAATCTCAACTGATCATCATCAATCTTCATAGCCTAGATCTTATCCTTCCACAAACTTGTGATCCCGATATATATCATAATAATATAATAATATAATATAATAAATAATGCTCATCCGTATGTATACCATATTTCCAGCCTGATCAACCAAACTCAAATCCGATCGATACTAACTCATCTCCATCTCAATCTTCATCATCATAATAATAGAATCGATTACATCTCTCTCACTTTCGAATAACATAATGGCCATGTCATCTGGAATGACTAGCTCAATATATAGATCAGGATCAATATCTTCATCACTAACTAATTCCATCGGTAATAGTAAGATATTACCGGTGATGAATAATAATAATTATTCGGTACAACAGAGAAATACTCTATGTGCAGGTGTTGGAAGATTTTGTTAATATATAATATATAATAATAATAATAATAATAATATATAAATATAAATATATATAAATATATAAATAATAATAATATATAGTATTACAATGTAGGAATATCGATAATCCAGAAGTAATAATAAAATGAAACATTATACCAAGGTCCAATGTTTGTTCATGAAATGTAACTTCAAAAGAGATAATAATAACATTTGTTATATATATATATATGTTGATGAAGAGAAGTAGTACATACAGATATATAATAATGAAACATGAGTGGTGATGATGATACATATGACAATAATGACTATGATGATGATATTGTCGATGATGTAGACAATAATATAGATGACAATGATAATGACAATGATGACTTTATTGATCGTTTGATAAATGATATTGGATCAGATAAAGATGATGGTACAACTGGTGGTCGACATGTTGGTCCTGTATCATCACTCATTCAGTTCATTCAATCAAAGTGGGCACCACCTCATCCATCATCATCAACATCAGCATCATTCCCTGTCAACAACAATAACAATGATATCAAGCAGCATCAACAACAACATCAACCAATCGATCAACAATCTACAGAGCACACAACTGATGTTGCTGCTGCCGCTGCTGCAGTGTCTGATAGTTTAGAACATCAGATAGAGCACGCAGAGAAGGTAATCTCTGACTACTTTCATATTAAACCAAAGAGACTCAATGAGATACTCTTGTTGTTGGGTGGTGCCTCACTTGTGTCCTTTGCCTTTCGAACAATGATCTTTGGCAAGACAATTAGAGCGATTGAGATTCCAGATGGTAATCTTACTACCATTGTACTACGTGCAAATCGTGTCAGCTCCCTAAAGAAGACTGTAAGTCATCTTGGAATCCACTGTCTCCAGATTGCAAAGAGCTGACCCTCCCTCCTTACCATCATTCAAACAGATACTACAACATCAACCACCAATATACCCTGGAGTTCACCTTGATGTGGCGGATATCAAGGCCAGTGCATTCATCGATCCCAACTTCACAGAACCAATCCTAACAAATAGACATGTCAGATTGATTGATGATGGTGGATACGTCATTTGGACAAAGTATGTTCATTCTCCATGTGGCTGGTTGAGGACGGACGTGACTAACATCTCAACATAGGGCCGACTTTGAGATACCAAGACAATCGGTGGCACTAAAGGCCCTGATAAAGGATCGTGAACTATTCATGAGATATAGCCAGAATGCAGAGATTGACAGGATCATTAAGTTGATATCACTGTTTGGTCCACCTCTGAGCGATTATAAACCATCGGGTAGTGGCAGCAAGTCAACCAACAACAGTCAACATACATCATCATCATCTTCTTCTTCATCCCCATATTCTTGGCGCAACATCTTTAAGACACCGATGCCAACCGATCAGGAACTGTTGGAGCACGATCCTTCAGGGCCACTCTCACAAGAGATCAGAGATGAACTGATATCACGTCTGTTGCTGAATGACAAGGCAGATGACATTGTACAACTATATCGAAAACATCAAGATGATATATTGATGTTCAAACAACAACTGGTACAATACTATCTAGTGTCCATGAAGAAGAGGCAAGAAAAGGCAGTTAAGAGTCAACAACAACAGAGTAAATGATCGATCAATAGATTTTATATTAATTAATTTCTGGTCGTCCAGAAAGTTGGAAGATTATTGATGTTGAAGTAGAGACATTCTATCGTCTTGGTACAAATCCAATTGTAAATACATCCACTGATTGGACATCAATAGCAACTCCATATACAATATAGGAGAATTCGTAATGGTGTCCAACTCGTGTAACAGTCTTTGGTAAATGTACTAGGTGGAGTGATGGATCATCTTGTTCGTCAACCTCCATTCCGGCCATTGTTCCATTAATGACATTATCCAGGAATCCAATACTTAAAGTAAATCGATGGATTGGAACCTCATTGATATTATCGATTGTTGTAACATATAAGGTCATAAGTTGTCCATCCTCAGTAACACTACTCTCTAAAGCTTGTGTCTCTATTATTACAAATGAATCATCTTTGAAGTTGGGTAATATTTATACTTGTTAGATTATGTTTAAAGTGCGATTGAATGAATAGTTGAACATACATTGAGGTACACACTGTTCTAAACCAAACATGTTCCTACATAGTAATCCTGGATCACACTTTATACCTTGGCAATAATATTTATTGTGTTGACTCGATACACATGATATAGATATTATAAATATAAATATTAATAAATAATTTAGAAAGTTATTATTCATTGTTTCTTATATTACTAATATTAATAATACAAAGATTAATTAATCATTGTGAATGAGGAACGTCCTTTGATCTTTCACTGCTATCACACACCATGAATGAACACTATGGTTGAAGGAAGGAAAGGGGATAGGGAACTGCGATCAATTGATTCAATTTCCGGCACGATCCAAGTTTGATTGTGTTCATTATCCACCCGATGAGCCTTGTGTAGAAGAAACCCAATTATGGAAGATTATAACCTCTAACTCTACACTACATCAGAGTGATAATGATCAAGGGAGGGGTGCGTGGTTGTTTAGGGTAGTGTGTGTGTGTATGACTCTTCCAATGACATTACATTGTACACAAGCAGTTACTCTTTGTTCAACTCAACACCCCCACCCCTTAATCCATCTTCCGACACAAGACAGGATGGATGTCAGCTGGCTGTCCCATCCAATATCAACAAGTGTCAGTAAAGAGAATAATGGTGTAGATTTAAATTTCATTATAAACTACTGTAGTAGTGTAGCACAGACAATGGAACGATTTGAAGGTTTGATTTATTGATTGAATGATTGATTTAATGATTGGTTGATTGATTAATTTATTGTTTAAATTTATGGAGGCTTATGATCTAGTTGGTAGACTCAGGGAGGCCTAATCAGAGATTACTCTAGATGATAGCTAATCATTCTCCTTTTTCTCCTCATAGAACTTCTTCTCTCTTTCCCAACGCTCCTTGTCCAAAATAGCCATCCTCTCATAGGGCTCCTTTGCTTTGGCATCCATGGTCTCCCAGAGGTCTCCTAACAGAGCACCAATCGTTCCAATGGATGCCTCTGGGAGATGAATGAATGGGTGGTGAATTCCAACCATATCTAGAGGGATCATTTCGAAGTAATTGTCTTTCTGTTGGACAACAACAAAGTTATCTGATTGAATGAATCAATGTATGTCATATTTATTAACAAAATCCTTCGGATATGTGAGTCGGCAGGCAGGCAGTAAGCTGAAAGGGTTAGGTTGGTAGTTTGGTGATGATGATGGGAATCAAGTGAGAGTTGTCCTATACTGGCATCTTCTCCAATATGGACAGGATTTGAGTGAACGATGGCCTCTGTGATGGCTCGTGATTCCAACATGATTGAATCAGCTGGTTAAGCATTGATGGCCAAGCCGATGGGATGGTCGGCCTCAAACCCTTGGTCGATACGGCCAATGCCAACTGAACAGAGTCAAGACCAGAGTAGGGGAGTTCGCCGGTACCAAGCTCCCACAAGATGATACCGAATGCGTAGACGTCCACCTTCTCTGTATAGTCGTCACCAACGAGCAGCTCGGGCGCCATCCATATAGGTGATCCAATCGACTTTGTCATCGCCGTCGATTTGGACTTGAGCCTAGACAGACCAAAGTCGCATATCTTGACGTTCATGTTGTCGTCAAGCAGCAGGTTCAGAGACTTGATGTCGCGGTGAATGACGCCGCTCAGGTGCAGATAGTTCATTCCCTGTGCAATCTGAATTGCCAGCTTCTTGTAGAGGGGCATGTTCATGCGGATCTTCTTTGAGTGCAAGATGTCGTAGAGCGAGCCACCGTTGAGGAACTCGGTGACGAAGCAGAGGTTGGGCGGCACGGTGCAGGCGGCCATCAGCAGTACGATGTTTGGATGACGCAGCTTGCTCAGAATGGTCAGCTCCTTCCTAAACTCGTCGAGCACCTGCGTGGTGACATCCTCGTTGATCTTGATCTGCTTGATGGCGACGGTACTGCCTCGCCACGTGCCCTTGTAGACGACACCGAATGTACCTTCGCCCAACTTGGTCTGTATCAGCAATTCTGAAAACTGTATCTCAATGTCCGAGAATGCAGACTGATTGTTGTGATTGATAACTGCGCTGTTGCCACTGGTCTTCAGAACACCACCGCCACCGTTGTTGTTCATCTGATTCAGGTTGTTGTTGTTGTTGTTTTGGTTGTTGTTGTTGTATACATTGTTCGGATTGTTGTTGTTGTTAAAGTTGTTGTTGTTGTAGTTATTCGCGTTGTTCTGATAAGGTGATATGTTGTTTGATGGTACTATATTATTAGGGATGTTGTTGTTGGGACTGTAGTTGACTATATTATTATTAAAGTTGGCTGCTGTTATATTGTTGTTGAATGGGTTCGGACCGCCATTGTTATAGTTGACTATATTTATAAAGTTACCCTGCTGCTGCTGTTGTTGTTGTTGTTGTTGTTGCTGCAGGTTATTTGGATTGACTACTACTATATTATTATTATTGTTATTATTGTTGTTGTTGACTAGGTTGTTATTTGGATTGTTCTTGAATCCACTATTATTATTGGTGGCGGTCGTAAAGAATAAGTCTGTTTCAAAGTCCTCAACCTCCTGTATGAATGCTTGTGGTTCGATCGTTGGTGATTGTTGCAGTTTCTATTGATGGTGTAGATCATGTTAGCTACCTCCTATATTGTCATCCACTTGCTCCATTGTACTACTACTTACATAGAGGTTTTCGAATGGTATAAAGTTAAGTCCTATATATTGTACAAATTCATGGAAGGGAAGGGTAGTGGCGGGCAACTTTGATCGATCAGCGCCAAACAATGCTAGTTTCTGTGTTGGTACTCCTCCGTTCTTGTCCTTGACAGAGTTAAACACCTCGATCATGTACAATGCCTGTTGTGGTGAGAACTTCCTGGCGAGCGATGTGGCCGTGTTGCTGTTGAGCAGTGATTTCGAGTGCGAGTACGCGAATATCAGATGCTTGAGCGACATGCACAGCGGCACGTTGACGCCCTGCTGTGTGGGCAGTGCGCCAGGGAACAACAATCCGATCGAGAAGAGGAATTGGGATGTGGGTGGAGTCGCGATTGGGTACAGCTGCGAGATGTACTGGATGAGCTGGGGGAACGTGGTGATGACGCCTCGGCCCTCAGTGTCGATCGAGTTGAAGTGGTGATAGCAGAGATAGATCTCCTCCCATGTCAAGTCCTCGTATGTTCCAACCTGGAGTGATGTGTCGGCCACAACGGCAACGTTGGTGTTGTTGTCCGTGGAGCTGTTTCGCTGGTGCTGATGCATTCGATTGTGCATTGGATTCTTGTGTTGATAGGGAGGGGACTTGTGCTGCTGTGGCTGTGGCTGTGGAGGAGGTTGCTGTTGCTGCTGCTGCTGTTGCTGTTGTTGCTGTTGCTGTTGTACCATGATGACAGCTGCCGGTGATAGATTGTTTGGCGATGAGTTTGATCGTTGATGTGATACCGGCTGCTGCTGATTGGCCATGTAGGGCACGTTTGGTGACAATCCGCCGGCGCCATTTGGCATTGGAGCTGGGTTGTATCCGACGCCCATCAGGCCAATGCCGCCGCCGCCTGCAGCGATTACAGGGGCGGAAGTACCATAAAAGCCATTCTGGTAGCTTTGATAGTAGCCTCCTTGCATTCTATAATATTGAATCGAGCTAGTAGTAGTTGACAGGGTTTTGTTTTCGTCGTCTGTGTGCAATTCTGAATCAAAGATTGACCGACTGACTTAATGACGACTGACTACTGCCGATATTTGATTGGATTGGATTGCGATTGATTGATTGTGATTGATTGTGATTGACTGACTTTGATTGTTATTGCAATTGTAGATTGCTCGAGTCAGATGGCCTAATGGTTGGTGTGGGTGATGGTGGCTGTCGTCGTTGTCGTTGTCGAGATGAGGTTGATTGTGGTCGAGATCGCAGTCGATGTCGATGTCGATATGTCTTGTTGCTGCTGCTGCTGCTGCTGGCTGTAGCCCAAGGTGATGGTCAATATACTACGCTTAGGTAATGATAATTATGGATTGTTAATAGGTTGTACAATGAGAGAGAGAGAAAGAGAGAGTTTGATGAGGGAGGTAGGGAGGTGATTGATGAAAAGAGGGAGGTTAAAAAAAGATGATTGTTGTTGTGAGGTTAAAGAAAAGATAGTGATATCTCTATGATGATTGGCTTGCATTCATTCACTCTCATCAATGCAATAACAACAACAAGATAGAGTGAGTGGGTGATTAAATGGAGTGATTGATTTGAGTGAGTGAATGAATGAATGAGTGAGGAGGATGCGTGTAATGTGTAGTGATGTGTAATTTATACAACAATGTGGAGTTCGCAAGATGGTGCTGCTGTTGCTGCTACTGCCTGGTCGAATGAATTCATCTCCCGAAACTCCACACCAGTCAGTCTTGATGTTGTTGATGCTGTTGTTGTTGATTGAAATCCATAACACATAATTATATGCCTTTTGGAGGCATGAGCGTGAACTAGTTCGACTTACTATTTACACGATGATTGATGGATGGTTGGATGGACACACTATATAATGGATGATGGCTGTGAATGATTGAATGAATGAATGTTGTTGGAATGAATGTGAATAATGAATTGAATGTGATAGATAGAGTGATAGTGAGTGAGTGAGAGGTAGAGAGAGAGAGAGAGTGGAAATGAGGGGAGAATTCATCCACACACACACACTCACTCTCACTCACATACACACACACACAAACAAAAATACAAATATGTACATATAACGTGTTGGTCCATCACACACCCCGCCTCATATGTGGGGGATTAAAGTGTGAATGTGTGGATGATGTGACCTGCCCTGATAGTGTGAAATCGATTTGGTTGATTGATAAAGTTAAAGGTGAGGTGAATATGAATGGATGGATGGATTGATTGATTGATTGATTGATTGATGGAGACCAATGATTCTTATTGGTGATCATGAAAAATGTGGCCCACATTTAAGATGTAAAGCTATCAATCAGGACTAGTGCATTAAATGTTGTGGCGCCAAAGGTTGTGATTGTTTGATTGATTGTAACAATGTTGTCTTCATACCAATAATCAAGTATTGCTAGTTGTCTTGATATGTTGCTGTTTACTTAATACTACTAATAATAACTATCTATCTAAACTAAACTGGTATATTTATGTGATGTATATTAATTTTGAAAGTAGAAAGTGATCACTAGTCGATGATAGGTGTTGTTTTAATCAGCCGCCCCAACAATGATCAATCAAGCTCATTCCTAGTTGTGCCCAAGACTTGTTGAGGCCATTCTCAATAATAAATCCCCTCTGCGACTTGGGTTTTTGTTATCTACGATCGCGAACCCCCAAAAACGGTCCGTTGTTTTTTTCAACACTCGATTTCTGCGCTGTGGCCCATTGCGGATGGATTGATTGATGGTTGGTTGGATGGATGAGTCAAAGAGCAGACGAAAACATGGACCTGACCTCTCAAAGGTTATGATGACAAGGCTTTTGTTATGATTATTATTATTGTGTTTGTGTTGTTGCAAATGTGGAGACGGCGGCAGGATGATGGTAGTTGGAAGCATCAACAACATCACAAAGAAGTGGAATGAATGCCATTGCATTTGCTCAATGGTTGGTTGGTTGGTTGGTTGGTTCTGTATGGGACAGGGTGCAGTACATTATCTATTCTTGCTAAGAATCTTCATGTGAGTCAGATCCTCCAGGAATTGGTTGCAGTTGAGAATGGTAGAACCACCCAAGACGACACGGATCTTTTGGTTGGCATTCATCGAGTTGAACTTAAATACATTATAGGCCTCCTCATAAGTGATGCCTCCAATGATGAATACAATAATGTCTGATGGTCTATATGATTGATTGATTGGTGAGGTGGATGTGTGTCAGTCGACTGATGGATTGATTGATTGATTGATTGGATACACAACAACATACCTTTCAGTTGGCTGACCTGTTGTGTAATATGGATATGATTGCTCGCGAAGTTTGTTCTTGGATAACTGCTCTAGGATCTCGGACAATAGTGGTGCATGCTGTGTGTAGATGTTGGAGATACCTTGGAGACCACGCTTGACGACGCCATTCATAAAGTGTGACAGGATGTTCTTGGTGCCAAGCAGATCACCCTCTCGCTGATTCTTGCCGGCGTAGTCCTTGAGTGTCTGCACTAGACTGATGTGGTGGGGCTCTAATCCACAGCGTGACAGCTTCTCTTGCAGCTCCCAAACATGTCCCTCCTCGTATCTAATACTGTAGAGCAACACCATCACCAGCTTGTCCTCCTTGGTGAACTTCTCGCTGTCGAGCATCTCGCACAGTCTTGCGTAGGCACTGCCGTGATCATTGTTGCACGCCAACTCCTGTTGCATCTCTGACACCTCCATCAGATGATCGTCACTAATCCTCTTTGATATCTCCTCCATCAAGTTGACATGCTTGGACACTGTTGTTGAGAAGTTCTGGAATTGTGGATAACTCTCAATGAATCTCTTCATGTCCTCTGTTTGATTGATTGATTGATTGATTGATTAGTCATTGGAGTTGGACACTAACCCACTCATGATCACTTACCGATGGTATTGATGTTAGCACTGCTCTCTTGTCTCTTTTGATAGGTCTCTACGAGGTCCTTGATACTGGCACCAAGGTCTCCATAGTTCATAAACATGTTGTCTCTGTAGAAGGCATCGTGGTCGACGTTAAGTATGACCTCCTTGTTGGGATCAGACTCGCCCTTCCTATTCAAGCTGACTCTGTTATTGTTGATCGAGAGTAACTCGTGAATCATTGATTGATAAGTCCATTGATGCAAGAGTGGAGTGATTGGGTCGTCCTTCCTGTCGAGAATCAACAACAATGATTCATGCTTTCTAAAGTCGAATGCATCTCTCTCCTTACTGATCCTCTCCTACATTGTTTGATTGAGTTGGTGAGTGAGTAACTCCTCCCCCTTGCAGACGGAGACTATGATACATACGGTCATTGCTTGTGCGAGATATCTGGTTGCCTCAGAGTTGGCAGAGTGTCTGATGATGGGCTTCTTCTTGAGTGCTAGAAGTGATGCAGTGAGACCATCAATGATTCTGTTGATGTTGGTCTGCCATGCAGCAGTTGTTCTTGTGAGCACACCTGGTATGTTGAGTGTGAATGTATCTGGATTGATTGGGTAGAAGTCTCCAAAGTACTCCTGTACCTCCTTAACACTGTCACTCTGATCATACTTGGCAATGTCCTCCAGTGATCCCGATCCAATTGAGTTTGTAAAGACTGTCATTATGATGATGTATTAGTATTAGTCACTGAGTTGCAACTAGTACTACTTGGATGCTTACATAGATGATAATCAGAGAATCTTGGATTCCTGATCTCGTCAGCGATGCGATGTACATTGTCTTGAGTTGGTCGTACAAAGTAGACGGCCTTGATGTGTGGCATCTTCTCTGAGGAGGTACCATCGATCTTCTCAAAGAGGAATACCTCCTTCTGTAATATATCGGATTGAGAGTATACCAGACCAACAATAGCAGCAGTTTCTTTGTCCAGTACCAACACCTTCATTCCCTGAACATTATTCAACATCTTATTGATATAATCCTGAATAGCAATTCGCACATTCATCGTCTTTGCTGAAGCAGCTGTAGTAGTCGGTGTAGTAGACATATCTTATTCTTCTTCTCTGTATCTATGTCGTAGCTATGTATGTATATATAATGTAAAGTTATAACTATCTTTGAATGAATGAATAAATGAACAAAGATAACAAGTCTCTGTGTGTGGGTCGACCCCTCAGTTTCAAACTTTGAAGTCCCCAGGGTGAAGAACCACGGTTGCACTTTCAAACTCATTTACAGTTGTACATCATGCAGATATCTTTATTACATGTAATAATACTAATATTATTGTTTTAGCTTAGCTTGAAGTGCCTTTCGCTTATCTGGTGATAGTGTCTCGATTAGACTGATGATGTTGTCCAACATTGTCTCTTGGTCCAATGATTGAGCATAGTCAACTAGTTGTGATTGATTGTACATCTTCTTCAATTGTATCACTCGTTGTGACAATGCATCCTCACAACTCTTTAGCAAATTGGCAACTTGTTCATCGTTCTCCAAGAGGATTGTCTTCTTGTTGTTGTTGTTGTTCAACTCTATCTCTGCCGTCCATTGTTTGAGCAGATTCATACGCTCCTGTCGGCTAAGCGTAGGATTGGCCGCGTGCATCGCCTTGATGTGCTGCTCCTCCAAGAGTCTGCGACGAAGACGGTGATAGAAGTAGCGACGGGCCGACCTCCATGGAACAACATCGTGTATCACACCCTTGGCCTTCATACGACCTGGAGTGTCATGCAGGTCTGCAAACTTGATTGCAATCTGCTGGTACACACTCAGCAGTTCCTTCTCGCGTACTTGTATCTGTTGCTTGAGTGTGATTGTCTGTGGTAGGTCGTTGGCTGCGCTGGCACGTTGCATCTCCAGGTTCAATGTTTGCAATCGGTCATCTAGTCTGTGCATGGTCTTGATGAGTTCGGGATCACGGTACTTGATCTCACAGATGCCGTTGGGCTCGAGGACACCGCCACGCGCACTCTCCGATGCGTACATCTCCATCATGTCCAGATTGATTGTCGAGTCTAGGACGACCCAGGCACCGCCACGCAGTTCTCCATCGGGAGGAATGTAGACAAATACAGGCTGTCGATAGTTGCGCAGGTTGTCCACGATCAGCGCACCAAACTTGAGTATCTCGTCAAACATGTCACGCATGCCACCACTAAAGCCTCGCCAGTTGGCCAGGATGATGAGAGGTAGCTCCTCGCCATTGTTAAAGTCGGCAATGGCCTGAGCAGTCTTGAACGATGAGTCTGGATACCAGACCTGTGCCGCCTGTTGAGTGACCACCTCTTGAGAGATGGGATTGGCGGGGTCGGCCGGCACCACCTTCTCGACGGTCTTGGTCTCCACGCCAATCACACCAACTGGAATGCCGCCTAGCCTTGCGCGGCCACATACAACAGTCTTTGCCCAACCGCCGAGTGTCTCGATGAATGAGCCCTTGTCAAACAGTCCACTGATCCAGACCATGGGATCAAGATCAGAGCTATGTCCCATGATCAGATCCTTGATCTCGTACTTGGCCGTGAGACATGGGTCAAAGTCAATGTCGCGATCCACCGAGTCACCATTGTTCAGCACTGGGAGTGGCTCGCCCCTCGCCTTGGGTATGTATGCGATCCATTGCAGAATGGACACGATGCCCTTGAGCTCATCATGAACACAGAGATGCGACACACCATTGGAGTACATGATCTGGGTTCCACCCAGTTGTTGATTGGACGAGTAGACCTCTTTGCCAAGCACCTTGTTGAGTGCACCAGCGCCAGTGAGTATGATTGGTGCATCGTTTTGAATGGTCCTCTGTCCAAGTCGCACAAGATACGCGCCAATACCAACTGATCGACCTGTTACCAGTGTGATTGTGAATGTATCTTTGTAGGCACGTGATGTCTCTCCGGCAATGAATCCCGACCAGCTCAGATTCTCCACGCCAATACCATTGAGACTGCCAATGATGTCTGTGAGCACCCATCGTCCCTCACGATCACGCTCCGCTTGGACCGAGTGTGAAGCCGACAATAGTTGATAATCATCCTCAGTGAGGTAGAGTGATCGTGCACCTTTGCTTGGGTCTCCTGGCACGTTCCACAGCACCTTGAACTTGCTCTTTACATCGTCGGCCAGACCAATCCTCGCGCCAGAGTTGGCAGAGATGTATATTCTTGGCAGGCCCTCCAATCTGGCCTTCTCGCTGGCCAAGTTAAAGAGCAGATCTTCGGCAGGTCCGAATGATCCGATCTGGAATGTGATGTCGTTGGCAATCACAATTACCTGTCGGCCCTGTGGCACCTCGGGTGTGTAAAGCGTCATCTTCCACGCCACCATTCCAATATCATTGTAGCCAATTGGACGGAATGTCTCCTCGATGCGTGGTCTTTTGTCCTCTGGCAGTTGATCGAATGGTACTGTGGGCGGACATTCAGTGCCCGTCATCTGTCCCGGTGTCAATATGAGTTCAACGACATCGGTAACTCGACGCGATGGCAGAGGTATGCGATTTGGGTTGTCCTTGTTCAGCTCGACATATTCCAACCAAAGTGATTGAAGTGCTTCGTTGAAGAGGTCGGGATAGTCATAGATGTACGTTGTCTCCAATCGTTGTGCTTTGAATCGATTGCGTTGTACTGCGTCCATAATGGGATAGGGCGTGTCCACTGGTAAGCCATCCCAGATGCCTCTTGGACTGCCTGGCACGGCGGTGAACGTCCACTGACCCAATGGGTTGAACTGTTCATAGTAGCACTGCACTTGGAATGCATAGCCGGTTGGATTCTGGATGAAGAATCTGATGGCAGTCAGGTTGTCGCCGCGTCTCAGACGACCCTTGACCTCGACCTGTCCAACATGTAGTTTCCACAGCTTCGTACCAACTCGATCACCAATCTCCTGGACGACATAGTTGATCATTCGCTCATCGAATATGACCTCGGGTATGATGTTGAGGAAGATGTTGTGGTTCTGCGCTGACTTGTGTGTGGCCATGGCCATCTCGAGCGCCTCGATCGACTCTGACAGAAGCGCTTCGATCTGTGACAGCAGAATATCGACGATCTTGATCTCATTGTCTCCACGACTAAGGTCACTGTAGCTGATCACTGATCGCACGAATAGACATCTGTCGGCATTGACGTCGGTCTCGCTCTTGCCTCGCTCTTGTGCATAGTAGAGATGGATACGTTGTGATTGAGTGGGGATGTAGGTGATGTTGAAGTTGCTCAGCTTGCGCACCTCGAGATGGTAGGCCATCGACGGCTCGATGTGGCGGAAGATTGAGTCCTCGGCAAAGTTGTGGCGCTCACGGAATGTGAAGAACTTGGGGTTCTGGCCAATGCTGCCACAACAAACAAAGGTGACACGTCTGATTCTGGCCTGGTACAGCTCCTTGATGTTGGCCTTGAGTATCTGGCTGAGGCGTGTGGTGCACGCGTTCTCTTGAGCGATCGTCTCGGGATAGGTCTTGATCACGACGGACATCACATCGGTGGGGTCATTGGGCGGACGCATCCTGCCAAGATTGAAGTCGTCCTCTTTGTTGTAGCACTTTAGTATCGCGGGCAACTGTTGTTCAAACATCGATTCAGTGTGGAAGTAGACCATCATGCCGTAGCGAAGTAGATTTTGGTCTTCGATCGCTGAGAGGTTGTCCATCGAGTCGACACGTGTGCCGCCAAAAAGCACATTGGAGATGACTGAGAGACGTCGCCCATCGGGAGTGGTGTGTGGTGATGGTGACTGAGATGTTGAGCTGGCCGCTGCAACAGTTGATGGTGCGTAGATATAGAAGTGCCACTCGACGCACTCAAATCCTCGCTCGACTGCTAGTGGATCTTGGCCAATACACACACGGATCGTCTGAACGTTGTACGATCGATAGCTGTGGCGTACATATAACTCCAAAGACACTCGCTTGATGTGCTCCTCACTCGAGTCAAACATTGGAATGAGAACATCGATGATGTCGGCCGACTGCTTGGACACGACCTGTATCTCCTTCTCGCGCTCATCGTTCTCAAGTCCGAGCACATGATGGATGCACTCGTCCAGGTCATCCATGCGATGTTTGATCGTTGGTAGTTGTGAGTTGACGATAATCTGTTTGGCTTTGAGTGATATGTCCATGCTCTTGCCAGACATCTGAGACAGTCGTTTAAGCTGGACCATGTAGTCTGGCACTGTGTTGGTCTGATCAATCTTGCGCAAAAGTGATAGGATGAGTTGATGTTTGATTGATTGTGGATGAATGGATCGTGATGCATCCAGTATCCTGGTGACATCGTCCTTGTAGATATGTCGCAGATTCTTCAGACTGGTCTGTATTGCGCGATGTTCCAATGCATCAATTGCAATGAATTCATCCAAGATTGATCTGATTGTGCTTGTCCTCGATCCTTTGATTCCATCAATATATTTCTGGGTGAGGTCCATCAGTGGCGCGATAGTCGTGGCCAATGTCTTGGCGATTGACTCATTCTCTGCCGCCGCCTTGTTCATATACACTGTGATCGTCTTTTGCAAAGCCATACTGTTGAAGCACTCCTCCTTGCATTCATCCTCGCCCCATATATGGGGTTGCTGTGGTGGCCATCCAAGTTTCTCGACAATGTTGTTGGACTTGAATCTGGCCAACTCTCCATAGACCAATGTGGTCAATGATGGAGGCAGGCGATTGGTGATCACGCTGAGGCAATCGTGGAACTCGTAGAATGGCAGTGTAGACGTCTCAATCTGTGCAAACAACTCGTCGACTAGGGCGTTGACTTGAGGATGTTCATATCCGCCAAGAACATGTCTGATGCTCTGAATGGTGTGATTGAGTAGTTGATGTGGCTTGTCACCAATCAATGTGGGTGGCAACATTGGTCCGAGATGTCCATTAAACACAGTTGACTTGAGCACTGTGGCACTGTCGTCCAACAACAGATGGGCAATGATGGCGCCGGCAGCCATCACACTGCCCTCAGAGAGGGCAAACTTGATTGTTCCAGACTCTGGGGCGATCAGGGGCATGTACATCTTCATCACCTCAATCTCGGCGAATGAGGCACCCTTCTCAACATGCGCACCGTCGTCCACCAGATAGCGGACGAGCTTGCCTGGCGAGGACGTGCGCAGGATCGACGGGTCGTACTCCTGGCTGAACACACATGTCTTTGAGTCGATGGTCATTCGCAGTCCAGTGACATCCTCGCGTGCATAACAAACATTCATTCGACCGTCCAGCATGATGAGCAGTCCGCCATCAGCCATGGCAATGACATTGGCATCGACAAAGTTGTTGCGCTCATGTTGTAGCGCAATCATAAAGCTTGATGGACTCTTTCGACGCACTTCAAACAGATACTTGATGTTGTTGTAGATGAGCTCCACGGGTATTACATTGGCCAGCAACTCGATGCTTGGTAGCTGACCCACAGTGATCTGTTGGATGAACTCCTGACAGCGGAGTGCACATTGATTGAAAGCCTTGGTGAGTGCGCCACATAGTACCACTAGCATGCAGTCGGGCTTGGCAGTGATGATCTTCTCGGCGATGAGTCTGTCCAGCCAGCCCGTGTCTATATCATTGCGCTTGAATGAATCGGTCTCCAACAGATGTATAATGTACTCGACTGGTGTACGAATGTCTCCACGTATCGATATCTCCTTCAGGCCCACAACCATGGCTTTTCTCGCCTCCTCCCTCGTGTTGCCACTGGCAAAGATGTGTCCAAACTGTGAGTCGGCATACTCGTGTAGGCCGCCATGTGGACCGACGCTGAAGTAGCCCCATACATTGGGCGTGCTCCTAAATGTGAGTTCCTGGATTCCACCTGAAGTGGGCTTGAAGCCCTCATCTGGATTCTCTCCCGTTATCCTCACAGCGATACAATGACTCTTTGGTGGTATCCTTATTGATAATTCTTGCAAGTCTATTGGAGTGTTATCAAATGGTGAATGTCCATAAAGCTTCCTTATATCTGGTATCCTGTATTTGATTGATTTTTTGTTTGTTAGGGGAGGGATAGTTCCACCAGCTCACATCAGACATACCTGTATAATGGAATACCCATGGCTATTTGAAGTTGAGTGGCTGGTAGGTTGACACCAGTGATCTCTTCGGTGACTGGATGCTCGACTTGTAGACGTGGATTGAGTTCGAGGAAATAGTATCGTCCACCTTGGAATAGGTACTCGACTGTGCCAGCACCAACGTAGCCTACTTCCTTGACCAGACGTACTGCAGCACGCTCCATCTCTGTCCAGAGCTCTGGCAGTGGTGCCAATGCAGGACCCTCCTCGATAATCTTTTGATGTCGTCTCTGAACAGAACAATCACGTCCATTCAATGATATTGCCTCGCCATACTGATCGCCAATGATCTGTACCTCCAAATGACGTGCGTTTGGCACCAGCTTCATGATGAAGATCGGCGAGCCTGGCACCTCGGATTGCACCTGGCGAAATGATGCCGCCAGCTCCTCCATTGTTGTGACCTTGCGAATACCTTTGCCACCCCCTCCCTCTGACGCCTTGATCATGGCAGGCAGACCTATCCTTTCGACGATGGTCTTGGCCTCCTCGACAGAGGCTACGTTGGCCTGGCGATATACATCTGGCGAGACACCAGTCTTTGAGTATTCCACAGTCAGTCCGCTCCCACTCCATGGCACACACGCGACTTTGGCCGACTGCGCCACAATGGTCGATGCAATCTTATCGCCTAGATCTCGCATGGCACTGGCATGTGGACCAATGAATGCGATCTGAGTCTTGGTGCGCGATAATAACTCGGGCAGTCGAGGGTTTTCCGAAGCATGACCCCAGCCCGCCCACACGGCATGCACGCCAGCTCGTTCGGCAAAGTCCACGATGATGTCCACGTTGGCATAGTTGTAATTGTTTGTACCGCCTGGTACCTCTATGAACTGATCGGCCATTCTAATGTACTCGGCATTGGCCTTCAAGTCCTCTGGCGTGGCCATCACAACGAATTTGATCAAACGTTCATTGCCAAATGTTGAATAAGTCCATTTACGCACCGATCTAATTGCCTTTACTGCAGCTATTCCATTATTGGCAATCAATATCTTTTGTATCACCTTATTTCCTCCATGACCAATGACATACTCCTCAATTGGATCAATCAAGGTTGATGCATCCATTCTTCTTCCAAACTATATATGATCTAAACTTTAATGTTGGTTGATATTATGTTTATATTAATATTACAAGTTGTTGTTTGTTTGAATGTTTGATGATTTGAGTATGATTGAATAGATTGGATGATGTTCAATAAGTTGTAATTATGTCTTTGAATTGTAATTCATTCATTCATTCATTCAATCCACCCATCATCATTGCAAGATGATAATCTTGAACAACAACAACCACCACAGCAACACACCCGGTTCCCGGGAACTTGCTTACATCCATGCATGTTCAGTCAATTGGGGGTTATGGGCGACAACAACAACGTTCTACGACATAAGCAACATCATTCATTCATTCAATCATGCAATCAATCAATCAGCTGTTGAGGTTGAATGGAGGTGGATAACTTACCTTTGGTAAAGAGATATCTCTATCTTTTAAAATCTCAAAATCTTAGTAGATACTAATATAATAATATATCTCTACAGCTGTTAATAAATTGTTACTCTCTGGATAATTATATAACTGTTTGTTGGAAGATATGTACCTTATGCATAAGACAACAGTAGTAGTGTTGGGGTCGACTGAGCCCTCCCTCCTAATTAGGATAGGTGCCGAGTAGTAGTCCAATTGTTGAACAAGGTGGGGGTGTTGGCGAGATGAAGGTGTCTTTCATCCCCCACTCGACAATGGTCTCACTTGGTCATGCAAACATACAAGATCATTGTCGACCACATATCTTTTAAACACCAAATAAGGTCAATGCTGATCAAGTCCTTGTCAGATATCTGATCTTCATTGTATATGTATATGTTGTACGAATGTTGTAAGAATGAATGAACAGACTGGATCTTCACACTTTTCATTCAGTATGTCGCGTCACCCACTTTGTCTTGTTGTCTTTGTTTCAATTCATTTGTTATTTAATTATTTGTACATAAATATATATAAATATAACAAGATAATATGGCTAGGGTGACGACGCGAGGACGTCTACAGATGATGTCCTCACATGTTGGTCTCCATCAGCTATTTATGTTGTTGTGTCTATGTATGGCAGCGACATTGCCTCCAACTACAACGGCATTGTCTCCACCATCCACAACAACAACGACACAACTATCAGTCAACTGCCATGATCTAGGCTTCACAGAGTCACTGCTGTGCTCCTCCTGTCAGGCATTCGAAGAGTTCATGGGCAATTCAGATGCGGTCGATGAGTGCAAGAAGTGCTGTTCAGTAGAGGCACTCCATCAAAAGAAAACATACACCAAAGCAGAGGTCGTGATATGTAGGTGAAAGTTGAACGCTTACCCTCAGGTCAAAGACTTCATTGATAACAAGATGAGCCAGTACAAGGTTACCGTTAGAGTATGTTGTTGTAATTTCCATGCCAACGCGTCAATCATTCACTCATTCATTCATTCATTCATTCAAATATAGTACCAATCTGGAGCATCCCCTATCTTTGAGTTGACTGACTCTGAAGGCAAAGCTGAGACTATCGCGTAAGTTGAGCGTGATGTTAACATTGACGATCACCATTACTAACTTGATCAATCAAACAATCAAACAAATAGTATCGATAAATGGAAGAATGAGAACATTGAAGAGTTCTTGAAGGAGAGAGAATTGAAGAATTAGAATAACCTGATATATATATACATGTGCGATGGGATATAAGTTGACAAGAGATATAGAGAGTGTATCATGTAATGACAGCATAGTCGGTAGCAATAATCATATTGTCGTCTATGTTTGAAACAATGGTCAAATCAGAGTTTGGATCATCTACATCACTGGTTTTACTCCATTTACCAGCGCTAGTGAAGATGTCCATCCTGATTGATCAGCCTTGACACATACTCAATCCAAGCCAACATATCCAACCATCGCCAATCCAACAACAACAATAAACCAATCCAATCCAATCAATATATGATGACACAACATGTTTATATATGTATGTTTGAGACAAGGGTATGTACATGGACTGATCAACTCAATCCTTGAGGAAGTTCAATGGCGTTGGACCTTGAAGGATAAGTGGAATAATCTTGGGTGGTGTAGAGTTGACTTGGTTGCTGATGGCGATGTATGTCTTGAACTCGCTGAGTGATGGCGCCACGTAGTTGTTGAGTGCCAGGTCGTAGTGTTTTAGGTCAGGCGAGCGGAATTGATCAGACACATTCTTGATGTTGAGTTCAATCTTTAGGAAAAGTTCCACATCAATGGCATACTCCTTTCCAAACTGAACAAATATATCGCTTGCCTGTGTTGCCGCGGCATGAGTCATGTCCTTGTCGTCTGATGAACATGACAAAGATGAAGCCACTACTGATGTGTGGTCGTCCTCATGCGCTCCATGGTCTTCGCCACTCGTGGGGCAAGACTCCTGCTGCACCGTCGCCGTCTGCGACTCGATCTCCTGTGAGGCGGTGAGTGGCCTCCTTGGAGGCACAGGTGGACGCACCTTCCTTATTGGCACGGTTGGCAGATTGACCGGGCGAGGTGTTCCAGGTGGTTTAGATATTGAGGCGGCGGACGAGGCCAATCGCGATGAAGTATTGTACAGTGAAAGGTCTGGTGATGATGCTGCCATCACTGCAGGGGGCTTATCGTCCCTCTCCTTCTCCCTCTCTGGATATTTGATCGGTGCCAGCTGCTTTGTTGTAGTCAACACTGTATTATTATGTGTCAACTTACTATACTCTGCCAGGGTGAATCCCCTCTGATTGAGTATACCTCGATTGATTCTCACCATCTATGATCAATATTTTGTTTGTGTTAGGGGATAGATCCAGACTATATTGGAGTATGGTACTTACCCTGTATAATAATATATGATGATAGGCATTGCGTACGGGCTGGTCCCAATGTAGGAATAGTTGGTTGAAACATTTGTGGAAGAGGAGATCGGAGAAGAGTGCACGTCTGTTGCGACCTTGGAATGAATCCGATACGTTGTAGACCATGTTGAGTGAGCGTATGATCAACTGATGGTGATCGGCCGAGATGATACTATCGATGCCCTTGCAGAAGAAGTCAATGTCGAATGAGTTGGGCAGGATACCATACTCGCGTATCCATAGTTCAACGATGCTGAGTGTTGCCGCCACAAGTTCCAAGTCAAACACACACGTCTTTAGGAACAGCACCTTGACCATGGCGTCGAGAAGACGTGTCTCAACACGAGCTATATGTATCAATGCTATATGAGCCTCTGCCGATGGTGTTGGCTTGGCTGGTGGAGGTGGTGGAGCCACCTGTTCCTTACACTTGATCTCATGCAGCACTGCATAGACCAGCGAGAAGTAGCCTGGAACTGACCTAAAGTCGACATTCTCGCCCAAGGCGCACTTGGTCATATTTATCCACTCTCTAACAAACAAAAAGAATACGCTCTCCTTCCTAGCCAGGTTGTTTAACCAACTAGTTTGATTGATTGATTGATTGATATTGTGAGTATTGAGTGTTTGGATTGGAGTTGGCTGGTTGGCTATTTACCCTTGTGATATTGATTCCAACTCCTTCTCACATGCATCATGTTGCATTAATAATGAATGGAATGGTAGTTTGTCGGGTCTGTCCAACACAGGTTCAGTGAGCAATGACTTTGTTGGACATGGATAGTACTTTAAGATATCCTCTGTCTCTGACTCTGGTGGAGTCAGTGCGGCCAACAATTGTTTGGCAACTCTAGGTATTCTATGATATGATATAACAAGAAACTATTGATTGATTGGGTTAGTTTGGAATAGTCCCAAAAGTGGCCGGAGGGTTGCTAACTTACTTTGGCACAGAACTGTGATAGTTGGAGATTGAGATAGGGCGTTGATGATACAAGGTAGGCGACAAAGGTGAATGTTTTGTACAGTTTGACTCGATACTTGGTCAGAAAGTCAGCGGTCCATCGCTTGTAGGTCTGTGGATCAATTGAAGAGATGGCCGTGTCAAACTCCTTGCGACCAACAAGTAGTAATATAGTACGATAGACTAAGGAGAAGTCCTTGTCCAGGTTATAGTTCTTCTCGGCAAAATTGATGAGTGAGCCCCAGAGCGTCAACATTGCCTCCCTGCACGATTGTGAGATGATACGCGAGTTCTTGCCATTGGCATTGGCGTCGCCCTTTGCCGCCGCTTCCTTTGCCTCCTTTTCGCGCTGCTCCTTGAGGCTGTTGAATGTGCTGATCAAACCTCCACCAACTGGGAGGTCGTTAAACGATGATGACAATGATGCTGTCTGCAGAGGGGGCACTCTGCTCCCAGACGATGAGAGTGATTGTGATGAGCCTTGCTGTTGAGATTGAGGTGCTGGCATGCCTCCAGAAGTTTTTAAACTTGAGGATGATGTATTCATCTCTGGTGCCATGTCGCCCAATGCAGGCGGCTGTTTCTTGCTTGGCTTGTAGGTGACGATTTCCAACAATGTGATCATGTCTTGAAGGAGGCCGTTGGCCTTGCCCAGTGATCCAGCGGCTTTCTCACGCTTCCTTTCCTCGGTGCTGCCAATCAACTCTAGTTGTGGCATCATTAATAAGATTGCATTGGACTTCTTTTCGACTTGTGCGCACCAATTCTTGTACTTTAACTTTGGCTTGTGTGGACTGTGCGGAGAAGACGATGATGAAGGTGATGATGGTGAAGTTAAGATTGGGGAAACAAATCCACCAAGTGATGATGCTGCGGCCAATATTGCTGCGTTCTTTTCCGCGTTCTGTCCACCGCCACTTGAGTGTCCATGTTGTTGTTGGCCTTGATTTTCCATAAACTTGGATATTATAACGTTCATTCTTTAATTGATTGATTAGTTTGATGGACTGACTGACAGACTGACTTATTGATTGACTTGATTGATTGTGTTGATGAAGAAGGGGAAAGTATATGATGGATGACCAGTAATTCAATTGTTCATAACAATTGGAATCTGGATTGTTGGGCGATCGCTGTTGGCCCAATATATTTGATAATTATATGTACAATGTTTGATTGACTGATTGGCTGGACCTAATGATTGGTTGATATTATGTTGTGTTGTTGGATGTTGGATTGGTTGATGTAAGAATATTCTCAGTGAGTCCCAAAGCGTCTACTATATGAATGATTGAATGATTGTATGAATGTATGAACTGAACTGAACTGATGATGTTGATGTTGTTCTGAACCTGTCTGTGGATGTGGATGATGATTGATCGATCAAAGATTGTCCACACTAGAATATGTTACGTGATTGGATGGTAGATAGGTAGGTAGGAAGGGATGTCCCATTAACAATACGACAACAAGTTAACACAACAACCAACAACAAACTATTAGCAAAAGAGGTTGGTTGTTGCCCCATCCAACTCAACACTCACTCATTCGAAGTCTGACTCTATCTCAACAATGTCACCACCTTGCCAGTGCGGTAGAACAACAACAACAGCAACCTTATGATTGTTCTGGTTATTGTTATTTATTATTGTGTGTTGTGGTGACAAGAAGAGAGATACTTTAGATCGGTGGAGCACTCCATAATCTTCTCACACGACTAATTTCATTGAAGCTGCTGGGGTAGAACGAACCACGATCACTGTTTTGGGAAGCCTACCCCACCAAAGGCCAGTGTCCTCCATCACACTGTAACTTGTTTTTCAAATCAATCAATCGTGTGAGGTGGGAATTAATCAAATTAGAGGACACGGCTGGTAGAACCACGAGCATTGTCGCATCTCGCGATAAAGTATTTCGCGTTGTCTCTGCGACGAGACACTCCGGGACATCAGCCCAGTCTACCGATGGCTTGGCGATGGATACTGATGGTGCTCGAGATGGATACTGATGGTGCTGACGAATGGTTCCAAAAAATTTATTTATCATTATGACATTCAATTCTGAAACCATGTTGGCCATTCTTGTTCTTGTAGTTGTAGTTATTGTGTAAATGTAAATGTAATAAATATCGTCTTTGTCGTGGTCTCTCCATGATATTTGTGATTGGCTGTGATTGATTGATTGTTTAGGTGGCTGGCCAAATAACTGTTGTTGAATGATTGATGTATGTTGAGACGGGGACGATGGGCCAAGTTGTGTTGATACTGATAATGTTGATAATAATTACACGTGTGTACAATCCATTATATATATTGTTGTGCGTGTCGATCTTGATGTTGACGCTGATGATAAAGATAAAGATGAAGATGAGACCAAATGCTTATCTATCTTGCTCACCTCACTCTCATGAAGGCAACTCAACTCTACAGAATGGACATTTCTTGCTCGCTTGCAACCAATGATCCAAACAATTTGGATGGAATTGATGTTGACAGTTGGTCAACTCCTTGACCGTTGTAGTCTCATCAAAGTCTTCCAAGCATATTGCGCATCTAATTGATTGATCGCAGTTGATTGATTGAGTGAATGAGTGAGTGGCCTTGTTGTGTCGTTAGAGCAAATGAAATGAACATACCTCTGCTCTTCGTAGGTGATCGATGATCTTATTGGCTTGGTGTACTTCTTCTCCTTGATGAGTTTCTTTTGTTTCTCAGTGGCGCCCACCTTTACAGGCTCCAACTTTGAGAGTGCTTCATAAGAGAGATCCACCTCCTCCTCTCCCTCCTCTTGATACAGTTGTGCATTCGCTTCAAAGTTCAACTGCATCTCCTCCTGCATCTTCCTCGCTAGCTCCCTATCCTCTGCCTCCATCAACTCTCTTTCTAACAGTTTGTTCACTGTTTATGAGTCATAGTTTGTTAGTTGAATGATCATAGATTGATTGAAAGATTGATAGTTACCTAGATCTTCATTCTCTTTGTCATACTTTCGCAACTCTTGGAATGTATTGATAAGTGGAGGTGAGTTCCTGATAAGCATTGGTGAGGTGGATGTAGTTGATGTAGATGTTGTTGATGTCGTTGATGTTGTAGATGTTGTAGATGTAGTTGAAGTGAGTATTGGTGAACCTGAGAAGACAGCATTGTTTGCACCTTGTAAGCTTAATGGTGTTGTAGGTATACGCATCGCATGGCTAACATTCATAGCCAACTGTGAAGGTAATTTAGGAGATGTCGATACTGATGATGGTGAGTTGCTTGACGACGACGATGATCCACCAAAGAAGCCACCTTTAAAGAATCCCTTTGTTGGTGACTTTGGTGTGAACAAGTCTTTCTCAGAGTTATGTAATGCACTATCTCCTGTGAAATTATCTGTTTTCTTTGTCTTTGTTGATGGTTTCATCTTATTCTATTTATTCTGTATGTATATATGTATGTTTGTATGTTATTACTTCTTCTTTATTTATATATATCTCTTATCTATCTCTATATCTATAAAAGTATTATTATTATGTGTTTGGCAATGTAGCGCGTGTTGAGTGGTTGTTAGCATTTGTGTCGATTGAGTGTGTTTTTGAAAGGCGTGTGTGTTGTTGTCAACAGAAACCAGGATTGTGTTAGGCAGGCCAGACTTAGGCTTTATGTGTGTGTTTGAGATCGTCGTTACATTCGTCGATCTGACTAGCCACACACTTTACATAATTACATAACAATAACATATGATAATAATAATAACAAGACTCACTCCATGAATCAGTGGTCTACGTCTCTCTTGTTTTTTGTAAGTTAGTGAGAAAGTAGTGGTCGCCCGATAACCCCTTTAGGAGAAAAGGTGCAGGGTTGGCAAGTTCAGTGGCTGAACTCTAAGCAATCAGAAGAGAGAAAAAATCTGGCCGCACGATTGGATGGATCACCGACACACGATACTTGTTTGTTGTTGTGTGACTGTGACATTTATGATGATGTAAATTTAAAGTTGTTGTTGTTTGTTTGCTGATGTGCTGCAGAGAAATGGGAAGAGTGAGGGTCCTCATTTAACCATAAGGTTTGTTTATTTGATCGGTCACATTCAATCATTATTTGGTAACCAACATGTAATGATTGTAATAATAATAATCGATAGTAATATAGTAATAATATAGTAATAATTTAGTTTTAGTAATAATGATTCCAAACATCAACAACAGAACAAGTATGAACATTGGTACAACTACTAATGGTAGTGGTAGTAAACGAATGATTGATCAACAACAACAACCTGCTGTAGTGGTCGATACCAAACAGGAGACCATTTTGATGTTCAAACATTATATGGCATCTAAATTTGGAAACAAAGTACCATTACATCTATCAGAGCCATTCAACATTGATGTGGAATATGGCATGTTCAGCTACTCTGGTACATCACAAAAGTATGACCTACTAAACAAACGACATGAAGTAATTGACAGCAGTATGTATCGGCCTCGGCTGGAACTATCCCACCCCACCTCACCCCACAGACCCATTCAAATCGACTAACATTTGACATTATATTAAAGTTATGATTGATAGTATAGTGAATGTTGAGGTCAATGTGTCACCTCCATCTACACCTAGGGGAGGTGGTACAATTTCCAGAGCCAATGGGGCACAGATTTCTGGTGAGGCCACACCAACAAGATCTAATAACAAAGCCAGTCACTTGTTGGGAATGTTCGATCCAACTCCAATGTCACCATCTACACCTTCATCCAACAACACCTCTAGACCAAGCAAGGCCAATATACTCCTTGGTCTAGACTCTGCCCCATCATCGCCCAGCACTAGTAGCAGTAGCAGTAGTGGCAAGAAATCAAAGCAACACACTGGACTTGGAACATTTACACGATCAGACAGCAAGACCAACCTGCGAGAGATGACTGGATATGGAAGCATTGGAGTTGGAAGTGGTTCAATGTTGTCACAATCAATGGGCATGGGCATGTCAGGTGGAGGCACATCATCACCTAGAAGTCTAGAATCAAGTCCAACACTTTACAGTTCTCAATATCAACAACTACAACAACAGCAATCTGGACACTATCAATACATCTTGATGGTGTCCACCAAGACTCACAACTATTCATTCAACGTTCAGAAGAAGGAGGACACCATTCAACTGGGCGACACACTTCGTATACTGTCCATGTCCAACTGCAACGCACTCAGTGATGAGTTGCAGACCACTGTAAACTCAGTGTCAGAGTCACTGAGCCTCATGTACAAATGTCGCGCACCACCAATACCCGCGCTTCCTCACACGCCACCTCCACTTCCACCTCATCTACGTTCCAAACTGACCACGATGAGTTCGTCCACACCCTGTTAATGGATGTCCTATCATTCATTCATACTTATAATCAATCTTATTATTTATTTATTATCACATGTTTTGGAAACATTGTGCACAACCAACCAACCAACATCAACCAACCATCTATCAAACAATCAATCACATAATCAATAATAATTATAATCAGTTACTGATTGTAATAATAATAAATGACTGTGGAAACCATTTGTTACCCATCAAATCAATTGGTTGTTGATGATTTTCAAATAGCAATCAATACTGATGATGTTGTTGTTGTTGTTGTTGTCGTTGTTCAAGGTCAAATATTAGTAGAGAGATAACTCATCAACACTTAATCATTTATTCTATTCTGATAATAAGCTCAAATAGGTACTCGTTTGAACTGATTGATGGGTGGATCAATCAATCTGTGTGTGTTTGATTGTGAGGGGTCAGTTGATGATGGCAATGATAGAGTGTGGTAGGCCTCACACCAGCACACACTATCGATGTATTCACACATCATCTTATGATCAGCTGGTATCATTCAGTGCCATGACAATCAATACTGTACGCCTTCTGAGAGTATTAGTAATGCCTTTTCACTGAAGAACCTTTACCCTCTCCCGTAATGGGGTATATGTTAGTGAGGCCGCAACAAGCTTGCACCAGTTAGCTTAACTTACCAAGTGTGTATTAATACTACTGTACACGATGTTAGAGTTGTCATCATCTGCCTCTACAAACGCTTTCCTAAACGTGTTGTTTGATTGATTGATTGAGTGTGTTATGTTTGATTGATATGGTGTTGATTGTTTGATTGATTGATTGATAGATGGTGGCAAATATTGGCCGTCACACACTTATATTAATGGGTATTAATAGTCAACCTAGGTCTGTCAATCACTCTCCCAATAATCATAATATTCTTAATAAGATTGAATGAAGTGAACCCAACCTTTCAACAATCTTTGAAGAGCTTCACCGACTGTAACATTATAAATATATAATTATAATTTATTTGTATCAAATCAATCAATCTATCAACCAATCAAATTATTTATTATTTGTAATAATATCCAATATATAGAATAATAATGTCATCAATATTAATATTTATTATTACAATATTATACCTTGCTTCTGGGTTGGAAGCTCAGAATTATTATCCACCCTACCCTGGTCCACCATACTCTTATGGATCACAAGATTCAGCATCCGGAACATTCTACTTGGCCTACCAAAATGGAAACTGTGGCTACAAGGATCTGTTTGGAGCTCTGGGTCCCAAGACTGATTCTATAGTTGCCGTCAACACCTACTTCTTCAACAACACCAATCAATGTGGTGTATGTTATAATGCAACTATCAATAACAAATCACTTGTTGTCATTGTTACTGATCAATGTCCGGACTCTGGATGGTGTAACAAGAACAGTTCACACTTTGACCTTGCCAAGCCTGCCTTTGACTATCTACAAAATCAAGCCACTCAAGGTGGTACGATGAATAACCTTGTCTTCAAGAAAGTTCCATGTTACCAATTCGCCTCAACCCCGATCAACGTCTCGTTCAAAGATGGTACATCTCAATATTATTTTGCAATCCTCGCATTCAATCATACCAGTATGTATCAATTATAATTATTATATTTATAATAATATTATTTACTAATACTATTTGGAATCATTCTAGTTGGATTGGCAAATGTTGAGATTAAGATTGGAGGAGGTGGATTCACTCAATTAAGTAGAACATCATATAACTATTGGTTACCAATTAATGGTGGTGGAATTGGTGATGACTTTGTGTTGAGATTCACATCCAACCTTGGTGAGGTATTGACTACATCATCATTCAGTAAATCATTGGTGGTGGCTGGAAATATTGTCAATACTGGAGTCCAGTTCTCCAAGTTCCCTAGTGGCCTCCCACCTCCAGTGATAACTACAACTACTACTTCAAACCCATCAACCCCTACACCAACTTCAAAGCCATCCACTCCTACTCCTACATCAACTCCGACTCAAACTCCCACACAAACACCTACTCCAACCCAGACTCCAAAGCCAACTCAGACACCAACTCCAACCAATAATAATCCAAGTTCATCTAACCAGCCATCACCGACACCCACTACCAAGCCAGTATCTGAATACTGTAGACAACATTGGTTCGCTAATCTGTTCAGTATTTTCTGTTGAACATACCAATAGCCAACTAGGCACAATCCTTCCATCCCTTTGGATATGGTAACTTCACTCAACTCAATCATTCATTTATTCTTTCATATTATTATAATAATATGAACTATTCCTTGTTGTAATTGTATCAATCAATCATACCATACTTATACATATTGTAGGTATGTTGTTAACAATGTAATAATAAATTTAGATACGACATATAGTCGTTTAGATGTATCTTCCTAAGATGGTGAGTTAACATAAGTTACATTGGCAACTTATGACTATCTAGGTGGGTGGATACTCAGTGTGATTGGTATTATTTCTGATTGTGATCAATCACAAACCCACACACACCCTTTCAATCACTACCTTGTGTGTGATAGTGTGAGTGAGTGTGTTGTGTTAAAGGGGTAAGTAATAGAATAGTGTGTGTTAGTATTTATAGATTGAACAGGTGATCACTTTAGGTGATGGTCAATACTTTAAACAGCCACGAGTTGTTGACAACGATTCGGGGTTAATGGATGGATGAGTAGCACGACACAATTGACGAACGTGTTACACCAATCTGGTCAGGTCACAATCATGGTGAGCAATAATTCTCAAGCTGGCTATTCATCTCGCCAGATGGTGGTTCGTTAGAGAAATTAACAGAACATGATCATCATTGTCAGTCAGTAATATATCTTGTCTTGGTTGGGTACCATCATTTAATCATTCATTTTCAATTAATATTTTTATTCGTTCTAAAAAACAAATAGAGATAACATCAACAAATAATAATAATAATGTCACTGAAAAATAATATTGTAATAATAATATTTGTATTTTTAATATATAATATATCAATTGGAGTTGATGGAGCGTACTATCCACCATACTCTGGACCACCTTATAAGTACTACTCTGGAGGTGAAGCATCCGGTACCTATTACAACGACCCCCATCATGGCAATTGTGGCTATGGCAATCTGATGGGCAGACTCGGACCCAAGACCCTAAACATCGCGGCACTCAACTCATACCTATTCAATGATTCCAGTCAATGTGGAATATGCTACAATGTAACTGTGAATCAAAAGTGGCTAGTTGTTACCGTCACCGATCGTTGTCCCGACCCTGGTTGGTGTGATGCTCGTCATACCCACTTTGACCTGTACACCGAGGCCTTCAATTTCCTCCAAGATCCCAACGTACAAGGTACCATCAGCAACATGACTTTCCACAAGATACCATGCAACCGTCCAGGCAACCTCCAGGTCTACTTCAAAGATGGCTGGACATACTACTACAACTCTCTGATGGTCTTCAATCATAATAGTAAGTACAATACACACCTCTCTCTCTCTCTCGACCAATCATACATTTATACTAACTTACTCTATTATGTACAGTTGGAATAGCAACAGTAGATGTGCAACGTGAGAACAAGACTATTTTCGAACCATTGACAAGGAGAAGTTATAACTTCTGGGAGCCTTATAATCCTTGGGGACCATTGGGCAACAAGTTCAAACTGAGGATCACTTCGGTGTTGGGCGAGACCATAGAGACAACCATCAACAATCCAGTTAGTGATTCAGTCGTCGACACTGGTTACCAATTCACCAAGATGCCAACCTCTGACAACCCCGAGTTCTATCCAATTGGTTCATCTGCCAGCTTCATTCAAGCTTCACTAAGTCTAAGCATAGTGCTAATGCTATCATTGACCTACATCTTATTGTAATACTATACTTGTTACGACATAATATGAATAATTAAACAGTTCGCGCGAGCGGAGACATCAACAAGTCCAAGAACCTTTGATTGTCTTATCCTCTGCTGCACTTTAGATATTTTGAAACTTTGTGAAGTGGAAATTAGGGATGCCGTCATTGATTGATTTTGATTGGTAGTTACGGAAGCTAATCAGACCGTGTCTTACAACAACTCTGAACAACAATATCGCATTGTGGAACATGTTCAAACTGAGGGAAGTAGTTGTGTTGTCCAGAGTTGTTGTAAGACACGGTCTGATTAGCTATTGTTTCAGTTCCATCACTACTAAATGTAATAATACTTTATTAACAAACAAACAAACAATGAGACATTGTCATATTCTTTGTATCTTGCTCCTGTCTTATCAGATGGCAACACTACCCTCTATTGGCGCTGAAACACTGTTAGGTGTGACGATGATGCCTGACAAACACTTTGTATTCCACTCATATGTTGCAACTATTGATCCCTTAACTAGTATGTGTGCAATCTTAACAACAACAACAACTTATCATAGAATGTATAATAACAACAACATATAGCTCAATCAACATCATTTCTGGAGTTAACTCCAGTTTCACCAAATGGAGATAGCATGTTGTCGGCAACGATCAATCCAAAAGACAACTTCATGTATATGGTGTTGACCAAAACATCACAGCTCCAAGATGTATGTTGGTGGAGTCGACCCGATACGTTATCATAATACTAACACTAAACAATCCAAGATGAGTACCTATACTTGGTGGATCTCAACACCAAGTCGTTGATCAACAGCACTTGTATAACCCAAATCAACAATCTCAACAACTCTACATACTTTGTCGAGATTGACTACAATCTCTCAATTGAATGTATTGAACTGTATCTTGGTTGATCTCTACAGCACCACCATGATGGTTGGTCATCTGACCTTGGAAGGTGAATTGGTCATCTATGATGTAAGCTAGTATCATTCAGCATCAACATGCATATAGATAAATTAACAATCGATCGATCGATCAATCATAGAGATTCCATTTCTTTGGCCCAAACGAATACCAAGGCTTCCTGGCAGCTGGATACTATCCACCCAGTAATACATACATTGTTTCGAGTCCTGAGCGAGTGGGTGATGATCCCAATCAATACTCCTACAATGTACCAATCAGACAATACGACACGTCCACTGGTCGTTTGGTGTCCTCTGTGAACATCTCTAATAGTAAGTATTACCACCCTTGTTGAATCATTGAGCAACAACAACAACAATGGAATCACCTCGCACATTTACTAACAACAATGATTGATTGATTGATGGCTCGAGTATAGTTTACAGTGAGTTCCAATACATGCCATACTTTGACTCGATGGTGGTGGCAGTTGGTGGCAACTTCTCTTTGTTCGACCCTACCACTGGCAACACGAAAGATTTGATCAACACTGGTGATGGTAATGTATACTTGGCCGCTCAAGCCTTTGGCCAATCGACACTATACTCATGGTCAGAGGAGATCACTCAAGATCGTTTCTATACCACCATTGACCTCACTACAAGTCCATACAACGTGACAAAAGTGAGCGATGATGCTTCTGTTTATGTCTGGGGACAACTTCTTGTTGGCAACATCTAGGCTCAATGTCTGGTCACGACATGGATGCAACCAAATAATCTCATGGACAAGAATAAACAGATAGTTTGAGTAATCATTGATTGTCTTTGGCAAGTCAGGGATGTGAGATGAACAATAGCTAATCTTGACTTCATTTGCTCATTGGTAGGTCTCTTCGTCGAGCCTCGATCATAAATGTTGTTGAGAGATGACCATCATTGGGTTTGGAAGCAAGGACAGTTTGAAGTTCATTGAGACACCAATCCGGAATATTAGTTGACCTAAACAATGTTGATCATTTGAATTTCTAGGAAGCCAAATCAGCTGACTGAAACCACTCATGACATGGTTGACCCAACTTTTGACACTTTTTGACACCTGGTGTCATGTTCAACTCAATCACTCAATCAATCAACCCATCAATAAATCATCATATACAGATAATGTCGGCCATTGAAGAGAAGACACCTCAACAGAAGTTGTTCAACTTCTCCTGTCACTGCGGTGACGTAAAGTTCCTCTGCAACTTGGACAGTGATCTGGGCCAATCTCAGAGATGCAATTGCTCATCATGCTTTGCTACTCGTTTATGGGAGCATCCAGTTACCGACCCACAATCATTCAAGTTGTTGACGCCAGAGTCCAACATTGGTGACTATAGACATGGTTCCAAACAGATTGGTCACTACTTCTGCAAGACCTGTGGTACCCAGGTGTATGTCCGTGGTGAGTTCCCAGGCTTTGGTCCAATCTTCTACGTCAGCATCACCTGTATCCAAGGACTCACCCAAGAGCAGTTCGCTGCAATTCCCATTCATTATGTTGATGGTGCCGAAGACAACTACATGGAGCCACCCATCTTCACCAAGCACCTGTGATCGATCATACATTAAATACACTCATTCAATCAATCAATCTACATGTTTATTGTATTTGGTTAGTTGTTGGATAGATGGTAGTACTCTCGACTGTCTGCGTCTGGCCAGTTGTAGTTGCCATTTCCATGTGGCGTGCCATTGTGGATGACAAAGACGTGTCCTTGACCATCACGTTTACGCTCTTCATAGACAAGGTAGAGTCCTTGGGTGGCTGGACTGGTGACCTTTCTTCCAATCGATATTGCCCAAGTACGTATATCCTTTGCTCTTATAGCCAGACCACAAAGACATCTGCACAAACCTCCTTCAATTCTTCCATCACCGCCTGCACCAGCATTCAAAGCTGGATACTCCTTTTGCAAGTATCTGGCTGTCTCATGAGCACATGTCATCTCAGGAGGACAAGGCATTATTACTAGATTATTATTATTACTGATGGATAGAGAGAATGCAAGAGTGAATGAAAGTTTCATCCGATTGATCAGCTGATCGTCACACTCAACACTTTGATTTCCAAAGTCTTGTTTTGGAACGAGTACCAGATTCATTCCTGTTGTTGCATGATCACATGATCAATGACGTTATTGATCACCATCTCATAACCTTCATACCCTTACCCTTACACTACCCTACCCTCACCCTTGCCCTGACCCTCATACATGTCCAACACTTTCACTTGACTCGAAATTGCTTCAGCCGACAAGTTCACAAGTATTTTGAGATTAATCAAACAACTGTTGTACAGATAAATATAGATAAACATAGATATATATATACATAGAGATAAAGAGATATAGATAGATATAGAGTTGAATGGGTATCACATCATCAACAGAACAGAGAGGAAGTAATGATCAACAGAGAGGCAGATCATCGAGTACTTCGTCGGCAAGTTCATTGCCAACAGCCAATGTAAACATAAGCAGCAATAATAGGCAACAACAACAGCAACAACAGCAGCAACAGCCTCCACAGAACAAACAATCTACTACATCAATTGGCAAGCATACGACTTCCTCATCGATGCCCGCTGGTCCAAAGATAACAGATCCACAGATCTATTCTCAGTCCTATCAACCAAACACCAAACAATCCTATGGTCAATCATCACGCTATCAACCAGGTACAACACCTGCTGCATTGGACTTTAGTGTATTAAGTAGATATCATTATATATAGTGACGATGATAATGAAAAGGATGAAGAGTTGCTAACACTGTTCAACAATCAATCAATCAATCAAAGTGTCACCTCCATCATCACCTCTGGCAAACTCTATGGGTATACCTAATAGTCAAGAAGCAGTGCCTACAGTATTCACATGGAGTGGAGGCGGCAAAGAGGTGTATATCGCAGGATCGTTCAACAATTGGAAGGAGAAGATACCATTGTCGCACAGTGAGAAGGACTTCACATTGATATACAATCTGCCGCCAGGCGTTCATCAGTACAAGTTCATCGTCGATGGCAAGTGGGTGCATTCATCCGAGCAGCCAGTGGCCGCCGACACCAAAGGCAACCTAATCAACTTTGTCGAGGTCAAGTCGAAGGACCTGTCCAGTGAGCTAAGTTCATTCAAGAGTGAGTGTCGCCGTCTAGCTCTCTCTCCCTCGTTGATCATACACATCTAACTGATCACAATCAATCAAACAATCACAATCAAATAGTGTCATCAACACCTCCTGGATCATATACCAAGAGCATACCGGCGGAGGAGTTCCAGAAGCTCCCTCCACCTTCGTTGCCTCCACATCTTAGACGAGCACTGCTAAACACACAACCATCGACTGAGGACCCAACTCTTCTGCCACTTCCTCATCATGTCATGCTCAATCACCTTTACTCACTGCCGCGCAAGGACAAGGTCACCATCCTAGGCGTCACCAATCGTTACAAGACCAAATTCGTCACGACCGTACTCTACAAGCCAGTGCACGAGTCCAACGAAAAGGACGAACTGGACAACTTGAACTGAGGGTCGGCCTCCCAATGTACATTCCAACCCGTCTACACAGATAGACTATATATTATTATTTAAAGGAGAGTGCACTCTCGCCGGTGCTCTCACTTCTTTCCCCATGCATCTATGTATCGTATCAGCCAGCTGAAGACTTCTCTGGACTGTTTATTGAATGGTCGACTCCACCTCCAACTCCGCCTCCCATAACTTCATCAGCAGCAGCAGCTGTACTCTTGGCAGGAGTCCTTGGCATGGAATGTCGATACACACTAGTTGGCATCGCAGCAGAGTTCTTCTCTCTGATCTGTACGCTTTGGAACACCAATCGCTTCTGTGTCTTATTTACATAGACCAAGTGATCCAGTCTCGGTATCTCGTATTGCAATCGTATATTGTTTGTATCTATCTGTTGTGTCTCTTGTGTCTGTGTCGTGGTAGTATTCGTGGTTCCATCTTCCGACGTCGTCGTCGTTGTTGTTGTTGGCTCTGTACTATTGTTGTTGTTAAGGTCTATGTTCAGTTGTAAATCATCAAAGTTTGCTGCAGCGGCTGCAGCGTCTGGTCGATGTGGTTGATGTTGTCTCTTTGGATTCCTAAAGAATAGCTGTGTTCCAACTACATCCTGGTATCTACCTCTATACATCCTCTCTCCAATCTGTAATAAAGGTGTTGGAGTATCCAATCCCTACATGTTCAGGTGTATACCAATGAGTATGATTGATCGAATGATTGAATGATTGATTGATTGTGACTACTTACAATCAATGAGTATTGATTATTGACTAGGATACCGGGGTCTTCACCAACGACCTCGATTAGTATCAGTTGGTCATCTGGTTGAATGATCTCTGATTGATCCAGTTCATATTGTTCATCACCATTGTCAACAGCCTCATCTTCACTTGACATATCATAAAAGATGTCTTCATCATCTTCCTCTCCTGACTCCACTTCATAATTCTCTTCTTCCTCCTCTACATCTTTACTACTTGCACTACTACTACTTCCACTATCACTGCTATCACTCTCGCTCTCACTCTCACTCTCACTCTCACTACCACTACTGCCACTACCACTACCGCTACTACTACTTGAATCACTACTATCACTACTATTACTACTACTACTACTGCTACTACTAGATACAACCTGATCTTCTTCCACATCCATCACATCATCATCGTCATCTTTATCATCTTTGTTCTTCTTTCGTTTGCCTGTTGTTGTAACAGGTACTTTGGGTTTGGGTTTAGACTTTGCCATAGTTGGTCTAGGTTTCTTTGGAGTTGACATCGTATATATCTATTGATGTTCTATGTATATGTGTATGTATGTATGTATGTAAGTATGAATGAAATGAACGTGTCAGATGTTCAAGTGCCAAATTTGGCGGGTCCAGTTCACACTTCCTATTCGGGACTTTGTCCAACTCTTCACTTTGGAATCAAGGAACAGGAAGACCAAAAGACGTCCAGGTTGGTATCTAGATCATTCATATTCAATCATTCTATACTATAACAAGTAATACAGAATGAATCATCAACAAGTACTAACATCTTTAATATTGCTCTCAATGATGTGGGTGTCTGCTACCCTTTCATCGTCTTACTACCCTTGTTCAGAACAATGTACATCTTTACAAATCTGTCTCTACTACAAGAGTATAATACCAAGGTCTGGAAAGTGTGTAGATCTATGTAGGTACTCAATCAGGGTGTCCTGTATGAATGATTGAAAGAACGAATGAATTCATTATAACATCATCAACTTGCGAATGTAGCATGGCTTGAGGACAATAATATCAAGATTACAATGGAGTTGACACCTGCCAATGATCCAACAGAGTTTATTGGTTCGATAGAGAATCATGCTGAGAACACTGATGTCGTATATGCAGTGTTCAACACAAATCTAAAGACGTACACATCTCTCTACAACATGTCATTCATCGAGGATCAGATCTTTGCTGTAAGTATCCATGATGTAGCCATCCCATGCTTGATGAATGGACACGTCCTGACTGACTGCTCAATCAATGTAGCCATATTACCAGAGTCAATATACTGTTCAACCTGGTGTAACTTGGGACTTTGGGTAAGTACTTTGGGCCGTAACTTTGGTGTTTGCTGGTATCTTACATTCTTCGCGCGCATGTACATACTTAGGTTCACCTCCTCGGACGACCTCACCTATCTATCAATGCGTCTTGCAGTATTGACTCTAAAGAATGTATAAAAGGTCATCGACCAACCAACCGACTGGTTGATCATTTGTAGTTTCTTCTTTTGTAACCTCCACCGCCACCTCCTTGATGTTGCTTGTTCATCAGCTGATTGACCAGCTGCTTCTCAAGATCTGCTGGCAGGTACTTGGGTATGGGCTGCACCAATATGACACGACCAGCACTCAGTCGCCTGCTCTTGATCAGTTGCGAATCTATCCATTGTTGGAATCTCTCGGCATGTCTCTTGCGATCCTCGTATATCACCAGCTTGTCCACTCGCTCGCCATAAGTCTCGAGCAACTGTGTTATGTAGTCGATCTTAAAGTCAAAGGTATTGGGTGCGTCATGTCCAATGGGCTTCAATCCAATGTGATCAAACTCCAACTGCACCGACGAAACGATACGATTGATGATGTCTCCAAAGAGTGTCGATCTTCCTGTGAGCAGTACACAAACATGGTCCTCACTGTGCGATGAACTCAAAGCAAGGTCGAGAATCTCCTCATTGAACCATCGACGTGATGGCTGTTCAGGGACAAAGGGAACATCAAGTGTGAGTGTGTCTTGATACCATCCATAACCACCATCCGAAGTCATTGACTTGAGCTTTCCAATCTTGTGATAGTTCCAAAGAGCTGGATTGGGTTCTGGTGACTTGAATAATGTGGAATCAAAGTCAAAGATGTTCAATGTCATCGGTGTTTCTGCTACTACTGATGCTGATGTTGTTGTAGTTGTAGTAGAAGTAGATACTTCCTGAGTCTGTTGTTGTTGTTGGTTGATCAACAATGTGTCATCTCCTATCGTTTTATTCATCTTTAATGATGGTTGTTCGTTGTTATGACTTGGAGAGAGTGTGCTGATTGATCGAATGATCTGAAAGGTGAACCTTTTTGAAGTTAAATGTAACAACATTATGGTGTGATGGGTCAGGGCAAGGATAGGCAAGGGTAGTAAGGGTAAGTTTATCTAAGTAGGAAAGAACAGAGAGTGAATAGACCCTCATCGGGAAGTTCAATATAACCAAGTTTGTCCCATAAATTATGATTTGTTTGGTGAGTTTGTTTAATCACTTGAAGCCAAGACTGGAAATTGGAATCATTTTTAATTGTACCTTCCAGTCAAAGGTGTCAAGTACACAATCTAGGGTATGTAGGATGATGATCAGTTCCCACAAACAATGTGTGTTTTGGTTTCCAAGAGGACTTGCCTTGTCAAACTCACATTGCACCACCTCAACACGACCATTTTCAAACAAAACAAATACTTGTAAACTAGTAGTATCTCTTTCTTCTATATATATCTCTCTCCATCCAACAACTGTAAGTCAAATAAATATGCAAACTAAAACAACAATATCATAATAATATAAAGATGTTATTGACGATGCCTTTATTGACGATAGATTGAGGATGGTGTTGAAGTGACATCCTGTCAATCAAAGTCACCTTCAGTCAATTAATCAACTCTATTTTTGTTTTGTTTTCAATTGAATTAATTTTTGTGTGCATTGATCTTGTCCAATGCCATGGCAAGGTAAACAAACAACATTGACTGACTGAAGGGTTTCCATCAATCACCCCACTTTCATCATCAACAACAACACACTCTTACTCAAACACAAACAATCAATCAACAATATAATACTTTGTCAATCTATTCCTCACTCACTTATTCAATCATTCATTATACTTAGAATAGATAAATATATAATTATATATATATTTGGTAAACACACACAGAGATACTTATACTTTATGAAAGTACAATCAAGCACCACACACCAACATCATCATTAGATACATTGAGATATATCATCATATATAGATACATATATATATTTACACATTTATTCCAAGGATGTGGAAGAGTGAATCCATGATTCAAACGATCAACGAATCATCATCATTATCTACCTCTTCTTCATCGTCTCGTATACAACAAATGGATCATTACAGAAGTATACATAAAGATGAAGACGACGACGATGACGATGATGATGATAATGATAACAAAGAGAAAGGATATGAGAATGATTTCTACTTTGTTCAAAACAATAATAACTACTATAATCATCAATACAACAAAGATAACGATGATGATGATGATGATGAAAACGAAGATTATGACAACCTTCCAATGTATACACCAACTGCCACAACAACAACCACAACAACGACAACGACATCATCATCATCATCAACTGCAAATTCAATACTTGGCAAGAGGCTGAGGGACAATGACGAACAGGTTGTTATGGACAACAACAACATTAGCGCGAGTGACTCGTCGACGAGTTCGAACAAGAAGATCAAGATCTCTGTACATATCGAAAACCCAGGCCTTCAAGCGGCCATCTCTGAGTTCAAACACACTGCCGACATTGAGATTGGCCGACTTTGTCGGGATGGCCTGTCAATGAAAAGCGCTGTTCAGCAGCTCGTCGTCAAGATTCAAGACTCATCAATCTCTGCAGTTCACCCATCAACTATCACGTCGTCCTCATCCTCCCCCACATCAGGGACACCGAGTGTGGCACCACAATCGGCAAAGGATCTAAAGCTTGTCATGGATTTATGTGGCTTCACCAAGGAGGAGGCCACAAGGATACTTGTGCTCAAGAATGAGATTGTCTCTTTGAAGAATCATGGATTCGATCAGGCCTCTGCCATTCATGAACTCTCAAAACGACTAAAGAATGATCGTGTCGCCAGCATCAGTAACAAAAACATTGACATTGGCAATAGCAGTAGTCTGGCATCATCATCATTGTCATCTCCACCTCCCTCATCCACAACATCCACAACATCCACAACATCCAC